CCTCGTTAACAAACGGCCTTACGGGCACCCTCTGGGCATAAAACGAATCGCCCGCACGGTACCAAGAAAGTTGTTTCCTGCCTACTCTTTTGGTCATATCGTCCCTGTCCATCCGCAGTTTGCTCATATCGTCCCGAAGTTTTCTCCGCTCCTGTTCCAGTTTTTGCGCCTCCAACTCATATTCTCTCCCCTTTTGCTGTTCTTCAGAAGTTGTCCAGACGAGCTCCGAAGAGGAACCTCTCGGTGGCTGCGGGTCGCCGCCTGCTGGTGGCGGTCGTGCCTCTCGTCCCCTCGCCCCGTGGTCCGCACGACCGCTGACGAATTCGGCCTCCTGCTCCGCTTGCCGATTCCGTGCGGCGGTTTTCCAGGCTTCTGCGAGCTCAGAATAACGCTTTTTCTCTTCGGTCTTCAGCTCCAGCTCCACTTGCAAGGCGTCCAGTTTCGTGGCTATCACCCCCATCGCAAACTCTTCTTTCTTCAGCTTTTTCCCGACCTCCGCGAGGAAGAAGTTTTGTGCCCAGCTCTCCTGCTGCTGCTTAAAGTCACGCGCTGCCTTGTCGAGCACGGCTTGGACGACGTTACTGGATTTGAACGCGCGGTAAAATGCGAGAGAAAATTCCTTCGCCCCCTCGGCGTCGTTCGGGTGGAAGAGCGGTCGTTTTGGAGGAGCAGGCGCAGCTTCTTCTACAACTACGCGGGTGGTAGTCGACGAGCTAGAAGAATCATGATACATTGTGTTTCGCACCACCCAATCCCGCACTCGTGCCGCTGCGTCCCGCGCGTCTTGTGTGTCTAGGACGAGAAAGTCCAGCCAGTTCTCGTTCAGAATTGGCGCGAAGGTCGAGAACGGAGATACTGGTCTCTGTGGAGTTGTTCTCGTTGCGGTCTCCGGGAGGTTATTGTTCCCCGCACTTCGACTTTCACTGCCTACGTCGACATGATCCTGAGATGTTTTTTGAGAAGCAACAGCAAAATCATCAAACGCTCTCTGCGTCACGAAATGGTACAGAACTGCGTACATGGTAAAGTTCGTCAGGTAGAACTGACTCCGCACGACCGCCGGGTCCTTCAGATTTCGGATGGAAAGGACGCGCTTCCGCTGGAGCTGTGCCTCAGACCGCAGCGCGGCTAAAGTTGTCCCCTGTGGTACCGTGACCATCTCGACGCTCAGATCCACGATCAACGAGCTTAACAAATCTTTCCCCCACGGCTCGTAGGTGTTTGAAAAAGCCGTCCACAGACGGAGCAGGAGCCTACCATGATCTCCGGAAGTCACGGCTGCAAATGAAAATCCGGCACCTTCTTTTGGGAGGTCATGTGCACCTACTTCACCTTCCCGGAGCCCCAACATCCCCCCTGCGTCGCTGTTCACCAACTGGACCAATACGTCGTCGAAGAACTGCAAGCACGCGACGCGAAACTCGCTGTAATCCTTCGGTCGTCCGCCCCGTTGCGAGAACAACGCCTCGCCGGCGCACTTGGTTTCGTATTCCGTCAACTGGGCTTCGAAAGACGCGGCTTTTGAAAAGACTGGCAGAAGCTTTTCCACAGGAGTGGAGGTCGTGGAGAACACGTGTTCTTCATCTTCTGGACCTTTTCTAGCCTGCTGTCGTCCCTGAGCTGCAAGAGGACGAGAATCTTGACGGACCTCCGATCCTCCCCGACGAGTCATAGTAGTTTTTTGTGGCACCAGGCGCTTCTCGAATAGTGCGCCGAGTGTAGAATCCGCATGTGAATTCGCCAAATGAAGATTTCTACTTTCCCTCGGCACCTCGAACTTGTATTGCCGGTGCGCGGCAAACTTCGCTTTCCAGTACATAAGCTCGGTTTGCTCCAAAATGCGTTCTGCTTTGTCGTACGAATCCCAAACAACAGCTGCGTCAGGACCGGAGTCGCTCTCTTTTGTTCTTGGCGCCTTCGTGGCTCGGCGGTGGCTTGGCTTCTGAAGCGAGGCTAGAAAAGGCCGGACTTCCAGCTGCAGAAACTTGCGCAGCGAAGTTGCGAGAGTTCTTCTTTTTGCGGCTCTAGAGCCTCTCCTGCTCCTTTGGCGTTCCGCGGCAGCCGGCGTGCCGTTGAGCGGCACTACTTGAAAAGTCGAGTCAAGAACCTCATCTACTGCACTGAAAGACTTCAACAACGACTCGGCGGATTCGTGCAGCTGCCCCAGTGCGACGGAAGCACTCGCATGCGCGAACAGATGCAAGGGCGGCCGGGCCTGGTTGCTTCCACCACTAGTAGGTTCGACATCCAGTACCGGTTCTGCTTGTTCTTCCGGACCAGATGCACGACTACCGTGTGTTGCTGCTCCACGAAAATTGGGTAGTACCGCTGGCATCAGTTTCGTTTCCGCGAAACTAAACAACACTTGAAGGATCTGAAACTGCGTAATTTCATCTTCCACGGAAAATGTATCGAATGCAAATTATATGCGGTCTGGGTCTACGGGAACAAAAATGCAGACGCGTGTCATGCAGCGCTTGTATGCTCCGCTTGATATATACCGAATGCATGGCCAAGCATCACAGCATCACAGATTTATTTTCGCGGGCCTTGCAGTGCCTAAAATTCCAGATCAGAAGTCATGCTCCCTGTCCTACGCAAGTACCTTCTGCTGTTCGCGCAACACTTTATTTTGTGTGCAGCTGGATCATGTAGTTACGGACGAGCATCACAAATTTGCAGCCTTCCCGATCCCGCCGACCCAAGCATATTATATTTGCAATGCATAAGATGCTTGTCCAGTTCCAGTTGCAGGTGTTGTCTCTGAAGGAGCCGGCGCAACTTTCGTGTAACTGTCCACCACGGCGTTCAGAAATTCCTCGTATTTGCTGCGGCACAGATGGAACTTCAGCATTTTTTGCGTCGTCGTGCTCTGTGGAGGTAGTCCGGCATCGGGCTCGACGGATGAGAACACCACGTCTGCTCTAGTACCAGCGACACTTGGCATCGCCTGTCCAGCGGAATAATGTGGTGGACCTCCTCCTGGCTTCGTTCTCGTTTTCTCCAGCCATTCTTTGCAGACATGGCCGTCAAACAAGTGCAGATCAAGGAACGCCTCCCAGGGGCTGGGCTGCGTTTTCAACACTGTGAACATTGGAAAAGCCGTTGTTTTGTTAAATTCCACATAGGTCATGCTCCCATCGCCAGTGAGCAGCGCCATTAGCTTCCCCGGCACAAGTTCGCGGAAAGCGAGCAGCTGTCGCTTGCCCGCCACGACAGGGATTTGGCGTTGTTCCGTGGTCCCACCACCACTTTCCGGCGACAACGCAGAGCCGCCTGCTTGAGGTTGAGCTTGCCCGGTTCTATTGACCTGTTGGAAATTATAAACCCCCGATGAATTATAAAGCGAGGGCTGTAGAAGATTGAGGATCTTCTGCACAGAATGCGCTTGCTCTGTGGAAAAGTAATGCTTTCTCCCTGCTTCGCCGCCACCTTGAGGAGCCGCTTCCCACTGACCTCCACGCGCCGCCGCCAGGAGATCCTCGTCCACAGCTTGGAAAAAGAAATCCGCCGGAGAGGCTGTAGGTTTTCGGCCGACTCGCACCGCTGCGTCGGTCGACCCTCGTCCACCGGTGGAAGGAACCCCTGCTTCGATACTAGTAGCCAGTGGTGGTTCACCATCTCCACGTCCGACCTCAACTGCCACCCGGTTGTGCAGATCGTACGCCGTCGAAAGGACTTGGACAGCCTTGGTTAGTCGTGGCAACGCAGCGCTTCGATCCTCAGCGGGCGCAGCAGCTCCGTATTGATGTAGTTGTCCTGCTCGTCCCGTTCTTTCATCTGTCGGGTTCACGTTCACCCGCGCTGCTGCAGCAGCTTCAGAAGGAGCAGCAGGAGCAACAGCACCACCTGCGCTGCTTGCAGCCGCTTCCGCATCCGGGCCGGCATCCGGGGCGGAAGCCGACACCAAATCCCACCCGGAAAGTGTCGCAGTGAGAAAAAGAAGGAACGGCCCGACGGCTGCTGTTCGTCGCGAAGTTCCTTTCATTAGGGTCATAGCACCCGAGAAGGACCTTTGGAAAAATTCTTCTCCGCTTCTTCTGATTTTTCAACAGGTATTGTACAGTGGTATTTCTATTTTCTGGTGAAAAGGTAATTTTTCACAATGTAGTTTAGTTTCTGTGTAGTAGATGATTTTCGCAATACTAGATACAAAAAGCCAATGCTGGTGCATCCCGGGAGTTAAATAACCACCGCGGAGTAAATATAACTATATTTTTCATACAGGTAGACTACAACTAGACTCAGATAACACTTGGAGGTCAAGATCAAGTTGCTATGCAAAAGAGTTGTGCCAATATTTTACAAGAATCATCCTACAAAAATGCGATGTTTTTAACCGTGCTGTGCTTCTATAAAGTAATCTTACAAATTGATTTTGGAGGACCAGGAAAGGTGTTTTCTAGTTTCAAAAATTGTTGTCTTGTTCTGGTCCTATGTGATAAGCAGATGTTTTCTGAAAACGCGGTTCAAAATAATCTGATCATCGCTGTGAAGTCAACCATTTGTTCAACAAGATGTTCAACTTCGTACTATGATCATGTTCATGCTCCCTTGCACACCAGATTAATATACACCGAGAGCATTGCTCGGCGTAAGTATGTTGAACCTTTGGACCTGGGGCCCTCAAGACTGATCATGCTTCGTTTTTGCCATACCTAAACACCAAATACAGTTCCGTTGAGGTTGATCTTTTTTCTTCTGATACGGACCTAATACCGTGCTACCTCACGGTAGAGAAGGAAATGCTAGTCTTCCACGATCATCGGCGTTGCATCACCGCGAGGAAATATTCACTAGATCACCCTCCTCGGATCGTCGAATGTTTTCTATTTTTCGGCTCTAGATCAAAGAGATCTCAAACACGAAACATAATCTTAAGTTCTTTTTACTGAATAAACATACTGCGGCTTTTTTCAGTCCACCGAGGCGGGACCTCAGCGGGCGAATTCGCTTATACCCAGCAAGGGAGGATGCGGCTCCCGGGTACTATGTATGCGGCTGGAATGTAAGTACTTCCCCGGTACTCTCCGGCGAGTCTGCACCTTTCAGCTGCAGCAAAAATTGCGGCAACAGGAACAGCTACCTTGCTTAGAAACGCTCTATCACGATGGTAGAGACTAGCATTTATTTTCGGAGTATGTGGCAATTCATTTTATACAACAACACAACAGCACTCTATTTGTTGAACAAACATAGTTCGGCTGGGTGGAGATACCTCTCTGGCACTTCTTATTCTTTCAACATATCAGATCACGATGTCCTAAACATGTCATAGGACGCACGTCTTATGTATCACATGAGACGTCTTATGACATAAGGCGTCTTTCTGGTATGCTACTGAATATACCTGCATGTTTAAATCAAAAAGAAGTCTTCCGGGAAGTGCAGCGGAATCCAGGCAAAGCTGCAGCACGTCGCCGGGAAAACGTCGCGAAATAAATCCTATTGGCGTCACTGAAATCTGTGCAATTCGTCGTCTCTCTGTGACTTCGAAAATATCTGTGCTTCTATGCGAATAGATCTTGTATTGATGTGCGAGGTAGCCGCTGGACTAGTACGAGACGTAGCAGCTTCATTGTAGTAACTGCAAACACTTCGTCAAGCTACAGATACGGTGCGGTGTGCTAGCAGCTGTCGAAGTTGCGCAACCTGATGGAAGCAAAAAAAGAATGGCAAAAAGCCTACGATCACCAGTCTACCTCTCTGTCTATCACAGATATGACTTTTCTATAGTTAGATTGCCATAAAAAGGCGAGCCGCACGCAAGCGGGCAGGGTATATCAATCCGCTCACGTTTTTGGGAGGGTCAACGCGAGCAGGTTCTGCGCCTCTGCTCACAGCGTTTTCTTCATAAGTTTCGTAGAAGAGGGAACTTCAAGCCTACGAAGATGCTGCAAGACAAAGTATCTAAAGATAAAAACTATAAACGTTAAATGTAAAAGTCTGTATTCTCTTTTGTAGAATTTTGTTGGATCTCTACTGAAGCTTTACTTTGGGACCTGTCATTTTCACGAAAAGGAGGGGCAATACGCTAGAGTGCATTAACCTTGTGATGAAACTGTTTCTGTAGTGGTAACAAAGATCGAAACGAAACGCTATTTTTGTAAACTCACGACACGCGAGAAGAAGCAATGCATTGGAGCACTATGTTTGAAAAAATCGTCATTATCTTGTTCATTATCATTTTACTAGCATGGATTGCTAGAGGTTTGAATGGGGGAATTCAAAAAAATGTAACAAAAAAAGCACTAACGGGTGAGAGATACTTCAAAAAATTTCAAAGGAGAAAAAAGCATCAAACACCCCGGCCTAAAACTTTTATCTGTCAGTGCTACTTCTTGGAAGTAAACTTCTAGACGTTAAATTCCCTCCTCCTGCAATACGTATACACCATTCCTATGGATTCTTCGCTTGTTTATGGAGAGTGTGCCATTGAAATTCATCTAGCAGAAGTGTTCCGGCCCGAGGGCGTACCATGAAACTGAAACATCATTGCAGGGCAGAATAAACTATATATCGATGACAAAACTTGCATATTGGTATAAAAGTCACATAAAGATGAAATGCGCAACATGAATTTGTTGTCCCCGCTAGTGGCAGCAAGGAAGACTGCTTACGTGGCCGCTGTCAGGTCAAATTTCCAGAATCGCTCAAATTTCCAAAATTGGAAACGAAAGCTCTGGCAAATTCTAAATTTGTAAAATGCATTGCAAATGCTATTTCATTGCGTCGGGCGTCGTCGAGCCTGGTCCCGCGGCACCGCGGTGCTGCGACGTGCTTGCCAGCATGTTTGTATACTTGATCCCATTGAAGTTTGGCACTTGAATCTTAGGGTACATCCCCAAAAGCGGCGTGGCTTGCTCGGGTCGGTTCGTCCCAGGCGTGCCGATTCTGAAAGCTGCGCTCGGAAGGAGGGCGCTGCTCGGGCTGGACACGGGACTACTTTTTTTTATTTTTTTTGATTAGCACGATCTGCATATAGATTGCGACGTATCATTGCGACATCAGTCACTCAGTATCGGGCGCTGCACGGGACTACTCGCGTTTTCACGTCGCTTCCCTCCTGTGAGTTGGCTGTTGTATCTGGGCGAAGAGGACGACGTCGTGGCAGACGGTGCCATATCAACTGTAAAAGTGTCTGGGTCTGGAAGAATGCAACTTGTGATGCTGCATTTGGATTCCAAAAAAATCTGTATTGCATGAGTACCAAAGGGAAGGCAATTTTTGCTCCGCTGAGAAGGCATTTGTCATGCGGAATAGGCATCGGAAAGCCCTCAGAAAATCTGTACTGCTAGGGTATGCATCACAGACATCATGGCTCATGCAAAACGTGCATGACAAGTGTCAGAATCTTCCAGACCCAGACATTTTTGCACTTAGTATGCCATCAATGGGAACAAATTGTTCTGCCCGCCAGCAGGCTGCGTTCGGGTACTGGTTTTGTTTGGACTAGTGACGCCTGTCGAGGTTCCAGTTGTTCCCGTCGGCGTTCTTAAGCTTCTCGGGGCGGTTGCGCTTCCCGCAGAAGTGTTGTTCAAGACCCCCCGATGATCCATCGCGGGCAAAGGCGACGTCGTGTTCGAGATCCGGCGCTGCGCTTGCACTATGGTGGAAGCATGTTGTTGACCGGTCGCTGCAGATGCGGCAGCGACGCTGTGCCTACTGACTGCCACGACAAGATGAGCGGCCTTCGCGCTACTGGACCCGCCTGCTACCTCGTGGCTGTCCGAAGAGGTTCCCGCATCGTGCTCCAAGAACTGCAGTCGCTCCTTGATATCGCTTTCTCTGGAGATCAATGACACCGTGTCGACGTCTTTCACACCTGCAGACGCTAGTCCGGACGCGCTGTCCGGGTTGCTAAGCTGGATCACCCCCGACGAAGGGACTGGAGTACCTGTCCCTGCACCGGCGGAGCCACTTCTCTCGCCTTCCTGATTCTTCATATTTCCTGCAGAAAGGCGCCCGTGCAATCGGTCCAGTCCTTGATCCCGTGGTGCAGCCTCCTCTAGCATCAGAGCCGGGCTCCCGTCGTTATCGGGCTCGAAAATCTGGTCTTCTTCGAAACGACCCGCCGTCGAAAACATCCCATCGGACACGCCGGAAAATCGCACTTGACTACGCTTACGAATCGTAGAGGCCGCGTGGCGGACCGCGAAACGAAACACACGCATCGACGTCATAAAAACCGACGCGCGTACTTTTGGAGTGCGCTGCCGGTCCCCGGGAACGGAAAAGAACCAGGCTAGAGGCAACCAAACCAGCTGGCGAGCCAACCACCACCAGTGCGCGAAGGTCAGCATGCACAGCCCCATAACAGGCACCCAGTGGCGGAGCTGCGGCAGAATGTGGAAAAACTCGAATTGGTACCACACCTCTAACAATGTGAGCAAAGCCCCGTGTATCCGTGTACTCTGGTACTTCAGCGGCGAAACCGCGTGCTGCAGGGAAAGTGGGATCGCGGCCGTTAAGAGCAATGGCGAAACCATCTTTGCGAGAATCGCAGTATAGATGATGGAGGCCCCAGTGTGGTGAATGAAGTGGCCAACTCCGTCGAAGAAACGCGCGTAAACGTCGACCCAATGCTCCTTTCCGCGTAGCAGCCACGGAGCCAACAATAACGTCGTCACTTCCGGAAACCCGAACTTGTACAGAGCCGCAAACCACAGAGGCAATCCTAACCAGGATGCCGATGCCATGCACGCCAGACAAATTGGCACCATTGCCACTTGACCGAAGCGCCAGTAAACTTCCTTGTTTGTCGTGCGAATTAGTATGGATCCGAGATTCCGCTCGAGATAAAGTCCAGCAAAGACGGAGAAGGCCGCAGCGAAAAGTGCAAACCCATATCCGGAATGAAAACGTAGCCACCCCAGCTTTGTGCTGCGTTTTTGCATGCCCGGCAAATCTCTCATGCAGCTTCTTGTGGGAGACATTTTCGCGCATAGATGAAGGTTTAGTGCTTGATAATTTGGGATGCTTAAACCGACCGAAACCACAAACTCAATTTGCAGATTCCCCTTCCTTGATAATTTGTGATGCTCTGATCGTCCAAGCAGGATGAGAGAGTGCTTTTGTGATGCGGACTTCAACATATGACCAATGAAACCCAAAATGCGGACTTCATAGCTAAGCACGATTATGCTTTGTGTTCAACTTTCGATTTTGTCGTGCCGAGTTCCCTAAACTCGTGAAGTCGCAGTTTACCTATGGGGAGGTGCGTACGTTTTTACACCTCATAACCCAAGGGCGATGTTCTTCTCCGTGTCGTACGCAAGCCCCCCCGTCAGTACCGGTGGAACGACCACAATCTTCGCCACACCTAGCAGCCACGGGTATTCCGTCATACGCACGCTCCAGGCGAAAGCGGAAATTTCCTCTGCCAGTTCTTCGCTATGCTTGTCGCTAAAGAGCAGATCTTTACTGCTGGCGTCCGACACCGTGTGCATTCGCAGGTGTCGCGAGAGCTCGCGGGGAATCATGGTGAAAGAGCCTAGCCACTGCTCCTTCCGGTAGGAGATTTCCCGCTCTGCGTTCAGAAGCAGGATGTGTGGGTGCTTCGGGTGCAGGTCAGCGAACCAGTCGCCAACCTGTATCAATTTAGTGCACTCAAAGTCAAAAAATCAACGTCCGGAATGACAGAGCGTTCCCAATGAATAATTTCGTTTTCGATTCGCAGTGAGCAATAGAATTATTCTCGTACTTCGTGATATGGTTACCAGAAATAGATGAGATTTCTTTCCTTTATGTGTTCACGTGGAGCTAAAAAATGAAAACGAGCGTGGTACTGCATGCATCCGCCCGTCTTTAACTTCGAAGTTATCACGGAAATAACACGTCAGTGATCTCGCGCCAGTGTTTCTCCAAAACTTGACATACTCTGCTCGCATCATCGTGCCATCGTCAAACGTCCCGTCGTCGAAGTCATCCTCCATCTGTGACTTGAGTGCCGCGAAGTCTTTCATGCCGATAGCACTTTCCCCAATGATGGGCGAGAGCAGTGAATAAAACGGAAATTGACGAGGGTCCGCTGTATTCATCGCCGGGCGGAGCATCAACTCTGGATGCGGGGTAAGAGAAATCAGGCCCACGAGGTGTTTCTCGTCAAACACGTTGAGTTTGTGTGCTGCTGCCCAGGCAAGCCCGGAGCCTACAGGAGTTGAATCCCCAATCAAAAAGATGCGGTCCCACGAGCTAGCACTACCAGAGCGAAGCTTGATGTCGACGATGAGATCCCGTAGAATGTCACTGGATTTCCCTAGGAAGGAACAATCCGAAGCAGGTGCGTCAAATAGCCGCGAAGCGCCTTTTCCCCACCCTGGCACATTAAGCAGAGCGGACGTCGAGCCAGGGCGTCTCTCGTGCAAGTGCTTGAGCACTCTTGCCCAGGACTGAGGCGCGTGTGGGAACCCATTCAAAAACAGAAACAGTGATCCGTCCGTGTCTTCTCCATTTGTGTTGAATTTGGTCCACGGTCGTCCAGTTGGCAGATTGTCCTGCACCGCTTTTCCGTGGACGAACGTTTCGATGAGAAACGCATTGGTTTTATTTGCAGATGTAGACTCAACGCGAATCAACTGGCGCAGCAACGCAACACCGTGATGCACAAAGTTCGGGTTTCCCGGGCTGCATTGGTAAGGCCCAGCTGAAAATGGCGAAGCAGGCAAATACTTGTCAACATTCTTGAAAAGCCAGCGGATCGCAGTATTGCGGCCAAGGCACTTTCGCTGTGCACGACGAAACCGATCCGAGTCGCGTTGCACACGTGGCGGCATCAGTTGCACATCAACCGGCTGACTTACGGCTGTCGCCGCGCCTCCCGTTACTTCTAGGCTCGGCAAGACTCCCGTGTTCTCCTCGAGCATTCCCCAAAAAGATATCTTCCCCAGATTGTCGCGGTTGAAATCGAACTCGTCCGGATTGGGGAAAAGGTCGTCCCGCAAATGATGCGACTGATATACAAGTGCACAACTCCCCCTCCCCCTCAAAATGGCCAACTTTGGCCATTTTTTTGGTTACCAAATAACGCGTTTCTACGTTGCCAAATGCTGCGCTTTTATGTTATCAAACCGGACGCGTTTCGGTTGAGGAAATCATCTGCGTCGAGTGCGTTTTGTGTGACAAAAGGGTCGCGGGACTGGAATAACCATCCGCCACAGGCGCCAAAAAGGGCGCCCCCTCTCATGCGGGGGAGTGGCCCTCTGGCACGGTGTTTCGCCTTCAAAACGTGGCTGATTTTGGCCAACTAAAGAGAGGGCAGAAGCTGAACAGCTGGACCACTCGGGGCGCCTTCCGGCATCTGGGCCCGTGCCCTAGCATGGGGACTTGGGGCTGGCATAGCCTCCGGCCCAGCCGCCAAAAAAGGCCCTCGCAACATATTGGAAGTGACTCCCCGCGATATGGGCTCACTCCCCCTCATGAAAAGAAGCGCTCCCCCTCATGAGGGGGAGTGGGCCCATAGCATGTGGATTAGCCCCCAAAACGTAAGCAAAAAACTTGCTCCCTTGCAGAATTTCCGGCAAATGTTCGCCACATGGCGACGTTTTGCGTCGTCAAATAAGCGACAAATCAGCGAGCTCAGAAACTGGCTGAAAAGTGGGCTGGTGTTGAAAGCTAATCCCCATGCTATGGGCCCAGGCCCACTCCCCCTCATGAGGGGGAGAGGGCCTATAGCATGGAGATTAGCCTTCAAAGCACGATCATTTTTTTGCTTTTTTGCGGCACGCACATTTCGAGCCCAAAAAGTTGCTTTTTTGGCGGACAAAAAGTGGCTGGCGATTTTGATTTTGAGGGGGAGGGGGAGTTATGCTGCACTTTTATAATTTACTGCTGTAACGCACTACGCGTGTCTGCGCGGGATTTCGAGGATCAGCTTCAATCTTGGTATTTTGGAAGTCGCTCGTATGAATACGAATATGCTCGAGCAGAATCCTTGCTTTTTTGCTGCCACGAAAATGCTCCGGATGAGTCCCATAGGGAACCTCTAACCAGTGTTGACCAAGTTCGCACCAATTTTCTCGTAGCTGCTCGATCAAGCCTCTCGCAAGCCTAGCAAGAACGAATGATCCCGAAAAAAAACTGTGGAGGGTTTCGTACAGAAAGGCCTGCTCCCTGATAGTCGTTATTTCCGCGTTCCACGACGGCGAAAAGTGCGAGATCGGCAGCGCCTTCGGCAGGTCCGCTTTTAGGTCATCGACGATTGCCAAGACCGAATCAAATAGTTCGACTTTTCGAGTGCGCTTGAAGGTTTCCATGGCGGCTGCCAACTTCGAAAAAAGACCTGTCCCCAAAAGGTATCCGTGCGACCGGTGCCAATGCCCAGGCACTGCTATACCCGTCACTATCTTGGACAAATCGCGCAAATTCTCTTCGTCACTCTTCGTCATAGTTGGCTCGCTGATTGTAGTGGTGATTGCTGCTTTTCCGGCTTCAAACCGCAAATCATCCCACAGGTCGGAGCCGTACAGAGAAGAGCGACGCGAAACCGCTTTCGGATCCACGTCGGCAAACGGTCGGATGTGGCGCTTTTGCAACTCCCGGGTTGCGTTGTATGATCGGCTGTACGTGGGATGAAAACCAGAAAGAAAGTGAGAAAAGAGCGGAAAACGCTCGCTCCAGCCGAATTCCAGTGCTGGGTGTCGCGCTCGTGTTGGTGACCGAGCGATGAGCGTTTCATAGGATTTTTCGAAACCAGTATATCTGATGGCCCCTCGTTCGGGATTGCCGAAGACCCAGAGCTCATTGCTGGCACTCGACGCATATGCATTTCTCCTCATGAGCTGGGCCTTTGTTTCTGCCATGGTCCGGAATCCGAAATACGGCTGCAAGAACAGGTCAAACAATTTCTCATCGCGCCACGCTATTTGCTCTGTTGCCGTGATGCGTTGCGGGCGTTGCATCTTGAAACCGCTACCGCTCCACTCGTTCATTATTTCGCGGGCCAAGATTGCCCAATCCAGCGATCGGCAGCCACGTTCGGAAAGGTACAAGCGCGGGTCAACGCAGCCCCTGTAGCCCCAGCTGTTATCGCTTGTTGATGCGTCACGGCCACGCTCGCCTTCACTGGAGCCAGAGTCCACCGCGAAAAGCAACTGCGGTTGCGGAGTGTAAGGAGTACTCTGAGCAGCTCGGCGCTCCGGGCCGCCGGAATGCAGACAGCGATGAATCAAAGTTCGTGCGTTGACCTGCAGCAGATGCAACAGGTGGGACCCGGTCCCATCGGTCTCGCTAATTCCGAGCGGATCCCCTTCACACTGCTTCATGGCACCGCTCTGGACGTGCTTCGCCAAGAAAGTATTCAACGCCTGGGTGCAGTTTGCAGAACAGCTTGAGCTTCCGACTAAAGACGGGAGGCAAAAAGGAAGAGAATCTAGCGTGGAGGCGATGATGTCCGATTTTGTGTCTGGTTCGCAAGATGAGAGCACCGCAGTTACTGTTACATTTGGCGCGACTACTAGCTGTTGCTGCTGTTCTTGTAGCGAAGAAGTGCTGCAAATCGATGGACTGCATCGATCACCTTCAGGAGAGGACGGTCCTAACGAAGGGCAATACGTCTCCGGTGCGATCTTGACAAAGTGGCTCTGGGTCCACTTGCAAGAGAAGGAATTGCCGCTCAGAACCTTCTTGTACGTGCTCGCGCCATCTCCTCGCGCAGTCTTGCAGGCTGAATCCTCCAGAGGCAAAGCTCCATAATGCGCACGACAAGCGGCCACTGAGGCAAATTGTTGCAAAGCAGAGGCACAGTGTTGCTGAACGACGTCACAAATCGAAGCCTCCGCTGCGGTTCTTGTAGAGGATGAGTTCGCTACTAGTTGCGATATGTGCTGCCCGATGCCGTCTTCGATGCCGATGCTAGACCAGGAACTGGAAACGAACTCAGTGTGCTTCTTGCGGATGACGGAACACGGATAGAAACTGGTTTGTGCTTCACGTTCGAACATCTTTACGTCGGGACGACCATTAGGCGTGCGACGGAACCGCCAATCGTGGTATACGAGATCCTTTCGCCAGATGGTGCTGTCCGTCACGCTAGCACGCAAATCGTTAACACTTGCAACGCCTTGAATCAACATATCATCGCTGGCCAGCAGAACGGCTTGTTCGGCAGGTGTGAAAACAACGGCACCAGAACGAGTAGCAACCTCTGACGAGGACGTGGGTTGCCTGCTGTCACTCAGCGTGCGCGCATTGTTCCAAAGTACTTCAGGTGCGCCGATGGACTGCTTCACTACTGGGTCAGCGTACACGTCCTTGGTAAAGGGGAAGAGGTTCGTCTCCGCTGCGATCCGCAAATTCATGATTGCGTCGTCGTTCAAGAAGAGGCAGTTTTGCACTTCGCGGTCCCGTTTTCCTATTTGCAAAGGTGGACTTTCCAGCAGGTCAAAATCCAGGTGCCCGAGTGGCACAACCAGTTTTTCGGCTCTGTCTGGCTGAGCAGCACTTAAACTAGCTTGTCCAGTTTGTTCCAATGTAAACCGGTAGCTGTGCTCTGGACGCTGCGACTTCAAGCTGGCCGCCAATCCCTGGATGCCGGCAAGGTCCGCGATCTGTGCCGGCTGAAACGGCCTCGGTTTCGGGATCCACTTTGCGCGCTGGAAAAACGTCGCCGAGAACATGCGGCGCACGAGGTGTCTTGGAAGGTATGTGATTTCGTCTAACGCATGCACAACCATGCCAATCCAGAGATGGCTGATCCCGTAACCAAAGCGATCCTCCGGGTTTCCTGCTCCGAAAGTCATGCAGTTCAGTGATTTGCGAAGAATCCGAAAGATGGCTTGCCTCGCCTGTGAATAGCTTTTTTCCGTCGGCTCTTCCGAAGTGATGATGTTTGCATCCGGCCGCTTGGTCCTTGTCAGGAGCTCGGTGAAGTTCCACTTTTCGATCTCGTCCAGTACTTCTACTTCAAGGTAATTGTCAGGACACCGAAGCGCTCCAGCACGCGGATCTTCCGGCCACAAGTACGTGTAATCCACTGGGTACGTCCACATCTTTTGGTACCAGTATTTCGCCACCGCTGATTGCCACATGTTATTGTCGCGCACGCGAGTGTCTCGCACCACCGCACTCTCCAAGTAGCCCGGCACAGGAAACTCGCGGTAGTAGGCAACAGGGGGCACTTCCTTGCGTTGCCCAAGCGGCAGCGGTGGATCGTCGGTGTAAACGGGCGGCGTAGAGTCAAAATGAGCCGCGGCGTGCCAGACGCAAAGCGCTTCAAGCGTGTCGCGCTCTTCGTCATACGTAAAGTGAACGGTTCCGGTAAAGTGATCCATAAATGGTAGGGGAGCTCCGGACAAGTCAGCGCGCCGAACCACCAGCAGCTGACGCAGGCTCACCCACCCACCTTTCCGCGTTACGGAGCCGCCGGCGATGTGGCGCCTCTCAACGTCGTGAAAGCTAATGTCCTTGTGTCGTGCAAAGTGCATACAATAGATGTAATGGGACTGCACTTGCAGTGGCGTGGCAGCGAGGTCTGTCTCGTCCAGCTCTCTGCGCATGGAGGTGATGCTTTCCGAAAATCGATGAACTTTTTCGCCCATCGAACTTGCTGCGACGTTTTGTGGATCGAACTGTGCTTCGCCTTCAGTGTACTCCATAAGACGATCCATCAGTGCCGGATTGTGTATCGTGTGGTAGCGGTTCAGCAGGTTTGAATTAAACGTGACTCGAGATGCTGCTAAAATTTGTTTTTCTCGAACGCGCGGATCTGTGGACTGCTGTCTAAGGACCGGGTCGCGCCACGTCGAATTGGCCGCCTTCTGCGTGTTCCATTTCTCCGATACCGCAGACCCACCACTTGATTCGGTCACCGTTTCCTCGAAGGTCATACCACCCACATTGGTCGCCAGCATATCACTTGGTAGACCTGATGAGGGGATAAAAAAACCATATCCGTATCCAGCTTCCCGCGCATTGGTTCGAGCTCCCCCCAGACCACCGTTCAGGTACCGCAAAAAATGGATGTGCAATGAGGGTTCATCCAGCGGAAAGAAAACTTTCGTCTTATCATCGGAAAGCCGAATGCCTTGTTTTCCCAAAGCAAGGGGAAAACGGAAGTAGAATCTCGGTGCATCTTCGAGCCGATGCCACACCTCGCGTGGAACCCTCGTGCGTGTATGCCCATCGTGCTGATAGTCCACTCCGCCAGCCTCAACTGTCCAACGAGCATTTGCCCCTACCGCAAGCACACCAAACTGGGGTGTAACGCAAGCCACGAAGCAGAGTGACCTCAGTGGATGGACGAATCTGGAAAACTGAAACGCCCCGGTCCCGTGTGGTAGACGAGACCTAAGCGCTTGATCCATCGTTCATAAGCATAACTATTAAGTCCTGATTATTAGTGCCTTTCAATATACCTTTGTTTAGCTCTGCAGCTTTACCCTTGGAACAGAAACCGATAGAAAAGGGCTCTAACAACAGACATCGCTCGCACCTACAACAACAATATTCATTTTTCATCCGTTTGTTTCTCGTATAAAATAGTTCGCGCCACTTCAGTGCAGCAATTTTTTTTGATTTGAGTGCCCCCGTACCTCAGTAGAAGCGTTTCAGCTTTTGCGCCAACTTTCTTCTTGGTGTCTTCCCTCTTCGTGGATTCGCAACAGCTGACTTTGCTCTCGGTGCTTGGAGGTCAGCGTCTACGTGCTAGACGATTCTTTTTTGGGCTATAAACCATGGGACAAGAGTTTCCTCCCTTTACATTTTGGCATCTTTGCAAGGCACATGCTCGAGCTTGCGCAAGCCGTAATCTCATAGAACACTTCCGCTCAGCATCACCGAGTCAGCGGGGCAGTGAAAATGCACCGCGTTTTTGTTAAGCCGTTTAGTAAAATTCATTCGTCACTGCCATTGAAATCAACAGAACAGGTTTCTGGTGGTGATAAAACCATAGACCGCAAATGTAGAATATGCAGACCCATGTACGTGAACATAGGTTTCAGTTCGATTCAAATTCTACATCCTGCGTTTTGGTCGTCTATTGTCGTCATTGTTATCAAGCCGTACTCGGCTCAGGAGACATGATACAACAAAGTTAACATTTACAACAAGTGAAAACTCCGATCTCCAAAGCAAGGTCCCCGCCTAAAGCTCTGGCTATGGTGTGAATCACCTCCGCACGCATCAGCTCCCCACCGCCCCACCCTGGGGAGGTACTACCCCAGTGGTAGGCAGGTGGAGAAGTCAAACCTCACCTCTCCACCACCGCACATCCCCGTCGTCCAGCACTTCCCCACTGCGCTGCACTTCACCACGTCGCACTCCTGGTCGACGAAGGTCTTGATGAGTGTCGACCACAACGCGACTGCGCCTGGAGGATTGCAGCCTTGCTGCTGTGCGATCTACTTCGGAGTCATGCAGATGCAGGTATCTGCTGCAACGTGCTTGAGTCTTCAGGCTGCGTGACTGATCCGTTATCTTATAGTCGACGGGGCACGCAATACCGCAAGGAGATACGGCACGGAAACACGACGGGGGCATAACAGCAATATGGATGGCAAAGAGCGCAAAGGATAAGGGCCAGGAAGAAGCTAAGGCCCACGGGGTGGCGGGAAGGGACGGAGCTCGGACGGGAGACGCATCGCGAAGAGAAGGGAATCTTCGAGGCCAGCCGGCGCGGGGGATGTGGGGTAGTGATCCGGGTCGGGTGGTGGTGCTTGGGGAATTGATTCAAAGGGGTCGTGGGGAAGGGATTCACACTCATACCTAAAGCTCTTCCTTCTTCTTCTTCGCCCCCGCACTCCCTGTCGCCGCAGCGGCAGCTCCCTATCAAGTGTAAAAGTGTCTGGGTCTGGAAGAGTGCGCGACTTCTTGTCATGCAGCTTTTCCATGACCCATGAGGTCTGGAATGCAGGACCTAGCATGACAGATTCTGTGCGATCTCTCTTATGCCTATGCTGCATGAGAAACTCCCTCCCGACTTGGTCAAAACTGGACGACTTTTGGTAATCATGCAACACAGATTTTTGCATGCTTCAGATTTAGCATGACGAGTTGCATTCTTCCAGACCCAGACATTTTTACATTTGATACTCCCCCTTCCGCTACAAACTGCAGCTTTTCCAGTGTGAACCCGGTGAGCTGATCCACGTCGTACTTCTGGTCGAAGACAAACGTTTTTTTCGAAACGTGGTTATAAACCGAAAACTTCGGCAGGTCCTTGCTCTCCAGCCCCTCGCACTTCGCGTCTTTCTCCTTCTCGCAGTCGCAGCACACCGCACCGAATTTTGCGAGCGCGTCTTTGCCTGATTTTTTGAAGATGATAGATTTTTTAATTAGACGAGTCGACTGTCAACATTCTGGAGCTCCTTCAATTTTCATAGTACCGGCTTCTTTTTCTAGTGAAGCGAGTCGTGCAGGCAAATCTTCTGTTGCTCTCAGGCAAGATGCAGGCCGCATGCTGCCTGTCCTCCGAACAAGATGCTTGCCGTACACTACCACCTACCTGGGAGTAGAAAAAGAATAACAACAAGTGTAGTTGTACTTTTCCCCGCCTTTCTTTTTCCGTCGTCGGCCTTGACTGAATACTTCTCCTTGATCTCGGATAACCGCTCCGATTGCTTCTTGTTGCTCTTCAAAGACTTGTTTTTATCCGCGGGCTCATTGCCAAACTCCAACGCAAGCCGATTGAATTCCTGAAGAGTGAAATTCACAAGTCCAACGATTTACAACTTGTTATGTACTTGAGCATCCTGGAACAGGCACCGCTTCTACTATTATACTTGCGCCTACTACAACTTCGAGTTGAGTTAGTTTTGCATTTCACATTCACATTCACTGTTCGACTTCTACAAAAAATCTTCCAAAACTTTTCGAATAATACGTCGCTTTTCTCGAGTTTTTCCTTTTCGTACAGGACAGTGACCCAGGAGAACTTTGATTTTTCGTCCGGGAAGTGTTTTGCGCACAGGGGCAAGACGGAATCCTTCAGCGTGGACTTGAAGATGCCCTTCGCGCACTTCGCACTCCCGCCCTTGCTGCCTCGTTTTGCTTTCAAATCCAGGATGTACTGCTTGAACGCCGGCTTTTCCCGGGCGCCATTGTACGCCTTCGTCTTTCCTGCCACTATTGCCTTGATCGTCGGAAAGCCCTGCACGCCGTACTTGCCGCACAGAGGTTTGTTGCCCTCGTTGTCGCAGTATCAAGTACAAACATGTCGACGGGGTCTCAAAACGGGTGCTTTGTCTTGCTGATTCTTGCGTGCAACTAGAAAAATGGCGGTCTCTTCGATAGTTCTGCGACGTGAGAGGGACAGCTGCATACCAAGACTATTAATGTCGTTCTACATCATCTGTATCTAGTACTTTCAAGAGTCTGACAACCTGGCCTGCAGTGCGCCACGAAAAAGGAAAGACTCGCCACTCCTATCCTACGCATACATGCATTACGGCATATCTTGTTGACTTACAAAACGAGCATCACATTATCCCGACCCAGAAACACTTGCAGTGCATATGCAGTCAACGGCGCCGATTCCGATTTCCTTGTCGTCTTTCAACTCCTTGCCCAAATCCATCCAGGGCTGTATCACGCAGAAAATTGCTAGCATAGCACATCAATAAAGGTCGTAATGCAACAATAATGTAAAAAAATAGCAAATCGAAGAGACATTTTCTTCTGTGATGCATATAATATTTCTGCATCTGCATTACGTGGTGAGGGGCTAGCTTTTTTCTCAAGGATAGCCTGTTTCATGCTGTTGCAGTGCCCGCACCAGGGGGCGTAAAACTTGATGAACCATATTTTCTCAGAAGCCTTGTCCGGAAAGTGCGACTCGCACAGATTCGCCACGTTGGTTTTCCCGCCAAAGTGCCCGGGACATTTCTTCTTGGCTGAGACCGGGGAGAGGTGAGAAGTGGAGACGAGCAGAATGGGGAGAAGAGAACGAAACATGGTTTTTTTGCTCCGCCTTTCTTCCGATGTATAAAAAATAGGAATGTATGAGCTTTCCGCCGATATTAAGGCTGCTTTCGCTGTCAAGACGCGCGAGCTAACTGTTCCAGCACAAATGGAATGATCAATGTGTGTTGTAAACGTGCCAAAAAGTCCGTAACAGTATGGTCCCTAGTGCAGCGTGGTAGCCTGCGCGTGTGCGTGTGGTGGTCAAAAAATAAAAGTGTCGACTGTATTAAATTCTGTAGTCGTGAAGGAGATACTAAAGGATGATTTTCCGGCACAGAAACGCTAAAAAAAGCGATCCAGCTTTCGCAAAAACGGAGTCATGTCAAGGATAAAAAATCTACTTAGAGAACCATGCATTCACTTTCTCCAATGCAATGATTTGCTGTCTACTGGAATGGTGGTGGTACTGGAGAATTTGAATTATTTTCATCTGGAGCGGCAATTCAAACAAATTTGAGACCCGAGGAAGAATACTTTCTCATTGTAACAAATCAAGACAGGTGTGGAACCTTTTCTGCTGCTATTTGCTTCAAACCGTCAACAGACGGTTTGAAGCAAAATGTGGGTCGTCATGCTGCGAACACACTGTACTGATAACATTAGATACCATCTCTGTGCTCCACCGCAACATCGCGAACAAGGAAGGGTACTTACTATTGAATGAAGCTCATCTCCCCGAAGATCAAGAGGCTTCCGACTCTACACAGTATTTTATCAGACTTTCCATGAAGCCGCGCATACCCACGTCCTCGGTCAACACCGTCGCTTGCTCTGGTACGATGCCGCCCATCCCCGCGCCGCCCGCCCCGGAGGCGGACGAAGGGTTTACGCGGTTCACCAGAAACCGGGCCTGACTCCCGTTCGCGTAGGTTTGGACAAACTTCGGGACCAGGGGGCGCTGCTTCAGCAGCAGGAGCGCGTCCCGTATCCTGAGTAAAAACGTACCCACGCCAGAGTTGTAAATGCAGATATGCAAAGACAGGAAGACTTGTAATGCGCATCCCCATGAGAGCCATTTCCAGTCGTGTTTTGGAATTTGTGATGCTGTGAACAGGATGAGCAGATAAATCTGTGATGCGGCTGCACTTGCTAACCTGCACTACACTGCATAGCGCAACTTGTCATGCGTGACTCACAAAACTCCTAGGTTTGTGTTGCAAAATCCCCATCCTGACTCTGGTGTGGGTACGTTTTTACTTAGGATATCCCGGGCTGGCTGTTCTAGTAAGTCTTTGAAGTTCTGGTACTCCGGCAGCATCTCGTGGTACTTCGCCTCGAACCACTGCTGAATCGTTTCGCCCCGCCACAGGACGACATGGAAAAAGGTGTCGAGGAGCAGGATCACCTTTTTGTCGAGACTGGTCGAGTCGAGCAGCACACTGCGGCCGTACAGACAATCGAAGCCGTAGGAAACCAGCGTGGGCTGGATCATCAGCAGGCTGTTCTGGCAGGTTTGCTGGCGGAGCTGCGCCCGGTAGAAGGCGGTTTCGTCGGGGGAACAGTTGAAGAAATTCAGAAACGCGGACCGGCGGAGGTTGTAGACAAACTGCGGGAAGCTGGTGAACTCCTCGGGCAGCTGGAAGGATTCAAACTCGTGTTTGTTGTACTGCGCGAACCGCGACATCAAGCGGATCAGGATCCGGTCGATCTTTCGCAGAATTTCATCCGTTTCCCCGTAAAACGCGGTTTGGTCCAAGAGCGACACCGCGTACCTGGCCAGCACCACCGTGGCCGCCTCGTCGTCGAAGCCGGTGGCGATGTCCGACAGGCTGGGGTCCGCAAACCCCCGCGCGAGAGTCGTGACGCGCACGCGCTTCTGCTGCTGCAGGTCGGTGTAAAAGGTGCGGAATTGGAGGTAGCCGACTTGAAAATTTGTCCCGGCTCCTCCTTGGTGCGGGACCTCTATCTGCTCCGATGCTTCGTTCAGTGTCTTGTCGAGAAAAAAGCAAAAGCTGCTGTCCTCGTCCAGCACGGCCGCCGCCCACTCGTTCGTCTGCGCCTCCCCAATCTCCTCCATCTCCGAGACGCACGCGTGCCTCTTTTGCAGCGACTTGCAGCCACCGACGACCCCCGCGAGCTTGACCTGCTTGGAGGCGGTGCAGGTGATCCGCGCGTTGCGGCCGGAATTCCGATGAACTTCCGCGTTCGAGGCCGGGTCCAGGTTAATGAACATCCGCAGGAAACTGTCACGGAAGACGTGCATGGAGAACGCGTCGCTCATCACCAGCATCCCCCCCGTGGTTTCGCACAAAGACCGCATCTCCAAAATCCCCACCTGGTCCAGGGAGCACGCGAAAAGGTCGAGGGCGATGCCGTCGCGGGCGCACCGCGGGGCCAGCTCCTCGGCGTAGAACCGGGTCGCGGCCTTGCAGGGCTGGGCGTTGGTGTTGTTCTTCTGGATGTCGTGCCAGGAGCGCAGACACTCCGCTTTGTTTTTCACCACCACCTGCCCGGGGCCCACCGTGCAGGGGCCGGAGGTGAGCAGCACGATCCGCGTGCCACAGACCAGCGCGGACAAATTCTCGGCCAGCGAAACCGCGACGGAAATGGCGGCGCCGGTACAACGGTTCACGCGCGCGGACGGCCCGTCGCGGGGAAAGCGGTCCGGGGTCAAATCGTCCAGAATCGACCGGAAAATGAAGTCGCACTCCTGCGCCGGCGCCACGAATCGGCTGTCGGGAGTGGAATAAGTTGTCGTCGTTGGGCCCCCGCCCACCCCGGCGCTCGAAGAAGATGCAAAGCGATCATTTTGCCCGCTGCTGTTGTGACCACCGTACCCGCCCGAGGTGCTGCCGTAGTAGTCGCGCCGCAGGAACAGCTGCCGACTGACCTGCGCCGCGGTGTAGGGCTTCGCCCCGCTGAAGGCGTAGCTTTTCGGCAGGTCCTCGAAACGGAGTTCGAACACCTGGACGAGGTGCCCGAACGTGATAAAGCCGACGAGCGCGGTCGGCGGCAGCAACGTGAACACCTCCTGCAGCGCGTCCTTCGCCTTTTCGAACTCCAGCTCGTCCTCCGCATTGTTCAACGCGCGGTCCAGGACAAAGAGAAACAACGGCGGATTGGACCTCTGGTTCGGGAGAATGTACTCGATGGTGGAGAGTTGGCACTCCAGGGGGAGACTTTGCTCTGACAACCGCTCGGCGTAGAAACCCGGGAACGCGTTCTCGCTGTCGCAGAAGCAGCAGCGCCAGGTTTTCCGCCGGTAGTCCAGAACGGCGTACGGATTGATCACAGCTCCGCACTTCCGACAGTTCAGCGGGTCGTAATTCACAACCCGCAGCTGGTCCGTTTTCTTCAGCGGCGTGTACAGACACGCGAGCGGCATGACAATGCGCGTGGCGTCGATGCGACTCGACGGCCAAATGTTCCAGGAAAACCGCACACCATCCTGCTTTTCCGCGGCAAGAAAGCGGGCACGATGCTGGTCCGTCATCGATTGCCCGTCGGGTAAGAAGACCTAGCAGGAAGCTGGCTTTGCTGCTCCTCACTAGAACTGAATCAGGAAGAGGAGGACAACTACTGCATCACTTGTTCAGTTGTACAACAAGACACCACGCAGCTGGTCATAGTGTTCATTTGACTGCAACGGCAAAACACTGGACGGCGTGTTGAGCGTCGCAATTTCCAATGTGGGCCTCGCCGCAGCAGGAAGCAGGAACCTCGCTGGAGCAGGAACCTTGCGGTCGCTCTTACTCGGGAAGCATGCTGCCGTGCCTACGTCTGCGAGTGCGGTGTCACCGAGCATGCAAGAGACTACGAAGCAATGCGCCGCATCGTCTACGTTGCCACGTGATGCTTATTTCTCAGAGGGACAGTTCGTTGTAGAAACGCAGTACCATAATGCCACAGAGTACTCGACTTCCGTGGTTGTTTCATTTCCACAAAAAGAAAAAGTTGTAAAGCCGATATACAGACAAGCTGCAACAGCAACATAGCATAGCATAGCATACGCTCGCGATTCAGTGCACTTCTGATGGTGCACGAGAGAAAAGCAAGGCACGTCAACGCACTTCTGATGGTGCGCGCAGACGCTTCGCCACAGCGACCCAGTGGTCAATGGCTTATGTTCTTAATTCTTATACTCCTAACGGTGATTGCAGCACCAGGAGCCCAGGCCAGACGGAAGGTACTGAAACCCGGTAACGAACCTTCTCTCACTCCGGGGAGGTGCGAGTCACCTCGTGACAGCCACAAGCGGCGCCACCTAGAACTGGGGACTATTTATTAGACGGACTACCGCCGAGAGGCAAGGAAACTCGTTTAGAAGCCAAGCACGAAATGTTTTGTACCGCCTGGATTAGAAGACCAGACCCTAGGGGACTTAATGGAAGGCGTGCTGAAATTGACTTCCGGAGACGAATCTTCGAGCCTGTTGATCGCATAAGCTAAATTTTTTAGGACTATTTTTTTCTTCCTTCCGGGTAGAGCAGTCACTTCATCGAAGATCTTCATTGCCGCGCGGCTTCGCCGGAGTACCGCATTTGTGATGCATTTCCATCAACATTCAGATCACGCTGCAAGGATAAAGAGCACAGAGAACTTCCCTACTGGAAGCACAAACTAAGTAGCAGCAGCTTCGGGCTAAAATTAGTAGGGCAAGGGCCCGCCTGTGTCTGCGGAGATGGAAATCGGCACAAAATTGGTGACTGCTGCGCTGGGGTCCGAAAAACCGATGGCACTGCAAAGAGGGACGCGAGGAAGGTGTCGTAGCGTACGTGTCCACCGTACCGTCGGGAATAGGGTTGCGGTGTGCGGGCAGTTGAGTCGGTAGTTGAGCTGGTCGGGCGGGGAGTGGAGTTGCAGGTGAGATTTCGGCCGCTGTCTCCGAAATCGCCGTAACATGAGGCATGTTGAAGAGCAGCTGTTGCATGTCGATGGTATGGTGGTGAGAAGGGGGAGAGGGTGCAAGCAGTCGTACATCAGCTGAAGATCGCGTAGGAGTTCATTTGGGAAACAAATGAAAAAAACCCGAGGCAACTACCTGGCTTGTATGTAGGAACGTAGAAGTAAAAACAACACCAATTACTAGTGTCCCTACGGCCCTCACAAACACGTCTGCGTCCTCGCGCAAAGCATTTCTCCCATTTCCACAAACGTATGAACGAAGTGCGGGAGGTCAATCGTAACTTCTTACCTGCTCAAAAAAACTTTGCATTTGGACGGACGAAACATTTTTTCTAAAAAAGCTAAATTATTCAAAAAGGTTGTTGCCGAGGAGGACACAGCCCAGACGTTGGGCTGCAAAGCAGAAAAAACCGCCACGCACCACTGTCACCAAGACCATGTTCCAAACCCGGAGGGATGCACCATCTCCGCTTCGTCTCATGTAGCATAATATAACTGCGACTCTTTCGTGATTGCACGGTTTATTTCCGAAAATCAATGCGCCATCGATGAGAAACCCCTGATGTCAAAACGAAACACTGCCCCAAACCAGGGTTTCTTGGTTTCCTCTCTGCGACGATGGTTCGCAGGTGCTGCAGCTCCAAACAACCGTACCAGGCGAGCGTCCTTTCCCGTTGCTTCCTTCACGATTCCGGACTGCAGTGCAGCATTCTACTCAAGTGCAGCAGGACGCTTTCCTCCACGGTGGCCAGACTGCACTCCGTCTGCAGTTCCCGCTCGACCTGGTCTGGGAAGGCCGCAGCGCGGCGCAGCTGCTCCAACAAAGGAAGCATTACCGGAACCTGGTAGGCACGTACGTTGCAGAGAACCGCGCGCACGCAGGGCGACTGCTCCTGGTCGTCGCCGGACTTTATTTCCTTATTTTCACCCGCATGCACGACGTGGCCCGCTTCGTCGTGCAAAAATACAGCTACATCGGACGCTCCCGCTGATCCGGCTTTGCAGCAACTACGGGACGATATATCGTCTTTTTCTGCTGCCATTCCTGTCGCCTTTCCGGCAGGAGCACAGCCAATATCTTGCTCGAAGTAGAGGCCGAAGCCTAATTCATCGACGGGACCCGCACCAGAACAAGGTGGACCAGAGGTAGAACTACTAGCAGTAGGTCTTCCGACCTCGTCGCCCCCCAGCATGTGATGTGCTATCTGCCCCAGCGGCCCCGCCAGCTGATCCAGCAAAGGCGCTACGGCATAAGGTGCAGTGGTATCACCCCCGCCCCCTCGAGAAGATGCGGTCTGGTTTGCTTTCCCTGGTGCTTTTTGTGTTTCGGAGAAGAAGTACACCAGAAACTTCTTCACCTTTCGTCCCTGTCGCCCCTTGTGTTGCCCGGGGCCGTGGTTTTTGCGCAGCAGGCGCGGAAACGTCTTCCACACTTTGTTGTCTGTGCTTCCTCTGAGGCAGCGCGCCTGAGACGTAGATGGGGGTCTTGAAGCAGGTGGTCCGGAATCATCACCGTCCTCCTCCAGCGCAAGGATTCGCGACACCTTGTCGGAAAGGAGTAACACCTTGAGAAACGTGGCGATCGCAGATGTTGAAGAGGACAGACTTTCTACAGGCGTTTCGCCCAATGATGTTTCCTCCGCTTTACTCGCGCCAGAATTATGATCTGTGGGGACCAGTACTGCTGCCCGTCCTGCTGCGCCGCTTGGTTGTTGTGCCCTCCCAGACCCACTGTAAATCGGTAGAACCTCGTTGAACGGGCGGTAAAGCGCAGACAGGAACCGAGCTTGCTCAATCGGGCAGCAGGTGGCGCGCACCAACTTTGCCGGCGGTGGCGCGAGACAGGAACGCAAATCTGTGACTCTGGTTTCCCGGGCTCGGGCTTTGCGCGCGTCGGATTTTCGCGCTTCCTGTGCTAGCAGGCCGTGGGTCCCTGCTTGTTGCAGCATCCACTCGTAACACGGAACCGCCGGGGTCCTCGTGGTACTAGCTGCGACAACATTGCCAGCTTGTGAGGTGAAACCGCTTCTGCTTTCGCTCCCGCCAGGTTGTTGTGCCGAACTACTTGCAGCAGTAGACGCGCCTGAGGAAGAACTGGAGCTGCTAGTTCGCTGAAGGTTTGTTCCTTCCGACAAATTCCCATCAACAGCACACCCGCCACGGAAAATGCCCGCACAACTCTCAGCCTCTTCAATTTTACCCGCGCGCGGCGCACTGAAAGCAGCTGATCTTGGGTTGATCCCGACAGGCTCCAGCAAATCGAATAAGAGCGCGCAGAGGGGGTACTTCTGCTGCTCCATTTTCCGGCAAGAAGCGCCAGCACCAGCAGCATCGTCATGAGGAGCTACGACTCGATCATCATTCTCTCCAGGCTCGAGGATCCGATCCCGCAGCAGCCTGGCGCACGGATCCATTGACTTTGGTGGTCTCGTTGCACGCAACTCTTGTATGGGGCTGCTCTCCGCGTGGTCTGGTCTGGTGAAGAAAGCAGTTCCCACAGACGCGTCCCCGGCCGACGTCCCGCGACGCTCTACCGCGCCTTGCAGTCTATTGCCTGGCTCCCGACCCGACGGCGATGACGCTTTTTGCATTGCGAACGCCGCCTCGCCTTTCATCGTCCCGCTGAGTTTTTCCTTGGCATGCCGAACGGATGGTGCAACAATGGACTCCTTCCGCGAGTCAGGCCTAAACTGGAACGGCTGGAATTGGGCGGAAGGTTGCAGTGGTAGCCTTCGGCCGGTAGACGTACTGTGTGCTTGTTCTGCAGAAATTACCGCCTCGAAAAACGAACTTTGGTCGCTCGCGGGCACCGTAATTCGTCTCCCATTCTTCGACATGCCAGCACTTGTGTCGACTTCACGTGACGGCGTCGCTGCGGCCGCAGATCCAAATACTGGGCTGCCCTCTGTCGTGTCAGGCTGTGCAGTCGGCTCGGGCAGCAGCGTCGCCAGGCCGAAGCTGTAGCGATCGTCGTGGGTGGGAGACAGTTTTGCATGATCCGTCGATAAAGGCGAGGCAGTTTGCGTCGCGGGGGAACAATATGCTGTACTGGCGTAGGTAGAAGCCTGTTCCTCCAGCTGGTCGGGATCAACATCCCAGTCGTCGTCTAGAGGAGCTGGAACGTGGAAATAAGCGCTACCTTCTTTATAATTCCGTGGACGTGACCCGGAAACACCAACTTTCGCACGATCCACCGCAACTTCCACGGGTGGTAACCTTACTTCCGATGCGAAATCATCCCCGATTAGGTCTTGAGTCGTGCCGCCGAAGTAGCCATCCTGCGGCCCCTCGCTTGCTCCTGCATCTTCGCGGGGTCTTGCTGCTGCTAGCTGCACAGAGCCAGCGTCGGCGCGTTGCAGAAACACCGCTGAAGAGTTGCTATCATCCCCACGAGCGTGCGGCGGCGGCTGCAGCGTGCCTCCCAAAAAACCAGCCTGCTTGCCGCTTTCCCCCACCCGCTCGTCAAACGCCGCTGGAGGCAGCGGTCCGGCACCAAAGCACCCATGGGATAGCCGGCACGTTTGCCTCGTCCTCTGCAACTCCGGTAGAGAGAGGAACGGCTTCGCTGCGATCGTCGCACCCACCTTAATGCAGAGGCACTCATCCTGGAAAAAGAACACAGCAATCAGCAGAAGAGCACTCACAAACATGGCACGCAGGACAGCGGTGGACAAGCTACCAAGAAGTCCTCGTGCTACAGAAAACTAAGCAGGGGTAGAAATAAAACAACACTACTCAAACATGCATTGACTCTGGTGTCGCACCGGTTACGATCTCTGTTGAGCGCCTACAGTCTTTCAGGAGTCTTTTAATAAAAGTCGACGCCGGCGAAAAAAAAAGGCCACAAGAAGCGGATCACACAGCTCGTGATTGTGGTATTGTCGTCACCGCGCCAACAAGAATAACATTGATCTGCGTGCTCTGATCCGAGACAAACTCCTTTTCCTTTGCAGAGATCGCGTTTAAAAATGGAGCACCTTGCTCCACCGTCTCCTGGTCGTCTCATTTCCGCATACACCTGAGGAAGTCGTTCCCCGCGCCCGTTGGTGCTTTTCATCGACTCGAGCCCTTCACTTTCTTCAAACGAAGATTTTTTTCAGCCTTCTCGAACTCTTACCAGAACGAAAAGAAAAAATAAGTCAGCGGGTGGTTAGTTATTGATTTGAGCTGCTTCACCCAGCGAAAAAAATCGCACACAGCATATGCGTGTTTGTCCGAAGGATTACAAATCGCACCGACGCTCGCACGAGCGATGGCGGTAGAATACGATCATTCTGGCAGTGTTCATTCAAATTGATTTTATTTGGGAGAAATCGTCTCCGACGGCTCGTATGGTTGTATAACAGGGTCGCAGTTGCAGCATCGGAATTCAGTCAAGTGTGAAAAAATAAAAAACACGACCTGACTGCCGATACAAAAAAATTACAGTGCGTCGAAGGGCACGTCTGATGTATGAGAAAAGCAAGGCACCTTTAGCGATGGAGTCATCCACAGGTCTAATCACTGCTTGCACAACGATCCGTCTTTCTAGTATGAATTTTTCATCTTCTTGAGGTTCTGAAAAAAATTAAAAATTTAGTTTCTGGCGAAAGATTAGCTTTACCTCTGCTGCTTCGGCAGGGTCTGTCTCTGCCGTAATCTCCATATCGCAAGCATCAGCTCCTTATCGGATGAGGTTCACGCAGCGAGCTGCTGGTTTCAAATTCTATCAGTTTTTGCAAGTGATATTTTAACTTGTTTTGCTGTCCAGTTGAGAAGAGCTGGTGGAGGATTTGGATAAAAATTTACAAAAAAGTCAGTCGAATCGCTTCTGTCACATGAATCGTCGTGACACATCCCAAAAAGGACGACAAATTCCTGTCGTGTTCTGAGCGGTGGATCAAAATTGTCGAAGTAGCCGCTGGTCGTCGTCCAGCTCCTCGTCTTCTACTGCACCGCCCCGGTTTCGTACGTGACGCACAGGTTCGATTTCTGCTTGTGCACCAGCTGCATCTTCACCACTTCCCCCTTCACGTTCTGCGAACCGCCCCGCATCTTCCCGGTACCGAAAATTTGGCAGCACGCCTGCTTGGTCAGCGTGATGGTCCGGATGGTTTGCGGCTTGGCCCCCTCGTTCACCACGGTGGTGGTCCAGGTGATTCCCGTCTGCTGCTCCGCCTGCGGGGGCGGGCACATCGTCTGCAGGACCTTCAGCTCCGCCTGGAACTGGACGCTTCCTGCAAAATAGAAACAAAACAGCATATATAATACGCGCGCAATCTGTTTCCAATAATTGTAATTCCAACCCGTCCTAGTAGAACCACTATATTAGGGGGTACTAAAGAGGCGCCACATTTTCTTTGCGTGGGGCGCGACCTCTTGCTGTATGTACGTGGGCTACAACCCAAACAGGAAGTCGGCGCAAGGCCCAAACCGCACGGTATGGACGAGCCTGGCCGCCTTTTCGGAACAATCGAAATGCCCACGGCAAAATGCCACTCACTCCTTCCCTCGCCCGGTGAACACCAGAGCAAGCGCCCGGACGCTGCGCGCGCGAAAATTTCCTGCGAGGCACGCAAGGCCCAAGCCCCACGGTATGGACGAGCTTGGCCCCCTTTTCGGAACTGTGAAACAACCCGCGGACGAAAACCGCTCGCTTCTTCACCCGCAGGAACGGCCCACACAGCAAACGCCCCTATGTACAACTGTGCTGCAACTTAACACAGAAAGTATTGCGAAAAGTAGAACTATTTTTCAACAACTGTACCTCCGGGGACAACATACTCTCCCTTCTTCTTGACTAGCTTTGTACTCAGGTTGGAGTGGATGCGATCCGCGATCTCCTTGATTTTTTCCCGCGCCGCCTTCGCGTCCTCCTTCTTCTTTTGCATTTCCTCCGCCTTTTCCTGCTTCGTTGACAGTTGCTCCTGAAACTTGCTGGTGCGCGCCTGCTCGGCCGCGAGCCGCTCGGCCCGCCGCGCCGGTGTCAGGCCGGTCTGGTGTAGGCATGCGTATTTTTCAATCGATACCACGTCAAAGCATCAGTTCTCCAATCTATACCACGTCTCTAGTACTATGAACAAAAACATAAGTGCCAACAAAAAGCTTTGTGTATCTATCTATCACTATCTACCCCCGGAGCCGTCTTAACGCGCTTGGCCGATCGTGGCTCGACCTCCGCAGCGGCCGGTCGCTTTTTCGTAGCAGCTCCGAGAAGCTGCACCGGTTTTACCCCCGCACCGGTCGCCATCGAGGAGGCTGGCGGCCCTTCCGCGCGTCGGGGTGTCCTGGAGGAGCCCGCAGCCGAGGAGGAAGACTTCGCGAGCCCAGCCGGCTTGTTGCTGGTCGCCGGGGCGAGTTTTTCCGGTTCCTTCGCGGGGGCCACGATTTCCGCTACCGCGGGTTCGGACTCCTGTCCGGGCAACTCGTCCTCCTCCTCCTTGATGATGGAAATGTCCTCCGAAAAAGCCGCTTCCACCTGTGTTTGTGAGATAAGAGTTGCACCAATCACAACCATGATGCCTTCATCTGACAAACCTGACCAGCTGCACTGGCACTGTACACACAAGAACATCTGTACTTCGATATCTTATCTGCCCTGCCGTCGTGAGCTGCTCTGCTACAACATACACCAAGAAGGAATCAATAGTCTAGTGTTGATGTCCTCTCCTGCGGAATAAAGATGTAGCGGAGCAAACGAAATCCAGGGTCTCGACCCAGGTTGTGGAGGAAAAAATCACTAAGTACCTCCGCTGCCACTGCGTCCGCCGGTACCGCAACCGACTCCGCCGCTTTCGAGAGGCCTTCTTCTTCCACCTCCATGGCATTGTTGTCGTCCACCTCGTCCTGCTTTGTCTCCCCTTCCGCTCCCGACGGCAACGCCTCTTCCGCCTCGAGCTCTGCCGCTCCGCTCGCCGGCGCTTCAGCGGGAGCGCTTTCATCCACCGCATGGATCACGTGGAGGTCTGCCATTTCGTCTTCTTCGACACCGCTGGCACCCGCAGCGGCTGCTGCTCCCTATCAAATGCAAAAATGTCTGGGTCTGGAAGAGTTGGAACTTGTGATGCAAACTCTGGAACACGCAAAATCTTGTGTTGCATGAGCGCCAAAAGCTGGCCATTTCTTGGCCCGCAAGTAGGAAGTTTCTCATGCGGGACAGGCATCATGAGGCGTGCTCAAAACCTGTGATGCTTTTGCCTGCATCAGACGCCATTTGCGTGATCCGAAATATGCATGACAAATCTCGTAATCTTCCAGACCCAGACATTTTTACATTTGATACTCCCTCTGCTTCGCCCATCATCACGCTGTCATCTTCTATCTCCACTTCGTTCTTTGGACAGCTTTCCTCTGCTTTTCTTTCGCTCTCCTCTTTCCCTGCCTGCACGACCTCGGAGGCCTTGCTGGTTTCCTTGTACGCGACGAAGCTTTCGGTGTCGCCCGGGGTGTGCCCCACGGGTGCCGCGGAACCAAACATCGGCGTCATGACGGTACTGTTGTTACCGGTTTCCTGCTCTTGCGCCGTGGTGGTAATCCCGACCGGGTCGTTTGGGACGAACTGCGGCTCGTTGCTGCTGGCGGCTCCTGCAGCTTCGCCAGTCACGTCCTCGTCGACTGCACCACCGATCTTCGCCTGGTCGAGCTCATCTTCGTTCACCACGGGTTGTTGTACTTCTACTTCGTCGACCGCCGGCACGGCTGCGGCGCTAGACGACGATCCTGCAGACTCCTGGATGATCGCACCATTTACCACTTCCCCTGCGGCTGGTCCGTGTAGTTCCACCTCGGCAAGAGGACACCCGGAGTGTTCCTCCTCCCGCTTCTTCAACGCTGCGGGCTTGCTGGCCGACGAACCGCAATCGCCGAGGCTCATGTCCCCGTCTGGACTGGATTCCGCCTTTTTTTCGGGCGAGTCGAGCTTCTGCGGCGGCTCCTCCGCCGCCTGCTCCGCGGAATCGCGCTTCAGCTCGGGCATGATGTAGTGTTCTCCCCAAGAGCACGACTGTGTGTTTCGGTTTCCTGTAACAACTGCAATTAGAATTACTTCAACAAAAGCGGAGAAAAAAACGCTGTGGACAAAGTGCTGGCTGGTTATAGTTTTTTTGCTCCTTTCCCTCGTAGTTCTCTACTTCCTACCACCTTTTTTCAAAAGTATATTCACGTGCTGACAAGGCTTCTGTGCTTCTCGATTCCACTTTGGAAGTCGGGTTGCAATTTGATTTCGACAAAACGGGCAGGTTTTTCGGACCTTTGCTGCTTCACTCCATTTTCTCGCTTCTACTCTGGTCCACAGACCATATTACTGAGTAAGACACTGCTCGACTACACGCCGCGCAAAGAGCTATTGGAAACATTGTGAACGTAAATTCCCAATAGCTACTGCTTCGTCATTGGTGCACACAAAGACAGCAAACGAAGACACAAAAAGGCACGAATGACGCACCCCGTCCTCCTACTGCCGGACCTTAGCATGTCAGTAGTCGCATCACATCATCTTTGCGTGCTACTACAGCTTCAGTTCGTCGTCGTTTTGAACACTCAAGAATTCAAATAAATCATGGATATTCAGTCTACCTTAAACAGGAAAAACCTTTGAATTCATTTTCATTTTTGTTATGGTTTCTTGGAAGAATGAGTTGCACTGGCTTGTTGCACCATCTTCGGCAAAAAAAAATACTAAACAAGATGAAGTTTTGGCGCATGAGAAATTGGCTGTCGTTTCGTGCGACTGTCGTGATAGGAGCACGCACGGAAAAGCATAGCGAAGTCGTGGGTGCCGTTCTCACCGTCACATAAACGACGAAAATGAAAGAAAACAGCCTCAAGACTTCGGCAAAAAAAAAGTATAAGTAGATAGAAGTCTGGACTGAATCCTTGTGATTAGTGAGGGAATCAGGCGACATATGGCGCTACGCGCAATGAAATGCTTTTTGAAAAATTTTCGATACGAATCAAAGTTTTTGTTTTCATGTTTATGTAACAGGCACTGTCCTCCTCCTCGAATGAAATGCTATGAACAGTAGAATATGTCGCTCCGAGAAGTTCAAGTAAGTATGACAGGTCTGCCAGGTATAGCGTTTCCGAAAAAAGCCGCTGGGAAGACTGCAACGACATTGGAAACGGAAGGAAAATTCGCACAGGGTGCGGCTCAGCGTGTACATGATTACAAACGTTTGATATGGACAAAACTGATCTGTGGTATACGGAATCCTCGCCGGATGATGCTACTCTCGCGACCTGCTTTTCTGGCGTATTTGTATTTCGCGTTCAGATACGAGGAAGAGACAAGTCGATCAATGAACAACGTTGAGTAGTGAAAATTGCAACGACGTTAACACGTGAAACCGTTTGCAATTCAGTGCTATGCATCAGTCTACAGTCAAACAGCGAAATACTTATACAGAAACGTTTCCTTTTCACATCATTGGACCGGCTTACTTGATGGGTTTGCTTGCCTGCTCCCCGCGCGAAATAGACACAAGAACTGCGTCCGGGTTTACCGTCTCGCCCACACAGTCCAGGGGCTTTGCAGTAGCTAGATTCGTAGACGATTCTTCGCTGGATTTGCCGGACGCACCGCTGAGCCCGTTGCCGTGCTGCCGTGTGAGCTTCACCAGGTTCAACACGGCCACGCTGCCGAACAGGATCCCAAAGAGGGCTACACCGACGCACACCGCGAGGATAACGATCGCCGTGTCCTTCATGTTATTCGTGTCGGTGCCGTCACTACTTCCCGATGATCCGGCTCCGGAAGTTGTGGCAGAAACGACCTGCCCCTGGTTGATGAGCTGCTCGATTTTCGGGATGAGGGGCTTCGACGGTTTATCTCCGCAGGCTGTGTAGTCTCCCCACAAATCGCGCGCCTCCAACGCCATGGCACGGAACCACATGTAGTTTTCCACTCCAGACCCTTTCTTGATCAGCGGCGCAATCAAGTTTGTAATGAAGGTATGCATTGCAAGGATAACATCTCCGGGTCTGGAACGATGCAGACGCTATTCATGCTAGCCTTGCCTGTAGTACTCCAGCATGCCCAAAGAAGTCTCAATTGCATGATGGCACAGCATCACACGTCCTCCAAGACCGCTGCAATTCATTATTTTTACTCCGCATGACATCGGAGATTCAATGCCTTGTCGTCGTTGTTCGTCTTTTTCGGCTATCAAAATCAAAGGCAATAAAGCATAAAAAAAAAAGTGAATCTGTAGTCACGGCATGACAAATGATCCCCTCTCTGCTGCAGCGCGGCAAGAAACAAATGGGTCTAACCAATTTACCTCCTGTCATAAAACATGCCTTTTTTTATTTTTCCTGTCCAGCCACACAGAACGATCATCGCAAACTTGCATGTTTCCAGACCAGAGCCGATATTTGCAATGCATAGTGATATTTAGTGGAGATCCAGTCTTGGTAGTGGGGACAGGAGGCTGCAAACACGGTTTTGAAGAGAAAGTCGGCGAACTTGACGATAAAGAAGGAATTCAAGGCCGCGTAGTAAGTTTCGTACCCCTTCAAGGATGAAATTCCGTTTGCTTGATTGTACAGGGATACACTGCGCCGGTCCGCGGAGGCGGTGAAAGCCGACGCACGCGAAAGCGTCTCCACCAATCTGCCGACTTGGATGTTGCGCAGGTGCGCGGGCGCATTTCCACCGTAGGTTGCCATCACGTCACTCGCCCACTTCACGTTTTGGTACAGCATCTCCGAGTCCGTACTGGTATCGAGCCCGATGCTGCGGGCATGTGCTTGCCGAAAGGCCACAGTGATGATGGCGCTCTTGTAAGTCATTTGCTCGAACGCCGGTCCGTACTTGGCTTGATACATGCGGATTTTGTGTTCAAACAGATCTTCAGTGAGAGCGGACGCGTCGAAGGGCGTACTGGCCGACACTGCTTCCCACACTAGCCACTGCTCGCGCGTCATTGTCAACAGCTCGGAGTTGAGGTACAGGGCGTTTTGCTTCGCTTCGGCAATCGTGTCGGCCGAAAAAACCTCCCGGATCATGCACTCGGCCACCACGGTGCGCGTCCACATTTCCGGCTCACGCAAATAGCTGAAATCCGCAGAAGGAAGTAGCTGGGAGCCGAGGTAATCCTCCAGGACCAGCTGCGGAACCACCAGGCGCGCCCCAGAAGCGAACAGACTGGCCTGCTTTGTACAGCGCCAGTCCGACGGCTGGTAGTGGGTATTTAGTTCCTGCAAAACGTCGGCCGCGGTAAACGCCACATCTTTGTACGGAAGCGGCGACGGCATCGCGGTCTGCGGCGTCGTCAGCAACCCGTCACGAGTATCATTCTTCACTTTCCCCGCCATAGATATCGCAGCATCGACGGACATCGCCCCGCGCTGCACCATCTCGGCCATGACTTGGTTCACGTAGCCGCCGACTTCACTCTGAATGGTCTCGCTAGCGGTGCAGCTGCCAGTGGCTGCCGTCGAAGTGCCCTGCAGCAGCAGTGCGATCGGAAGCATCCGCAACGAGCGCGACCACATCCTGTCTTCACGGGCAGACGCGAACCTCAAGGCAAAGTATTAGTATTGCAAGTACTTAGTGCTGATGCACGACACAAAGACACACGCGCACCTTCTGTACCTAAAAGACCTAAGGCAGCTTTAGATTGAAGTGGCACATCAAATGCGTCCATATCAGTCTGCGACACGGACCGTAGCGCATCCGGAATCTTGTTGCGCCGGTCCTGGAGAAGTCCTGGGCTTGAGTCAAACTTATGCAGCTTTGACGTTTTCTCTCTGCAACAGATACAAAGCTACAGCAGCTGACAGACTTTGCCCTCTTTACCTTTTAAGGGTACTAGCTACTTTGAAAGGGCCAGTAAGCCCATGGCGTCCTCTCTCGCGCGCATAAAAAATATGTGGCGCTTTGTTCTGGCAAGTGAGTCAGAATCTGCAGAACAATTTTTTGCATAGGCCCAAATCTAAGCAGTGGGGCGATCTATTTTGATCCGCCGACACTAATTGCGCGGTCGTTAGGCAAGCTGCAATGCAGTTTTCTATAAATAATATGAGTCTTGGTGTGTGATTGGCGTTCATTTTTATGTTTCGTCGGGGACAAGGATGCAAAAAAAAAGTAACGACCTCGAACCCTATTCATGTCAAGTTTCCTCCTTCTCAGATGTGTCACAGAAAAATATAACAATGCACAGCGAAACCCATAATAGCTCAAAGAACCCTGGTGAACTCATCAGTGGCGAGGTTCCCAGCGTCCCTGGAGGAGAAAAACGAGGGTAAAACTAGAAGGAGTAGCTGATGCTACCGAACTGACCATGAGAAATTACAGCGAAGAGTCATGCAAAAATAAAAGGTGTAGCAGGAGCTAGAGCTACTGATCTGACCCTGAAGAATAAACGATAACAGTGTAGGAGGACGGCCTACACTATACATGACAAATTTCCAAGCCTTCTAAAAAGTCCGAACATGCAACAGAAGGCCAAGCTTCGTGGACCCTATTATCGACGTTTGTACTTTCAACCATTTTGAAAAAACGCAAAGTTATGCTGAGACGAGCTACCCCTATCATAGATCGCATGTACATCTACATGTAGGCATACGGACAAACGAAGGAATAAACAAAAATATAAATGCGAAAGCTTTCTTGTTGAGAACGAAAGCGGCAGCGGACAGAGACTACGTGGTGACTGTCGCACTCCTCGTCAAGAAGGCCGGGCTGGTATCCACTTGCCTTTGCAAACGTAGTACCTGATTAAGAGAAGAGAATAGGCTGCCGGCACGAAGTGCGCAGAAAAAAATCACAAAGCTGCAATAGAGGATCAAGAAGCGCTACTATTGCACAATCATATCAGGCGTTCCAGGAACAAATTAGTACCACGCGTCGCGACGAGCTGACTCGAGAACGCCAGCCCCGTTCGCCTGTGTTGTTCCTCCATCTTGTCCAACTATTGTTTCGCCTCCCCAGTGGCCGGCAACTTCACCAAAACACAGTCGGGGCTCGCGCAGTCCAGGGGCTTTGCAGTAGCTAAATTCGTAGACGATTCTTCGCTGGATTTGCCGGACGCACCGCTGAGCCCGGTGCCGTGCTGCCGTGTCAGCTTCACCAGGTTCAGCACGGCCACGCTGCCGAACAGGATCCCGCAGAGGGCTACCCCGACGCACACCGCGAGGATAACGATCGCCGTGTCCTTCATGTTATTCGTGTCGGTGCCGTCACTACTTCCCGATGATCCGGCTCCGGAAGTTGTGGCAGAAACGACCTGCCCCTGGTTGATGAGCTGCTCGATTTTCGGGATGAGGGGCTTCGACGGTTTATCTCCGCAGGCTGTGTAGTCTCCCCACAAATCGCGCGCCTCCAACGCCATGGCACGGAACCACATGTAGTTTTCCACTCCAGACCCTTTCTTGATCAGCGGCGCAATCAAGTTTGTAATGAAGGTATGCATTGCAAGGATAACATCTCCGGGTCTGGAACGATGCAGACGCTATTCATGCTAGCCTTGCCTGTAGTACTCCAGCATGCCCAAAGAAGTCTCAATTGCATGATGGCACAGCATCACACGTCCTCCAAGACCGCTGCAATTCATTATTTTTACTCCGCATGACATCGGAGATTCAATGCCTTGTCGTCGTTGTTCGTCTTTTTCGGCTATCAAAATCAAAGGCAATAAAGCATAAAAAAAAAAGTGAATCTGTAGTCACGGCATGACAAATGATCCCCTCTCTGCTGCAGCGCGGCAAGAAACAAATGGGTCTAACCAATTTACCTCCTGTCATAAAACATGCCTTTTTTTATTTTTCCTGTCCAGCCACACAGAACGATCATCGCAAACTTGCATGTTTCCAGACCAGAGCCGATATTTGCAATGCATAGTGATATTTAGTGGAGATCCAGTCTTGGTAGTGGGGACAGGAGGCTGCAAACACGGTTTTGAAGAGAAAGTCGGCGAACTTGACGATAAAGAAGGAATTCAAGGCCGCGTAGTAAGTTTCGTACCCCTTCAAGGATGAAATTCCGTTTGCTTGATTGTACAGGGATACACTGCGCCGGTCCGCGGAGGCGGTGAAAGCCGACGCACGCGAAAGCGTCTCCACCAATCTGCCGACTTGGATGTTGCGCAGGTGCGCGGGCGCATTTCCACCGTAGGTTGCCATCACGTCACTCGCCCACTTCACGTTTTGGTACAGCATCTCCGAGTCCGTACTGGTATCGAGCCCGATGCTGCGGGCATGTGCTTGCCGAAAGGCCACAGTGATGATGGCGCTCTTGTAAGTCATTTGCTCGAACGCCGGTCCGTACTTGGCTTGATACATGCGGATTTTGTGTTCAAACAGATCTTCAGTGAGAGCGGACGCGTCGAAGGGCGTACTGGCCGACACTGCTTCCCACACTAGCCACTGCTCGCGCGTCATTGTCAACAGCTCGGAGTTGAGGTACAGGGCGTTTTGCTTCGCTTCGGCAATCGTGTCGGCCGAAAAAACCTCCCGGATCATGCACTCGGCCACCACGGTGCGCGTCCACATTTCCGGCTCACGCAAATAGCTGAAATCCGCAGAAGGAAGTAGCTGGGAGCCGAGGTAATCCTCCAGGACCAGCTGCGGAACCACCAGGCGCGCCCCAGAAGCGAACAGACTGGCCTGCTTTGTACAGCGCCAGTCCGACGGCTGGTAGTGGGTATTTAGTTCCTGCAAAACGTCGGCCGCGGTAAACGCCACATCTTTGTACGGAAGCGGCGACGGCATCGCGGTCTGCGGCGTCGTCAGCAACCCGTCACGAGTATCATTCTTCACTTTCCCCGCCATAGATATCGCAGCATCGACGGACATCGCCCCGCGCTGCACCATCTCGGCCATGACTTGGTTCACGTAGCCGCCGACTTCACTCTGAATGGTCTCGCTAGCGGTGCAGCTGCCAGTGGCTGCCGTCGAAGTGCCCTGCAGCAGCAGTGCGATCGGAAGCATCCGCAACGAGCGCGACCACATCCTGTCTTCACGGGCAGACGCGAAACTCAAGGCAAAGTATGAATATTTCAAGTACTTAGTGCTGCTGCACGACACAAAGACACACGCGCACCTTCTGCACCCAAAAGACCTAAGGCAGCGCTTTAGATTGAAGTGGCACAAATGCGTCCATATCAGTCTGCGACACGGACCGTAGCGCATCCGGAATCTTGTTGCGCCGGCCCTGGAGTCCTGAGCTTGAATTTAAAACTTGTGCAGCTTTGACGCTTCGTCTCTGCAGCAGACCTGCAGCAGCTGACTTTGCTCTCTTATGTCTTTTGACGGTCGTGCTGACTACTTTGAAAGGCCCAGTAAATCATTGGCGTCATCTCTCGTGCGCACTTTTTAGCAGTGTCGCCACCAGCAATCACATTCATAAAGGTCTCTAATTAAATTTGAGGCATTTCTGCATGTTGAACATGTTTTCATGCTAGAAACCCCGTCCTCCTACTGCCGGACCTTAGCATGTAAGTAGTCGCATCACATCATCTTTGCGTTTTACTACAGCTTCAGTTCGTCGTCGTTTTGAACACTCAAAAATTCAAATAAATTATGGATATTCAGTCTACCTTAAACAGGAAAAACCTTTGAATTCATTTTCATTTTTGTTATGGTTTCTTTGAAGAATGAGTTGCACTGGCTTGTTGCACCATCATCGGCAAAAAAAAATACTAAACAAGATAAAGTTTTGGCGCATGAGAAATTGGCTGTCGTTTCGTGCGACTGTCGTGATAGGAGCACGCACGGAAAAGCATAGCGGGGTCGTGGGTGCCGTTCTCACCGTCACATAAACGACGAAAAGAAAAGAAAACAGCCTCAAGACTTCGGCAAAAAAAAAGTAGATAGAAGTCTGGACTTAATCCTTGTGATTAGTGAGGGAATCAGGCGACATATGGCGCTACGCGCAATGAAATGCTTTTTGAAAAATTTTCGATACGAATCAAAGTTTTTGTTTTCATGTTTATGTAACAGGCACTGTCCTCCTCCTCGAATGAAATGCTATGAACAGTAGAATATGTCGCTCCGAGAAGTTCAAGTAAGTATGACAGGTCTGCCAGGTATAGCGTTTCCGAAAAAAGCCGCTGGGAAGACTGCAACGACATTGGAAACGGAAGGAAAATTCGCACAGGGTGCGGCTCAGCGTGTACATGATTACAAACGTTTGATATGGACAAAACTGATCTGTGGTATACGGAATCCTCGCCGGATGATGCTACTCTCGCGACCTGCTTTTCTGGCGTATTTGTATTTCGCGTTCAGATACGAGGAAGAGACAAGTCGATCAATGAACAACGTTGAGTAGTGAAAATTGCAACGACGTTAACACGTGAAACCGTTTTGCAATTCAGTGCTATGCATCAGTCTACAGTCAAACAGCGAAATACTTATACAGAAGCGTTTCCTTTTCACATCATTGGACCGGCTTACTTGATGGGTTTGCTTGCCTGCTCCCCGCGCGAAATAGACACAAGAACTGCGTCCGGGTTTACCGTCTCGCCCACACAGTCCAGGGGCTTTGCAGTAGCTAGATTCGTAGACGATTCTTCGCTGGATTTGCCGGACGCACCGCTGAGCCCGTTGCCGTGCTGCCGTGTGAGCTTCACCAGGTTCAACACGGCCACGCTGCCGAACAGGATCCCAAAGAGGGCTACACCGACGCACACCGCGAGGATAACGATCGCCGTGTCCTTCATGTTATTCGTGTCGGTGCCGTCACTACTTCCCGATGATCCGGCTCCGGAAGTTGTGGCAGAAACGACCTGCCCCTGGTTGATGAGCTGCTCGATTTTCGGGATGAGGGGCTTCGACGGTTTATCTCCGCAGGCTGTGTAGTCTCCCCACAAATCGCGCGCCTCCAACGCCATGGCACGGAACCACATGTAGTTTTCCACTCCAGACCCTTTCTTGATCAGCGGCGCAATCAAGTTTGTAATGAAGGTATGCATTGCAAGGATAACATCTCCGGGTCTGGAACGATGCAGACGCTATTCATGCTAGCCTTGCCTGTAGTACTCCAGCATGCCCAAAGAAGTCTCAATTGCATGATGGCACAGCATCACACGTCCTCCAAGACCGCTGCAATTCATTATTTTTACTCCGCATGACATCGGAGATTCAATGCCTTGTCGTCGTTGTTCGTCTTTTTCGGCTATCAAAATCAAAGGCAATAAAGCATAAAAAAAAAAGTGAATCTGTAGTCACGGCATGACAAATGATCCCCTCTCTGCTGCAGCGCGGCAAGAAACAAATGGGTCTAACCAATTTACCTCCTGTCATAAAACATGCCTTTTTTTATTTTTCCTGTCCAGCCACACAGAACGATCATCGCAAACTTGCATGTTTCCAGACCAGAGCCGATATTTGCAATGCATAGTGATATTTAGTGGAGATCCAGTCTTGGTAGTGGGGACAGGAGGCTGCAAACACGGTTTTGAAGAGAAAGTCGGCGAACTTGACGATAAAGAAGGAATTCAAGGCCGCGTAGTAAGTTTCGTACCCCTTCAAGGATGAAATTCCGTTTGCTTGATTGTACAGGGATACACTGCGCCGGTCCGCGGAGGCGGTGAAAGCCGACGCACGCGAAAGCGTCTCCACCAATCTGCCGACTTGGATGTTGCGCAGGTGCGCGGGCGCATTTCCACCGTAGGTTGCCATCACGTCACTCGCCCACTTCACGTTTTGGTACAGCATCTCCGAGTCCGTACTGGTATCGAGCCCGATGCTGCGGGCATGTGCTTGCCGAAAGGCCACAGTGATGATGGCGCTCTTGTAAGTCATTTGCTCGAACGCCGGTCCGTACTTGGCTTGATACATGCGGATTTTGTGTTCAAACAGATCTTCAGTGAGAGCGGACGCGTCGAAGGGCGTACTGGCCGACACTGCTTCCCACACTAGCCACTGCTCGCGCGTCATTGTCAACAGCTCGGAGTTGAGGTACAGGGCGTTTTGCTTCGCTTCGGCAATCGTGTCGGCCGAAAAAACCTCCCGGATCATGCACTCGGCCACCACGGTGCGCGTCCACATTTCCGGCTCACGCAAATAGCTGAAATCCGCAGAAGGAAGTAGCTGGGAGCCGAGGTAATCCTCCAGGACCAGCTGCGGAACCACCAGGCGCGCCCCAGAAGCGAACAGACTGGCCTGCTTTGTACAGCGCCAGTCCGACGGCTGGTAGTGGGTATTTAGTTCCTGCAAAACGTCGGCCGCGGTAAACGCCACATCTTTGTACGGAAGCGGCGACGGCATCGCGGTCTGCGGCGTCGTCAGCAACCCGTCACGAGTATCATTCTTCACTTTCCCCGCCATAGATATCGCAGCATCGACGGACATCGCCCCGCGCTGCACCATCTCGGCCATGACTTGGTTCACGTAGCCGCCGACTTCACTCTGAATGGTCTCGCTAGCGGTGCAGCTGCCAGTGGCTGCCGTCGAAGTGCCCTGCAGCAGCAGTGCGATCGGAAGCATCCGCAACGAGCGCGACCACATCCTGTCTTCACGGGCAGACGCGAACCTCAAGGCAAAGTATTAGTATTGCAAGTACTTAGTGCTGATGCACGACACAAAGACACACGCGCACCTTCTGTACCTAAAAGACCTAAGGCAGCTTTAGATTGAAGTGGCACATCAAATGCGTCCATATCAGTCTGCGACACGGACCGTAGCGCATCCGGAATCTTGTTGCGCCGGTCCTGGAGAAGTCCTGGGCTTGAGTCAAACTTATGCAGCTTTGACGTTTTCTCTCTGCAACAGATACAAAGCTACAGCAGCTGACAGACTTTGCCCTCTTTACCTTTTAAGGGTACTAGCTACTTTGAAAGGGCCAGTAAGCCCATGGCGTCCTCTCTCGCGCGCATAAAAAATATGTGGCGCTTTGTTCTGGCAAGTGAGTCAGAATCTGCAGAACAATTTTTTGCATAGGCCCAAATCTAAGCAGTGGGGCGATCTATTTTGATCCGCCGACACTAATTGCGCGGTCGTTAGGCAAGCTGCAATGCAGTTTTCTATAAATAATATGAGTCTTGGTGTGTGATTGGCGTTCATTTTTATGTTTCGTCGGGGACAAGGATGCAAAAAAAAAGTAACGACCTCGAACCCTATTCATGTCAAGTTTCCTCCTTCTCAGATGTGTCACAGAAAAATATAACAATGCACAGCGAAACCCATAATAGCTCAAAGAACCCTGGTGAACTCATCAGTGGCGAGGTTCCCAGCGTCCCTGGAGGAGAAAAACGAGGGTAAAACTAGAAGGAGTAGCTGATGCTACCGAACTGACCATGAGAAATTACAGCGAAGAGTCATGCAAAAATAAAAGGTGTAGCAGGAGCTAGAGCTACTGATCTGACCCTGAAGAATAAACGATAACAGTGTAGGAGGACGGCCTACACTATACATGACAAATTTCCAAGCCTTCTAAAAAGTCCGAACATGCAACAGAAGGCCAAGCTTCGTGGACCCTATTATCGACGTTTGTACTTTCAACCATTTTGAAAAAACGCAAAGTTATGCTGAGACGAGCTACCCCTATCATAGATCGCATGTACATCTACATGTAGGCATACGGACAAACGAAGGAATAAACAAAAATATAAATGCGAAAGCTTTCTTGTTGAGAACGAAAGCGGCAGCGGACAGAGACTACGTGGTGACTGTCGCACTCCTCGTCAAGAAGGCCGGGCTGGTATCCACTTGCCTTTGCAAACGTAGTACCTGATTAAGAGAAGAGAATAGGCTGCCGGCACGAAGTGCGCAGAAAAAAATCACAAAGCTGCAATAGAGGATCAAGAAGCGCTACTATTGCACAATCATATCAGGCGTTCCAGGAACAAATTAGTACCACGCGTCGCGACGAGCTGACTCGAGAACGCCAGCCCCGTTCGCCTGTGTTGTTCCTCCATCTTGTCCAACTATTGTTTCGCCTCCCCAGTGGCCGGCAACTTCACCAAAACACAGTCGGGGCTCGCGCAGTCCAGGGGCTTTGCAGTAGCTAAATTCGTAGACGATTCTTCGCTGGATTTGCCGGACGCACCGCTGAGCCCGGTGCCGTGCTGCCGTGTCAGCTTCACCAGGTTCAGCACGGCCACGCTGCCGAACAGGATCCCGCAGAGGGCTACCCCGACGCACACCGCGAGGATAACGATCGCCGTGTCCTTCATGTTATTCGTGTCGGTGCCGTCACTACTTCCCGATGATCCGGCTCCGGAAGTTGTGGCAGAAACGACCTGCCCCTGGTTGATGAGCTGCTCGATTTTCGGGATGAGGGGCTTCGACGGTTTATCTCCGCAGGCTGTGTAGTCTCCCCACAAATCGCGCGCCTCCAACGCCATGGCACGGAACCACATGTAGTTTTCCACTCCAGACCCTTTCTTGATCAGCGGCGCAATCAAGTTTGTAATGAAGGTATGCATTGCAAGGATAACATCTCCGGGTCTGGAACGATGCAGACGCTATTCATGCTAGCCTTGCCTGTAGTACTCCAGCATGCCCAAAGAAGTCTCAATTGCATGATGGCACAGCATCACACGTCCTCCAAGACCGCTGCAATTCATTATTTTTACTCCGCATGACATCGGAGATTCAATGCCTTGTCGTCGTTGTTCGTCTTTTTCGGCTATCAAAATCAAAGGCAATAAAGCATAAAAAAAAAAGTGAATCTGTAGTCACGGCATGACAAATGATCCCCTCTCTGCTGCAGCGCGGCAAGAAACAAATGGGTCTAACCAATTTACCTCCTGTCATAAAACATGCCTTTTTTTATTTTTCCTGTCCAGCCACACAGAACGATCATCGCAAACTTGCATGTTTCCAGACCAGAGCCGATATTTGCAATGCATAGTGATATTTAGTGGAGATCCAGTCTTGGTAGTGGGGACAGGAGGCTGCAAACACGGTTTTGAAGAGAAAGTCGGCGAACTTGACGATAAAGAAGGAATTCAAGGCCGCGTAGTAAGTTTCGTACCCCTTCAAGGATGAAATTCCGTTTGCTTGATTGTACAGGGATACACTGCGCCGGTCCGCGGAGGCGGTGAAAGCCGACGCACGCGAAAGCGTCTCCACCAATCTGCCGACTTGGATGTTGCGCAGGTGCGCGGGCGCATTTCCACCGTAGGTTGCCATCACGTCACTCGCCCACTTCACGTTTTGGTACAGCATCTCCGAGTCCGTACTGGTATCGAGCCCGATGCTGCGGGCATGTGCTTGCCGAAAGGCCACAGTGATGATGGCGCTCTTGTAAGTCATTTGCTCGAACGCCGGTCCGTACTTGGCTTGATACATGCGGATTTTGTGTTCAAACAGATCTTCAGTGAGAGCGGACGCGTCGAAGGGCGTACTGGCCGACACTGCTTCCCACACTAGCCACTGCTCGCGCGTCATTGTCAACAGCTCGGAGTTGAGGTACAGGGCGTTTTGCTTCGCTTCGGCAATCGTGTCGGCCGAAAAAACCTCCCGGATCATGCACTCGGCCACCACGGTGCGCGTCCACATTTCCGGCTCACGCAAATAGCTGAAATCCGCAGAAGGAAGTAGCTGGGAGCCGAGGTAATCCTCCAGGACCAGCTGCGGAACCACCAGGCGCGCCCCAGAAGCGAACAGACTGGCCTGCTTTGTACAGCGCCAGTCCGACGGCTGGTAGTGGGTATTTAGTTCCTGCAAAACGTCGGCCGCGGTAAACGCCACATCTTTGTACGGAAGCGGCGACGGCATCGCGGTCTGCGGCGTCGTCAGCAACCCGTCACGAGTATCATTCTTCACTTTCCCCGCCATAGATATCGCAGCATCGACGGACATCGCCCCGCGCTGCACCATCTCGGCCATGACTTGGTTCACGTAGCCGCCGACTTCACTCTGAATGGTCTCGCTAGCGGTGCAGCTGCCAGTGGCTGCCGTCGAAGTGCCCTGCAGCAGCAGTGCGATCGGAAGCATCCGCAACGAGCGCGACCACATCCTGTCTTCACGGGCAGACGCGAACCTCAAGGCAAAGTATTAGTATTGCAAGTACTTAGTGCTGATGCACGACACAAAGACACACGCGCACCTTCTGTACCTAAAAGACCTAAGGCAGCTTTAGATTGAAGTGGCACATCAAATGCGTCCATATCAGTCTGCGACACGGACCGTAGCGCATCCGGAATCTTGTTGCGCCGGTCCTGGAGAAGTCCTGGGCTTGAGTCAAACTTATGCAGCTTTGACGTTTTCTCTCTGCAACAGATACAAAGCTACAGCAGCTGACAGACTTTGCCCTCTTTACCTTTTAAGGGTACTAGCTACTTTGAAAGGGCCAGTAAGCCCATGGCGTCCTCTCTCGCGCGCATAAAAAATATGTGGCGCTTTGTTCTGGCAAGTGAGTCAGAATCTGCAGAACAATTTTTTGCATAGGCCCAAATCTAAGCAGTGGGGCGATCTATTTTGATCCGCCGACACTAATTGCGCGGTCGTTAGGCAAGCTGCAATGCAGTTTTCTATAAATAATATGAGTCTTGGTGTGTGATTGGCGTTCATTTTTATGTTTCGTCGGGGACAAGGATGCAAAAAAAAAGTAACGACCTCGAACCCTATTCATGTCAAGTTTCCTCCTTCTCAGATGTGTCACAGAAAAATATAACAATGCACAGCGAAACCCATAATAGCTCAAAGAACCCTGGTGAACTCATCAGTGGCGAGGTTCCCAGCGTCCCTGGAGGAGAAAAACGAGGGTAAAACTAGAAGGAGTAGCTGATGCTACCGAACTGACCATGAGAAATTACAGCGAAGAGTCATGCAAAAATAAAAGGTGTAGCAGGAGCTAGAGCTACTGATCTGACCCTGAAGAATAAACGATAACAGTGTAGGAGGACGGCCTACACTATACATGACAAATTTCCAAGCCTTCTAAAAAGTCCGAACATGCAACAGAAGGCCAAGCTTCGTGGACCCTATTATCGACGTTTGTACTTTCAACCATTTTGAAAAAACGCAAAGTTATGCTGAGACGAGCTACCCCTATCATAGATCGCATGTACATCTACATGTAGGCATACGGACAAACGAAGGAATAAACAAAAATATAAATGCGAAAGCTTTCTTGTTGAGAACGAAAGCGGCAGCGGACAGAGACTACGTGGTGACTGTCGCACTCCTCGTCAAGAAGGCCGGGCTGGTATCCACTTGCCTTTGCAAACGTAGTACCTGATTAAGAGAAGAGAATAGGCTGCCGGCACGAAGTGCGCAGAAAAAAATCACAAAGCTGCAATAGAGGATCAAGAAGCGCTACTATTGCACAATCATATCAGGCGTTCCAGGAACAAATTAGTACCACGCGTCGCGACGAGCTGACTCGAGAACGCCAGCCCCGTTCGCCTGTGTTGTTCCTCCATCTTGTCCAACTATTGTTTCGCCTCCCCAGTGGCCGGCAACTTCACCAAAACACAGTCGGGGCTCGCGCAGTCCAGGGGCTTTGCAGTAGCTAAATTCGTAGACGATTCTTCGCTGGATTTGCCGGACGCACCGCTGAGCCCGGTGCCGTGCTGCCGTGTCAGCTTCACCAGGTTCAGCACGGCCACGCTGCCGAACAGGATCCCAAAGAGGGCTACACCGACGCACACCGCGAGGATAACGATCGCCGTGTCCTTCATGTTATTCGTGTCGGTGCCGTCACTACTTCCCGATGAACCGGCTCCGGAAGTTGTGGCAGAAACGACCTGCCCCTGGTTGATGAGCTGCTCGATTTTCGGGATGAGGGGCTTCGACGGTTTATCTCCGCAGGCTGTGTAGTCTCCCCACAAATCGCGCGCCTCCAACGCCATGGCACGGAACCACATGTAGTTTTCCACTCCAGACCCTTTCTTGATCAGCGGCGCAATCAAGTTTGTAATGAAGGTATGCATTGCAAGGATAACATCTCCGGGTCTGGAACGATGCAGACGCTATTCATGCTAGCCTTGCCTGTAGTACTCCAGCATGCCCAAAGAAGTCTCCACTGCATGGCACAGCATCACAAACACAATCCTCTAAGACCGCTGCATTTCATTATCTTTACTCCGCATGAGATCGGAGATTTCGGGCCTTGTCGTCCCTGCGCCTGTTCGTCTTCTTCGGCTATCAAAATCAAAGGCAATAAAGCATAAAAAAAGAGTGAATCTGTAGTCACGGCATGACAAATGATCCCCTCTCTGCTGCAGCGCGGCAAGAAACAAATGGGTCTAACCAATTTACCTCCTGTCATAAAACATGCCTTTTTTTATTTTTCCTGTCCAGCCACACAGAACGATCATCGCAAACTTGCATGTTTCCAGACCAGAGCCGATATTTGCAATGCATAGTGATATTTAGTGGAGATCCAATCTTGGTAGTGGGGACAGGAGGCTGCAAACACGGTTTTGAAGAGAAAGTCGGCGAACTTGACGATAAAGAAGGAATTCAAGGCCGCGTAGTAAGTTTCGTACCCCTTCAAGGATGAAATTCCGTTTGCTTGATTGTACAGGGATACACTGCGCCGGTCCGCGGAGGCGGTGAAAGCCGACGCACGCGAAAGCGTCTCCACCAATCTGCCGACTTGGATGTTGCGCAGGTGCGCGGGCGCATTTCCACCGTAGGTTGCCATCACGTCACTCGCCCACTTCACGTTTTGGTACAGCATCTCCGAGTCCGTACTGGTATCGAGCCCGATGCTGCGGGCATGTGCTTGCCGAAAGGCCACAGTGATGATGGCGCTCTTGTAAGTCATTTGCTCGAACGCCGGTCCGTACTTGGCTTGATACATGCGGATTTTGTGTTCAAACAGATCTTCAGTGAGAGCGGACGCGTCGAAGGGCGTACTGGCCGACACTGCTTCCCACACTAGCCACTGCTCGCGCGTCATTGTCAACAGCTCGGAGTTGAGGTACAGGGCGTTTTGATTCGCTTCGGCAATCGTGTCGGCCGAAAAAACCTCCCGGATCATGCACTCGGCCACCACGGTGCGCGTCCACATTTCCGGCTCACGCAAATAGCTGAAATCCGCAGAAGGAAGTAGCTGGGAACCGAGGTAATCCTCCAGGACCAGCTGCGGAACCACCAGGAGCGCCCCAGAAGCGAACAGACTGGCCTGCTTTGTACAGCGCCAGTCCGACGGCTGGTAGTGGGTATTTAGTTCCTGCAAAACGTAAGCCGCGGTAAACGCCACATCTTTGTACGGAAGCGGAGACGGCATCGCGGTCTGCGGCGTCGTCAGCAAACCGTCACGAGTATCATTCTTCACTTTCCCCGCCATAGATATCGCAGCATCGACGGACATCGCCCCGCGCTGCACCATCTCGGCCATGACTTGGTTCACGTAGCCGCCGACTTCACTCTGAATGATCTCGCTAGCGGTGCAGCTGCCAGTGGCTGCCGTCGAAGTGCCCTGCAGCAGCAGTGCGATCGGAAGCATACGCAACGAGCGCGACCACATCCTGTCTTCACGGGCAGACGCGAACCTCAAACAAGCAAAGTATTTCAAGTAGTGCTGCTGCACGACACAAAGACACACGCGCACCTTCTGCAACGGAAAGACCTATTAAGGCAGCTTTAGATTGAAGTGACACAAATCGCTCAATATCAGTTTACGCCACGGACCGCAGCGCATCCGGAATCTTGTTGCGCCGGCCCTGGCGTGCTGAGCTTAAGTTCAAAACTTGTGCAGCTTTGACGCTTTGTCTCTGCAGCAGAGCTGCAGCAGCTGACTCTGCTCTCTTCTGTCTTTTGACGGTCGTGCTGACTACTTTGAAAGGCCTAGTAAATCATCGGCGTCGTCTCTCGTGCGCACTTTTTAGCAGTGTGGCCACCAGCAATCACATTCATGAAAAGGTCTCTAATAAAATTTGAGGCATTTCTGCATGTTGAACATGTTTTCATTCTAGAAACGAATCGGAAAAAGTCTAGAGCACGGACATATTTTTGGCAGAACCTGTGCTGCTTCACTCAGTATTCCCAATACTCCCCCTGCTCTTACTCATGCGCAGAGACATGGCATACTGACTAGAAGAGTGTATCTAACACACGCTCCACAGAACAAGTTATCTTGCATACAAAATTTTTATCGGATATAGTGCGCAAACGGTTCCCATGGCTGTCTCGTCGTCGCTTGAGAGGATGACCGCCGGAAAAAGCGACACGAAAACACAATCACGCTCGGTGCGAGTACTACGCAAGAGCCTTGTACTAGTTCACAGGATAGGAATATGCGCAGGCCGTTTGGTCTCGCTCGCTTTGGAGTATATCATCCTCCCACACAAGGAGTTACAGTTACCCACTTCGAAGTATTCATATAGCAGCTCCGGCACATGTGCAATTGGTACTGGCTTTGGGGTTGGCGTTCGGCCAACTGCAAACTGCATCAACTCGCATTCGCAAAATTAAAAATACGTTCATTATTTATAGATGAATAGAATTGCGAAGTGCTGCGATGGCTCGGTGAGCCTACTGCTTACGTAGCTTAATAAGGATCAGCATTTTTGCTCCGCAGCTCAAAAAATTCCGCGTCTTCTCGTCTGGTATCGACTTAAGGAGCAGACACTGCGCATCTACGGATGCATTGACCCGTCTTGCTTTGGCTTTCGCGGCCTGAATAGTAAAGCAACACCGAAAATTGACCCGCTTCTCCTTGCAATCATGTTAAATATTTTCTGAAAAAGTTTTGTCGAGATCTTGAGTTAGATTTTTCATCGTATTGAAAACGCAAACGAGTAAATGGTTAACATAGCAGAATTTGCTAACTGATTGAGGTTAGATTCTTCGAAACGGAAGATACTGAAGTGAAGAACAATGCAAAATTTTTTTGCATCCAAAAACTCTGGCTAGATTTTCAAAAAAAACGCCATCTCTATGCGACAGCGAACTTGATGAGACTCTCCATGAAATTCCGCAGCGAAATGTCTTCCGTTATCACCGTTGCGCTGCTGTCCCCGGTCGTATCGTGCGAAAAGATTGCTTCACTGTGGCGACTTTAATTTTGCACGGTGATGCACATGGCATCATTACATAAAGGTCTGCTCTTCAGTCGTGTATATGAGAAACAACAACTATGATTGCCTCGCTCAGTTCCTGTACTTGGAGTAAAAAAACGTATAGAAGAGCCTGTGCTGCAAGTATTCTAACCCGTGGAACGCAAGGAAGAGCAGTTTTCGTGTTGCATATCCCAGCGCAGTACAAGTTTCCAGTGAAACATCTTTCTTTTTGCATACGGGGGCACCTGCGAATAGTCGTTCAACTGCGTGTGCGTCTTGCTTGGGTTCACGCGGGACAGCACGAATCGCGCCTGCGAGCCGTTCGCGTAGGTCTGCACGAATTTCGGCACGGGAAACCGGTCTTCCAAAATGTCCTTCGCATCCTTCGCCGGGGCGATGAGGAGCTCTTTGAAGTTCGCGTACTCCGTATCAAAATGAAAAATCCCCCCTCCCCATATCGAGACGAAGTTTCTGATGCTGGATTTCTGTACAAAAATGCGCGCCGTCTTGCAATACGGCATCGCAGCCAGATCCTCGGCCTAGGTAGGGGCGTTTGGGTCTAGTTGTTTAGCATTACAAACGGCTGTCCCCTAGGCCCAGCAGCATGCTGAATCGCTTCGATAATGGCGCGGAAGCCCCTGCACTTGTCTTCTTGCAAGACAGACGCTATTTGTGGTCTCAAATCAGCAACACAAATTTTCGGAAACATACCTTTTCGATATGGGGTGTGGGGATTTTTCTTCTCAATACTCCGGCAGTTCCTGGTACCCGCGGTTGTACCACTCCTGCACGTATGGATTGCAAATATGTGGAAGAGCGCAGAAGTTTGTCATGCAGATTTTCCATGACCCATGACTGAGGTCTGTGATGCATGCCCTAGCATCAGAGACTCTGCGAGGGTTTTCTGATGCTCATACCGCATGAGAAATGCCCTCTCCGCGTAGCACAAATTGCGCCTCTTATGCTGTTCATGCAATACAGATTTTCTGTAGAGTCCAAAGGTAGCATCACAAGTTCCAACCTTCCAGACCCAGACATTTTTGCATTTAATAGCACGGTTTCCCCCCGCCAGACCACCACGTGAAAGAAGGTGTCAAGCAGCAAGATCACGTTTTTCTTCAGACTCAGGGAGTCCAGCAGCACCGGCACGGGGGCGAGACTGTCGAAGCTGTACTCCATCAGCGCGGGCTGAATCATGACCAGCGAGTTCACCACGTTGCTCTTCAGCATGCACACGCGGTAGAAGGCCGTTTCGTCCGGGGAACAGTTGAAAGTTTCCCTATCATGCGGAAAAGCGACCCGACTCCACGAAGGGAAAGCGTTCGCATTACAAAAGCTGCTCTTCTTCCCACTGCAAACATTGATGATGCTGTAGTTCCCCTTCTTGCATAGTCCAGCAACATATCAAATGTTCCAGGCAGATGGGCAAAAGTTAAAGTTTGCGTCACAAAATAAAGGCCTAGCAGCAACAGAATTCGTCATGTACGGACGGCTTTCAACGCCTACGCTCTGGATCAGGAAGACTTGCAGACCTCTCATGCAAGACCAAAGCTTTACATTTGGAAACTTTGCATCATGGAAATATTATGCTCACTTCTGGGGGTGGGGCACTTTTCATGTTCATATTCAAGCAAGGGACTTCTTCGCAGGTAGAAAATGAACTGCGGGAACAGTGTATCCTGGGCAAAATCGTCGCCGCCCCAGAGTTGATGTCATGCTGAAGGGAAAATTGCAGGACCATTCGCGCCTTCCCCTCTGCCCCATGCAGATGGCTTGACACGCAGAGGAGGTGGGTCAAGCGGTTTTTTGTCTTCGCAAATCTGCAAGCATGAAACGCCCTCCATGTTGCACAGGCTCATGAGCTGCAGGACCGTTTATTTCTAGTTGTATTTTTTTAACGCTACAATCCGGACGAGACGATCGCTTTACGATGCGGCTGCGACATGTAGCTAAGCACGGTTACTTATGCAGCAAAAGCCTGAGCCTCTGATGCGCAAAATAAATTCCATCCTGCACTATGGGGACGAGGTGGGTTTGTACTTATTCACTCAGGATACAGTGTGAATTCCTCCGCCAGCTGAAACGAGCTCGGGTCGCCGCGGTTGTAGGCGGCGAACTTGCTGATGATCCGGATCAGCATGCGGTCCAGCCGACGCAAGGCGTCGAAACTTTCGGTGGACTCCGCCTGGTGCATGCAGAACCTGGCGAGCAGCACCGCCGCGCACTTATCCAGGGAAAAACAAATGATCCCTATCCATTTTCTGCATGACAAACACAGCATTTCGACGCATGTTTTGCATGACAAAAAATTGAATGGGGATGGGTCTTTTTTTGTGGATAGCACTCCTGGTCGAACGCCTGGCCGATGTCCAGCAACTCTGGATCGCTATACCTGCGACCATGTTGATAAAAAACAGTACAACGGGCGGTTGATAAAAAACAGGCACGCTTGTTAGCCGGCTACCTATACACGGGTCGTCCCCCTCCTCTTCGCCTGACCTATATTTTCCTTGTTCTGGAAAACATCACTCATACATAGAACGTCCCAAAAAGCGCAACCAGGTCGTAGAGGTTCCGGAAAGATAGAACAAATACTTAAGTACGCACGTGCAACCGTAGTCACTCGCAGTCGCTTCTTCCCGCTGGGATGGTGGTACAGGGTTTGAAACTGCAGAAAGGCTGCCTGCCCCTGTTTGTTCTGTTTCTTCCCGTCTGCGCCGTCGTCTGCGAGCTCAAAGTAAAACGCTACCGAGGACTGCTGATCTAGTGCGCTCGTGGCCCACGTGATGGTGTTGCTTTCCCCGATCTGCTATGAAATGCAAATATGTCTGGGTCTGGAAACTTGTTGTAAAATGCTGATTTGTGAATAGTGAATTTTCTGTAATGCGCAGCCAACATGAGAGATTTTTGCGCGGCTTAGTGTTGCGCTTTCCGCATGACAAGCTGCGTTTGCATGACAAGCAAGAGGGTCTCTTCTTGGACCCGCATCACAAACTCTTCAGTCATGCCAGATAAGCATGACAAACCTTGCATCCTTCCAGACCCAGACATTTCTGCAATTGATATCTGCGTGTCTGCCACGGACGGGTCTGATAATCGATGGAGGAGAAACAACTACGCGAGACTTATTTATTGTTGTCGCGCGGCAAGAAAAATTTCAGGCCTTCTTCAGTGCTGGTCGTGTGGAAACAAAAAGGAGAGTGACGCGTGTCGAAGACAGAAATTTTACTTCGAAAAAGTATATATGCTGTGAAGCAAATTTCTCATCTCCCTTCACCATGGGAAAGTAAATCTAAATACGCGCTTTCTGCATGCTGCAGACCGGTCCGATCGCACCACAGACTTTTATTTCCTTGCTCGTTTGCACGGTGATCCGGGCGTTGAAGCCCATGTCGAGACACTGGCCACTGGAGTCCGTTTTGGAGAGCACCTTCTTGAATGAATCGCGAAAAACGTGCTGCGAAAACCCGTCGGCCATGACCATGTGCCCGCCACTGCGCTCCACTAAACACCGCATCTCGTGCAGTCCTACCTGGTCCAGCGAGCTCGCGAAAATATCAATCGCGTGGCCCGTCGAAACCGCGCGGGCCGCGACAGACAGGTAGAAATTGCTGGCACCTTTGCAATACCTAAAGTTCTTTATTTTGCATGATTATCAATTTGTAGCATCGAACTCCTCAACAAGAACTCGTCCTTCCGCGATAGTATTTTTATCACCGTGCTGCGCAGAATCTTTTTTATCGATCGCGGTACTACTTCTACCTGATCTGATCGATTTATGTTTTACCCCCTGCGATAATATTCCTTCATGGTAGTGCAACAGCACACGCAGCACTACAATCACGTTGCTGTAACTGTACCTTGCGTTGGGTTGTTCCTTTTGCAGGTCCAGATGTGAGCGCATGTTTTCCCTCTTGTCCCGGGACACGATGGCGCCGGGGCCCGCGGTGCAGGGGCCCGAGACGAGCAGAATTATCCGGCCGGCGTGGATGTGTCAGGTTTGAAATCGTCAAAGTTGAAATAGTTTGTCATGCATAAAACAGATACCAGTTAGGCCTGCAGTTTGTAGTCGGTGCATGGCAAATTTTCCCGGTCCTGGAAGCGAGTCTGTCATGCGGTTTAGGGCAAAAGAGCTGCCTTCTGTCGTGCTAGTTAGCAGTCCAACTTTTGACCCTTACCAGGACTATAATCTGCCTCCCTTGGGTCCTCTGCAATAGAGTCACTTTTTGTGTCGCATTTTATGCATCACAAATTATTTCAACTTTGACGATTTCAAACCTGACGCTTCCATAGCCGGCGTGGCCCGCGTACAGGTTCTCCAGGAGTCCCACCGCCACGTTGAGCGCGCCCCCCGTGCAGCGCTGACACCGCTGCCGCCCCTCCTCCACCGGCCATCGGTCGGTGCGGAGGTCCTCCAAAATGTTATTCAACGCGAATTCGCATTCGGATATCGGCAGCAGAAACCGCTTCGCCGACTCCTATCAAAATGAAAAATCCCCCCTCCCCATATCGAAAGGAAATGTCTGACGCTGGATTTGAGTACACAAATCAGCTTTGTATTGCAGAAAAGCATTGCAGTCAGGTCCCCAGGCTAGGTAGGGGCGTATGCGTCTAGTTGTTCAGCATGGCGAGCGGCTTCCCTTTAGGCCCAACAGCATGACAAATCGCCTCCATAATGGGGCGGAAGCTTCTGCCCGTGCCTTCTTGCAAAACAGATGTGATTTGTGACCTCAAATCAGCAACACAAATTTTCGGAAACATGCATTTTCAATATGGGGAGGGGGGATTTTTCCTCTCAATAACTCCGTTCGCGTGTTCCCCCGGGGGTCGTTCCGCATGCTCACGCCGTATCAAATGTAAAAATGTCTGGGTCTGGAAGAATGCAACTCGTCATGCTGAATCTGAAGCATGCAAAAATCTGTGTTGCATGATTACCAAAAGTCGTCCGGTTTTGACCAAGTCGGGAGGGAGTTTGTCATGCAGGATAGGCATTGGAAAGGTCTCGCAGAATCTGTCATGCTATGTCCTACATACCAGACCTCATCGGTCATGGAAACCCTGCATGACAAATCTGGGAATCTTCCAGACCCAGACATTTTTGCAATCCATACGCCGAGCATGCCGGCTATTTGCTGCGTGCCGTACTATCCCAGAAAAAAAGCTAGCATTAATAACCACATGATTTTTGGTAGTGCAAAAATATCATATAAATCTGTCTTGCACGACAGCTGCCTAACCACCCTGTTACGAGTCTTCTCATGTGTTTTTCTTTTCTTCGCGTATACAAATATACCGTCTGAATAATAGCTTTTTTCTGTGTGACACGTACTGTTTCGTGCCCATGAAGGCGTAGGATTTGAGGAGCTCGCCCTGGAACCCCAGCTCATGCACGTGCACCATGGCACCAAAGGTGATGAACCCGACCAGCGAATTTTGTGGCATCGACTGCAGAGTCGACTGCAAGGCTTCTTTGGCCTTCTCGAACTCTTTCCAGTCCTCCGGGTTATTCAGCGCTGTGTCGAGCACGAAGAGAAAAACCGGTGGCATGCAGGAGGTGTTCGGAAGGAGATATTCAATCGTCGGCGACCTGCGCGATAACGTGTTTGATTTTCTTCATTGCGCTTGATCTTTATATTTGGTCTGCTTTTTTAATTTCAATTTCATACAAGCTCCTGTGTTGAGACTTATAATTTTTCGAAATCAAGTTACTCTTACGCCAATTCTACATTTTCTCCTGCGGCAGCTGGGACTCCGAAATATTTTCTGCATAGTACGGCGGTAGCTGCTGTTTGAAGCCACAAAAATTGCAGGTCCAGGTCTTTGCACGAAAATCGACGTAGCAAAAGGGGTTGAAGACCGCGACGCAGTTGTTGGTGCCCGATTTGCAGACTAGCGGGTCGTACCCGACAAGCTTCAGGTCGGTGACCTGGTGCATTGTTGCGCAGGAGTTCGTACGTATACAAAACTTGTTATCACGAGGGCCATGCATATCTTATCACGTGTATGTGTATCTAACTTTACGTATGGATGATCATGATGTACCCAGCAAGAACTGTGGAATCTGTGTTATAGTTTGAACAACTACCTGTTTCAACGGTGAGTAGATGCAGCCGAGAGGCACGACGATGCGATTCATATCTGCCTTCGTATTGGGCCACAGGTTCCACGACATCCGGACGCCGTTGGCATCCTCTTGCGAAAGCAGGTCCATCTTCGCACGCGAACCACGTCTGCGAAGACGACAAACCGCGATCGACCTGCTTAACTGTTGGCGTGGCTACCACGTTGATGATGTCGCTTCCCGCTTCGCGTTGACCGCCCCTCGGTGCTGCCCTGTAGTACGTGAACCCCGGCGGTCGCTTCCTTTACGCCATCTCATTGTCGCAAGCAACCGGAAACGGTCACGATGGAAAGATGCTGGAGCTTAGATGGACGTCTGTACGACGCCCGGGATGTTACCCAACAAGGGGCCGCTGCTAGGCGGCTTGTTTTCACAGGCAGGAGGTTCGTGGCGGTAGTTGTCCATTGAGGAGTTATTCATAAGTTTCTGCTACCTGCTAGTACGACAACGGTTGCACGATTACGAGCGACGAGGGGATATATGCGACGAATGTGGATCTGCGTGCTCCTTAAGAAACTGATATTGTACATGTCTTTTTAACCTCTTGATGGTTTCCAGACAGCAGGCTGGTATTGCAGTAAACGAAAAGAGTAAATTCTGTCCAACGTACTTGTTCCAACGAAAACAACGAATTTCCAACGGGAAGTTGCGTTTCTTTACCCTGTGATTTAACTAGAGCAAAGATAATTATACCGGTGTAAAAAGATCAGGATCGTCATCACGTAAGTACCCTGAAGAGGGTGGTGTTTCTTTCCAAGAAAGACGATCTGAAAACATCACGACACACAGAGTACCGGAGCGAAAGATGTACAAACAAGGTAGCACTGCGAATCAACCGAAAAAAGTGAGCAGGAAGACGACGAACATGGAAGTGGAACCAAAAAAAGAACCACGTCAAATAAAAGTTTCTCCATCAACACACGAGGTGCTAAGAAGAACACACAAGAGCTGTGCAAGGCCTGGTCGTGGTGTGCAAATGGCGAAAGTAGACCGCCTTTTCACCCGTCAACTTTTTCCTCCACCCGCTGGCAGTGCCGCTTCACGCTTGTTTCATGCGATTTTTGTCTGAGGACGATTGCAATTCATGGATATGAAGTCCGATTCGGGCAGAATCTGTGCGCCTTCTGCTCGTCGCCTTTTGTAGTTTAGCGAAATAAACCGCGCGTGGTGGTCCGGCGGCACATATTGTTTGTGGCTTCCGTCGTGTCCTTGTCCTCTGCTCGCCGATTTTTGCTCGTCCAGCGGCCCAGCTGCTCCTTACCACCCTCAGCAGGGACCAATCACTATTTGATTTTCCGGAGGTAGTGAAAAATGCTTACAATACATTGTTATCGGGACAATGAAACTACATAGTTCTACAGTAATAAAAAACTGCGTAAAAAACTGAGGTAATTTCTAGAGAGTACCGCAACGAAGCTCTTTGGCCATTATTCAAATCGGATTAAGAGGGCGCGTCTCAAAAAGAGATCGCCGGGTGAGTCAGCCTACAGCCATACAATACCGGTGTGATTTTCTAAAACTCGAGGTTCTTTGATGAACAAGGTTGATGAATTCGATTAGCAAGTGTTGTTGATACTGTTGAAATTGTGATCTGCTGGAAGTGTCAGTTTTTTCTTTCCCCTGATGTATTCCATTTATACTGTACGCATACGGTCTTCTCTACTCGTTCTCCCTTCGTCTAACCCGACTTGAAGAGCAGTACTGCGACCTGCAAAGTTACGTTTTTCTCTGCGTCATCTTCCGTATTCTTACCCCGCAAATGGTAGAGCGCACGACAAGAAGTCCCAGCAAAACATAAAGAAGCATCTTGATGACCAGACTAGTACGCAGGGGTCAAAACCACAAAGAATACCTGTCCCAGGTAGAAGTAGATAAAGTGCTTGGTCTCGTGGGTCACATAACTCCCGAAGTTGCGGCCCACCACGCAGTGCCAAGTCTGAGATTGATTTGAAAATTTTCATGAGGACAGTGCGCGTGTTCTGCTGGTGCGAGTACTGCGCGACGGCGATGCATCCATCATCCAAAAAGAGCGAACTCTAGCATATATGCGCACGAGTCACAAATCAACGAGAAGAACCAGACAGCAATTGTGACTTATCTATACCGGGTTGTATTTCTTGTCGAACTCCTTCTTGATGAAGGCCGCAATGTCCTTTTCGATGTTGTATTTTTCCAAAGCCTGCATGGCGCAGTCAATGGCGTCTTGCTGCATATCCTGTTGTGTGGAAAAATTCCGGAGCATTTGCATCAATCCATCATCGTAAGGAGGACGTGTACCTCTGTAGCGCCGCAGTTTTGTGTCTGCTATTCTTTGTGGGGGACGTGAGAAACAAAAACATGCTATGTTGTATATACCTCTGCCATGTCGGCATTTTTGATGACGGCCTTCCGATCGGACGACATCTTGGCTATGCTTTGTGGTCCAGCTACACAAGTGAGTTGCCCTCTACTTTCACCCCGAAAAAAAAGTCTACAGTTGATTTTGCATCAAACAGAGTTGCAGCCAACACAATGACGACAGGAAAACAAGAAATCCGTTGTATGCACTACATTTATTGGAAATTCCGCATGTTCTCTGCAGGCATAGCTACACATCAAAGGTGAATGAAAATCCGGACGCACATGATGGAAAGATGTAAGTATTTGGCAGTATGTGGTACCAGATGATGGTTCTGTTTGACGCAACGTTATGCGGAGGACGACGTCAACTTTACGCATCTGCGATAATTACAACTACAGCTTTCGCAGCAGGGGCGTACTTACTTTTGTTCAACGAGAGCAGCGAGGGAATAAAGCGCTTGTTGGTTGTTCTTGTTTCGTATACGTGGAGCGCGTAATTATCTATCATACTTACGTACACGGCCTGGCCAGACTTCGTTCATCTACTTCCAGAGCTAAACACTTTGACTTCTCTACAGTCGCACCCACGTACTGCTTTTTCAACCGGCCATGATCTTCAGTTTAGTCAACACCTTCCTTCATCGATGTCACAGCACTTTGTATTCCACTGATGATGATGAACTTTAGAATGTGTGTGGGGGAACGATGTCTCGTGCCTCACAGCTCCCCCAGACTCTTCCCCGCGCCGCGCCGGGTTCCGTGTGGTAGTGGCCCGCTAGCGACGGGGGGTGCGGGCCGACGGTGACAGCGTCGGGTTCTGCCCCACGTGCATGGGGTGGGTAGAGGTACCTGTGACTCCACCAGTCCCCGAGCCGCGACCCGCTATGTGGAGCCAACGACCCGTAGCACCCGTGATAAGGTGCGGTGACAACTACGAGGCCGGGTTACTTCGCGAACGTGTTGTGCATGGCGGACGGGTCGGAGGGGCGCGCGCGGCGTGCCGGCTTCGCAACATCTTGTGCCAGTGTACAACAGAAGCGGATCTTGAGGATCTTATCGCGGTCAACGCGCATTTTGTGATCTTTGTGAATCCTCCCTGTTTTCGCAGAACACTTTGCAGGCAGTCACGGCGTGGCTCGACTCACCTCGTAGTTATCGTATTTGGACAGCGCACTACGGAATTCTGTATGACAAGGTTTGTAAGCGGCATGGCACCGCGTGCCTGGCCCGTGCCTGTGGTAGGGCACGCGCCACTGCTGCTCTGTAGTGCCATTTATTCATAGTGATTGTGGTTTTTAGGCTGGAAGACGGATCGCTCTCACTATCGTGGAATATAGGTACTGCTATCTCGCGTTTGTGCCTGTGGTGGGGCATCGTTCTTAACCCGTACCCCCGCCCCCCCCCGAGGCGGCGGTTAAGCCGACAGCGGAGCAGACGGACTACACGGGTGGGTGCTCGGCCGTCCGACCGGACCGCCGTCGGGAATGGTGCTGCTGGACGTCACGGCGCCCCTGCTGGTGGTGTCGGACGTAGTGCTGGTCTCGGCGGGTTCTTCTCCCTGCCCCGCCCCTGCCTCGTCCTCTGTCTCGGAGTCTTGTTCCCCGCCGTCGAGAGGCCCTTCCCGGGCGTCGCATACTGTGCGGAGGAAGTCGAGGATCTCCTGCGCGTCGGAGGTTCGTCCCAACCTCGTGTACTCGTGGCAAACCCGGATGTGTTTCCACGAGTCTATTGTCTCCCCACAGGTGGAACATATACGGGGGCGGAGGCCGAGATCGCAGAGGGTTTTGAAGCGCATGCCGCCCGCTACCTCCCCCACCATTCGCTGCAGCCACCTGCCTTCGCCCCGCGCCGCCCGGTAGAGTTCTTTGAGCTTTTTCCGGTTGAGGTCGAGATCGGTGATAACCTCGCCGGAGACAGACCCCGCACGGGCCAGTCGCCTCATCGTTTCCTCTTCTTCGCTTTCCAGCACTGCCCGGGCCGCCTCTTTCGTTTCTTCGTGGCACAGAGGCTCCCCTTCCGGATTCTCGTCTGTGTTGTTCCCCAGCGGTGCGTCGGGACAGGCGGCCCCACATATCGCATCGACGATCTCATTGGCCTCGATGCCACAGTGTGCAGGGGTGAAGGCCAGTGTGACTTTGCTGTATCGCCTGGCGGCGTCGTCGAGCAGCTGCACCAGCTCGACGTCCTTTTGCGACCCATCGAGAACAGTGTGCGTGAGCCGCTCCAGGCGCTCAAGGAGGCCAAGGCAGTCGACCATAATGAGCACCTCTTTCCCCCTGTTTTCTTCCGTTGCCCATGTTTCCCCAGTGAGATCGCTGAGGGCGCGCTCCAGGCCGAGGCGCTCCATGGCGTACGCGCTCTTCACTGCGAATCGGCGGTATGCCTTGCACTCGCTTTGCCCGGAGCGCATGACGAGTGTGGCGCACGCCCCCCTGCCCGCTTGGAAGGATCCGTCGGTGGCCACGAGGATGCCCCCGCCTGCGATGTGTGTGTGGGAGCGCTGCGCGAGCTCCGGCGCATCCGGGTCCCGGCATTCGAAATGAATGTTATCCGCTTCGATCATCGGGATGGTTTTGAAGGGCTCCACCAGCTGCGGGTCCCAGCCGGTTTTCCGCAGGAGCGCAACCCCCTCCGCTACCCACCCGGCTTCCTGGTGTTGCGCGTCCCCTTCGCCCCCGAGTTCGGGCGCATATGTGTGGAAGCTTTTGCCTGTGGGCGGGTGTTGGGCAGCTGCTGTGCCAGTTATCCCCTGCCGGCGATCGTAGTACTCTGTGTACGTCTGGTCGCTGAGTGCCGTAAGGATTTGGTTGTCTTCCTGGGCTTCGATGTCCTCTCGCGGGATCGGGATCCCCGTGGCCCGCACCTTCCAGTTTTCTCGCCTGCGCCCCTGGCGGCCCCGAGCGCCATACAATGTCGCGTCAAGCGTCCGGCGCAGATTTGTCTCAGGCCCCCTGATGGTGGCGTCGATCAATCGCGCGACTCCCCGCACGTACGCGTTCTGTATGCTTGTTGACTGGGAGAGGATGCGGAGGCTTTCCAGTCGCATCAGCTTGGTATTGGCCACCACCAGTCTCTGTGCCGGGTTTAGGCCGTCCGTGTTCATGCGCCTCATGACCGCGGTCGGGCAGTACGATCCCCAACTGGCAACCCCCCAAGTAGCCGTCTGTGTGATCAATGCCCGGGCCGTCTGTGCAAAGACATATGGTTCCAACCCCCATTCGTAGTTCGAGAGCCTTTTCAGGATCGGGAGGCGACGGCGGATTTTCTCGATGGTGTTCGAGACGTGCCGGCCGAAGTGGAAGAGGTGGTCCACCTCAACACCCAGGACGCGGTGGTGGGATACTTGCGGAAAGGGCAGCCCCGGGAGGGGGGCTGCTTCCCACGGCAAGTCGAGGACCTGCGGCCCGGTCTTGCCTCGGCCCTCTCGAAGGAATTCGTGCCGCCGCTGTTCCCGCCCCGCCACCTGCTTCCCGACTAGGGACGCGTCGAAGACCAGGCACTTCGTTTTCTCGGGGTCGAGAGTTAGCCCCAGGCTGGCCAGCTCTGTCCTCAGGCGGTCCGCCATCGTGTTCATCGCCTTCACCAGGCCTGCCCTAGTTTTTGCGGCCACGAGGAGTACTCCATCGTCCGCGTAAAAGCAGACTTCTCTCTCGAAGTGGCTCCCCTGACCCGTGTCGCCGCCGCGTAGGCGTCGGGGCAGCTCATCTATAAGCAGATTCCAGAGCGTTGGACTAAGGATGCCTCCTTGGGGTAGTCCTGTGAGTACATCTCTATATGTAGAGAAGTCTTCCCCCATTTTGACCCGAAACCGCCGGCCCCTCATCCATGACAAGATGAATTTTCCGTACGCCGCGTTCATCCCGCTCTCCCTGCATCGGTCGAGCAGCTTCCCCACTCGTACGGAGTCGTATGCGCCAGTTATATCAGTCGATATCAGTCCTACGTGGAGCCCGCGGGCGAGACGGGTGCTACTCCAGTGGAGGACTTCCGCAAGCTCCTGCTCGCAGCCAACGTGAGCGCGGAAAGCGTGCTGCGACCGTGAGAAGGTTTCGCGCCCGGCCGCGTCTTTGGTCTTGATCTGTGCGAGGATTCTCCACAGGAGAACTCGCTCGAAGGTCTTGACTACCGCTGAGAGGAGGCTGATGGGTCGGTGCCCAGTTGCCGCCGCCTGGTTTTTCTTTGTATTCCACTAACGAAACGCGAGCAAGGTAAAAGCGGGTGGAACAAAATGAATTTCGGCATCCGCAGCTACATACGCGAGCAGCCTTTCTCTCCTCGAGCGCCGGCACAGTCCAACGATTCTTATTTCTGTGTATTTTTCACTCTCGCGGAGCAATTGCGAAACGAGTTCGAAAGATGAACTTATTGCCGACTACAAGCAACGGCTAGAGTTGCATTTCAAAAAGCATCTGGTAAGATCGCGAACCAAAAGCTGTATTGTACAAGGTGCTTTCCGGTATGAATTATCTCCGAGCAGTATACAAGAATCGTGGGCGAACGGCCAACAAAAAGGTCTCTGGCATGCACATTTTCATATGTCAATTGACATCCGACCAAAACATTGTATAAAAAGTAGGTGATAGATATATCATAAATATCGAAGCGGCGTGGTTGGATTCATCTTCATCTGCGAAATCTCTCCTTGTTCAGCAGTCCTTTGTGCATTTCGTCTTCACGCCACCACTTCTTGGGCAAACATTTCCTCATCGGAGTCTGCAACTTCCTCGGCGCCCATATGCACTGCAAACATGTCTGGGCCTGGAAAACAAGTGGGACCTGCATAGCGTTGCTTGTCTCGTAAATAAATCTGTATGGTATGGTATGGGCGTGCGTGGCGAGTAGTGTAGCACCTAATCATTGTGCCTAGTACGACTACTTGTACCCGACTCGGGTGTTTAGGCACCTCCGCCAAAGTACTACACTACTAAAACTTTCACTTCCCGGTGCCTGGTGTGGGCACTGCGGGCCACCGTAGTGGTGGTCTTGTAATGAAGCAAACGCTTTAATAGCGCGCCAAGCCTGATCACAGACTTATAACCCTAAACCCCGTCTAGTATATCATCCTCGTATTAGTGTATTAGTGCTTTTGGTGTAAAAGTTTTGTCTTCTTGGTACTAGTAGCGCTGCCTTGTAAATATAGCCCCAAACCCGTCTACGTCTATGCGTGTGCTTTAGTGGCGCCGACCGGGCAAAAAACTATCGCAGCATCCGGAACTACAACCTTTTGAACAGAACTACACCTCTACCGGTCCGTCACACGCAGGCATGCCCTTCATCTAGCACTATCACGACAACTGCCGCGCGCCGGCATACAAATCATACAAGTCTGCGGTCAGTGTCATATCGTATCTGCCCCCCAACAACCCAGATAGTCCCGAACGGTGTACAAACCCGGGGCTCCAATGGACTGTCAGTTTGCAGGGGGGAGGAGTCACGCACTTAGTGTATTTATCTATCGCCCCCGTTTATGTAGCGTGGGTCGGTGTGTTACGTAGGTTCTGTAGAACAAGCGCGCGACCTCTTTTATCATGCCAGAATGCAGGGGTGCGCGAAGCGCACTACACGACCTGAAAAAGCGCCCAAAAACCTTGTCGTGCTCGGCTGCACCCAAATGAAGCATGATCAACTTATTTATCACCATTCTGCATGGCAGCTTCCTTGTCAGACCTCGACGTGTGCTTACTTTAAAATTTGGATACACCAGCTTCTCGTACATCTTCGCCTTCCAGCAGTTTGGGTTCCCGCACGCCTTGCACATCCGATATTTTTCCAGCCGCATCTTCCGCTCCTGCTTCTTCTTGATTTTCTCGGATTTTTTCTTTTCCAGCTCCCGCTCCTCGGGCGTCTTGCACACAAACTTGTGTTGCGCGTTCCAGTGCTTGGTCTGGCACGCGATAGAGCAGTAGAACACCGGCAAGTCGCAGCCTCGACGGCACCGCGCCAGGTTCGTTGCACGCTGCTTGCAGGAAGCGCACTGCTGCTTTGCGAGCGTAGAAAACGCAGGAGCGGCGCGCAGTTGTTTCGGGCTCTCCGACAGGGGGAGGTTTTCCACTGGCGCGGACTCCGCTATTGGCGTGTGGTCCACGTTTCGCGAAGAGGCGACGGGGGAGGAGGGCATGACTTTTCCGAACGCAATCCCAAGCCGGAGCAAAGAAAGAACAAAATGAAATCGAATGATGCTTAGAAGTGGAGGACCTGGACCTGCTACTGAGGCAAGAGATAATGCTACCTTCCGCCAGCTATTTGTCAGCATATCTTAACAATAACATGTACATGGTAGTAGTTAACAAGAACGACCACCCTTCCCTGACAGCCAGAACGATGGGATCTGCGCGCTACTTTTCGTCCGGCGATGATCTTCAATCAATTCATCATCAGGACCATGAGTGCATGTCACAGTCACTACGAGACACGAAGCCTGTAGGAAATGACTTTTTGTTTTTGAATCAATGATTTGCCCCCTTTTCGTCCCGGCTTCCTTGTCCCTTACAACCAGATCAGCGTTAGCATCTCGATGTTTTCGGTTTGAAAAAATATCCCGCCTAGAAGTATGTTGTCAAGCGCCTAGAAGTATGTAGACGAGTCGCTCTGAAGTCGTTTGTCAATGCGCAAAAGCGAGTTCTTCTCGTCCCCTATGTAAAACGAGTTCAGCTGCATCCGGGGTGAACGGACGCTTTTAAAATTTCACCGTTTTCACAGGCATGAGGTAAAAAAGTCGAATCACAGACCGCGTCGACGTCGGCCAGCAACTACATCAATCGCCCTCCAAACGAGTTGATGTCCACGCAGCGTGCTAAACATGTTGAAGTTGTTGGTGGAAGACGGAGCGAACGCCCAGCGTGCTTGCAGATGGTTCCAAGCTACAACCCGCTCACGTGATCTCCGTCTGTGCCACTTCCTCGTAGCACTTTTGCCGCAAGGCGTGGAGCTCGTTGCGACTAAACCTGCGCAATCCGAACGACTCCTTGAACAGTTCGTTGTGGTCGCAGGCGTTATTCACAGCGTCTTTCAGTTTTGTGTGGCACACCTCCAGCGAGTCGCCGCGCTTCAGCTTCGCACGCCGGACCAGGATGAGGCTCAGACGGAAGAGGACCTTGATCCCCTCGGCGAAGAGGCAGTCCCAGAAACGGTACAGAGAACCCGACGGGAGCCCCTGGGGACCGGCGAACAGGGTCAGAAACCTGTTTTGCATTTCGTTTGGGTTGACATTTTCAGACAAGGAAGCATCCGAAGTATGTTTGTACTGCTGCTAGCTTGCCCAAAGAAATTAAAAATGAATTTCAATTTTATGTAACAGTATCCTGAAATAGAAGTATGCAACGTCGCAATCGAGTCAAAAGTCACCTTACCAGGGTGCCTGAAAGGCGACGTCCAGCTCGATGTGCCAGGTCGCCTCATCGGCGATACCCCGGGTCTTCATCAGTTTTCGCAGCGCCATCGAGTCGGCGCGGAGAAGTCGCATGCCGGGTATGTAATACCCCGCCTGCTTCAGCTCCCACTCCTTGTGCTCCTGCGGCAGCGCGAAGGGGTAGTAGCCTTCGCAGATCACGTCGAGGGCCCAAAACGCGGCCTCCGGTTCGAGAAAGAGCAGCAGACGACCGACGATGTAGTTCAGACCTTGCAATAATTCAAGTTCAACCAATAGGATCGATTATGGTCGGTAATTGTTACACTACCGCGCAGCTTCAAAAAAAGAACTATATCTCACTTGTTCGGCTGAGTTATGTACCACTTCTTACGCAGAAACTACAAACCGCACCTTGGCAGTAGCCTATGCTGGGGTGCCGGAGCGCGAACGCCTGCAATACGGCGCGCATCTTCTCCTTGGACTGCGACAACGTGCTGTGTCTTGAAAAGGTGCGGTCCAAATCCACCTCGATGCTGTTCTTCACCACCGGATCCAGCCCATCCAGATGAAACAAAGCGCCCCTAGTACCCCGGAACTACTTCTTAGAAGCCTCGACATTGCAACATGATGAGCTAAGTAGTCTTGCGCATGTGGGCAACTCAAATTTCATCTGTGCTGCAATAAAAGGACCAGTATTAAAGCCTTCCCTCGTGCAAACTGCTTTGCTCTTCTAGAATCTGCATCAAACTAACAGGGTCCTTCTTGTCCCTTGATTATACAAGACAAAAAGTTCCCACTATTAGAAACTTTGCATCAGAGAAGGTTCGCGTTTCCGCTGGTGAGGCACTTTCTATTTTCCCTTTGATACAGCCCGCTTGATTTCTTTGACATCGTGCTTGCCGCGGTAACTGCGGACGAGGAACTCGCTGTAGGTTTGGGCTCCGCGGCGGCCTCCGCCGAGGCGGCGGGATTCACTGAGCCCCTGCTTGCGGAAGGATTTTGTGATGCGGCGGCAGTTGTAGGCGAACCGGCAGGAGTAGAAACTCCTTCCGCAATTGTGCCGTCATAGTTCTTGCTCCCGCGCCCACCTCCAGGATCGCCTGCGCCGTCTACTGCCGTCGCGGCGGAGTCTATCTTGCTTTCCTGTTCCGCGGCTTGTTCTTGTACAAGATCGTTATTTTTCGTCTTATCTGGTGCATTCCTACTGCCGCTCGCATTTTCCGTGCTGTCCTCTGGTGCCACCTCCTCCTGCTGCTGCGCGAGCTCTGTCAACTGCTGAAATACGCCACTATTCGCCTTCTGCTTCAGCGCACTGCCTAAACAGTGTGTCCACACCTCGGCCCGACGGTCGTCGGGTACGCCCTTGCGGCACAGTGCGCGGAGCTCCTCGGAGAACCGCGGCGGCAGCGTTGCAGGGAAGCGGTTCTTTCTCCGTTCACGCTTGGTGGTGAATCGCTCCTCGTACTTATTACAATGAAAAGTGCCCCCCACCCCCAAAGTTGCAAAAATTTGTGATGCGAAGTTTCCAAAAGAAAACTTTTTGTCATGCATGAAAGGAGTATGAATCTTTCTGATGCAGATTCTAGTCGTGTTTCGCATCGCTTGCATGACAAGCGCCGCTCTTGCTGGGATCTTGTGCAATAAAAATTTTTGCTATTCACGATCGGAAATCTGTGATGCTGATACATGCAAGAGGGCGAATGTTTCATTTGGAAAGGTTTGCAATACAAATGCTTTCAAGTTCGGGGGTGGGGGTATTTTTCATTGTGATAGTATTTCGAATCGTCCACTGAGCACTCGAACCCGTAGGAATCCAGGTGGTGCAAGCTGGGTTTGCTGGTCCGCGTATCCTGAGTAAAAACGTCCCCACACCATAGTTAAGTTGGGATCTCTGCAACACAGATCCTGAAGTTTTGGACGCCACGCATGACAAGTTGCAGCCCGTAGTGTAGTGCAGGTTAGCAGGGGCAGCCGCATCACAAATCGAGATGCGTATCCTGTTTACAGCATTACAAATTCCAAAACACGACTGGAAATGCCCATCATAGGGATGCGCATCACAAATGTTCTTGTCATTGCAAATCTGCATGACAACTCTGGGGTCGTGGGGATGTTTTTACATAGGATACCGCGCGCCCTCTCCCTCCGGCACCTTGCGGCTGGAGCTGGCTTGCTTCGTCGGCCCGGCAATCGGAACACCGCCCGCGGTTGTACTAGTTGGTGGCGGCAGTGGTGGTCCGCCACCTGGTGTCGTCGTGGCCGCGGGAACTACTTCACTTCCTGCAGCTGGGCCGGGACCCCCGGCCGCCACACTGCTTGCGGAGCTTTCCTGCATCCGCGGCGAGTTTTGCGAAGTGGTGGACGCAACGGGCGAGGTATTGTCAGTGGTTGGAGCTTGTGCTCCGGGAACTGCGGACGAGATTACTTCTGTGGACGTATCGAAGGCTACCCTGCTCGTCTGCGGTACGACCACGCCGGAAGCAACCTAGGTTTGATGTTGTACATGCAGCCACTACAATCGACAAAGTGCTCCTTTCGAAAATTACTTTACCAGCATTTTTGCCTCTACTTCGGCTGTTGAAGAAGTGAATCATGCGTCCTTTGTAACTCAAGTTTACTGATAGAACTTACTTTCGCTCGCGGGGTGGATTTGGTACTGTAGGAGAGGCTCTTTTCGCAACACCCTCGCATGCAGGGGTGGCACTGCAACTTTAGAAAGTATTTGGGATGCTGTAGTTATCCCTGATGGAAAGATCCTGCGTCCTCCGCTTTCACACCACGTGGCCTTCCTAGTGCAGACGCAAGGCCACGTCACTGCCACACGGCGGCGAAAACGGCAGTATTTCGAATTTCCTTCAAAATAACGTGGCGTGCAGAAAGTACCAGACCAAAAGCAAATGCATCAGCCCGCGGGAATAAGTCGCTCGATTTGATGAATTCGTTGCCGCGTCTCAACCATGGATGGTAAAAAGTGCCCGAGACTTCTGAGTGGAGCCGTAGAAAGTTCCAGCTGCACTTCGTTGGACCTACACCTCTGTCAAACTCGAACCAAACGGACGACTAAAGAGACCACAACCACTGAATATTGATATTCGCACTCCATAAAAAAAGGCAAACACAGCTATCGACGCACACGAAAATGAATACTAGAATTCAGTCGCAGACCGTGGTACCGATCACAAAACACAACAAACAGTATCTCACCGCTTCGCAGAAATCTCAGTAGCGCCTCCTCCTTGTTACATGTAGTAGTACATAACGATGACGAGAAAACTCCCGCGAAACTTCGTATACTCTCAGCAACAGCACACGGCTTGGCGGTGAAACATATGACATAAAAGGATTACGTAGGAGTCCGGCTCTGAAGCCGAAGAAGAAAAAATTTTCGATTCGATGAGCCGGCTATTGCAATCTCTGGTGGGTCGGGGTCCTTGCCTCTGGCTTTTCTCCAAACTTCTGCGAAAGCCAAAAACAACTACGAGCCTAAAGAAACATGGAAACGAAGTAGAACGCGTTGCTGTTCTAAATGCTGTACAAGGATGAAAACCACCAGAGCTGCTGCAGCACACCATCACGATCAGGGCCGCGCACGCCAAGATCATTCTTGCTCACACAGCATCGACTCTATTCTTTTGTCGTTTCACTTTTTGCTTTCTTTCTTTTATTTGAAAGTCGCCCCGAAGGACAAACATCGACTCAATCCGCGCTGTACGCGGTCCCTATGCAGACGTCCTTGCGCGAGTCAGTACTGTAGTAACTATAGTAAACCGTTGAAAAGTTGAGAGGGGCCGCTCTTTCAAGAGCGATGCACACTACCGAATTGGAGGCGCTACTACTATCCCGGCTCTCGTCATGCGAATCGCTGTGTCGCTGCTTGTAAATCAATGGAAAAATCAGATCGAGTGGGGTGTCGCCGCGGGTAGGAGAGGGAGATCATATCTTGATCATGTCGCTCTTCCTCCTGCGCGCTTTCAGACTGTATTTCTTTGTACTCCTTCTATCATCTCGTCGTAGAACCACCAGGATGAACTAGAGGGGCAGCACGATACCGTCGCTTCTTTATGACCATGTGCATGTCGGGGCAGCAGCGCGTATCGAAATCAACACCGTTGTTCCACGGTTGACTCGTTATCCCATCATAATATCGCCGCCGACGCCGAACCCCTGCGGTTGCTGGCCAAACAGCCCGCCGCCGCCGCCCATCATGGGCTGTTGCGGTTGCTGCATCTGCTGCCCTCCTATCGCTTGTCCGGTGAACGGGTTAATTTGCGGCTGCTGTGGCTGCTGGCCACCCATGATCATGGTATTGTTCAACATCGGATCTCCTGCAGCGTTAGTGGGTCCCGCCCCGCCCCCGAAGAGGTTCGCGCTTATCATGTTGTCCGGGCCACCGGGGCCGGTGTCGGCCTGTCCGAGCCCCGGACCCCACTTGTAGACGTAGACTTCGCCATTTTCGAGGCCCACCGCGAACATCTCGCTGTTTCCGCAGTCGGCGATGGACTTTACGCGGCAGGGCTCCTGCTTGTTTACGCAAAAGTCGCCGATAACCTCCAGCTCCGGGACCGTGTAGGCGGTGATCATGCCGTGGCTGTAATGCGAGACCAGACGAAATAATTGCGTCGTGCGCTTTCGCTTGATTGATAAAGACATTAGGCATTTGTCGTGGGAGCGTATGAATTTCTACCTTTGCAGCGAGGTGAAGATGATGCAAGTACGACATCAAAGCCAAACGCGAAGATTCGAAGAAACCATCATGCTGCGAGTCCTCGTGAGTAGAAAACAATCAACATGAACATGATGAAAAAGTGAGTATAATACTCTCCGCCGAGTAGGAAGACAATGGTGTCATTGGGGCCGTTCATCATTTCGCTGCAGTAGACGTGCTTTGTGCTTCTGCTCGGCCCGGCTTCGAACACGGGCTGGCCCTGGGTGCTGTAGCATTTTATGACCCCGGTGCGCAGGGCGACAACAACGTGGTCTTCGCGATAGACGAAAAAAGGCCCCACCACCGCTCCGCCGGTGTCCAGATTGCCTTCGCACACGAGTTGCTGCATGTTGATGCACGCGATGCCTGCATATAATTTTTTCCTTCAGCATCCACGACAAGTTGCACCCGTCAAGGCAAGATGCGAATCATTCCCGTGGTCAAGTTTTATACCTTTTTCTCTTCCTACTGTTGATGCGCGGTTGTATTAAACATAACTACAAACAAGCCAAAACTCAAACTATATGGCAAGCGTGGCAGAAGGAAATGACAACCGGGCCGTTGAAAGGTTACGAGCACAGGAAGTTTACCCAATTGGGGAAAGCAAACGAATCGGAAAAATCCTTCTCCCTGTAGATGAAGGTCACATTGTTAAAAATACCTCGTTCGCCCCCGAGCCATATTCTGGTGTTGCTGGGATCTGCGCCGATTGTTCTCAGGCAGTGCAGCGGCCCGACTGGCGACCGCGCGGAAAAGTTGTTGACGAATGTTCGGCTCTGGTCACTGAACTCCCACACTTTGAAAGTTTCGTCGTGGGAAACGGAAAGCAGAAATTTGTCGTAAACGTCTGTTAGTAGAAGTGGTTTGAAAATCGAAATCACTTCTTGCGGTGTACAAGATATGTTGAAGAAGTCTTTCTTTTCATAGTACGGAGAAGTAAGTAGGTTGGCAAAAAAAAAAGAAGAAACATCAGTACAGAGCTGCGACACGGCTTTCTCGTGACCTTTGAGCACGAGTTCCATCTCGGGTTTCTGCTGAAAGGCCTTTATTTGTCCGGAGAACAGCCCGACAAAAAGCCACCCGGTCGCTGGCTCCACGCAGAGCGACTGGACGCCGGTATGCATCATGGCGCTGCTGAACTGTTTCAGGAACAGGCGCTCCTCCCCCGGATTTTTGCCGGCCCCGGTTTCGCCACTCCATATCGACATCGACTTGTCCCGGCTTCCCGCTACTATTCTTCCGTCCAGCATTGCAAGACAGTCCACACTGTCCCAGTGCCGTATATTGCGCGGCAACGGCGCGCTCACTCGCTGCAGCACGTTGCAATTCTGGTGGCCAAGCGTTTTTCTGTTGAGACGATGGGGTAACTAACATTTCTTCTCAAATATTTACTCAGTTGTACAAGAACAACCGGAACGGTTATACTTTACTTGTTCTGTGTCATCGTGCTTCGTTACGGATACTTACGTTGTGTGAGCTTCTTCATTCTTTGTCACTAGTCAGATCGATATTTATCAAAAATCTTTAAAATGATAGAGTACATTTCCCGGTTGCTCACGAGGGGGTTTGAGCTTTTTCCGCCGTCTTTGCCGCCCTTTTTCCCGCCGAAATTGTCATTGTACTTGCCGCCACCTCCGTCCTTCCCATAATTGTCGTTGTACTTACCGCCTCCGTACTTCCCCCCGCCGAACGGGTTTTTGTTTTTGTTGCTGCTCCGAAAGCCCCCGAAGGATCCCCCGTGCTGCTTGCCTTTCCCTCCACCATACCCGAACCCACCGCCCTTGCCGCCGCCTCCACCGCCTTTGCCGTAGGAGGGGTAAATGGAAGACCCGCCGCCCTTGTCGTTGAAGCCCCCCATCGTTTCTGGCAACGCGTATCTGACAGCCTGAAAGTAAGACTAGGGAGCGAGCGAAGAAATTCTTATTTTCCCGGCACGGGTGGTCTTCGCCGGAGAACCAAACTCTTGTCAGGGAGCAACTCCTCGTGGCGCAGGAGCAGCAGTGCAGGAGGACCTTCTGGGCAGGCGCAGGAGTTGTATTCTTCTGGAGAAGGAGGAGTTTCTGTTGCGGGGTCGGGCGGAGCTAGTGCAGCTATCGACCAGGAGGCTTAGTCGCTGTATCGGCGGGCTCCGCATGTTTAGCGAGGAATTGGCGCAATTCCCAACGAAGGCATTTCTTTCAGCCGACAAGACAGAAAACTGGCGCGCCACCGGTGCCGTGCTTTTCGTAGTATCATCTGCTCAGCGAGGGTCTTCCCGTTCCTTGTCTCAGCGGGGCGCGCATCATTTTGTGTACTGAAGGTTTTGTTCGAGGTTTGTTTGTCATACAGAAGTTGTTTTGGCAAAGGCTCCCTTACGCTAGGCAAAAGGGGCAAAAAGACTGGATCCTAGGATAAATCAGGGATGCCTAGCGGGGCTGCGGCACATACAAAAAAAATAGGGTGGTGGTGGTGGTGGTGCTAATATCTGGGGGGAGTAATAAAACGTCCAAGGGACTGGGTGAAATGAACGGGGACTGCACCCGGGTCGCAGCGAAAAGTGATAACGATCACGATGTCGAGCTTTTGTTTCTTACTATTCAAGGTGTGATATTTTTGTCTATAATTCTAGCAGTTTCATGGATCGACTGTTGGAACAATGAACTCTCAAAGGGGAACCAAGCCGTGTTTTGGAATGAAAGAGCCGGCTCTTCGCGGGTTTGCCATTGCACTGCGCGTGCACTGTGCCAGCTCTCCTAGTAGTCGACCTTATTATTTCAGAGGGATCAACGTGGTGTAGTGGTACTAGCATCTGCTTGCATCTATTCGGGTCGACGCCTCTGCGGAGAATCGACGCATACCAGATCAAGCCAAAACAAAACGGGATCGCTTTACTGTGGCCGAAGACGCTTCGCGAAAAGCGGCCCAGGCAGCAAAGTTCTACTTCCTCCTGCTCCGCGCATACCGTCGGATACCGCATTGATTCACACTTTTGCGATAGCAGCAGGGAAGCAGTCGATCGCATGCTGTGCAAGTGCGAGGTTGAATTTCCTATTATCCTGTACAATGAATAGTGGCACAAAGTAGTACTTGCTACTTTTGCAGCAATAGGCAGAAAAACAAACTACGGCCAATGCGCTCTGCGCGATGCTCCGCAAAATATACGCAGGCTCTTGCGACAAGAGAAACGCAGTACCACGGAAAGAGATACAGCCGACTGCCCATAGATCACAACTTTTTGCCACCCACCGCTCACGGATCGTATTTCTTGCGGCCAACTGCCCACAGATCGCGATTTTTTGTGGCCGGCGGCCCATAGATTGCAATTTTTTGCGGCCAGCTGCCCACAGATTGCAACTGTTGGCGACCGGCTTCCCGCGGATGGCGACTCTTTGCGGCTGGCTGCCCGCCGATGGCTTTTATTGGCTCCAGCCTTGAGCCAGGCGCAGGACGGCCGTCGGGTCCTAAATGAGCACAGTGCCCATAGGCAGCGCCGAAGCGCGATCGCGCTTGCCCGAACGCGAACAGCCGGAGAGTGGAGCGGCACCGACCGCCGCGAACCGGCGGTGGGGCACCCACAAGACCCCAAACAAAAGGGCGAACGCGAATCCGCCAAGGCGCCACCCGAGGCGCCGCGCCGCGCGGGGACAAGTCACCGGAGTGCAACGGGTCCTGCAGAATGGATCACGGCGAAAGCAACAACTGATCTCAGCAACCAAGTCCAAGCTGAGGCGGCACAAAGGGTGGGGGGGCGGGAAAACAAAAATCGGCCTCGATGCAATCGAGTATCCGGCGCACAGGCTTCCCTGCTGCCCGATATAGAAAGCAGCCCGTCAAGGGGCATGCCCCGAGTGGGGCTTGACTCCTCCTAGGGTCCGGCGCAGACGGATTACCACAATACGCCCCAGCCGACGCAGTGCCCACGAAGTACCGACCTGAACGGGGGCCGGCACGAGCGGATCATGCCATTGGAAGCCCCACCGCTCGGAGGGCCCCACAGGAAGGAGCAGGGGAGGCCCTGCAACCCTCTCGCCGACTGCGGGGCCGACGATCGCCCGCCCCGGGAAAAGAACTCAGCCCCTCCGCATCCGCTTGAGCACCTAGCACACCCGAGCGCCGCAAGGTTGGCCATTGCTGGGCCAATGAAACCCCACGCATTCGGCAGACTCACGCACATACAGAGTTTTTGAGCCAAGCTGCCCGCGACTGGCGATTTTTGGGGACGGGCTGCCCACGGATGGCAATGCTTTTCGGTTGACCGCCCATAAATCACATTTTTTTGTGGCCCACTGCCCATGGACGATTTTTTCCGTCCGGCGGCCCGTGGATGGCGATTTTTTTCGGCCGGCGGCCCGCGAGTGGCGACGTTTTGCGGCCGGCCGCCCTTGGATGGCTTTTCATTGGCCCCCGCCCTGACCCAGTCGTAGGGCCGTCCGGTCCCAAAAGCGCGCAGCGTCCGACGGCGTCGCCGAAGCGAGATCGCACTCGCTCAAGCACCCGGCGCCGGAGCGGCATCAGGGGCCGCGCCCAGCCGGCGGGGAACCAGGAGAAAGCGAACCAAAGGGCGAACCCGAATCCGCAAAGGCGCCGCCTCCGGCGCGGCACAACGCGCCCCCCGGTGACAAGTCATCTGGGGACATCGCACCGGGGCGCAACGAGTCCCGCAAACTGGATCACGGCCGAAGCCAAAACAGCGCATAGGAAGCGCACTGATGCGCCACCACCAATCAAGGGGGGGGGGGGGGGAAACAAAAACCGCCACGGTGCAGCCTTTCCTGCGGCCCGAACATGCAGAACCGATGGCACAAAGGCCGGAAAGGCCCGCGGTCGCGCTTCCGCGTAGCACTGTGCGACTGGATCGCAGCAAGATGCCAATGCCACACCCTGGCAACCAGTGACGGAGCCTGGCATGGCCCTAGAGGCAAATCGGGGCCAATGCGTGCGGAATGCCCGGAGCAGGAAGGGCTTCCCAAGTGGAGGAGGGGGCACGCCCCCCCTGATCGCCTTCCATGGACCGCCGGAGCGGAAGCCCTCCACCCTAGGCAAGGGCGCATGCCCCTGCGCACCCACAGGCCCACCCAGCACACTAGATCACCACAACCTTGGCCACGTGCCGGCCAATCAAACCCAGCGCATTCAGCAGGTTCCTCTGCATGCGCAAATGACGCTTTTTTTCTGGCAGGCCGCCGACAAGTGGGAAGCTTTTCCAGCTAGCCACCCGCGTATGGCATTTTTTTCTGGCTGGCTGCCTGTAGAGGACAATGTTTTATGACTAACGGCTCACAGTGGCAATTTTTTCCAGTGAACTGCCTGTCAGTCTGAATTTTTTTTGGACAATGGCGGATAGATTGGAATTTTTTGCGGTCAGTAGCCCCAAGATGGCAATTTTTGAAAGCACATAGCCACTAAAAGGCAACTTTTTCTAGCATATAGCATTTCAATGACAGTTCTTTCGTACAGGTCAGCCCTGGATGTCCATTGTTTCTGGCCACTGGCCTCCAAATGACATTTTTTCCGATTAAGAGCCCCAAGATATTGATTTTTTCCGGCCATCATGTTTCAAAAATGGAAAATTCCCAGACATGGTAATTTTTCCTGGCGAGCAGTGCCGACATAGAGGCTTTTGCTAGTTAGTGAACCGTAAATCACAAGACTCTCCGGTTGGCGGCCCCCGAATGGCTATTTTTTCCGGTCAACAGCCCCAAGATGGCAATTTTTACTGGCTGGTGGCCCCGAATTGGCGATTTTTTCCGGCCACCGGCACCTGAATGGCAATTTTTTTCCACCAATGGCCTTTCAGTGGCAACTTATTCCGCCTGGCCGCCCGGAAAAGGCGATTTTTTCCAGCCAACGGCCTCTGGGTGGCATTTTTTTCCGGCTTGTGGCCTGTGAAAGGCGATTTTTTCCGGCCGGCGGCCTGCAGAAGGCGATTCCTCCTGGCCAGCGGCCATCCATGGCGATTATTTCCGGCTGGCGGCCCGCGGAAGCCGACTTTTTCCGGCTGGCAGCCCGCGGAAGGCGATTTTTTCCGGCCGGCGGCCCGCGAATGGCGATTTTTTTCCGGCCGTCCGGTGCCCGCGCCCGGTCGTCCGGTGCCCGGCATAGAGCAATCCGCGGCGTCGGCCGCGCGCGCTCGTCTCCGATAGTGCGGGGCTTGCTGCTCTCAGCTACTACGTCAGACCCGGGCCCTCGTGGATTCATGGGGCGACCCAGCCGCGAAGGCACGAGTTCGGAATCCCAAAGCGGCGCGCAGCACCACATGAGCAAGGTCGCGCCCGCAGTCTTCGTGACAAAGAGTTTGGAGCGTCACCCTAGGCTTCAGATGACGCTGCTCCCCGCGGCGAAAGCGGTGTTGTTTGATGCTACCCGGGCCCGCGTGGACGCCGAACACTCGGGAGAATTCTCCGCGGAAAACGCCTATTGCGACGCGAGCCGGAAAGCGGCACGGTACGCGAACCGAAAGGCGATCTTAGGAACCAGAGCAGTAGCTTGCTCCGAACGGAAGTGAGTCGTGGCGGTGAACGCAAGCTCTACAACTCTGCTTTGTGTTCGCAGAAGCTTGTACTAAAAAATAGGCTCCTTCGTCAGTTTTTGCATACGTGTTCGCTCTTCGTCCTGTTTGACAACTGCAGCCGTTTTCGAGACCAAGCCGTGTTTTTATCTTGCGGAAGTGCACCGCAAATTTACGCCGCCGCACTTCGCCACAGACGGCGACTCGAAAAATAGAAAGTTCGCTTCTCGTGGTTTGTCGCTGCTTTCGTCGAAGAAATAAAACCTCGTTGAATTGCACCAACTGCCATCGAGCTTACACATAAACTAAACAAGAATGATAGAATCGCGAGCGCCCTGGTCGTTCGTCTTTCGTATTCGTGTACGACCCCCTCGCACAGAATGCACAAGTTCGGCTCGCGTGATGCATGCGACAGCCCGCATGCGTATTTGTTATCTGTTCAACCGCAGCTGTTTTTAGAACGCGGACCACTCGATATTAAGAGAAAACCTACAGAAGTCTTGTTAAAAATAAAGGAATCGTCATAGCAGAATTGGCTTATCCTTAGCACGGGGCCCCCGCCGAATCATGATCAATTGGCCGATTACGTACTTCTTCCCCTATCACGTGCTGGACTGCGTCGGCCTCCAGGGTACGAAAGGAGCGACGTCGCTTGCAGTTGACAACTACTGCTTTTGATTCGTAGATTGTTTGTGCATGCCAACCAACCGGCTCGGGTCCTTTTTGGAAGGCATGGGTGCGGGGGAATCAACTCGACAATACAACAACGGATAATGTTTCCTCGTGTCGCGTAGTTGCATTCTCATTTATTTTCTTATTGCGCTTGGTCCTTCGGTCTTGACACCAGTGCACGTTGTACAAGTGTTGATTACTAGACTGCTCCTCCAAAGCACCAGGACCCGAAGCCCCGGTCGACCAGGTCTGTTCGACTGCCGGATCAGGGCGAGTTCGTTGTTTTCGCATTTTTTTCGCATGGCATACCCACCGCGTTTGTCGGATACGCGGCCTACGTGATCGCGGGGATGGGTGGCCGCTACGCGGAGGTGACGCACCCGGGCTGCCCCGAGGCGCGGGTGCGCGTGTACCAGTTGGTGTCCGGGGCCGTCACACTGTGCGCCTTCAACTTCTGGGCCTACCATTCACTCCGAGCGGTGTGCAAACTGGACATCATGCCCACCGTGTCGGCCCTGTACGAGGAAGACAAGGCCCTGGCGAGCGCCGCGGCGACGGGGGGCACAACTTCGTTCTTGTTTGTGGGCGACGAACAGGACAACGCAACAACGAGGACCGACGAAGCATTGTCCTCGCTGGGACACCCCCGGCCGTCTTTTGACGGGGAAACGCCGAAGATGTTGATCTCGGCCGGTGGTCATCGTGCTCGAGTCGACGCTATTCCATTGGTGAGGATCGTAAATCCGAGTAGTAGACGAGTGGATGGCACTGCTGGATACCTTCTCTTCGCTGCCCTACCGTACCCGCACCACAATCGCACCGCCTGCGGTGACAGCAGAACTTGCCGCTTGCGACGCGTAAGAATGAGCGCGCCTTCGGGGATGAAGAACGGCAGCAATAACAGCGAGAGGAGGGCGAGGAAGGTATACTGCGAAGAGAAACAAAGCGACCGCTTGAGATTGTACCAGCGTGCGGCGGAGTTTATGTTCTTAGAACGCAAAACATCACGACGTAGGTCAAGCGAACGATTGTTCGCGGAACTAACAATGTGCGATGTGGTCGAACCTGTTTCCTTTCGAGGAAATCGAAATGCGTAAAATAACCCGGTAGTTCTAGTTCTTTGCGGTTTTTTTAGCAGGAGGCATGTCGTAAAAATGGTCTTGAGACTTACTCACTGCGTCACAAAGTGAGGTCAGTCAGCGGTTGTCGGGTCCGGTTGCTGTTTTTCCTTCCTTGGAAATTCCTTGTTCATGCCCCGCCATCTTGGATGCGCGCGTTTGCGGTCTGTCACTGGTGTTTTTCTCTACATACACTAAAAATTTCGGTTTCACGATCCGGCGAGCCCTTTCCGTTAGTCCGTTTTCACGATTCAAGATCAGTACCACGATGGTTTCTATGCGGTTATTGGTGATCTGTTAGTTTGTCTAGAGAACGATTGCAGACTCAATAATTGTAGCACTGATGATTTGGAGGAGTCACCATGCGCCTGCTGAACATCGGATATTTTGCAACGCGCTGGAAGATCAGACTGTCAAATGCTCAACCGGAGATCACGTTTGGTTCACTGCAAGACTTTGGCCACTGTGGTCAACTTTTCGCACTCCCACCTCACTGCTCAAATAAATTATTTTCTAAATTTTCTTTTTCACTTGACGATACGAGGACAAGCAAATTTATTTCAAGCCAAGATCGTTCTACCAGCAACACTATTTTTCCGTTTTTTTTTTACCGGGATGTTATTTCCTTTAAAGAAGCAACCTAAACCTGGCTCTAATTCATTTTGTTTATCTCGTTGTCCACTTCGCTTGAGAACTAGGCATCCTGCTTGTACTACATGAACGGTTATTTTCCGGCCCATGTGCCACAAGAAAGCGCGCCTAAGGGGAATGTCGCGGCCGCGCGGAAGTTTGTCTGCTAGTGCTCCGGGAGGTCGTCGTAAAGGAACCCTGTACACCAGCCGGGACTAGTTTTGCGACGAAGATATTCGCCCCAGATGAACTCAACACCTCGATGGGCCGGGAGTACCTCCTAACTGGGACTGGTGGCACAAACAGTATCAGTAAGACAAATCCACCCGCTGCTGGTCGTGTGCTTGTCCAGCTAGAAGTACGCCTTCCCGTGGCCAGGTGAAGTATTGCTATCGACGCAGAGTGCGGCTGGACCCTACCGCGCAAGAAGGGGTTACAGATGACGGGAACGACTATATCCAAGGAAAAAAGTGTTACAGTTACACATTTGTAGTCAATTCAGCAACACAAATCTCTCTGCATGAGAGAGAAAACTGGTAATGCAGAAATCCTACGGGAAAACACCTATGAAACGAGGCTCCTATGCATATCCGGCATGACAGAGCTTGTCTGTCTTGCTTGGCCTGCAACACGATGTGTAACTGTAACACTTTTTTCTTGCGATAGACTAGAGGAGCGACTCCCGACCCTTCCCGGTCGCGGAGTGCGTCGTCCGCGAGTTGCAGCGGGTCGTCCGTATCAAGTGTAAAAATGTCTGGGTCTGGAAGAGTCATGCTGTTTTTGCATGACACAGAAGGTCTGGCATGGAAGCTCTAGCATCACAGGTTTCGAGAAGCTTCCGCGATGCCGAATCCGCATGACAAGTCCCCTATTTTGCTGACAGAAAGTGGGCAGCTTTTGCTGCGTATGCATGAGAGACTTTTCTGTGTTCTGAAATACGCATTACATTCCAGACCCAGACATTTTTGCATTTGATAGTCCGCCACGCCAAACGACGAGGCGAGCCACGGCGCAGCTCCGGCCGCGGCGGTCGTGAACAGTTCTTCTGCAGCTACGCCTCCCGAAGGACACCAGCCTGCAGGGCCCCCGGGAGCAGTGCCTCCAGTAGTGCAGCAGCCCAGTGGGAATTTTCTAAGAAGGCTGCAACAGAGGTTCTTTCCTTGGCGACCGCTGCCGTGGTGGGTCATTCTCGTCGGCACCGTGTACTTCTTCTCCGACGTGCGATGGAGGTAAAAAGATTTTCTATCCGTTTACGTAGAAAAGCGAAATAACGCGGTCTAATTTCTGGAGCACCACCAGCGAAGAGGACGTCGGCAAGAGGAGGCTGTTTAGTTGTAAGCATAGTCCTGATCATGTTCCTTTTGCGCACACCAGGAACCTGTGTTTTATACTACTAAACAAAGATAGCATGATCTTGAAAAACCCCGACAGGTATCACGAGAGTCCTTGCAGCGTTCTCGGGCTTCCGACCACGTTCACCACCACTTCCATAAAGCGCGCGTTCCGGACCATCTCCCTGTGCACCCACCCCGACCGCCTGCGGTCGACGCTAAAGCGACAGCCGACCAGCAGCGAGGAGCGGGTAGGGCAAACGTTGTTCAACCGGCACACGGACGCGCGCGACAAGCTTGTGCGGTTTTTGGAGATCAAGGTTATCCATTGCATATTATGTCTGGGTCATCTGGATGAGGCCGCGCGAAACACGTTTTTCGGGCCGGATATTCCAAGTCCACCGCATGACAAACGCAGCTTCACCGCATGCGAAGAACAATTCTACACCAATTCTATTTTTGTTGCGCCCCCACGTTTATTTGAAATCTCGCACCTTGGTGCGAATCCAGACCCGGATCGGTATTTGCAATGCATAGGGGAGAAGCGGCGGCAGTTGCGACGGGAGCGGAAGAACAAAAAGCGAAAGAAGGAAAAGCTACCACCCCTACCGGACGAGGAGGACGTTGTAATGGAGGCAAGGTGCGAAGATCTGGACGCGACCAACTGGGGAGAGTTGTGGAAGGCGTTCGCAAGCTACCAGGCGGTCGAGGAGATATACGAGGCGACGAAAGCGTTTCTCTACTCGGTATATATCTTTGCCATAAGTGTTCGCACGCTCATATAATTTTCCGCGGGGTTACAACCTGCTGCGGTTCGGCCATGCGCGCCAGTGTTGGGAACAGGAAACGTACCTGGCGGGAAACACTAGCGCGGTTTTGATTTTCTACCTACTTATCAGAAATGCCGACAATCATTGTATCAGAAATGCCGACCGTCATTGTATTTTAGAAATACCGACAATAATTTCATCAGTACAGCAACTAATTGGAAGAGAGTCGTGGAAGAAGTATCTACTTGCAATAATTAAAAACAGCTGATCACCTTCGAGGCGGGTTTTCTCACGACTGTGGCGCTGTCCTTTTGGTTTATTTTCCTGTATCGAATGCTGAAAGAGCTGTTTTCCTGGGGCGTGAGCGCAGGTAGAAGTTGTGAGACTTTTAATACGTTGCCGGCTGCTTCTTCTGGATGATTTTTTGCTTGCGCAATCCGATACTTGCACCGTTCGGGAGGAAGTTACTTAGTTTATATAGCATTTCGATCTACTCGAAGATGTCGACGCGTACGACCGCAAAAATCCCTTGATCCTCAGGTTTTGCCCTGCCCCTCTACATCGTCGGCGCAACCATCTCGCGGCCACTGCCGACCCTCCTGCGGTTTTTTTCCTTGCCGTTTTTGCGGGTGTGGGTCTTCACCGAAGAGCTCCGAGGGCTCTCGAAGCAAAAAGAAGAGGACTCGAAGGAGGACAACGTCTCGCCCCGCGGTAGCCCCGCTTCGAAGGCCGACAAGAAGAAGAAGAAGGATGGTGAGGTAGAACAAACGGAGATGACGAAAGTAAAAAGGAGCACCAGGCATCTGCAGGCAGAAGTGGATACGACGATAAGAAAGAGGATAAAAGTAAGAACAACAGAGGAGACAGTGGAACCGGAGGTCGCAGGTATCTGCTTCATCATTACAGTCTGGGAAATGATGCGTTCCGTATAGCGCCGTGTGTGCATTGTTCTCTCCATAATTAACTGCTGTATTTTCTTTCATCTTCATACACGGGTCGTCAGCAAGATCCTGTGGAAATAATGCAAAACATGATGATCTTCTTGATGCTCACGCTTCCACATCTTAACAGGCCCCCCCGGCGACCCCGCAACACAGCTGGAATCCCCCGCGATATCGCCACAACAGCCACCGATGGTTCTCGTGGGTCCCGACGGACAGCCCATGCCCCAGGCGGTCATCATCCCCCGGTCGACACTGACGATATCAACGTGAAAAGTGCCCCTACCACAGAAGGAGGAAATATTTGGACTAAATTGCAAAACTTTGTTCCAGCGGAAGAATCAGCGGCACAAGTTTTTCTTGCAGAATAGCAAAAGCCCAGCAGCAGCAGTGCTTTTTCTGGAAGATGCGTCGAGCGTCTAGAACCTGCTAGACTCGTGGTCCGATAAGAGAGTCAGAAAGTTTTCATTCGGAAATTTTGCATCAGAATATTAGATTATCGAGCCCCACGACGCCCACCGGCATTGCCGTAACAGGAGGTTAATGCGTGTGTGGGACGTAGTCAGAAGTTTGCCGCAGAAATTTTTATCACTTCCCAGGACAACGGTAGGTGTCTGCACTTTTCAGTTTGATAGACGACGATGGAGATTCTCCGGCTGAAAGCGGACTATCCCAACAAAGCGAGACTCGACGTGGCAACGGCGACGCAGTTCGACATCTTGCTTCCCCTAACGAAACCGATCATACCCCTACTCATGCTGATCTGCACCGGGCAGGTGTGGAACGGGATAATATCCAGCATCGTCATTTCCCAGTTCCTCCGGTCCTGCGTGCCCCAGCTGAACTACGAAACGCACCACTTGTTGTGTTTGGTCTTCGGCTTCCTGCACACCATGCTCGGCGTAAGTCCAGAGCAGGTAATATTGTCTCTTGCCTTTTCTTCATAGCTCTTTCGAGTAGACAGTTGGAAGAGGCTACTACATTTATTGCTTCTCCTGCTTTATTGCGTCTCTCCTTCCCCTTCATCAAGTGCACGTCCAGTGACTCCAACTGCGAGGCCCATATGCATTGCAAATATGTCGGGATTTGCTGAAAAGTTGTGCGTGCTTCGCTCGCATCATGCAGCCTGCTATTATTTGACGTCTGTCACACACGCATGGTGCCCACGCGCATCTCCGTTTGATGCATGTCTATCATGTGAAAGGAGAAAAATTGCTCTTATGGGCGCTGCCGCTGCCTATAGCCTAATATGCTTCACAAAAATTGCACCACAAGCACAACATCAAACTTCTGGCGATGCTCGCACGACCAAATCGGTGAACCTAATATAGGTCGAAGCGCACGCGGACAAGGAGAACGCAGTGCTGCTGCTCCAGTGGAACTGGGGCTTCAAAGACATGGTCTCCATCCTGAACATGGTCATGCTGGGCGCTTTCGTCGCTTCCCTGTCCCTATCCATTGCAAATATGATTGGGTCTGGAAGATTGCAACGGATGCCATGCCGTTTTTCAATGCGCCGCAAGGACGGCCTAGCTGCATGACACATTCTGTAAGTTCTTTAGCATGCCTATGCTGCATCTTGAGAAGTGGTCTCGTCTCAACTTGTTCGAAACTGGGCAAAAACTTTTGGCAGTCATGCAACACAAATAATTTTGGTGCCACCTAGTACAGGATGTTGCGTCAGCAGCACCAGGTTGCATGTTGCCCCACCCCAACCTATTTACATTTGATAGTCCCGGAACGGCAACGAGCCGCAGTTCTGCAACAGCTTCGCGAGCGGCATGGGGTTGCGCCTGTTGACCACGCTCCCCTTTCTCACCGACGAGGAGACCAGTTGGATCCCGGGAACGGTGAACGGGTGGACGCAGTTCTGGGAGCAGCTGCAGGCCGACTTGAACCTGCGGTTCCAGTCCGTATTGTGAGGAAAAATGCCCCCACCCCCAAACCCAAAGTTGCAAAACATTGTGATGCGAAGTTTCCAAATGAAAACTTTCTGGCATGCATGAATGGAGTATGAACCTTTCGGATGCAGAATCTAGTCTTGTATCGCATCGCTTGCATGACAGGCGCCGCTCTTGCTGGTGTCTTTTGCAATACAAATTTTTGGTATAATTCACGACCGTAGACCTGTGATGCTGATAGATGCAAGAGGGCGAATGTTTCACTTGGAAAGGTTTGCAATACAAATGCTCCCAAGTTCAGGGGTAGGGGGCATTTTTCATTGTAATAGTCCGTGGACGCGCTTCTGACCAACGCGGAGAAGGACATCGGCGACTGCGGCGGCGGGTTCTACCGCCACATCACGCAGGACGAGGGGTACGCAAAGTACTTTTCGGTTACCGTCAAGGCGTTTCTCCTGGTCCTCCCCCTGCTCTCCGCGCTGCAGTGGATCCACCGCGCGCTCCAGGGGTCGAAGGTCTTCCACAAGCGGGCGGCGCGGAGCGGGACCGCGTCGAGGCGGTTTCTCCGCGTGGGGACGAGGCTCACCCTGGGGCTGGCCGGTCTGGTGCAGGTCGGGCTCCTGCTCTACTTCAACCTGAACGCGGCCAACGGCGGGCTGCTCAACCTCTGGCTGGCGTTTTTGCTCGGCTCGGTGTTCGAGAGCTACCTGGCCTGTGAGGACCTCCGAGGCGCCTTTCGCCAGTTCGTCACCGCGATTGTGTTTATCTTCATATAGAAGTGTGGTTTTTGTGTATGAGCCAGAAGTGCTCGCAGATCATACGGCACTACGTTTTTGGGAATAAAGCACAAGCATCGTATTTAGAAGTGTAATTTTATTGACAGTTGGCGACGAGCACATGGCCTTGGTCACTTGGTTCTACCCCGAAAAGAGAACAATGTGGAAAGCCGAAGTATTGTGGTTTTTTACATCACGTTGCTATAGTAGTACCCCCCTTTCACGTTCAACAGTGAACAGCCCCCGACGACATATTTCCTTGTTATAACAAACGCCGTTGGAGGCTGTTTAGCAGTAAAAACGCGTAATAGTTGTAGGCTCTGACGAAGCGATTATTCGCCAAGGTTCGTTGCTGCGACGGAAAGGCCAAAGTGGTACAATGTTACCGCCCTCTGGTATTCGGTGGATTCGTGAGGCATGGTTGGTCTTTTGTTGTTGTTCAACTTATCCTTCCCCAGCCTGAGAGAAAAGATGGCAAAAGAAATACACACCTGAGGGAGGTCAAGACCAAAGTATCTATTACGTATACAAAAGAAGTGCATCGTCGCCACAAGGATCACCGAAGAAAACGAACATGCACACTTCATCACGTTTTTCCAGCACTTGGCTCAACGACAAAATGAAAAAGGGCGATCCGGTAACTGCTGAATCGTCTTGGTCCATTTTCATCAGATCCGTGGCGTTGAAAAGAGAAAAAATGCTCCTGGTTTGTGTTTTGCTGTTGCTTGCTCCTTCTGTTTCTCGGTAGTTGTATTCTTCATGACTTTGTCAGACAATAGGGTTTTTCTACGTAGTTGTGTCCCTTTCTATCACAGGGGTTGGCTTACACTTCTGGACGAGGTGATGGAGCGCAGTTCTCGCATTCGTCGTCGCAGTGACGGCGTTAGCAACAGCCAGGCTGTTTTCCTTTCTTGTGTTTTTTCTCTTTACCCTTGCTTCAAAAAATCTTTTCGATTTATATTTATAATTATTTGTGAGCTCAAAGCTTCACTTGTAAGGCACAAGCTGCTCTACATGATCGCTTCGGTACAAAGTCCAGTAGTAGTAAATCCGTTGAAGACGATGCTCGAGGTTTCTGTTTAAAAATATAAACATGCGACTTTTCATGTCATCAAGCGAAGTGCGCAATCGGCTGCGCACGGCCGAACTGTTTGTGATCTACAACTCTGCTTGATATGCATTGATCGGGTAGCGCAACATCTTGACCAAGGGGTGTCATATATCCGGCGAGATTGGTGCGACCCTTCTAGAGCTAGGGGAACACCATGCGGAACAAGAAGAGCAACGTGCGGCCGGGAATGACGCGGCCGGGCGACTTATTCTCAGTAAGAACTACGTCCCCGCTTCATCAGTAGGCAAGAGGAGAACTACTACACTATGCTACGCAAATCGACGATAATGTTTAGCCGTTACGCATGACACCAGGCTTGGGCTCCCAGTGTAGTCGTGGTTCGCTAGTGCAGCCAGATCGCAAATCGATCACGTTATCCTGATTATGGCTTGACATCAAAGTCCAAAACGGCACTAGATTACTATGCTCCTGGTGGAGCTGCACATGAGAAACGTCTGGAGGCGCAAATGGGGCACGCGCCCCTGCCTGACAAATCTGGTGAGGCAAAGTTAGTAACGGGAACGCCTGCCGCCCGGAAAATTGGGAGGTTGGGTTGAAAGACCTAGTGCTCGCTGATGATGATGATGATGATGATGATAGAAGTGTGCTACGCTTTTGGTTGCAAAGGAGGAGGCAAAGTGTGTTGCGCTGGTGTTTTTCGTGACAAACCTGGGGCGGGGACGCTTTTACCGACGATGCGACTGGTACTGCCCCTACTGTGGAGACTACCAGTTCGGCAAGAACCGGTTTTGCCGCATGTGCGCCATGGAGAAGCCGGTGAGCCTCTGGCCGCTCTTGGAACTAGACACGAACCTGTTGGAGGACGCCGCCTGTTGCGTCTCTACGTGCACGTTGCCACCCGTTGTTCATCTCCCACCAGACGAGAAAAGTGCGCCAGTCGCTCCGGGCGGTGCTGTAGTGTCCTCCACCGCCTCGTCCGGAGGTCTTCCTACGACCACGTTCGGGAGCTGCACGGAAGGTGCGACCTTGCATCCTGCTAGTCGTGATGTGCTGCAAACGAAAAGAACAAGTGTCGTGGCTTGTGAGAAGAATTTTGCGCCGGCGTGCCTCTCTCTGCTGCCGACACCGGTGAGGACGACACCGCCTCCGAATACTACTAGCGCGAGTTGTAATGCATTGTTGAAGACTGCAGGTTGTCGTTGTCCCCCGGGGATGCCGTTGGGGAAGCCGATTTTCAGCAAATTGGGTCTGCTTCCCGGAGCGGTTGAACAGGGGCGACAGAATTCTTTCGAGCCACTTTATGATGGAAATTATAGCTGGCCTGCTGTGAGTCTCGTTTCAGTACTTTGGCATGAAGAAAGGATGAAGTTGCTGCTATTTTTTAGGTCCGGGTATTGATGTGTATCTGCAGGAATTTGGAAGCTTGTCAAGCCGGAGGAATGAGCTACTACTAATAAAGCATTTCTAGTCATCTCATCTTGCGTTTTTGTCGTTCATTTTCGCTTTCGTCTTCGTGATCTCTCATCATCATCATGATCGGGTCGTGTGTTTCTCATTTTACGATAGAGACCTTGCACCGTAGAACTACTAGCGTGTCATCCGCATCATGCACAAAGCAACCGGCCGCTGTGTTTCCTACCTACATGTGCCGCGAGTTTGTGAGTTTCGAGCACATGTGCCGCGAGTTTGTGAGTTTCGAGCCACTCGAGCTAGGCGGCAACGGTGACCGGCACGATCCAGACGGCAGTCCGAGTTCGGTACAGCTGCCGCATCAACAACGACCCGGAGTACCACTGCAGCCGCCCCCCGCCGGCGGTGGGGCAAGACTTCATGAAAGCGGGGACTTCCACAGCACGAGCAATAGACCGCTCGTTCGTCCTGCGCTGCGCGGGACGCAGATGAAAAGCAAAAAGTACTGGCACCAGTACAATACGGCGCAGCAGCTGCAGATAAATTTGCAGCTGTACCGGGAGCAGGTCGAGCAGCAGCACCTGTCGACCGCGGGGATGAAGGGTAAAAACCTTCCATCTGGGCGGGTTGGTGGTGCAGTTGGTGCAAAAAACGGAGGACCCCCGACAGCAGCTGGACAGAGGAATGTGAAGCCTAGCAGTGCAGACGGTTTTTGCACACCCGCGCTGGTGCAGCCACGACGTCTTGAATGTTTTTCAACAAAAGATAATAGCGAGGCTGCTGCTCCTGCGGAGAGCGTCCGCGTTCCCGTCGAGCCAATCCAAGTAGGGTTAGCGCCATCGTTGTCGAAAAGAGCGTTATGTCGTGGGAGGACCAACGAGAATTTTGTAGTGCCCGCTTCTAGTATAATAATGGAGCTGCAACCCACTGGCACTCCTGTAGCAGCGGTTTTTTCCGCTGCGAGTGGGCCAAGTCCGGCGGGCGGGAGGTCGAGTTGTAGTTTTCAGTGCGACCAGCACCAGAGACGTTGCTGCAATGAGGGATCTCCGCAATTACCACCTGCACCGGTGCCATCCGCGCTACCGATATCAACACAGGCACAGCCCTGCCATATTACAGAGAAAGTTGTTTCTTCTGCCGCACCGCACCTGAAGAATTTCTTTCCGAGTTTGAAAGACCAGAAGGCTCCTGCTGCGGGGAATCAAGATGAGCGTGTAGCTGTGGCTGTCGGCCCAGTCTGGGGGACGGGAACCGCCAATGACTGCTCGGCCCCAGACGTGGTCGAGGGTTTTCAAGATTTTGAAAGAGATTCGGCTTCTACTCACACGCCGCGGAAGACTACAAGAAAACCAAGTTTCAGCTTCGCATTATCAAGAGACGGGCCGACGACCGCTCGGCGGCTCGCGATGAAGCAAAAGGACCGAGTGGTTGCTATTGTTCCGCGCACTTGCGATGATTCTTCCATGTACAACTCGAGCGACATGAGCTGCAGAAGCTCTACCGGACCGACTTGGTCTCCGTCGAATCGGCAGAGACGTGGGTCGAATCGGCAGAGACGTGGCTTCAACCTGAATTGTAGCCGAAGTGGGGCGAGGAAGGTGTTGCAGAAAATGGGATCATCGGAGGTACTTACTTCTGGGGTTTCGCAAGAACGTATTTCGAAAGAACGTGGCTGCTGCGGCTGATGTTGAGGCAGTTCCCGCCGATTCGGCGCAAATATAACTGCGTCACAAAAACAAAAAATATGGATTCATCTTCAAGTAGAACTCTCTTTTTTTCCTTACAGGTTGCCTTCGAAGTAGAGTCGGCCACTCCTGGTGGAGATAAAGACGGGGCGCAAGATCGTGAAGAGGTGGAGACACTGCAGCAACGGGGGGCAGTTAAAAAAACACTTCTTCCACAGCTCCAGTTGCCGCACCCTGCGGGGAGTGCCAGAATTTTGGATCTGCCGCCACCGGATGGTGGGTTCCGCGCGCAGCAAATTTCCGTCCCGTCACGGAACAAGCCACTGAATCATGATTTTTACGAAACGGAACACATCGACGTAGTTCGTGTCCGCTTGTGCTTGACCACCCGTCGCGCATCGGGCTGCGCTGTGTGCGTATAGACATGGGAAGTTGTGTCATGCCTTTCTTTCACTGCATGCAGCACTAGGTGTCGTGCGGACCACACCGCAGAGGCAGACCACAGCACGCACATCAAGGGGACGACCTTATGTTCACTTTTCTTTTCCATATCGGAAGTCCGGATGACACGACGTCGCTTTTTCAGAATATCTTCACAACAGTTTTTGATGAGCACGACGAAGAGGTAGACGACTCTCGGGGCCGCGACGCGCCGCGGTGCAAAGACGGGAATGAGCACAGTACCCACGATACCGCCGGCTACCCTGAGCCGAATCGCGTTGGAGCGCCCTCGCTGAAAGGGATTTGTGGTCGACGAGAACCAGAACACAGCGCCGCCGGGCGAAAAGCAGAGGTGTTGCGAAACACAAACAGTCCTGGTATGTTGAGCACCGGAGCAGTGCTCCATTTATTTTCATTGTTTTGCTACTCGCATCTTTTTGGTTCGGCTCCGGGTTTTTTATGATGCACATAGACAGTTCCTGGCTCGCCTGATCGTTTCCCTTCTCTACCTCCGAAGGAACTACTTATCAAAGAAGCTTGTGCAGCTCCCCTCGTTTTTTCTGTATGATGCATGGTCGTGTTTTTGGTGGTAGCACGATGGCTATCGTTCTATATTCCATTTACACTCCCAGCCCCGACTCCGAGCACTTCCGCTTCTCCATTCTGCTCCTCTTCTTCTCCGTCGCCGGTCGCGGATAGCGGAATTACAGAGGACGGTTCGACACGGAAGCACAGCGCGCGGGTGTGCCTGTGCTTCTCCGCTTCCCCATCTCGTGGACATGGAGAGACTCTCGGCGACACAGCGAAAGGAGGAAAGACGGAAAGCAGGGCAACGACGTGTTCTGATTATCCGGTTGCGGGGCCGCACCGAGACGACAGGGAAGACCTCGCAGGAGATAAACTAGAATCGCAGAGTAGCATGACGCTAGTATCGCCCCAGCCTCTTAGCCTGAAAATCGGGCCGAACGCACAGGAAATAAAGATGGAATGCGAGGATGGTTTCGCCGGCGCGACAAGTATTTCTGAGGCGCAATTTTTTCAGCGCGAGCAGCGGCCTCTCTCTTCAACCCCGCAGTGGTCCTCGGTGCATCCTGTAGCGGCGACGAAAACTGACACTGAAGACCGCGGCTCCGTTTTTGGTCTTTCCACTCCGGAAGCGAGCAAACATGATGTGGATTTTCATCCCACTTTGGAAGGCACCAAAAGGACCGGGACAATAAAAAGCGTGGGCAGCTGCGCAGCACCAAACCCCAGCAGTGAAGAACGAAGCGCCTTCGTCCAGGATTTTTTGGCCTACGACTTGCGCAAGGAGTACCAGTCGCTCTTTTTTACGAATTTGGCGGAAGAGGACGACCCGGGTGGTCAACAAGGAAATCCAGCGGGCGTGAAAGAGGAGAAGCAGGAGCAACTTAGGCTGCACAGTCCTCGTCGACAGCAGGAGAACCGCTCGTCAGCAGCTTCTAAAAATAAACCGGAGGAGCTCCAAAGCGCGCCTTTCTCCAATGCGTTGCCGCGAACCACGATGGGGGCGAATCATAGAGCCCGACGAGGAGCTTGCCGGTTTGGTGTCATTGGTAGCGGTATGCTGACCGGAAAGGGTAAAGTAGCTCGTGAAGAGAGAGGGTCTGTTCCTTCTTTCAGACCGGGAACCGGGTTCTCGAGGAACAACGAGCCATAGGTTGAGATGTGGAAGATATGTAGACATCCAAAGCAAGTTGTTTTAAGCGTGCGAACAAAAACAAAATGGCAGTCAGGTGGTGCTCAACGGTTTTTTTGAGCTAGAGAATATAGTCAGAACGTCGCGATTAATGGACTCGATGGCGGTGCTCGATGCAGTAATAGGAAATAGACCATGCTCCCAAGTCTGACAATGAGTTGTGTGCAGATGAATGCAGTAATTCCGGTACTAGATGTGGGCTGCAGGTTTCACGACTCATGGCAAAATTTTCTAGGGTCGCTAAAAGCTTTCAGACGTTGGTCGCATTGACGCAAGGTCAAGCAAGGATTGACCAAAACAAACGCACTTCGCACGTTGGCTGGGTAAAAGAGCAAATCGATCAGCTAGACGACACGAAGCGCAATTTGGTGCGAAAGTGCTTACGTTCAGACTGAGGTTATCGATGAAATTTTGGTAAGTAGAGATGTGTCAATATCGATCGAATCGTGTCTAGTTGGATGACGGTAGTGAATTTTCACATCTTAAGTATTTTCACTGTGCAACGACGGGTGACGCAACTCCTCATCTCCCCTTTTCCCTCTCCTTCGCAGTTTCTCTTGCGCAGTATGCTAAGTGTAAATGTAATAAGTGTGGTGTCTTACTCCTTTCTTTTCGCGGCCGCCCTGTCCTACCTGATTGTGAGATGGATAAGAGTGAAGGTGATTCAACAGCCGAGTTTTCTGCTTCCTGAGCCAAACGATAATGTCGAGAAAGCTCCGGTCTCTCCGAAGTTGCCGCCGTGTCCAATGAAACCAAATCTCGGGAAGCCGTCTGGCGGAAGCCGAGGCAATAAGTCCGGGAGCAAGAAGGGCAAAAACGCGACAACGCACCACGAAGGACGTCGCGACGACGGAAACGGTCAAAATGGAGCAAGTTCGCCCACGAAGGGCAAAGGGAAAGGCAAGAAGGGGCGCGGGGGCGGACGGCCCAGGACAACGCCGCGCGCGGGGGCTGGTCCGTTCACGGCCATGGGAGGGGATCGGCACAGCCGCGAAGAACAGCAGGAAAATTATTCTTCGCACGGCAGCCGGAGAAACCCAGCAGGACCTGAAGATGCACAGCAGACTGTGCGCGCCTGGTCCACTGTTCGAGCGGACCCAGAAATCAGTTTTCCGACGGTGGAAGAGGTGAACGCCTACAGTCTTGCGTTACTGAACGTGCGGATCAAAGGGAAAGGCTGTGCCTTGGATGACGACCGCCTGGCGGGGCCCGTGAGTGAGTCCGTCTGGTCTGCGGAAGGCGCGTGCTGGTCCCTCGTGGAGGAGTGGAAGGCACGCATTCGGAACGAGCTCGAGCACTTGCGGCAAACTTATTATCGGGAAGATCTTCCGCACTGGGAGTGCCTGGCCATCATCGAGGAGCTCGATTTGTCCTCCAACTTTATCTCGGACCAGGGTGCGCAGAAGCTCTTCCACATGCTGACGGAGCTGCAAATCGTGGTCAAGAAACTGCTGCTGTTCAAAAACAAGATCGGAGATTTCGGTGCGTACTTTCTTGCCTATTACTTGAATCAGCAGAAGAACTTCCCCGCCGCGCGCTATCAAAAGGAAAAATCCCCCCTCCCCATATCGAAAAGGCATCCTTTTGAAAATTTGTGATGCTGATTTGGGGTCACAAATCAGGTCTGTCTTGCAAGATCGCAAAGCCAGAGCTTCCGCCGCTTTACGCCGGCGATTTGTATGTAGTGAGGTCACCGAACGGTTCTAACCGGGGAGTTTTTTTGCCACCTACCGTGAAAAACGACCGGCAGTTTTCAAGCGGCCGGAAGCGTTTTTTGACATAAAAGATTTTCAATTATCAAGCCTCCGGGGCTTTGAAGTCAAACAAGCCCGGTCGAAAACTATCGATTCGCACTGGATAAAGCGACGCAGGGAAGCCGGCAAAAGGGGCGCCGTTCCGAGGCGCCCGCCGCCTTGGTTTCTGGCGATTTGGGGCGCCCAAAAAGGGGCGCGCAAAAAACGCGCCCAAAATCAGAACAGCGAAACAGCATGGCACGGCCGCGATTTCGGAGCATCTTGGGCGGCCGCGAAAGCGGCCGCCTTTTCGCCGGTTTTAGAGCCTGGGAAGCTTTGCAAAAAGCGCCGGCGTGAAAAATAAAAACGCGAAAAATAAAAAACGCCCCAGACGCGCAAAGCCAATCCGCATGCTATGGGCCCGGTTTTTCTTCGCTTTTTGGGCGCCCCCCGTGGCACCCGGATCGGCCCCATAGCATCGGGGCTGGCTTTCGGAAAGGAATTTGGGAAATGTGCCAAAATTTGTGATGTTTCCCAAGTGGCCGCCATACCGTGCGGCATAACGTTACTCACGGCGGTATGGCGAGCCCAGAAAAAACAAAGGCGCGGCCAAGGCGGCGGTCGGCAAAAAAACGCCCACGACCTCACTACCCCCGCCCCGGCGGCTATATTTGGTAATGCTGCTGCGCCAACAGGGCAGACGTCTGCCATGCTGCGCGCCCACTTCCAGCCAGCCCCTTCCAGGCTTTGCATCTGCCTGCAGTCCTCTACTGCAAGACAAAGCGGATTCGTGTACACAAATCCCGCAACACAGATTGCCACTTTGATATGGGGAGGGGGGATTTTTGCTTTTGATACGCGCGGCTGCTACTTCGTCGAGGAAGTACACCTGTCGCATAACTTGATCACGCAAAACGGGTGCAGACGAATCCTGGAGGGTATATGAAAAAAAATCATTATGATTTGTCCGCTCATAAAATCTGCAATATCGACGAGATAGCGGTGTAAAATTAGACTGTTGGCCGTCGACCGGTTAATTCTTTTTTTGCGTTGAGCTTCAAACTCGAGTTCCGCGTGTGACACATCTGAAGCTATTCCTCACCAGCAAGTGTTTCCTTTTTACCGGTGGATTTATAGTCGAGTGTACAAGTCGCCGTACGAAGTTTTTTTTTTCCACCAGTTTTACTTTGCAACCTACAGGCCTCGACGAAGCGCACCAGTACCCTATTGTTGCTGGGAAGGGGCGCACGTGGCCGCTGTGGATTCGCATCAACGAGAATTTGATCCAGAATGCGGTTCCTTTCGTCCGCGAGATGGAGCAGCTGTGCGCGAAGCGACGGGGCATGCGCTACCTGCGCGTTCATCAGCGACAGGAATTCTGGGGCCAACCGCCCTACGAACTCTGGCGGGAGGAAGTGCCCGGGTGCGCCGAGGGGGCTCTGTTCAAGCTCCGGGCGGAGAAAGTCGCCAATGACCCTTATTTCAATAGCTACCCGACAAAGGACTTTCCCCACCGGGACAAGCTGCCGATTGCGCATTTTTTGTTTACCCAGAACCAAAACTGCTCCCCGCTGGACGAGCCTCATCATCTTCTGGGAAAGAACAGACAAAATCCCCCTTATTTCGCAGTGCCGGTCTGCCCCTACACCCCGGAGCACAAGATTCTCCTGGTGGGGGAAGGCGACTTTTCCTTCACCAAGGCGCTGGCACGGATCTTCGGCCCGCGACACGCGCAGAACCTGATCGCGACCACCTTTGACCTCGGCGGCCAGCGGGATTTTCGCCAGCGGCTCCAGGAATGCAAGCGGGACGTGGAGGGAATGGGCGGGGTGGTCGTCGGCGAGAGCGTGGACTGCACGCAGCTGCACATACCGGACTACTTTGTGCCTCTGAATCCCCCGGTGCAGGAAATAGTGAGCTGGACCACGGTGCCGACTTACAACGACCGCTGGGGCGCTACTAGCACCACGACTTCGACGGTCCCCGTTTACGGCTTGGTGCACCAAAGACGGGAAAATGGGCCCCACAGACTCATCACCGAACTGTGCCAGCAGCAATTTTCGCCGGAGGCAGGCCACTTTTTCGACTACGTGATCGTCAACTTTCTGCACTCAGGCGCGGAGCAGACGAATGCGCCCGCGGGGACGATCGGGGGCCTGTCCGAGCACCAGGAGCTTTTCGGTCGGTTTTTCGCCAGTCTGGGGAAGTGCGCGCACAATTCCTTTGTGCACCCGGAGCGGACGCGCGTGCACGTGACCCTCGCGGACCGATTTCCGTACACGCACTGGAACATTCCCGCGATCGCGGCGAACGCCGGGTGGGAGCAGGTGGGCGACAAATTCCCCTGGGCCGCGGAGCTGTACCAGGCCTTCGGGTACGAACACACCCGGACGAAGGAGGCACGGGGAATGGTTGGGAGTGCCCAGTCGAAGGAAGCGGGGAAAAAATACACCGGCGAAACGTTGCGAGACACGTCTTTCACCTGCGAATTCAAACTCAGGACTTTCTCTCAAGGTGTTGCGCCGCCCCCATCGGCGGCGACTACTAGTAGTCCGCCGTTTTTTGTTTCATCGCGTGCTACTTCCCAATATACTACCCCCGTTGACGGTTATCCTCATTTGGTACAAGCGCCACCTTCATACCAGCAGAATTCTTTTTACGCCGGCTACTCAAGTAGAACAGAAGCAGCAGGAGGCCCGCAGGCGAATGTGGTGGGCTTGCAACATCCACAATGGGGCGGCACCACGTAGGTTATTTGGCATCGTATTTGATGGCATGGTGTGCTCCTCGTCCGGTGGAGTGTTCCGGTGGAGCAGCGCATGATAAGAGCAGAACCGTTTGTGTTCATCTATCATCTCTCTTTTACAGCTTTTTTTCGAACTTGAACGTTCTATGTGCACGCATGTCGACAAATATTTTTGTTTTCCTGCGAGAGAACGAATACGAACAAGAGAAAGTCATCTATTGCTATGCATATGAATGGTCGACATTGAGCTTCTTCCCGCATAATTAACAGTTCCTGCGCCGCCCGTACTATCAATCCCATATTTATAGTGATGAAAATAATTCGTCCTCGTGCTTCCTTCCCACCCCCCATCGGTCCTTCACAGCTATGGACGCTTCACAAAAGTTGTGCCCTCAGCAATCGGTGCGTGTCCCTCTCTTTCAACGCGTGGCAAAAATGCAATTTACTCACTCGCACGTTGAAGCCTGTTGTTGAAATTTTGTGAAAAAGCCTCTTGTTAGCCTCCTCCGTATCAAATACTCACTTTGTTCCTACCTCGATATTGATTCAGAGCAAGTGTCGTGACCGCAGGTAGAACAAAAATGCAGCAGTCTGGTGCCAATCGCCGGGCCACGACGCAGCCGCTCATCCACCAGGGGAGGCAAGTATCGTCGTCATCCGGAGCGGATACGGTCTCCGTGCTACCGACCACGAGCAGTTCTACTGTTGCAACTCGCGGCCCTGCGGCCCCAGCCTCTACTAGACCATGTCTCGACGTGGTCGCACCCACTGCCCCCACGCCCAATAACTTTGGCCAAAGTTTGTTTTCCATCAAGATGCGGCTGCACGAAATTTGGCACTTAATCCCGACGAATACGAGTGGCACTATTAACCACGGTCGTGCGCAAGGCCAAGACCCTTTGATATCGTCATCACAACAGGGTGGACGGCAGGAACAAGATCCTCGTGCTCGTCTGCCAGCCTCAAGACCCTTGATGAACCCCCTGCCGGAGGGCGCGCGGATGCTGTGCCGCGGAAAGTGCGTGACGGGGCCGAAAATGGATTTTGGGTACATGGCCTGTGCGTACTTTTTCATCCTCGTCCCGACGTTTTGGTTTTTGTTCGTCCTTGGACCGGATTTCTGGTACGCTGGTACGGATGTCGCTTCAGCATCTGTGGTGTGGAACAATCGTGGTCCTCTCGAGGACCTCCACACAAATATCGCGGTGGATGAAGATTATGTCGATCGTCCCGACGAGGTGAACCAAGACCAACAAACACACGACAAGCAGGTGATGAGCATAATGGAACATCAAGACTCGTTCTTCGCAGGAGGTCGACCTGTTGCGACGGCAAGTGGGGGAATGATTTCGTCCGGGCGAGTACTTGGATCAACACCAGAAGTTGTACTAGACCTTCTACAACTTTCTCCAGAAGACCAACACAAGCTTTCTGCGGGAATAAACGAAATGCTTTTAAAAGCAGCAGCCACCAACCTCTTGTCGCACATCTGGTTTCTGCCCGCGTGCGTGTTTTTCCTGTTGGTTTGCACGATAACGTTTCTGTTACTCACCTCTTGCACGGACCCGGGGATTCTGCCCCGGCGGGAGATCCTGGATCTGCTTCCCGGGCTGGAAAAGGAGGTGAATGATTTCATCGGCTTCCACCGGGGGGACGGTGAGTGCGCTGGGTTCGGTGATGTATCCGGACCAATGAACGGGATGACCTCGTCGTCCCATGCGCACCAGAGCGGAACGACTAGACCGGCCGGCTCCGTGAAGTGGTTTTTGCCGGCGGGCACAAGGAAGTCGCATTTTCCACTGGTTTATTCTGGAGCTACTTTGTCTCCTGACACGATGTTGAACAAAGATGATGCGGGCGGTACAAATTGTAGAAGATCGAGCCATGTTCTTTTTGACGCGGACCACAGGGCGAGCTTGCAAAGTGAAACGGAGTTAAGTTTTGAAGACAATCAACTGAACTACAGAAGCGATAGCGCAAAGAACTCGACCTCGGGGACCAGCAGTTGTTCCAGTGCCGAGATGTTAAAAGCGAGGACGCCGCTAGTAGAGGCAAAACCGAGCCTCGTCGCAGAGGACCCGCAGGCGTTGTTTCACGGCAACAGTAGAAAACAGGAGCCAGCTCATGATCAGAAAGACGCTAGCGAAACAGACAAAGCTGGAGCGACTTCTGTGCAGCAAACCGCCATGGCTTCCGCTTCTTCATCTGTCCTCGGAACCAACCCGAGGCTAGCCGCTGGGATTCGGCGCATCCGACACACCACGTCAGGGAACACCAATGGCACGGGAGAGCAGGGAAGAACTGCAATAGCCTGTGTTACGTCAGCAGCAGATGCGCCCCCGACGAGTGGAGGAGCGAGTTCGAAGAACAGCCGAAACGCTATAGTCGGCACCACCAATACGCCCCGGGGCACGACAAAGCCTCCCGACCACTTGCAGACCTTCCACGCCGGGGGCGTGGCTACTAGTACAACTGCCGCGGCCATCAGCAGTGGAGGTGCCAAACCTGCTGCGACTACAAGCGCGCTCTGTACAACAACTTCGGCCCCGAGTTCCGCCCGGGGGAGTGTCACATCGGTGGTCTCTACTGCGGCAAGTAGTACATCGGTGCAAGAAGGAGTACAAGTGACGGCACAGGTGGGGGTCCGTCGTGCGGGCGAATCAGTTCCGTCGGCACCACAATTTTCGGTGGAGAGAAGACCTCACGATCTGCGCCTGCGGAGAGACCGGCTTGCGACCGGGACAAACGAACCGGCGGGCGTTGCTTTACTGGATGGAACAAGCATGATGGACAACGCAGCAGCGGCGCTTTCAGACATCAACGACCCCAAACGTGCTGCAAGCGAAGATAGAAATTTTTCCGAGGAGGATCATGCGACTGACAAGAAGGTTACCAAGCACGTTGCAAGAGCACCATCAGCCTCTCCCGCCGGCGCTCGTCCCATGGCCGTACAGCAACAACTCCATTGCGCGACGACGCTGACGGTGGACGAGATGCGGCAGGGCTTTCGGATTTGCCGGGTGTGCCAGATCGTGCGGCCGCCGCGCGCCGGACACTGCAGCGACTGCAACCACTGCGTCCGCCGGTTCGACCACCACTGTCCCTTTGTTGGGAACTGCATTGGGGAACGGAACTACACGTTTTTCTACCTCTTTCTCTCCAGCCTGTCCGCGCTCGCGTTTTCCGTGATCGTGGGAATCTTTCTCTGGACGGTAGTCGAGGAGAACACGAGTGGGGTATCGAATGTATAAACGTCCCACCCCGTAGCCAAGTCTGCAAGACCACAAATAATTCGGGAGTTTTCAGCCTCAGGCCATGACAGGCTCAGCTACGCAAGGGAGCCGCGCCCAGCTAGTAGACCCGCATATTTTTAGCAAATCCACTGTATCATCCTTTCTAGTAGAGCATGATCGCAAAGTTATAAAATTGGCTAGAAAAAAATAAAGAAAATGGCTCGCCGCGCTCTGAGGCGAACCCGCATGAGACACTTGGTGGGCGTGCTGATTTGCATGGCCACAAGTTCTAAATATGGGGTGGGTACGTTTTTGCTCAGGATAGGGGGGTGACGATCCTGACCACAAGCACCCGAGCGACTACGGGAAGAAGTACGGGGTCATTTTGTTCGGCATCTTCATCGGCGGCGCCTGTGCGGTCTTGGGGTTACTACTGTTCTCCTTCTGCATTTGCCATCTGGTCTTGTCCTGCCAGGGGCGGACCACCCGGGAGTTTCTCCTTCGACGGAGCCACGAAGCCAGTACCAGCCGCAGCATTGTCGAACAACGAGAACGACCTCGACAAGCCGGTATTTTTAGCCACACCCAGCAACAGAATCTGTACCTACAAAACCTGCAAAGTTCATCTGCGAACACGAACACGCTATTCGCGCCGCGCGGTCCGTCGTTCTTGAAGGTGAACGCGCTGGTGAACGTGCAACTGATTTGCCCGCCCGCAGACGATGTCTTTCCCGATCTAGGAGAAGAGTGTCGTGATAACGAGCCCGTGGAAGATGATCATGTTCCCGCTACTTCTGTGGGAATGCATGAAGCCGCCCGGAGCGGCGTGGAAAGGCACGCAGGGGGGTGGATGATGCGTGATGCAAATAATGCCGCGCTGGAAACATCAGGAAATGACGTTACACGAAGTCATCCACCGCAGCCGATGGAATTGACACAGCAAGTCTAAAAAGATTTGCATAGCGCAGGCGAAGATATTACAGCCGGATACAGCGACATCGTTGTCATTGTGGTTGCTATAGCAACGACTTCTAGGCAAGAACCTCCAAAAAAACGATTCAGCACTTCGCTGTATTTGTTTGCTACCTGCGCACGAGGTGAAGGTATTCACTGAGAGTCGATACTGTTCTCTTGGTTGTGAGTACAAAAGATGCACCAGCATCTAACACTTTTCTTTTGGTTCACGGTCAAAGAAGGCTAGGCTGGCCACGTGTCAAAAAGAGTACGTCCGCTCTTTTTGGAATAAGAAGTAGTTTGATGAAGGACAAACCTCCACTCGATTGAGTAAGTAGAAACGATACCCGACTGTTGATTTCGGTTTTTCGAAATGCTCCTCGCTCTTCTGATAGCGTCGGGGCGCGCCCTCCTAACTCGTTTCTTGCAAAAGTAGTAGGCAATGGCACTCCAACACAACATGTGCTGCGACGTCATCAATATCATATACTAAGATAAGTAGTAAGTAGGTGGTTTAAGTTTATTTTGTCACTTCTTTCTTACTCTTACACCAGTGCGTGGTAAAAGTCGACCTTTTTATTTTCCCCGTCAAAATGGGCGTAAATCTCTTCAAAGCGCGGCTGAATTTTCGGGCCGCGCGAAAGCACGAGCTGATCCACGAGCAGCAGCGAACGGAGGCCGAAGCCGAGAAAATGATTTCCTCCGAGTGGCAAAAGATGTCTGATAAGGAAAAAGAAAAGTGGAAACAGGCCGTGCAGCCAGGAGGGGGTCGTAGTACAACCACGACTACTAGCGCAAGCGCAGTCGGTGGACCCGCTTCGGCGGGAAAACATGGTAAGGATACGACGAGTGCAAACACCACGCCACTCCCTCTTCGGTCAGACGAGATGAGAGCACAATCTTATCAAGCCGGGGCTGCAGGCGACAATCTTAGCCACACGGGTACAGCAGCTCCGGGCGCTGAGATTATGGAACAACATGGACAACTGCCTGTCTTTAGCGCGGCGTCAAGCGAGCAGAAAAATGCGACTCGCGCTACGGTCGGCAAACAGAGTGTAACTGAGAATAAGTCCTCTCTTCCGCAGGGAGGAAGTGCAGCTGAAAATAATATTAAAGAGGCGCCGTCGGTCGATGCGAAGCAGGCCTCCTCGTCCAGCTCCTCGTCCACCTCCTGGGCCGCGCGGATGCGGGAGGAGCAGGCGCAAAAGTGGCAGACCGAAGTGAACGAGCTGCGAAAACAGCCCGTGAAGCGGGTACGCGCCGACGGCGGCGATCCCGACAGCCTGATCACGGAAGAGGAAGCGAAAAAACGGAAGAAGGAAAAGCAGAAGGAGCGCGCGCAGCAGAAGAAGGCGGAATCGGCCACGCCGATCGCGGTCTTCGGGCAGCGGAAAAAGGACAACACTGGAGCAACGGGCGCAAGCGAGCCGCACGAGAGTTTGGTGTCACTCGCGCGTCGGGTCGAGAACTGGAAGCAGCAGCAGCAGCACGCGGTCCAGGAGCGGCCCCAGCTGACCATAGAGGACGCCGCCCGCAGCCTGATGCAGCCAAAGCTGCAGGCGGATGACCGACTGTGGGCAGCTAGTGGCACAGCCGCCGCGGGCGGGGGAATAAACCTCTTGGGGGACGAGAAAACCAATCAGGGCGGTGGGCCACACCATGATATTTCTGACGAGCAGAGTTTCGAAAACGGTTCGCTCTTGCAAGTGCGCGACACCACGGACGCGCGGGACTTGCGTACAGTTCTCAAGGACGGTGTGAAGACATTGGTACAACAGGAAAAGTTGCGCGCCACGCTCGCTCTGGCGAAGAAAGCCGCTGCAGAGGGGGCAGTAACTAGCAGCTCCTCTGTCTTGAACGGAGTTACAGCATCAAGAGTGGCTCCTGCGGGTACCGAGGCGACAATGGGAGGGATAAGCAGCGCGACAAAAGAAAATCGTCTGCTGTAGTAGAAAGTAAGTGCCCCCCTTATAATAAGTGAAATTTAGGGCCGCGCTAGTACTTGAATGATGATGATTGATGGTTCACTGAGTGAATTTTTGCCACGTAGTCCTTGTTAACCTGGCGTGTCTGCTGCACTACCGCTACGCAATCTCTGCAGACGTGGTCATAGAAATTACAATGGCAACACGTATGTGTACTTGACGCACTACATGCGCAAGAAAACGTACAAGGCGATTGTTTCGTACAGAGGAAGATGATTCATCTCATCGCATGTGCGCTTTCGTGCTAGGATCGCCGAAAAATGAATTTAGAATTTGTACTGCAAAAGAACAAGCACGGATGCATGATTTTTCTTTCGTTTTTCGTGCCGTCTTCGGTTTCTGTTTTTGTGGCTTTTCGCTTCGTATGTTGGAAGCCATTCTGTAGACCCTTCATTTTCATGGCCTGCGCTTCGTCCTCCGGGCGTGACTCCTTCGGTCGATTTTGATTATTTTTCGTACCCTGAGGATCGGTCGACCGTGCTGTAGCAAGGTACCATGGTAGTTCGTTCCATTCGTGCTTTCAAACATCGTGCAGTTGTTGCAAGTTGTATTGCAACGTGGTCGTGCGCTTCGACTTGCGTTGGCGCTCGGAAAATTCGTGCTTGACCTCTTTTGTTTGCTCGGTGAATCAAGTGACTAAAAAGTTATCAATCTTGTCGCGCAGGATTCATCCCCAGGAAATTTGTTTTTGATTGTTAAGTACCCCCAGATGTAAGCACCCAAGTAGAAATTCTTTACCGTAGAAGCCCCCCCAAGCTATTGCGGCTGCAGCGACCAACTGAAATAAGATGAGGTAAAAAAACAGGCGCACCCTTTTGGTCCTCTTGCAGTTTTCTTCACCTCGTTTTTCGTAGTACTCGACGTCGTTGCACACAATTTCTTTGAAGATGATAAGAACCCACCGCAATCACGTCCTACCAGCCACGCTCTTCCGCTTTTGCCGAAAGTTTGGGATCGCGACCGTTTTCTTGGACGGGGCGCAGTTTCAACAAAATTATGTCGCGTTGTATCAGATAGGCACGATAGCCGGAGCATATGCGACTGCGACGGAACGAGTGGACGAGGCGGCGCAGGCACAGCAGGATTTGGGAGAGGGAACCGAGAATCACGAAACAGAAGCCGTCGCGGCCGAACATGAGAATAAAAAGAAAGGGCAAAAAATACAGTCAGACGAGAATCCGCTGCTTCCATCCAATATGTTAGATGCACTGGCCAGAGAGCAAGACTTATGCCGCGATACCGCGAAGCTAGAGACCTCGTTATTCACGCAGACGGGCACCGTCCTCGCGGGCAACACGGTGTTGCGGGCGGACATGCTGGGCAGCCCCGGGACGGATCCGCACCACGGCATTCAAGAGTACGAGTTGCAAGTGCAGGATGGAGGGACGGCGCAAGTGTATGCGAAAACGCTGTCCCTGGAGTACGACGCGGTTGACGGGTTTCGACTTTCCCACACGTGCGGGAACATGTGTCTCTGGTTCGCCCGGACCCGGACTGACCTGCCCTGTGGCGGCTTTTCGCTGGAGTTCGGCAGTTTCACCGCCGAAGAGCTCGCGTCACAAGCCCCAGTCGAGGATAGAAGGAGTAACACGACGACTTCCGGTGGTGCAGAAACCAGCACGGCGCAGGGTAAAAACAACACTTCTGCCGCAAGCACCAGTAGTTTTTCCCAAATTGATCTTGTTTCCGAGAAGCTGCTGCAGAGGACGCAATCGGAGCGAAGGAGCACCAGTGCAGCTACAACTTCTGGAGGAGCAAGTGAAAGAACCACTTCTGGAGGAGCAAAAATCCTGGTCGAAGAAAACAAGCAAAAAGGCAAAGAAACTTCTCTCAGCAAGGAGACCACGAGCACCACCACTCAAGTACTAAATAGCAGGTCGCACCACCAAGAAGGAGTACAACTAGCAGGTGAGCAGGACGTCGACCCTTTATTTCGTGTAGGATCTACTTCGGCATCGGCTGTCGTGGGAGAAGTAGAGGAAGATCCTACACTTGTTCCGCCTGTTGTTCCTGAGCAGACTCTCCTTCAGCAACGGGCACGTCAAATGGTGAAAGTGACCTGTTGGATGTTTTTCAGCGAGGTTGACAAGTGGCCCACGCCGCTGCGCGACACGCGGGATCTGCTGACTTGCCAGCGGACGAGCGTGCCGGACCCCACCGAAATCGCACCCCAGAAGCAGCAGAAGACCTTTTCGGAAATTTTGGCCGAGTACTGGGTGATGTTCACGGTGTTAGGCGTACTGTTGGTAGTAATCATCATCGCGATCCCTGTTCTCTTGGTCTGCCGACACCAGCAGGACGACTTTACCAACCTTAGTGCAGGCTCGACGCACTACGGGGGTGGTTCGATGCCGTACAATTCCGGGCTGCAACCTCGAGTGAGCGGAGTGAGCGACGTCGCTGCTTCCAGTCATTATCCCCGGATCTCCGGACGGGTTTCCATGGCGGGAGGTTCGCCGCACGCCGGGAGTCCCCGAGTGTCAGTAGCCTCGGCCCATTCCGTGGGAGTAGACCCGATGCAGCTGAACCGGGCCAGTGCGATGCTGCAGTTCGCCCCGGAACAGCACCAGCCATCACCTCCGGCTTCGATGCCGAGCACTCCGCGGGGCCGGGGCGGCCGAAGAGGAGGGAAGGGGCGGCATAAGTGATAGCACAAAATGCGAGCGTTTTGATAGAGTGGATCTCTTCTGGAGCAGGGTATGGCGAGCATACGACGTGAGAGGATGCAGTGATCGACGTGAGAAGACGCAGCGGGAAAGCAAACATCGACAAGGGATGCGACATAGGAAATCTACCTTATTTTTTTCTTGCAAATAATCGGCACTCGCATTTGTGAGGACTCCTTTTTCGATTTAGAAAGTCATTTGTGTCGTTCAGTAAGTATTTTGTCCTAGCTGGTTTTATTTGCAGCGTGCCTCCAAGGCACTTCTACTTCTTCAACAAACGCATCTTGCATCAACTGCATTTGAAAGTTGCAAAGCCTCACCAGTTGCAATTAAGCCTGTGATGCTAAACCTTGAACTCCAGACTTTGCGGTTCATGCAATGCGTGCGGGACAGGTCTGTGCAATGTTCCCAACGACCCAGGGGTGTCTGCAATCCGTAGTAGTTTTCGTGAGACGATCTATTTCATCTCGGTGATCAAGAAATGCTGTCGGTTATCACCAGATTACACTGTACATCAAAAGTTATAGAATGCAGTCTCTTCCGTCGGTCTCCGTTTTTGCATCAATTTGCGGTGGAGAGAACAGAGTCGCTCGCTTTTATTCTGAGCAGGAAGAACATTGCACTGTGCGTGGCATTGTTTTATTTGTGAGGACCGAAGCTGAGCGAATGATATCCTCGAGGCAGTAAGTAATTACTCTGTTGGTTTTTTGTCTGACGAGTGTTTTTTCCGATTGGAGGACATAAGATTGGCGCCAGAAGAAGAATTATACTAGTCGCGCATCCTGTATTGTTGTCTATGAGAGAATTTGAGTTTCGTTGGGGAGCAACGTATTAACAACATGCCGATTTATTTGAAACCAACAAAATTGTCAGCCAGGTAGATATGATGCTTTCTGACGCAAACCTCACCCTCGAGGTAGTACCTCTGAAGTAGTCTTTGCCATTTTGTCTCTGCATCTCTAAAACATCCTTACCCGACACTTACGCACCATAGTTTTGCTTTTATTTTCCACACGCATAGTCTTACATCGCATAATCTGTTGTACAACCCATAATTACAACGCGCTCGAATGTCAGCACGCGCATGATTTTCATACTCTGTACTGCCTGAAGTTTGTCGGTTGAATACAACAGTTGCATAGCAATGAAACAACGCATTCCAAATGACGACATTTGTGATAAAACCGTTGGACTCCTTGCGTGCCGCATAGTATGCATTGCTACTCACAACGAGATGACATTACTGCAGTAATTTCCCAGTTATGACTACCTCGTACTAACAGTAACAAGTTGTAAAAATTCATTCCGGAGAAATCTGAATCAATTTTCCCCCGCTCTTGGAAAAGCTCCATCTTCCGCATTGATCAAAGAACTTACTAGTTTTGATTGAGGAAAACGATGCTTCTCACGGTTCTGGAGCACGCAATCCCGCTAGCGGCGGGGATGCTGTTGGCGCTACATGGTGCGATCGGCGCGCGTCTCGCGGCGACTTTTCAGTCCGCACCCTTCGCGGCCATGCTCAACATGCTCGGCGCATTATCCTGTGTAAAGAAGTAGTACTTAACCACGACCCAGAAAGTATTTGTCATGGAGATTTGCATGTTGTCCAGAGACGGTACCGAACGTCTCTGTAGTTGCACCTATGCATGAGAGGCATAGCTATTAAAGGCTCTGCTCCTTCAATCAGGAATAAAAAAAGAGCGAATTTTTCCTGATGTGGCTCTTGTATAGCCAGCGCCAGCTTCGATTCCTATCCTACACCCCCAAATCCAATAATTTGCCACTCACAGCACCCAAAATGGAGATTGCTGGCCAGCAACACTTGTGTACTCAGCAAATCGCCTGGCGCATGGTCTTGACATTCTTTCATGCCGCAGATAAAATAATTTGGGTGTTGGCTACTAACTTGTTTCGGCAGGATACGCGTTGAGCTGTCTTCTGGTCGTCAAATCGGTTTTGTGGCTGTCCGGAAAAGTGTACACCACGAGAAAGACGCAGAACGCCTGGGACGAATTATTGTCCTCTTCGACCACGACTTGTAGTACGACTTCCTTGTCGGACGTCGCGTGCGCCTCAACGACGTCCAGCGCCACAAGTTCGACTGGACCGTGCCATGCTGCGAGCGATAAAGTCACGCCCGAGCAGCAGACGGGCAGTCCGGTGTTGAAGCGGAACAATATTAATAAAGGGACTAATACCAATCCAGTCCTCATACCCAGTAAAGACGAGGAACTCGAGCTCGGGAAAAACGACCTCGACCGGCGCAACCAAGTGAGCACGTGCAGCACCTGCGTACCTCCGGACGGGGGAGAAAGTGTTCAAAATCTTCACGAAGTCGAAGTCTACAAAGGGGCACCAGCTGCAGCTGCGAGGATATCAACATCCGGGGTTTCATCTACGCCGTCGGTTGCATCCTCCTCGTCTGGGCGGAGTTCTGGGGGTGCAGCTTCCTCCGATGAGAGGAACAATAAACTTTCGTTCCTCAAAGTCGTGGATCAGAACGCGCACACCATGACCAGTGTCAAGACCGAAACCACCACCACCTCCTCGGGCATCCAGAACTGTCCTTCCCAAGATTCTGCGCGTGCTGGTGGTCGTTCCACCGCGAACAGCATTTCTGCTAATAACGCCCACGGAGCTCTTGGAGGAGATCGTCTTCAGGATCATGCTGAAGGAACAGGACTAGTCGGCAGTACCTCGGATCCAGAAGACAATTTTGTGCTAGAGACGCCCCCAGACACATACCAGTTTCTGTGTTCAAGCGAAGTCGACAGCCTGAACAGTGTAGTTGAACTAAAGAGCAGCTGCCTTGGTGGTGCTCTCACGACCACCAGTAGTTCCGCTGCAAACCCCCTGTCTGGCGTGGATTTTGCCGCCAAGATGGCGGCGGGCCGACCAGCGAAGAAGCGCGGACTCGACCAACTTTTTTTGGAGGACCCGGACGTTGAACAGGAAGACTCTCGTCCAGCGACGAGAGAGCAGAATGATACGCAAACAAGTAGTTCATCTGGCAGCGACCGGACGTTGGAACAACATCAAATGACGTCAAGTCAGCACACCGCAGCGACGGGCACAGCACCTGCACCGGCATCCATGAGTACGAGCTTCGCTTCATCAAGAGCAAGTAAGGCGAAGCAGTCGGATCCGGTTTTGTTCCCACACGACAGCACGACCACCGAAGTTCTCGCACACGACAAAGGAGAACCTCACAGGACGTCGAGTGGCAGCGAGGACGATTTTTCAGCGCTGTCCCCCGTTGGTAAAAATAACATCATCTGTGCGCGGAGCCAATCGCAAGAGGTGAGCCACCAGTCGGTGCAGCACAGTCACGCAGGAGCTCCGAAGAAAAAGCATCAAATCCCCAACATCGGGCTCCTGTTTCGGTTGAACCTAGACGTGGGGCGGAGAGCGTCGCTGAAGGAGTCGCCGAAAGTCGTTGCTTGCACCAAAAAGGTGATGAAAGGTGGTGTCCCCTCTGAAGATACATCAGCGGAAACATCGTCAACTCCTTCGTACGAACTGAAAAGCGTTACTGGCGGCAAGGACCACCTTCTCGTTACATCTCCCGGAGCCACTGTCGTACAAAATCTAGTAGATCAAAGTTCGCAAGCAAAGAACTTTACTGCGGTCGCGGCCAACAATCCGCTCCACGTGGTGGAGATCAAAACCAAAGTACGCGAAGAGCACCCGCGGGAGCAAATCAAGATTTGGAAGCTGCTCGGGGGCCCCATTGGTGTGTTTATCGTGACTACCGCGTTTTTGACAATTTCCAAGATCGGGTGCGTCGCTTTTTTCCTGATCAACGCGGCCGGCCAACTGTCTTCTAGCATGCTGTGCGACCACAAGGGCTTTGCGGGGTTGCCGCGCCGCCCGCTGAATGCGGGCAAGCTGACCGCGATTTTGGTAGTTGGGGGCGGCGTTCTTTTGGTCGTGATCAGCACCTTCTCCTCTACTGCCAGTGCTGGCAGCACAGCTTCCTCTCCCGCCGGTCGGTCAGCACCGCCTTCCGCTTCTACTGCAACGGTCCAACACCACCTCCGACTAGAGGCAGAAGTGTCCCCGTCGGGAACCTCGTCGTCCGCTGGAGCGTCGCCGTCCACAGCGGCTGCTTCGGCAACGGTCTCCCCCTCTGCTCCGGGCCGTGCTCATGAACTACACGGAGAGCAGCAGGACCACCAGAAGACGGAGGAGGACTTCTGGCAGCACACGCTGCCTTTCATGGTGCTGGCCTTTTTTGGCGGCGTGTGCCTTCCGATCCAGGCCTCGGTGAACGCGGCGGCCCGGCGATGCTTTGCGAGCAACGACAGTGGCGCACTGGTCAGCTTCATCGGCGCGTCGATGGCTTCCACTGTCGTATTTCTCGGCTGGGACTACCCGCTTGCGCCCGTGGAAAAACCAGTGCCAGTTTGGATGTTTGCGCCAGGTATGGTAGTTATTTTCATGTTCTTTCAATAGCAGGGTTTGGCTTCTTTATTTGGCGGGGGAAAGCGGTCTTTTGGATAATATGCACAGACCTGCCAATTATCGTGCCTATAATGATTCTTCTTTACGTGAGCTAAGTACTACGTACAGTTGTGCGACGAGGAAGCAGGAAAAGGAATGAAGACTAGAAAAACCATGATCTCTCCCTAAAAAACAAACTCCGAAGGTTTAATCGGCGCGTTTTGCGTTTACCAAAGTTGCGTGATCGGGCCCCGCATTGGGCAAACGATGCTGTGGCTGTTGATTCTGCTCGGTCAGTTGGTGGGATCCATGCCTTTCGACCAATTTGGATGGATCGGCCTGCAACAGCGATCGCTCACGACTTCGCGCGTGTTGGGAGTGTTCGTCGTCGCCTTCGGCGTTTTCCTGAACATGCGCTACAACCGGCAGCAAATCAAAAACGGAGAAGCGATTGCCAGTCCGAGGAAGGGGCACCGCAGCGCCGCAATGGCACTCAGGTCGTAGCCGGCTACATTAAATTCCTAAAAGCAAGTGCTTTTATTTTTTATGCTGGTGCTATTATACACGAGATGTAGGGAAAAATACTAGAACTCGTGGTGTTGTTTAAACAATCAACCGTTCTTGCGCACTGGTTATCAACCTGCATCCGCTCTGATCGAATTGCTTTATCCAGCCGAGGACTATTCGTCACTGGCTCAGGAGATGACGTAACTTTCTCGTCGTCCAGGCTCGTTCAAGTTTCCGTGAAAACAAATTTTCCGACTACTATTCTTTCTCTTTGTAAAAATCAAGATGATAAGTAGAAAAAATGTCCAAAGCGAAAGACGATAATGAATGATTTTGAATCGGTTTTTCGTATTCATCTATCTGTCTTTCGCAAGATCCAGCCGGCAAAAGGGAAGGGTTTGAAAACTAATGGTGTGGTCTACTGCATCAGTTTTTGATACTTCCCTTGTCCGTGGTCTAGTTGATAATTATGACGCATTCGAAAAGGTAAAGGGAAGATTATCGGGTCCAAAGCACTATGTACATACCTGTATTTCATTTTTTGTGGCAGAAAGCAGCCGAAGTAGCGCGCTGTGTAAGGTTCTGGGGCCGGGAAAAATAGCTGGAATTGATATAACTTGTTATTTTCGTCAGCTAGTACTACTAGTGCTATTCTGCAGCAAAAGGCCGCTAGTGATGGTCAATTATGGTCTTGCTTTTTCGACTCCTTTTGTGAATTGCTTCTATCCACGCGGTATTCGAAAAGGTACTGTGTAGAAGGTGTATGTATGTATGTTTCAAATACAACCTGTGTGATGTGCTAAGATCATCATCACCATCTTCGCTGTATTGTTTGGGTTCAATGGAAAAAAATTCGGCAGATTAAAATATGACAACCAATATCGAACGTAGCCGTGGTCGGCTCTAGTTGACGTCGGCAGGTCGTTTCGATATTGTTTTTGCGCCTTTGTTTCGTTCGTGCTAGCGCCGATGACTTTTTTTACGCTCAATAATTTTCAGACTTGTTATACGTATGCTTATATATCTGAACAATTTCATTTTCTGGACCATCCTCTGATCGCACAGTTTGAGTTTCAAGTCCAACAACTCATTTTCAAATTCTAAATGCATCGAACTATTGTAGGTGTACTTATGTATCTCCTGCAGACGGCCACTCTGGAGCCATATTTGTGGTCTTCACTTGACAGAAACGTGCTGTTCGTCCATTTGTCTTTCCTCACCGAAGCGGAGCATTCTGTGTAGCATTTATGCATTCACTGTCGAAGATACGTGAAGTAAACCTCAATTCCTGCCCTTTTTTCTTCCCCTCTTCGGTAGTTAGAGCAGCGCTCGGTGCTGTAGCTGCCAACTGTGCATACGCAACTACGAGTCTTGTTGGTGTTGCCGTAAGCCTCTAGAAAAGGTAGTCAAGGTATAAAAAACTCGGTCTTCGTCCGAATCTGATCGGTTGCGTATTTGGAACTAGCATTGCGGCAAGAACTTCTGTGTCGTTCCTAGTCGCTTGTCGTACACTGGACAAGGAATCAGCCTGCTTTCGTTCAAATTCGTGCGGTTGACTTTTTACAAGTACGTTCTGTGCTCCTGCGCCTGCGCGCAAGGTATCGTGAACTCGGTAGCAGTGTATCGTGATTTGCATAGTATTACTCTTCGACTGAAGAAGAGATCTGACGTACACCGTGCGTTATTCCTGAATTTGTCTCTTCGTCTTTGCGTTCACTTGACGTTTCAAAAATGTCGTTAATGTTGAACATGCACGTGCTTTCGCTTTTTCCCACAGCAGGTCTATTAACAACCCCCTTTCATCATGAAATCTTCCCCATTTTTTGTGACTAGACCAATCAATAACTACTAAGTTGTACCAGCTCAGGAAGTAAAGTTTTAGGAATTATATGCCACACCCACTACATCGTTTAGGATTCATTTCTGATGGACGCTCTGTGTCGGACCGATTTCCGGTCTAGCGCATTAATTCCAGACGCGTCCTCCTCTTGATTTTTTGTTCTCAATAAGCAAGGAAATACTTCCCGTCCCCGGCTATGTCCCCCTCGTGCCCGCCCGCGTCCTCGTGGCGTCAGGGCGGGAAGAAAATGACGGGTGAAAAGATCAATCCCAGCACGAGCGGGTGGCCTTCAAACGTCGGAAAGCAGTCGGACAGCAGATCAGGTCGGAAAGCAGTCGCGCGCGTGTGTCTCCTGGCTACAAGTTTGCAACAAGTCGATCTTGGGGCGGTACAACAAGCGTTTGACAACTTGTTCGGGACAACGAGCTTGTGTGAAGATCAAGATGTTCATGTTCCTGAAAGAACCGGTAATATCATTTTCTCCCTTTATTCTGGCAACGAAGCTGCGGCGGCCAAAGAGCTGCAGGACGGTAAAAACAGAAGCAGTGGCTGCAGTCAACCGAAGTGGTCCGCGTGTCCTCGTTGCGCCAGTGCGTCGAGGCGCTCGTCGCTGAAGCCCAGGAGAGATGGCACTTGCAGTACTAAGACTTCTCGACCGACAACGTCCCTGGTCGCCTCGGCGTACCAGTTGCAGGCGAAGACTCAGAAGGATGCGAAAGTGAGGCACAGAAGGTTTGTAACTCGAAAGCAAATTATCCGAACGGCACCTGGCGAGGAAACAAGTGGAGACGATAAGAAAAAGGCAGCTGATGTTCCCGCCTCTTCATATTCGCTACATGGTAAAAACAAGAAGGAGGAAAGTGAACGAGAGCAGCTGGCGTTAGGAGCTCTCCCGAAGGACTCTGCGAACAACGTTATCACGACGAACCAGGAGCTTGTTGAGCAGGACGTTGCTGCGCAACACGAAGACGAAGCGCATTCCGGACAACGCCGAGCTACGGACGCAATATCCGACGGTTCTTCGACTGTGCTGCAGGCAGGCGCAGCGATGAACAGGCTGGATGAACTGGGACAGTTCGAAGCGCCTGCTGGGGAAAGACGAACAGATAACAGCCACCGAAATAATCAAGACGGAGTGGCTGCAAGTAGCAAAATACGCAAAAATCGTTCCGAAGTTCAACATTTGGAAGGAAACTACGAGCGTGGGTACGACAGAACTACGAGCTCCGCTACGACGACTACACGAGGTGATGGGGACAAGAAGACCATCGACAAGGAATTTTTGCAACAGCAAGAAGCCTACGCACGACATGATGTGCTTCCCAGCCCTTTAGTTGACAACAACGCGTCTACGTTTTCGTCTTTGGCGGAGGTGCAAAAGCTGACAGCACAGGACCGCAAAGCACAAATCGATGCAGAAGTTTTTCTTCCCCTCGACGGCCCCCAGCACGTTGAACATCAAGCGAGCGAAACAGATGCAGAAACAGCAGAAGGATTGTCTTCAAGGGACGACGAGCAAAACCATAATCTTCTGCAAAAGACGGAGCAAGAAATATTAAACGCAAAGAGGTTGAACCGGAAGCAACAGAATCGGAGGGCCACTACTTCCAACAAGGTCGTTCTAGCGCACGGACGAGACGAAGAGGATGGTGATGCCGCACCAGCAAATAATGCGACGACGGTCACCTCAACGGGGGACTTTCTCTCCCAAGCGTGCGGCGAAGACTACGAATTGCTGGGCGGGTCGGGTCCGGGCGCCGGCGATCAGTTGATTGTGAGGAACTTCATTTTGGGCGGACCGGAGTACGTGAATGACACGATAGAGCCCAAGAAGCTGTACGGCTACGAGATCCGAAACTACACGGACGCTCAGACCGGGGCACCGAAGGAGTTTTTGGCCGAGTACTGGCCGCTCCCGTTCACCGGTTCCTGGGACGGAAGCAGCGACGCGGCGGCGTTAATGACACACATGAGACAGCTGAACGCCCTGGTCGCGCAGTGCCGGACGCTGTGCGACAACGCCGAGCTGGAGCAGCCGGACCGCGAGAAGTACCACCCCATGTACTGTGCCGGGTTCAGCATGGACGCCACCCGGTTTGCGCAGGACGACGGGAGCATCCACCCACCAAAGCCGGTGGAGGGGCCGTTCAACGTGACCTGCATGCTGTTCATGACCGCCTACAACGACTGGCCGGAACTGGTCAGCCACCCGGCCTTCTTGACGTGCAAGAACAAAATCGCCCCCTCCCTGCTGTCGACCGCCGCGACGGCGTGCCTGGGGATGCCCTTCCCCGCGGCCGTCGCGCTGATGATCGGGCTGGGTGCGATGCTGCTGATCATGGGGATGATGGTGGTGTGCTGCCTCTGCTACGGGAGCGACGACGCCACCGCGCGTGCCGCGGCGCGCCGGAGCCAAAGCCAGGCGGCCGCCAGCCGTCGCTCGCAGCAAGCCAGCCAGGTGGGTGCCCTCGGGGTGGGGGGGATCATGGGCGTGAGCCCTAGTACAACAGGAGGAGCTGCTGCGCCAGGAGCTCCACCTGGAGTTGGTGCCGCTAGTACAGGAGCATTACCGGTTGGCGCAGCGCCGCCCGGAGCCGCCGCCACAGTAGGAGCCGTCGGAGGTGCGATCACGACTTCAAATGTCGCTGCAACAGGTGCGGCGGTGGGTGCCCAGCCGAGCCCGGGCGCGGCCGTGGAGGGAGCGGGCACCCAGCCGCGCCAGCGTCCGAGCTTTACCGCCAACCGCCCGACCGGGGGGACGAACGTGAGCAATGCGAGCATCGGGGGCACCGCGCTGAACAAAAGCACGCACGTCTCGCCAGTGGACAACGCTGCAGGTGGGAAGGCGGACGGGGCCGCGGAGTGGGGCGACAACAAGGATCACCAAAACGTGGCCGAGGCGGATGTGGAGTATGGGCCGCCGCCGCCCGCTCGGCAGACGCTGTCACAGATGATCATCGAGGAGCAGGCCAAGCACGGGGCGGGCAACAGCTCCCCCGACGAGTCGGAGGACGAGGATGCCGCGCACAAGGACGGCGCCGCGCACAAGCCAAAGGCGAGCGGCAAGAAAAAGGCCAAGGCCAAGGCGGACGCGAAGCACAAGCCCAAAAAGAAGGCCGGCGCGGGAGCGGTACGGCGGGGGACAGAATTTTGTCATGGTCCTCGCTTGTTTGGATATTTTGAACTTTTGCGCGGGAGCTGGTCCTCTTTCGCTACCGAGCTAAGGTCTTTTGATATTGCGTAGGATGTATGAAGCAGCACTAAGTAATAGTTGCTCACAATTGATGGACGCAGCTTCCTCATGCTCAGGTTTTTACTTCGGAAAGAAACCTACTCATTTGGGTTCTTGAAAATGGATACTTATTCGGGCAACGTATGATGTCCTGAAAATAAATTGAGGTTGGACATGATGTTGCACTTCATGGTAGAATAAACTGCCACTTAAGATCAAGTCCTGCCGACTATATGCATTCACTCCCGTCCCTGTGACTGAGATACACATACAAAATCATGTAGGCCATAGCAAAATATTTGTCCCCCTCCATATGCGCACACCAAGGACGAGCCGGAGGAATCCGATGGCAAGGCGACCACAAAAAAGATAACCTAAAGAAAAGCACAGCCATACCAGCAAAAAATTAGAATGTGTCTCTCTCTTGTTTTTCTCACAAGAAACTCAAACTGCTGATCTGCCACACGGGCGACCTTCCGCCATGCATATATGTAAGTAGAATATAATGCGGAATAAGCATGAGAAGTCGAAGTGCACTTAGGCAGTGTGCCAAGAATGGAATTTGTCATGCCGAACAGCCAATGAGGACTCAAAAAACGGCACGCACGGCAAATATTTTCGAATATGGTATGGGTGTACAATTTTTTTGGTTGATAGGGGAAAGGAGGCGCGAATAGCTCGCTGAAGAAGAAGGGGAAAGACCAGGACGACGACGACAAGCCGTCGGGCGGAACCAACCCGGATCGGCCCAGTTTCGTAGGCACACCGGGTCAGCCTGTTTCTTTCTCTTAGGAGGTGGCTGTGATGCTTCGTTCTTCGATTTTGGATCACCCGAGTTTTACTTGTTGTTTATTTTGTTGATGTATACTGGAATCTCATTTTTTATTTTTTTTTCTTTCGGAATTGTATTTCAATTTTTCAAGATATGCTGCCGGTAGTTGTGCCTAGTTGTACTTCTTATTGATGGTGCGCCAGGTGACATTGAAAGCATACTAGTGGGTCATCGATCATATTGGTGCTGTTGCGGCTCTGGGATTGCAAGGTCATAAAAACGAGAGGACTTGTTCTTCGTGGAGCCACTACTTATCAGCAAGGAGATTACAATGCGCCCCACAGTGCAACTCTGCAGGCTACCGTTTTGCGTTGTTTTTCAGGAAGAACACCATTCAGCAGCACCACGACGACCCGTCATCCGAGTGAGTCATGCCTTTTTCAGTTTTCACGTTTACTGTTACTTGTTTGCACTGAAGGATGGACGCGCCGGCCCCCCTGCGCTTGTCGTCGTTCTAGCCAAAAAAAAATTTTCCGCAGATCAATTTCAGCACTCAATTGTTTTTCCCTTTTCCCTAAAGCAATTGTACTCGCAATTAATTTTCGTTTTTGTAACAACTTCTGTAGTAAAAGTATTCGTTTTTCTTCTTTAGGTTCTTCCCCTCCTCTCCCACTAGAAATTCAGAAAACCGCTAGGCAGGAGAAGCAAGCTAGATCATTTTTTAACATTTTACAGGGGAAAAGTGAGTAGCTTAGTGAAATCCTAGCCAGACAAATAAGATTCGTTATACCTGTGATTACGAGAGACTTTTGGTTTTTCTTTCTTTTCCTCTTACTCTATTTGTGACTATTGAACCTACGACGGTGCTGAGAATTCTAGCACTGCACCTGAAAAAGAAAACGAAAAGGGCGTTCTCCTTCTCGGTTCGTGTGCGGCTTGCCGGATCTTCTGTCGTAGCAGACTAAAAGAAACTTTCTCGGTGCACAGTGCTACTATGTCTGTCGTCTTTGTCGTTACCACAACTCTTCCATGATGACATACTTGTGTCGTGGAGATGAAAACGTGCTGCGTCCATAACTCGGCATTCGTCGGTTTCTGTACCAGTTTCGTCGCAAAGTCGTGGTTGCCGCTTCTGTCGGTGAGGCGTACTCTTCTGTCGTTCGGATTCGTAGAATTTATCGTTCACACGAGCTGACTGTAATTACAGTCGCTCGGTTCCGGACTTCTAGAGTTTTCGTGCAGCTTTCGTCTGGAACGACTCCCGTATTGTACGCACTTCATAAGAAATTCGGTTTCTTTGCAGCAACAGAGCCCAAGCAAGAACCACCTGAAATTATTGCCCCCTCCCCATTTTCTAGTACCAAACACTACAAGACTGGAATAGGGCATTGTCTACCTCTTTACTTCTTTATCATTACCCATCGGACATCAATAGATTTGCAGAGATGTTGTAGATCAGTTGAAAAAGGAAAAGCTTGAGCTGAAATCCGTCTGAGCAGAAGAGGAAGAGCACGGCACCAGCGATTTAAAATCCCTCGGCGAAAACCCGACGAGCACATGCGGCTTTTACACCAGTCGGCCGCCCCAGACCCCTCCGGGAACACGATGGTTAGAAGCCGAAAGACCGCGACACCTGTGGTCTTCTACCACATTTTCAATTCCGCCAGAAATCCGCATGGCGCGGCCCTTCTGGCTACAGAGATTCCGGCCAGAAGAAGCTGGTTGACCTTTGCGAGCATCTGCCTGCTGTTGCAAGACGCCAGCAGAAGCAACTTTGCAATCGCCTACACGACCGTTGTTGAGAAAGTCAAGATATCCAAGCATAGGCGTGCGGTGAACAAGAATGAATCTCCGAGCGGAAATGATGATCAGGCCGCGGCGTCGAGCAATCTGTACACGAAAAGCAGCGGTGAGGTGAACTCGGAGAGGGCAACATTACGTACGAAAAAATCGGCCAGAAAAAGTACCTATATGCACCAAAGAGATCGTGGTAACCATGACGGCGAAACGCTTCTGCGACACCAGATCTTTTCCACGGAAGAGGCCGGCGCGCCGACAGACGGCAGCACGCCTGAGGCTTCATACGTGGCGTCAACTACAGAGAACGTCGAAGCAAGCCCTGCGGAGACGAAACTTGGCGAAATGAACCGGAAAGTGGTAGAAGTGGGATTGGTGCCCGCGGCCGCGGCCGATGAGTCGGCGTCTTCGTCGTTTCATCAGACAGGCGGAGACCACGGGAATATCGCAGAAAAATATGAAGGGACCCTTGGAACCGTTGCCGAATCAGAAGGGCCGCGCGACTTCCTGTTAGCAAGCGCAGAGCAAGAGCTACCTGTGCCAGATCTTCTGGTCGTGACAGAGAGCACACCATCAACCAGTGCTGCTGATGATAAACAACTTCATCATTCGAGGTACACCGGCACGCCCACAAGTAGACTAGCAAGGGTTTCAACAGACCAAGACGAAGACCACCTTCTCGCCAACACGACAACCTTTCTCGATATAAAGATGCGGGAAAATAGTATTTCTGGGCGCCAAGATGAGCTAATAGAACAAGAACTCCACCGGCGGGAGAGCATTAAGGAACAGGAACAAGCACCTCGCAGCACTCTCCAGTTTGACAGTGTAACGTCCCTCGTGTGCCCGTCCGGGTACGGACGACAAGGCGATTCGAACTACGTATCAAATGCAAATATGTTTGGGTCTGGAAGGTTGGAACTTGTGATGCTAACTTTGGACTCTAAAAAAATCTGTATTGCATGACCACCAAGAGGCGTCTAGTTCGTGATACGCGGGGGGGGGATTTGTCATGCGGAGTAGACATCAGGAAGCCTCTAAAAATGTATGATGCTAGGTCGCGCATTACAGATATCCTGGGTCATGCAAAATATGCATGACAAACCCGGCAACATTCCAGACCCAGACATTTTTGCATTTCATACTTCGCCAACCACTACATTTTCGATATCGGAAAACTGCAAGACCCCTTCGTACATCCACCGCTAGGCGCAACGCCGGCAAATCCCGAACATCCCTCCCGTATAGGACTTGAGATTTTTTTTTGATACTATCTTTCATTCGACATGATCGGAAAGAGAACTGCGTCTCGTCTAGTTTGGTTCGAAGTTTTGATGCAAAATAAAAATATCAAACCCTGCCCAACTACAATTTTTACGAAATACAAAAATTGTCTCAACAGAAATTTTCGGCGCGGCCATCCCGTTCGACGCGGATTATCACGAGTCTCTCGCCGACGATCTGCAGACCGACCCGCAGCTGATACGCAACGCGCTGCCGCACATTGCCAACGAGTTGGAGGTACACGGGTACACTGTGGACAGCGTCAACCGCCTCGAGAAAGCCAAACTTGCTTCTCTCTTGGCGGCCCGAGATGAGAAGCCAGAGGTCTTCGTGGAGGAGTGTGCAGCGTACTGTACCAAGGAGACCGCGGAGATTCTGGAAGTGATCACCGACGATCTGCCGTGTTTGGGCTTCTCAATTTACAGGACGGAAGGCAGCCGTTACCCCACGTGCGTGCTGTACTTCGGGCCGAATGGCATCATGGGCACCCCCGTCGACAGGAGAGACGTGCTCACGTGCTTTTATGAAATAGTAAAAAACCGATGAGTGGGTCGCAGGATGAAGTTGACAATCTATACTTAATTGGTTTTTGAGAAGAATTTCGATATTCTTGCATAGTCGACATTTCTTCAAAAGATACCATACCATTTCTAAGAGGTGATGGTGAAAGACAAATTTTTGCATTACTTGACGGGCGGAAATCCGTTCTTGTTTTTGCCGCCCCGTGAGGAAAAAACTTAAAGGTGGCACGTCACCTCTCTGTATTTTTCAGCTTCGTTGAGTTCCAGCCGCGCACTTATGCCTCAAGCGTGCAATGTGGTCGCATTTAGTTTCATATTCAATACGAACGTCCGCAAAGGTGAAAAAAACGACTTCCTGTTCCTTCCGCCTCCCACCCTTCGTTTCCATAGCTTTGGCGTGGAGAAGCTGGACGTTGGCCCCTGCGGAAACATGACCAACGTGACCTTGCTGGTGCTCATACCCGTTCTGAGCCTGGTGGTTGTGACTGTGGTTATTTGGTGTTTGCGACAGAAGTACGGCAGCGATTGCTGTTGCTTCTGTTTCGGCGAGAGAGAGGATAATGACGACGAGTGGGGCAAACGGCAACAGGACCGCGAGGAGCAGCGCATGCGGCGCATGATGTACCGCCAGCAGCGGAATGCGGACGAAACGGCAGCTCCCAGCACGAACGTGGCCACCCAGGCGAAGCAGGTGGTCGCTAGCGGGGGGAGAACGACCCCCACCGTCCTCACCCCCCGCTCCGCCGGCAGGACTTCCATGGTCGCGGCGGGGCCGCCAATGGGGCGGATGGGGCTAGGTGCACCCGGACTGGGCCCGGGGACCGGTCGAACCAGCATCACGGCGGCGGCTTTGCAAACCCTCCTGTAACCGGTTCGGGTGAGCCGGAAGTAAAATAGAGGGCACCGATTCATCGGGTGGGCCGCGAAGTAAAGCAGCGTTCTGATGTGTGTCATTGTCGTTGTTGTGCCCGTGCCGAGCAAGCACATTATCGTTGTTTGATTTCTGACGACTTCCCACTAGCTAGTAGTTTTTACAGATTAGAAATGCTGCCCAACCTTTTTATCTCCGCTGACGAGATCAGGTTTGTGGAAAAATTTGAAGATCGAGGATGATGTTTTTTACCGCTCGTCTCCGAGTACTAAGATTATTCATCTTGTCTTGCCTGTAATTCCATATCAAACGTACATTTTTTCAGACCGACACAGCAACCGGAAAGTAGTAACTCTTTTTCGACAGTGCTCGTTTCAACAAGTGAAGCAATATGTAAAAAGCTAGTCGTGTGAGCAAGTCACTACACGAAGAGGATTCTATGAAGAAGTGAACCAATGGCCGCGCCGAGGCGGAGACCCGTAGAGGCATATTGCTGCAAATTGCGACATCGTGTTCGTCTGCGCACCAGTAGGATCTCATCAAATAGTATCGAAGAGCCAGTACTCTCACTGTCACTAAACTGCAGCTAAAACTTACTATGTCTAATATGGCGGTTCACATCTTCGAAGGATGACACGCAGCGCCTATTTCTTGGAAAAGAAAGAATAAACCATAATAACGCCGGGAACGATTTTCTACGAAGAGATGCTACACGAGGGCCGGCACTAGGACACCTTCGAACCCTGGAAGTAGACAAAAACTTGAATAGATTTTGGCTTTGCGTCAGCGAAACTTGAAGTAAGAGGACTATTACCATGGACAACATGGACTTCAGTTTGATGTGGCAGTTATCGGCGGCGCGTCCTGGTGATTGCGTGATATTGTTACCGATGCAGTGGTGCGAGAGCCAGCGGCCAGACAGCACGAGTTGGTCCTGACGAGAAAAGTGGTGCTAGTATTCTGGGCGGCGACATCAGAAATTGATAAACGGGGAACCGGTCAGCGACACGTAAGTCAGAAACTGCCAAGGCGCATTCGTGCGAGCTACACGAACCCCGCCTGGAGAGCAGCACGGACTTGTTTCTCCACACTGCATTCTGGAACCAGCTCCACGCGCCAACATCAAATTCCTTGTGCGTTAAAAACGGTGATAAGCTTTTTAGGTCATTCATCTACGCGAAGATGTTCCAGCGTTTTTTCCAGGAGCATGTGATGGGCAACAAGGTGCTCAACAGCTCCTACAAGCTGGAGAAAACTCCCTCTTGCGAGGGTCTCGACGTGCGATGGACCTGCTGTCCCGCGACCCACACGGACCGTCCGACCGAACCGCTTACCGTGTTTCTGTTTGAGAAAAAGCTCCTTGACAAAAACCGGCAGAAGGACGCGGTATCAGGGACTACATGCGCAACTGATTATTTTCTTATGCGAAAGTAGAAGTACAGTAGGCACCTAACTGCAATAAAATAGTTTGTTTTCCGGCACAAAAGCCGTCGTCTCCCTCTAGTTGACTCTTCTCTACCTCTGGCAGCAGCTCTAGTCTAAGCCAGTAAAACTGACGTAGTTTTCAGAGCGATGTATTTTCGTAGCTCTAATGTCGGACGTGCCGAGGCAGAAGCAGAGTTCTACTTGACCGATGAATTTATCCACTGACACTAACTTAGGTCCTCGAATGTCTTCGGAGGGATGCACAGATGCTGCAGCGCCTGCGACACCCCAACATTCTACACGTCTTGGAACCTCTCGTGGAGGAGAAACTGACGCTTGCATTCGCCACGAGGCACGTGAAAACGAATTTGGCGACTCTGCTGGAAAAGGTGTAGAGTTTTTTTACCTGTTGATGACATGCATAGTGTGATAATCATACCAAGTACAGTTTTGCAAGAGCGGGAACGAATGAGGCGAAGCACACAATCTGTGGAGCCCACTTCGGTGCTGGAGGCGTAGACGATGCGAATTTCATCTCCTCAAAAATGCAAACAAAACGCACTACAGAACGCGAAGGAGCTGACTGCTTTGGAAATGAAATGCGGGCTGCTCGACCTCGCTGAGGCCATTCGTTTCCTGCACCAGGACGCGAAGACTGCGCACCTCGGCGTGCAGCCCTGTAACATCTTTGTGTCCGAGCAAGGACGGTGGTTCCTCGGCGGATTTTCTTATGCGCAGCAAGGCATCACGAAGGGAACCGCTGTCGATACGACTTTCGGGTTTCTTGCAGACGATATCACGCAAATGGGGGCGGATCCCTCGCTGAAGTATTGCGCGCCGGAAATCACCGCACAACGCAAATTCGGCTTGGAGTCCGACGTTTTCTCGCTCGGGCTGATTGCGTACGAAGTGATGTCGCTTGGGGAGAAAAGACCGCTGCTGGCTGCGGTATGATCTACTGCAACGAGCCAGATTTTGTCTTTTTTAGTATATAGAATCGCATGCGTTTTGCTTCTCCTTCTCGTTTGTCAACTTGCCAGAAATAATGTCGTTTCGATGATCTGTAGCACTATCTACAGAAAGGATGCATTTCATACAACAAACACCCAGCTCGGGCGGTACGACAGGAATGGGCACCAGTCGAAGCTCCAGCAGCTTCTCCCACTCAAGGACCTGCACGCCAAGGTCCCACCGGAGCTGGTTTCCATCCTGTGTGGCATGCTTGCGCCGAACCCGGAGCACCGCATCGATATCAGCGCCTTTCTACAATCGGAGTTCTTTCAGGACATCCACATCAAGGCTTTGCGGTTTTTAGAGACTCTGTCGGAAAAGGACGATGCGCAGAAGGCACAGTTCCTGAAGGGCTTCAAGAACCTGCTGGAGCAGCCGGCGAGTGCGTTGACCGCGGATAGGATTGTAGAGATTGCCTTGTTGTTTTTGTCTTTTTCATTTTCAACATAAATTTGTTCGGGAAAAGGACAAAAAACATTTTTTTCAGGGAACTGTTGCTTTTTGGGCAGGGCGCATCACAGATTATTTTCTGTCCACTTATCACAACAGCTCCGCGAAAGGGTTCTGCCCCAGCTGGTCCGCGCTCTAAACTACCCGCCTTTGTACGGTCACGTGCTGCAGTGCATTCTGGTGTGCCTCAAGCGACCGAATCTTCTCACCCCAGAGCAGTTTCAGGTTCGAAGTCTACATGAAAATGTTCTCATATTGAACGTATTTCTACTTTATGCCATGGAAATATTACAAAGCTATTCCAGTACCGATGTCTGGTATGAGTGCGACCCAGCAGCAGGAATAGCAGAAACAGAAAGCATTTGATAAGGCCGTTTCTGAACATTATCACAGGAGAAAGTGTGGCCAGGGATGCGCGCTCTTTTCTCGGCGAAGGAGATCCCGATAGAAGCTGTGACGGACTTGATTCGGAATTTGGATCTGATCATGCAGCTGACCGCAACCAGCGAGGCAAACGCGGTATAGCTAACTTGATGCTTTTTTCCCTTTTGTCCTAGCCTTTTTGCATAAAGACAAGTTTCATCTTCCCACGACGACAGACGGACCCATTCAAGAATGATGACAGCCAATCTTTCCTCCCAGATTCTGCTCCCCTTTCTACTTCGCTGTCTCGAGCTTCCCGAGCCGACGATCGCGCAGACCGCTCTGGAAAAGATCCCGCAGCTGCACGAGAAATTTGAGTACCGGCACATCAAAGACCAAATCCTGCCCCGCATGCTCGCCGTTTTGCTGCGCAACGAGTCTACGCTGAAGGCCCGGTATCAACTGCAAAAATGTCTGGGTCTGGAAGGATGCGAGCTTGTGATGCGTGTTGCGGATCATACAAAAATCTCTGTTGCATGACTTGCAAAAGTCCCCCATTTCTAGCCATGCCGGCGGGGCATTGATTTCTCATGCAGAATAGGCATCACCAAGGGGCTGCAGAATCTGTGATGCTAGGCCCTGCAATACAGACTTGGTGGAGCTTGGAAAAACTGCATGACAAACCTCGGAACTTTCCAGACCCAGACATTTTTGCATGTAATACCCGGGTGCAAATTTTGATGGGCATCAACGCGATGTTCGCGGTGTTTGATCGGTCCACCATTTTGGAGACCATCCTGACCGCCTGCGAGCGCGTGCAGAAGATGGAGCGGGCGCCGGCGCTGTGCATGGTGCTGCTTTCTACCTACGACGCCATGAGCAAGTTTCTCGGGCCGCGCGAAACCGCGACGAAAATCTTGCCCTTGGTGTGCCCGTTGCTCGCCGAGGAATCCCTCACCGCGGACCAGTACCGCACACAGATGGAGGTGTGCCGCAAGTTGCTGGAGCGAGTGGACACCTCACGTTCAAAAGAGTACGCAACGAGGACGGACAACAGTGCGGACGTGAACGCCGCGCTCGGCGGAATGGGCTCGGCAGGGGGGCTGCTAACCGCCAATGAAGGCGGGACCACCGCGAAGCCGCGAGTACCGGACGCGGATGACAATTTTCTGGCGGAGCTCGGGGGCGCGACCCCAACGGGTGGTCCGACTGGAGGAGGTGGTTTCGGAACTACGAGCAATAACCCCTGGGCCACAACGTCCTCGAACGCCGCGAGTACAACCGTGACAAACTCGAAAGCCTCCTCCGACGCGAAGTCCGATTTCGACTTGTTGCTCAGCGGCCCGACTGTTCCGTCGACCAGCAACAATTTCGCGAAGACGAGCTCCCGCACCTCCGGCAGTGGGGGCTCGTTGCTGGATGATGGATTTGGAAACATGATGAACACGACGTCGAATAATTCCAACCCTGGGTCGACGAGCAACATGCTGGACTTGTTTTCAACATCCGGGCCGCCAGTGAGCACGACGAGTTCCATGCCGATTAGCAAGCCGCCGAGTAATCCGTCGATTCCTATGCAGCTGCCGATTCCAGGTTCGGGGCCCGCAGCGTCTTCCGCTGCGAGGCAGGACGACTTGCTGTCTATGATGGGGACGACGACGACTACAACATCCACCGGCGCCGGTGGTATTAACATGTCCGGCACTACTAGTAGCGCCAACCCCCTCGCGCAACTAAACGATCCGGGTTTCTACAACTCCTCTGGAGTGATGACGGGGACTTCCGCTGCGACTTCGAGCACGTTGACGGGTGGGTTGCAAAGCTTCGATTTGCAGAAGACCGGCGTCAGTTCGCAGTGGGTCGGGATGGCGAACATGCAGGGGGATCCGTTCGCGGGGTTGGGGAGCGCAGGTGGTAGCGCTAGTACAGGGGGAATGAATTCATCTACCTCATCGTCCGGGGGAATGCAGCTTCCAGGTGCTGCAGGCGGAGCAGGTAATGTTAATCCGATGATGGGCGGAATGGGTGGAGGCGCGAACAACCTCATGATGAACATGAGCCCGATGGGGGGCATGATGCCAGGTGGAGGACAGCAGCAGCAAAATCCCATGATGAACATGAATCCGAGTGGTAATCCTATGATGAACATGGGGAATAATCAAAACCAAGCGAACTCCCAGTTCTCCCCCTTTCCAAGAACAAATAACGACCCATTTGCCGGGTTGATGTAAGAGCAGAAAAGCGACGCACTTTTTGCTTTTCCTCCGAAAGACCGCAATGCTTTCACTACGCAGTAAGACGACATTTCAATTTGCTCAAGCCCGAGCGAACGCAGCGATGTCCTGCGCACTAGCCGGCGAGCAAGTTAGTGTTAGAGCAATGCAGGACTAGCTAGTACTGACTATTGAAGATCATGTTCCTACGTCGTCATTTACATTTGACCGAACGCCATCAACAGAGATCTTGATATTGGACCATGCTAAAGATCCTAAGGTATCGTTGCAGTTGCAGATCATGAGAAGATATCTCTTTTTGTTTTGCCGGATCGAAACTACATGATCTCCTCTTCACAGTGTCTAAAGCCTCACTCACGCATGCGAATGACCTTGAAGCTGGTTATGCAGGGAAACAGCGGAAATAACCTTCGAGCTTTTCATGGAAAGCGCTGCAGATTAGAGCGTACCGTACTGACTTTTTAATGAAAAATAGTGATTCAATTTGACTTTTCACCACTTTCACTCAATGTTGAAGAAGATGAAGATGGCGGATAATGTAAAAGGCCACAGCCTGGTTGGCCACCTCAATCATCTGAAGAACGCTTTCGTCGCAAAGGCGCAGTCTCTTATTGCGGTCGAGGTGTGGTGCGTCATTTTTCTTATTGTGATTCCGCAGCTGCTAGCGACGATTTTCTCTGTGATCAAATGCAGCGTGCTGCAGGCGTCTTCTGCGGGGAAAACTGCATTTGGCGGCGGTACATCACAAAGTAGCAAAGCTGTGGTCCCCGTGCCTGCTGCAGTCTCTGAAGAGGCCGGCTTGGTAACAGTCCTTGTACATGACGAGCAGGACGATGTGCTTTTGGGTTCTTCTCGCGAGATAGTTGGCCATGCGCTGCATCCAGATGATTCGGTCCCATCTGCCGGCGTATCTCAAGCAGATCGGAGCAGTGCTGGCACTGGGTGTGAGAAGAAAAAAGTGTCCATCTCGAACGCAGCACTGAATAAGGATGACGAACGGCATGCAGAGCCCGCCTCCGCAGAAAATAAACGAAGTGAAACGGAAAAGAGCTCCGATACCGCAAGCGCAGGCGATTACCGCATCAAGCCCGAAGAGCTTACGACCCAGATCGCCTTCGTCTTGAGAAAGCTAGCGGGTGTGCAGACGCCGGAGCGTGCATGGGAATTGCTTTACCAGTTAAAACCTGCAATGATGATGCGAATTGACCCCTGGCGGGATCTCGACGGGAACAGCGTAGCGATCGAGGTGTTGCTGCAGCAGTTCGAGTATCATTTCAAACAACAAGAGGAAGGGACAGGCACGGTTGCGCATTCGATTTGGCAATATCTTGCCTTTGAGTCCGACGGATGGAAGAGGCTCATTGAGCACGCCGCAGTGCTTGACAAGCAACAGCTCTTGGCGAAATTGTACGGGTATCACTGCCTTTTGAATGCGAACGGCAACGGGGCATCATCTGCAGTCACGGAGTTCAGGAAAATCATCGGTACAGACTAGGCGCCGAAAAAAGAATGCGTTTTCATCCTCTTTCAGTTTTACATACATTCAGATTTAGACTTTTCCTCTGCGAGCAGGCTTTTCTTCAAATGCGAAATCTGTCCACCAGAACTTGATAAACTCAAAACTTGCAGTGGTTGACGCACAAGCCATTGCCAAGGAAAAGGGCAGCGACGAGCTGCTTGCGATGCTCCGACGAATGGAACTATCCATGTGCAGCACAGTTGAGGAGGCTAAACCTGTTGTCGAAACACTCCTCGCATCTTCGCCCAAGGGTCTATGTGGTAATTCTGTTGCGATCGCATGATGAATGCCTTTTCTTATGCCACAAATGAATAGGCGTCACTCAATTTGTGGGCCTCGCAGCGGGAGGATCAAAAAAGTGTCGAACACCAAACCTACGTACTTCCGAAAGAAATCTGTGCTGGTGAAATGGATGCCTTTCAAAAATCCCATAACAGCTGAGCACGTCCTGCAGTTTGAGTTTTTGGGAGACATTGCCATTGAAGCGATTTTGGAACACCAAGACACTGAAGCAATCGCACCTCTGATAAATGCAGTTGACGAAGATGGATGGACACTGCTACACTGGCTCACATTTCGTGAGCGTTTTCGCGCGGTGACGAAGCTGCTGGGTCTGGCCCTCGGTTGGTTATTCACTAAAGTCAATGCGAAAACCACAGATGGTGTCACGGCCTTTGGTATGGCGCTCAAGGCAGACAAAGCAGAGCTTGCGCAGGAAATCTCAAAGAGTCGGGGATTCCGATATACAGAAAACGTCTTGGGTGAGAGTTGGGAAGGCCGTTTGTCCATCATCGACCACGTGGCGAAGCACGGAAGCGAACAAACGAAATTTGTGTTAGATTTTGCGGCGCTTGCCTCGTGTCAATCGGAGAAGGAGTGTAAGGACTTTTTTGATGCCCATCCGCAGTTCCCATTTGAAAAGCTTGACTTGGCCAGCGGCTTCGGCCACTATTTTTCCGATCGGAATTATACGGTCATTAAGTTCTTGCTAACCGATCCCGCGGCGACGAACAGGGTTGATTTTCGAAAGCTCCTGGCATCTTTGATATGCGAAAAACAAAACGACGCTCTCAAGGTGCTCCTGTTCCATGAGCAGTTTGTGGATTACAAAGCAAATTTCAGTGTGACAAATTACCCGAAGAACAAGCCATCTATAAAGTTTTCTGGTAGCTGTCTGCATTATGCAATTTCGAAAAACAATGTGGATGCACTGGGCCTCCTTCTGACGCATCCGGAACGGTGGGACATTTTGGAGAACAAAGCCGAGGACGGAAAGACCGCATTGGAAATGGCAAAGGAGAAGAACAATCGAGAAATGATTTCCCTGCTGCAAGACGAACTCGATGCACTGGAGATGAGCAAGCTTTACCAGGACCCAAATGCTATCAAGAAGATGCTGAAAGAGAAAGAGCAGAGGGCCAAGGCGGAAGGGCCGACTTGCGAAATCTGCCTAGACCGGTCCTGTGATATGGTTTTGCCATGTGGTCACACCCTGTGTGGCGATTGCTGTGATTCGATGCCAAATAAAGTTTGTCCCAAATGCCGAAAAGCTTTCGTGAGCCCGACCAGGCTCTTTTTCTAGGAACGAGACTTTGTGCCTTAATCGCATGAATAGACGAGAACAACGACTGGACATGCGGCTACCAGTTTCGTATGTACCTTCAATCAATTTCGATCCAAATCGTTTTTGAAGTCGCAATCTGCTTCATGTTGGAACGTGCCTGTAGAAGGAAAGTGGTCGATTATGATAGTGCACGAGAAGAAAGTTCGATGAACCTGACCTATTCCGAAGATAAACACTTCATTCCGCATCCGCAGCTGCTCGCTAGAATAATCACAGAAAATAAAATCCAAGCATGCTGAAGTTCAAGAACCTATCACATTTGTTGAACTTTCATCGATTCTCTCAGCACGGCAGCCCAATCGCTGCTGTTCAAATGACTCCTGCACGATGTCGCCGCGTTGCTTTTGGTGCGTATTCCTGATCCATGCTTTTGTAATCCACTATAGCCAAGATACAATTTACTACGAGTACGATCACTACTTCATGCCGATACATGGTGCTGTCGACTGCATAGATTCCTTTGCGTGCGACTCGCTCTTCAAACTAAGACAGATCTACAGCATGGCTGACTACAGTAATTTGACGATCTAAGGAGCCGAACTTCTTTCAGATGGTGTCAAGCAGGCAACTGATCTGCTTTTGACGAGTTGTAACACACACTGACTAGCATTTTTATTTTTGCCGGAGTTGCCACTAGGATCTAGCTCTAGGTCTCCGGCTTGTTTTTACGCCAGCATGCGAGCCACAAAGATCTAATTTCTGGCACACGCCTACCATAGCAACTATGCCCAAGAGGTTCATGACCTCACAAACTTGTATGAGCTCTCATGAATTGAAAATCCAATTGCCAGCGGGACAACTCCTTTTTCTGGCGTTCGTGACAACTCATTTTTTCTGTCCCCTCCGTCTTGTTCTTATCCGCTTTCCGATAATAAAAAAAGCTTAGAAAAATGGGTTGCGGCCCTAGCGAAGAGGAAGGCCCGGTCCATTTTGGGGGCCGGGATGACGACGACGCCACACGCACGATCCAGCTTCGAGTGTGTCTTGTTTGTCAAGATCCGGTTGACCCTCTAAAGGACAACGCTCCGGCACCAGCGGCAGTCAGTTGTGGATACGTCTGTTCGCAAAATCAGCATATTTACTGTTGCCGCTGCCTGGTGGAGCACGTCGGAACAGCCCCGCTGCATGAAAGGGGAGTCCACTGCTGTCGTACAACCTGTCCTGAAGGGATTTTCGATCACGAGCACATCGCTAAGGCGTTCGGACAGGTCGCGAAAACCGACGATCCCACCGCGCCAGAAGTGCCGAAGAAACTCGAGCAATATTTTGAGCGGGTATCTTCCAGGCCAGCAACGCTGCAAAGCGAAGACAAGAAGAAATTGGCTGATGCGAAGTTGCTCGCTGATTCCGCGTTGGAATGTGTCGCACCGCGCTGCCCAAAGTGTAGGAGTCTGATCGATCAGAATCCTGACGGATGTCGGGCCTTGACATGCGACCAGCCGCGCTGCGGTTGTCACTTCTGCTTCCTGTGCTTCCACGTCTCCCCGGACTCAGCGGCGTGCCACGCCCATGTAGGCCGTGTCCATGGCGATGTTTTTGCATCGAAGGCAGTGGTAGAGGTGGCTCACCGGGAGTGGAAACGTGAGCAGTTTTTGGCTTTTTTGCGAAAACATCAAGATGCGGTGCGGCCTGTGGCAAACGAGTTTGTTCGTCTGGTGTGCGAGACCGCGATGGACTTCGGCGTCGAGAAAGCGATGATTTTTCGCGAAGTGGGTGTAGAGTGTAGAGACAGACTAGCGGAACTACACGCGGCGGCAAAGGTTGCTGGGGCTGCTGAGCTGGGCGAGATCGACATGATCGGACGTAGCCGATGGTATTTGACCGTGGCCATCTGGATCATGTTGGGTTTTGCGCTCGCTGCGATGAAGACTTCTGATTACTTCTAAGCTACGGAAGGTGTTGTCAAACGCTAAACGTGTCTAACGCCTGCCCGCCAGGAGGTACGTACTGCCACATCCAACGAAGTAGTTCCAACGAGAGCGACTCAGATTACAGAGAAACAATCCTCCTCTCTTACTTTGTAAAGCGGAGGACTCATTCCAACGAGAATACATAGCTTGACCTTGAACAGTTTCATAGATCTCTCTGCTGTATTTCGATCCCAACTCATTCGTATTCATCCAGAAAAACAAACGAAGTAGAAACTGCTACTGCACTAAGTGACTTTGATCAGAGCCTTAAAACAAAACATGGCGACGCGATTCATGTCCGCTTTTCGTAGCATGACGGCATGTTGTGCACAGTAACAGATGAGACCAGAACTTGACGCTGTAGTGGCACGGAAATCGATAAAAAGAGTATTCATCTACGCCCAGAGTCTCGTCAATTTTTAGATCAGATTTCATAATTGCCAATTGGTCGCGAACGAGTAGAGCATCTCGATCCGCACAAAACTTGTCGAAGAACGATCACCAGCGATATTACTTATTTCTTAATCAACGCATGGCACTCCCACGACGCGCTGGCGCTGACCAGAAGCATGACGGACTGGGTAATACGTAAAGACACAACCTGCAAAGCAGCGAAAGATCTTGACGTGCTCACGAAGCGATGCACATCCCTACAGCGAGACGGACAGTGATCTAGAATTTGATGACTTGCCTCGCAGTTTCTATTTGTTTTAAGTTTTTTTTTGGCAACTTTGATTTGTTATCGCGACTAGCAAAGAAGTAGATCCTTGATTCAGATAAGAAGCGATCTGCCTCGCCGTTATCCCTGCTGTCCGTTTGAAGTTGGCGCATATCACAACTACTGGATCAGCATCATTCGAAAATCCATTCTTCAACAGCGGAACAACAGTCAAGATCGTTCTGCCGATCTTGGTTTTACTTTTTTGCGGGAAACTTTTTTCGCACTCGGCTTTACCATGCTCGTTTGCTAGACTGATTTATCGTAGCACCTAAAACAACCCGTTCGTTCTATCCCTACTTTTGAAGAACATTTCTGTTTCACACCTTTTTAAGCCACACTTACAACATTCAAGATGGAGGACGCAGAGAAGAAGATGGCGACGAAGAAAAAGAAGATGGCGGTGGACAAAAACAAGATGGACAATAACCGACTGCGAAAAATTAAACCTCGCTCTATTGTTGATTCTCTGCATGTTGAATAGCACCGTTATGATTTGTGCCTTAGCATTAGGATTAATAGGTACATCTGCACTACACATCTGAGCTACTACTTGCTTAATAAGAAACAGCGCACGCTGTAAAAGCGGCGCATGAAGAGCAAATCGAACTGGCATAGCATCAACAAAAGGGCACGGTTTTGATTTTCCTTTTGTATACAGCAAGACAAGATGATGAAGTACGACAAGCTGGACAAGATGAAGGACAAAAAAGACAAGGGGAAGAAGGACAAAATCATCCTCTCAGAACTTCCCATCGGCATCAACGCAAAGAAGAAATCGAAGGTAGATGCTTTGTACTATGTAGTTGCTTTTTTTTTTGGCATTAGCGTGCCTGTGCGGACTCATTTTTCTTTTTGAATAAGTTATCAAGCTACAACAAAATGATCTCGTATGGAATAAAACCGCTGTACAAAAACAACTTCCCCACATCGGACTTGACAAAAAAAACAGAAGGACAAACTGGCGAAGCTGGGGAAGGCGAAGAACAAGGAGGCGAAGTCGAAGGGGAAAAAGAAGGGGTCTGCCAAGACCCGCGCGGCGAAGGCGAACCTGATTTTCCCGGTCGCGCGTATTCACAATCGGCTGAAGAGCCGGGCGTCGGCGAACGCGCGCGTGTCCGGCACCACCGCGGTCTTCTGCGCCGCCGTGATGGAGTACCTGGTCGCCGAGCTGTGCGAGCTGGCGGGGAACCGGGCCAAGGTGGCGATGGGGAATAACACGGTGAACAAACAGACGGGGCAGAACAAGAAGGCGCGCATCACGCCGCGGCTGATCTGCATGGCGGTAAAAGAGGACAAGGAGTTCGACGAGCTGTTGAAGAAGGCAACGATCCGCGAGGGTGGGGTGATCCCGCTGGGGGACAAGCAACTGAAAGAGCAGATGAACGCGCACAAGCGGGTGGCCGGCGCTTCGGGTGCCAAGACGCAGGTCGGGGGCGTCCCGGGGGTGGAGTTGGGCTATGGGAAGGACGACAAGATGAAGACGCCATACATCATATCAAAAGGAAAAATCCCCCCTCCCCATATCGAAAACGAAATTTGTGATGCTGTATTTGAGTACACAAATCGACTTGTAATGCTAGAAGGCCAAGAGACGCAGCTGTGGCCTCGTTTGCAGGCAATTTGTCATGCTGTTTCCCACTTCCAGCTGCCCCCTGTCATGCTGAAGATCCGAGGCTTTCCCACGCCAACCAGCACTACAGTCCGCATCTTTTCCCTTCTAGCATGACAAAGCTGATTTGTGACCACAAATCTGCATCACAAATCTCTAGTTTGAGTATGGGGTGGGGGGATTTTTCCTTTCGATACATGATCGACGGAAAGGATCCCAAGGGCTTGAAAGCGCCCTACGACGCGAGTTTGGCGGGCATGACACCATCGGGCTACTACGACCAGACCCCGGGAGGCTCCTTTTACGAGGAGGGCGCCACGCCGGCCCTGGCGGCCCAGTTCGCCGGAGCCGCTGGGCAAGGGCTGGGAGGACAGTAGTCGAGTTCGCTCCTACTTCCTTTTCAGGGACTTCGGTCGCCCTTCTTCGCTCATCGCAGTTAGAAGTGATTTGCCAGTTGTCTGCGAAGGTGGATTTGTTGAAAAGTCTTGAGGTGAAGTGATTTCTCGACTGCTCATCTAACCAGATTTCACATCCAGACGCTTTCACATGGTTTCTTTTGCCTGCGGTTCGAGCGCCTTAGTATCACCAGTAGGATGTTGAACTCATATACGAGTTTTTACACTATGTTCTGTCTTTCTGGAACTTTTTTTTCGAATTAAACGTACACGAAGGCACAGTCGATTTGAATTTCGTACTCGATTGCGACATGATTCCAAATCAGCAGCCCCTACTAAAAAAATGAAACAGCAGTACCGCCACACTGTGGTCGACTTTCTGCCGGCTACAGACGCATTTACATTTCATCTAGCATTTTGATGTCCAACGAGTCTATGATCCGTAATATGCAAGCCCGGCAGGAGATCGCAAGAGGTCGATTTTCTGACGCAGTTTGAGCACGATGATGATTCGAGCAGTAAGAGGTGGCAGGATAATGATACTACCGAAAAAAAACTTCTCTGAGCACGACAGCCCGTGGGGAAACGAACCGGTTCTGGTTTTCTACAGAACAACAATTTGTTTTCGGCACGGAAAAGACTGCTGTCAGCCACTTCTTACGATTACTATGATGAAATTGAAACTACTGCGTGATTCACTTTTAATTCGAAAGGTTTATTTCTAAGCCATATTTCTTTGATTCGCCGAAGCCAAGAACTTTCCGCAGTGGTTGCGTCGGAGATGAAGAAACGGTCAGGTGAGGTAGTGCCGTATTGTTCCGCAACATGAAGATCCCCCGATTTATTTTCCAAGGTTACTTTTGAATCATTGGTTTGCCTTCGTGAATCATATCTTAATCTTTTCCTTCGTTTTCACAGGAACTGATGCTGATCCGATTAAGGTTTTAATACTTTTTGAATCTTTTCGACGAGTTTTGAGATCCGGCACCACCAGCAATGGTCTGTTGAATTCATATACAGATAGTCTGTCGAGCCATTGCAGTACTTACTTGCCTAGTGAAGATAAAAGATCTGATGCGCTTCGTACTTGATTTGGCGTGATCCTTACAATCTATCATCTGATTTGAGTTTGTCGCGTCGTTACACACCTTTCAGGAGAAAGCAGTGCAAGGATGGCCCTGGATGCGCCACCGAACCCGGCGGTAAAAACAGCCTCTCCGTCATCTCCGCCACCGCCGAGAGTTCTGCTCTTTGACCTTGACGAAACGCTTTGGGATTGCATGAAAACCATTCGCAACGCGGCGACGAAAACGCAGGAGCAGTTTCCTTTTTTGCAGAACTTCGAAACCGGGATAAAACCGCTAATCGAAGAGTTTCCGGAGAAGTCTTTCGACTACACCTTCCTGCGGAAAACGTACCTCGAAAGGGAAAACCCAGAAGGAACCAGCAAAGCCGTCGTGGACGAGCAGTTTGATTATTGGCATAAGTGGCGAAACACCCCCTTTTTCTTCGACAACGTGGTGCCGCAGTTGCGAAAATTACAGAAAATGAAAGAGAAGAGGAGAGAAGCGAGAAATTATCCGCTCATCATTGGCGCAGTGACGGACGGCAACGCGGATGTTTTTCAAGTAGAGGAGGTAAAGGACCTGTTTGACTTTTCCGTCTGCGCTATCGAGGTCGGGGCCTGCAAGCCGAGCGAAAAAATGTTCCAGAAGGCGCTGGAAAAAGCGAGGAATTGTTTGGAGAAGCAGGTTGGTACCGGAATTGCGATTGCCGAAGCAGACCGACAGCAGGAGGCACAAGGGATAATACCCGTGCTGCAAAAAGACGATGAAATCCCTGTTCTTCATCCAGCGGACTGTCTGATGATAGGAGATGACTTTGCGAAGGACATTGTAGGCGCAAAACAGAATGGCATGCAAGCGTGCTGGATCAGGAATGCTGAGAAAAGGGCTGGTACCGACATGCTGGAAATCACTCCCGAATACGAATTCGAGACTGTCGTTGAGCTGATAGAAAAGATACTTTTAGTTCTTGATCGTGATTAAAAACATTTTCTCTCCACCCAGCGCAGTGTTGATCGAAAATCTGTTTTGTATGGAGCACTGTCCGTGGCACTTTGACTGGTGCAGTCGAGGTTTGTTTCAAGCCAACTGTCTTCGTTTGTTAAAAATCGGAACGAAATGATCCAGATCAGAAACGAAAATCACAATATCAAACGCGAAAAAGGCAATAAATCGGTCGTCTACAAAAATTGTAGGAGTGTTGAGATCAGGAAATAAACCAAGATCCAAATGCGGTTCATCTGGCTCTGCAGAAGAACAGGAACCTTGACGTCGGTTGTGAAAAATGTGCTCGTGTGGTTCCTCGCTCCCGATTTTTGTCAAATTCGAAATGGTCACACTTACAGTTCGTTTCATCAGCAGATTCGCCACTGTATCGTCTCTGTTCTTGTAGCTTTTGCACAATCGCGATGCTCCGAACACCACCAGGCGACCGAGGCAGTAGGTTGAAGAAAAAGTAAAAATAGAAATCAGAGAACGCATTACAAAAACCTCTTCTCGTCAACATCATTTGTCGCGTTTCTTCTAGATAGAAGTATTCCCTCCTGAGTAGACATTCATCGAACTACAAGCATCCGTCACGAAGTTTCCCCGATTACACTATACTTGTGCCGATATTACCTGTATTCCGACCCGCCCCTGACACCATCGATCCTGTTATGCCGACTTTTGACCATTCCTGAACAAGATCGATTTCTCGACTTCGCTGTAATTTGAAGATGAAAATAGAAATACAAATTCGTATTCACCAGATTTTACTTTCCCCAGCGCGACGACCCTGGGACTGGGTACAACAAGTATTTTCAATAAACTAACCGGAATTTATTTCATTCCAGAAAAATGTCGGGCGCGCCGATGGAGTGTGAGGAGTGTGGGTCCGAGGATTTAGTGCAGGACTTTAACTCCGGGCACTTCACCTGTCGGCAATGCGGGGTGATCAACCACGCGCTGACCCAGCAGTTTGGGGAGGTGGACATCGGGGACCAGGGCGAGAACGTGACCGGGCGGAAGCAGCAGGTGGTGTCCATCCGGATCAAAAAGGATGCGGCGGCCCGGAAGGAGGCGCAGATGACACAGCTGGACCGGGTATCCTGAGTAAAAACGTACCCACACCATAGTTGTCATGCAACTCTGCATGCTTAAAATTTTTCTCATGCGGAGCCCCATGAGAAGCATTTTCTAATGCGGTTTTGAAATTTGTCATGCTTCAATCAGCACGAGATACTAGATCTGTAATGCTGCTAAACTAGCTAAAACAGCACTACACTACGCGGACAAACTTGTCATGCCAAACAACCAAAGCTGGCTGATTTGTCTAGCAGATTCCCCATCCTGACTCTGGTGTGGGTACGTTTTTACTCAGGATACCGGGATTTGCGGGACCTGGAAGACGAGGCCGGGGACTACGACGAGATCACCGGGTTGAAGAGAAAGAAAAGGAAAAAAAACGGTCCGGACTGGGACGAGTCTGCAGAAGGTCGCCGAAAAAGGAGTGTTTTGGACCTGATGCAGGACATTCTGCAGGCGCAGATGCGCGAGCTCGTGCGGCACGCGAGGCTGATCGACGAGCGGGAGGGCGGGATGAGAAAAGGGAAAAGCTATGAGAAACAAGCGGTAAAAGAACAAGGTCAGATATTGAACAACAATACTGACGACGAAAGCGGTAGTAATAGCGAGGGGCGTGGCGGGAGAAGAGACTCGCCACGTTCATTATCCTCAGAAATGAGGTCCTCGCAGAAGAAATCCAAGCACGAGCAAGGGGTTTGTTCCGCTGGAAATTTAAATCCGCAGCCGAGCTTCAACCCGCTGAAGCACCTGATCGCGAACCGGCCCGTGCTCCAATTCGTGCGGGACCTGTGGGCGGAGTTTCGGGCGCACACGAACGAAATGGCCGAAAGTTTAGTGGAGCAGGAGAAGGGAAGCAGTAGTGACGAGGAGGAGGAGGATGCGCTGCTGCAGAATCTGAATAAATTATCGCGGGGGCAGACGAGTTCTGGTAGTAACAACAAAAAATCTACAACTTCGCAGCTGCAGCTGACGAATGATCTGAGCAACGAGTCAGCGGAAAAGAAAAAGAAAGCGATGAAGCGGCACAGGCGTCTCGGCCGTGGTAGCGCGACCGGCGGCACGAAGCCGGTTGACCAGCGCGAGCTGAACACGTTGCTGTTACTGGACTCGCAGTTCCTTCCCGGGGAGGCGGGGTTCGGGAGTGTAACGTTCGCGCAGTGCTGGCGAAGCAACACGAAGGAGCGCTTGAGAGGGAGGAATCGTGCGTCGTCAAAAAAGATTAAGAACGGGGTCTGGGAAACGCACAGTTCGTCGGACGAAGGAGAAGAGATGGATAAAGACGAAATACACGACGATAGAAGTGCAGCGGCGACTCCGGGTGGAGAAGGTCAACATCTGCGAGCCATTACCGATACCATCAATCAAAGCGTGTCCCAAGAAGATATCATTCCCGGATTGACAGAGTCTCGTGGAGATCGTGCAAAGAAGAATCATAGAGAACCGCATAAACAGTCGGATAAGAATTCGCGATCTGTGCGGTTTGTGGATCACGATTCGGAGCCGGAGGAAGACTCTCAGGAAGAAAACTATCTCCTCAGTGAAGACGACGAGCAGGACCAAAACGAGGAACACTCAACCTTCCACGACCGATCGTGGCAAGAAAGCGTGCAGAAAACATTTTTCGGTATCGACATGCGCAGAAAGGGAAATAGACCTCCAACGGAGGCAGATGCGATTGTTCCCTCGGGGAGAAAAAGCAAAAGCGCTCGGCGAAGTAGTAGGAAAGGCAGTAAAAAAGCAACGACAAGAACTGCTGAAGTTGCCGCCGCGATCGAGGACGACACCGACAACATTCCGCCTGGTGGAAACAACCCTGCTTCCTCCACCTCTAAAGTGCCTGCTCGTTCAAGAACAGCTGCGGGCGCAACTGGGAGCAGAGGCGCGCTGAAAAATAAGCACGTTACCTCTTCTTATTTCCCCGACACCGAAAACCTTCCGGTTTTCATTCACTGGTTCTGGTGTGCGGACTTGGCGATCTTCGTGCTTGCGTCGGTCCTGGCAAACCGCCCCATCGTCACCGTGGATCTGTATGAGTGGATTCGCCGGGGGTACTTGCCGTTCTTCAATTTGATCGATTTTTTGGAGTACGAAACGAAGTGCAAAGCCGATTTGTACTATGACGACACGACGAGGAGCAGCTCTACGGGGATGGAAGAGACGAACGGCGGACCAGGAGGAGCATTTGACCCATTTGCTTTCGCCGACGCCGGTGGCCTTGCGACCCCGCGCAAGCGAAACCACCCGGGCAGCAAGCAGGCCCGACGACTGGACTTCGTGCGCATCCACCACATACTCGCTTCCTCGGTCGGGAAGAAAGTAGGACATCAACCAGAAGGTGGCCCAGGAGAGCATCAAAACCGGCTTGTGGAGTCGCACGCGTCGTTTTTCGACATTCCCCGTCTCCCCGGGCAAAAGACCGTTGAGAACATGGTCCTACGGTTCGGAACGTTGCTCTGCATGCGCCGGGCCTTGCGGTTCTCCGCGCAGCTGAAACGGCTCGACTCGGTGACTGCCTATCCGGTGATGCACGCAATCCAAAGACTGTCGATGGAGCTCAAGCTGGCGGTCGTACGACAAATCGATTCGGAACAGGAACAAAGTAGAAAGCATAAGGAGCAACTAGAAATAAACGAGAGCAAAAATCATACTCTCAGCCGGAAAGACGGAGCTCTGTCTAACGTGCAGAACAGAAGATTTCTCTTCCCGGACACGGATAAGATTCCGCAGATCGCAGCAAGACTCTGTTCAGTGTGGGTAGAACAGGCACAACAGAAGCTACTGCAGAAACCGGCGGCATCCGGACTTGGCGCGGAGACCTTTGCAGTAGTTGCCGAGGGGGGAACAAGTGCGACCGGGGGAGGAAGCACTGCGCTAGTCCCGTACGTCGGTGGAAACGAAAAAGAGGAAGCGAATCTTGTAGCTTCTTCAAACAAGGTGGCGGTGCGCCAACAAAGCAAACTCGTTCTTTACGATCCGCAAAACCGGAGCACCTACGAGGAGAATGCAGAAGAGGAAGACGCCATCCCTCTTCTCGCCGAGAAACTGCCGATACCCCTAGCGAGCAGCTTTTCTCGAAAGCGGAAAGACCATATTAACCAGCAAGACCAACGACCTAATGGCTGCAATAACTCGTTGCTGCAAAAACTAAACTCCGGCACAGCACGAGACGCTGAAGCAGACAGTAGTAGTGCTGGCAATAGTTGTGCACATGATACAGCATTTAACGCCAGCAATATCTTTACACTGCGGCAGCTGACCAGCGCGCAGGCTACCGCGGTAGCCGAGGAGGAGGAGGGGAGAAAGACGATAGAGCAAGAACTACAGCTCGACCCGAGAGACCAAAACCAAACTCTGTTGAGCCAGCGCATCGACAATAGCAGCAGCAGCAATCGAGAAAGGATTCTCATTCAGCCGAGCCAGATCGTTCAACTGCCCTTCCTCTCGGAGAACCACCCCGGTCCACAGTGGGCGGCTGCTTTTCTGGTGCTGGCGGTCAAATTGGCCGTTGATGTGAAAAAAACCGAGTCCGTCTCGTCGGAAATCTCGGAAGTACAACATCAAGGGGATGAAGCGACTCCAGGTAAAAAAGGCACATCGACGTCGGCAAAGCACAACAGGAGCAACCGTATTACTTCCAACCGCCTCCAAAAAGAAAAACCGGAGCAAAATACCTCCCCCCCGTTCTCCCTCCTCCCACTCACTACCGCCATCCTCCCCTCCGCCGCGCACCTCCGGTGGCAGCAGGCCGACCACAAAACCCGGTCGCGGAGCGCCCACGCCTGGCGGTCCGCCGTGATGCACACGTGCCGGGAGCGGACCGACGGCGACACGTGGCGGGCCCCGGTGTACTGGAACGAGCTGGTGCTGTCCCGGGGCGAGTCGGTTTACAAGGCGTCGCGCATCCGGGGCATCGCGGACAGCCGCATCAGCGACGCGCTCGAGATTTTGGCGAACAGCGGCCGCATGGACTACGGGCGGTGGAGTCGGTGCACCGATCTGGAGAAGAATCAGTTCTGCGACTACTTTCTGCAGCAGTGGTGCGGGGGAAGTGCGGGAGAAATAGCAAGTCGCGCCGGCGACGATCCGCTGCAACAGCCAGCGACCGTCGATCTGGACGCGTTGTACGGCTGGCGGAAGCCCTTGTTTCAACTCGGCCAGCGAATTCTAGGCCTCGAGCAGCTAAGAAAGGAGGCTGCTGCGCGGACGGAACTGCATGAAGGCCCGAGGGCGGCGGAACAAGATGATGAACTACCTGCAGGAAATGTGAAAAATCGATTCAGCGAGGATAGCGAGGAGCTCAGCAATCACACCAATGACGTGAAAACAAGTCGACGGGGGGTTTCCTTGCCGACAGTGGCTGGACGAAAGGCAGCACCCTCGCAGCTGTCCTCTTCCGCAAGTTTTTTCCTGCTGCACGCGTACGAGGACGGAGAGCGAGATGGCAGAAACTTTTCCCGTTTCCCCAACCCAGACGCGCTGATGATTAGCCAGGAGAAGAAGCAACCGGACGACTTCTCGGACGACAGTGACCACGAAATGAAGCTTGAAGGTAATTTTTACTCCGAGGATGAAGGCCTGCTGGAGGGGCGAGTTTTCACGAGCAATATTAAAGAGACCAGCGAGAGCAGGAAACTCAGTCGCGCCTACCGCATGAACCATTTCACCGCGTTCCAGCAGCTCCCGCCCCTGTTCGTGCACTTGATCACAGAGTTAGCGCGGCTTTGTGGGTGCACGGAGCACGGTTTGTACCAGTGCATTCTGAAGGTGGAAGAGTGGTTTTTGATGGAGTTCGGGCAGGAGGAGGTCGAGGTAAATGCGAGCCATGCGTCAAGGCTGCCTCCGTTGCAGCCTGGGAGAGCCAGCAAACACGGCTCTGCGGCCTCGAAGGGGCAAAGCACCGGTACTACTATTCCGGTTGTTGAAGACCGTCCAGGGCCCGCGGATCTCGAAAACGTCGGTGATATGGTAGACGCTTTGCCAACAGCTTTGTTCGCCGCACCGCCACCGGAACACCAACTTCCCAGCGGAGCGGGGCGGCAGGGCAAGCGAAGCAAGAAAAGTAAGGGCGTGATGAAAAAGGCCATGAAGCGACAGCAGAACCACGTTAAGATGGCGAGAGAGCAGATAAAAATAGGCGACTCCGGCGGAGACAGAGGCGCTGTCATTAATGATGTGGCAGGTAAGATGAACAAAATGACTAAAAGCAAAGCTGCGACCCGAAAAAATCAGAAGGCGACAAATGACTGACGAGAGTGAAAATGTTGTGAAACTTTTAGAGTGAAAAGGTGTGACTTGCCGCGACAATCAGCGCGTCTCGATATATTTTGAAGAGCAACTATGGTATGCGAATCGCTTTTTCAAGCGTCTGTGTTTTTCTTCTTCAGAATTTCGCGCAAGCGAGTATAGAAATCGCTTTTCTGGTCGTCACGTTTATTTCTTTTGTCATCCGTTTCAGCTAAAGCCGCGGGAAGGAACCTATTGCTGTCGAGCGAACTATGTTAATTTTTTTTCTTCGGTTGCGACCAACTAAGAGAGAGAACTCAGGGCTGCACTTGGCGGGTTGAACGGTTTTGATGGCTTTAGTGATCAGACACGCAATCTTCTGCATTTCTTCTTGCCTAGGTGATTTTCTAATCGTCGGGCTTGTTCTAGTACGCTCGTATTGCCAGTTTGTGTACGTATTCGTTGAAAATCCACCGGGGCCCCACGACGGCGACACCTCCTGCGCGATCCAGTCTTCAAACCTGGCCTGAGTCCGCGCCCACCCCCGAACACGAAAAAAGGCCAGAGAGAACTATACATAGGGAACCGCTCGCCGTGGCAGGAGCTGCATGGTCTTGCAGAAAGAAACAGGAGCAGCAGAAAGCTGGAACCAAACGAAGTGGAGGAGGTAGTGCTGAAGAAATCCCCAGGGGAGCGGGCCGGTGGGGCTTGGAGATGAGAGCCCTGTGTTCAGCCTGGTAAAAAAGGGAACAAAATGGTGAAGCGCAAATAGAAGGAGCTGATACCACGACAAGCAGCGACGCCGTTCCGAAAATCACCCCCGATCATCTGGTGTATTAAACAGCCTGAGGAGCAGTTGTAGCTGCAAGATGGCGGAGGAGATTATGAAGTTGGCGAATGCCAACGGCCAGAACAACAACCCAGCGGACCCGGCAACCAAGAAGAAGGACTCGGGGCCGGACCTGTCGGAGTACGGCTACAACCGCGTTTCCGTGATTGGCCGCGGACAGTACGGCATCGCGCAGCTGGTCAGCCGCTGCGGGGAGCCGAACGTGCAACTGGTCGCCAAGTCGGTGCAGGTGGACGCGCTCAACGAGCACGATCAGAAGCTGGCGCAGCAGGAGGTCCAGCTGCTGCAGCAGATGCGGCACCCGCACATCATCGGGTTATCAAAAGGAAAAATCCCCCCTCCCCATATCAAAATGGAAATTTGTGATGCTGATTTGTGGCCACAAATCATCTTTGTCTTGCATATAGGGTAATAGGAGCCATGTGGCGCATTCCAAAGCCAATCTGTCATGCGCTTTCGGCTACTGCAAACCTGTGCTCCATGCGTAATTGCTAGCCTTCTGCATACCCACACAGGCTCAGAAATTGCCGCCAAGCACTTTCTGCAAGACAAACCTGATTTGTGTACTCAAATCCAGCATCAGAAACTTCGTTTTGATATGGGGTGGGGGGATATTTCCTCACAATACGGGTACATCGAAAGTTTCTCGCTCACCTTCAATTTGAACATTTTGGTCATCGTGATGGAGTACGCCCCGCACGGCGATCTGCGGAAGTTGATAAAGTCCTGCGCGAAGAAGAAGGAGCAGCTGGAGGAGGTGGTGATCATGCGCTGGTTCACGCAGCTGCTGCACGCGCTGAACTACATCCACCGACAGAAGATTCTGCACCGCGACCTGAAAACCTCGAACATATTCCTGGACGGCAGCAACAGCCCGGCGCTGGCCGGGGTTGTCGATAACGCGGCCACGCCGCCGTTGCAGGACTACAACGTGAAGCTGGGGGACTTCGGGATTTCCCGGGTGCTGGACGGGACGCGCGAGGCGGCGGTCACGGTGGTGGGCACGCCCTACTACATGTCGCCCGAGGTGTGCCGGAGCGAGCCCTACAACTGGAAGTCGGACGTGTGGGCGCTGGGGTGCGTGCTGTATCCCAGAGAAAACAGCTGGTAGGGCATATTTGTAATGCAAAAACAAATACACAGAAAAACTCGCCATGGGTGGCCCCATAGCATGCTGTTTCGGATATGCAATGCAGATTTTTCAGTGTATTTATTTTTGCATTACAAACATGCCCTGCCAGCTTTTTTCTGTGTGATATGCTGTACGAGCTGTGTATGTTGAAGCACGCCTTCGAGTCCTCCTCCCTGCTCGGGTTGGTGTACAAAATCGTCTCCGAGCACTACGACCCCATCCCAGATCAGTACAGCACGCGCTTGATGGACCTGATCAAGCGACTCCTGACCAAATCTGCGGAGGCGCGGCCGGAAACCACGGAAATATTACTGGACCCCTACGTGAGCGTATCCAAGAAAAAAACGCTGTTAGTGTAAATTTGTGATGCGCAACATGCAAGATGATTGCGTCTGTCATGCTTGGCATGCGTCGTAGGGTCCATTAAAGGGCGTTTTCACGTACTATCTGCGCATGGCAGGTTTTTGCTGTCATGCCAGACAAATTTCTAATGCTGTTCCTCCAAAAAAGTTACACCTACAATGTTTTTTTCTTGGATAGAGCGAGACCGCGGAGAGGCTGCAACTGCCGCCGGACAACGACCCGTTCATCTCCCTGAGTCCCGTTCGCGGAAAACCAAAATCCGAGGCGGCAATAAAGTGCAGAAATGTCTTTTTTGTGTTTGATGCCAGTTTGTTTTGAAATAGGTGCAGCTTCTGTGTCGAGATTTCCCGGCGGCTGCCAGAGGAGGTCTGCACACAGCCACAGCGCTATGTTTGCTGTATTCTAGCGGTAGGTGGAGCGACGATCGGTCGACGCACACAATGACTTGACGCAAGAAAATTTTTTTTCCGCAGACCGCCGCCTCCCCCACCGGGTGCAAAACCACTGTCAGTCTCAGCACCACCGGGTCCGCCGCCGCCCGGTTCCAAGAGGCCGGGCCCCCCACCACCCCCGCCCTCGTCGCCACCTGTCCAGGTTGCGCGGCCTAGCACTACGGCGCTGCAGATCCCGGCGGAGAATCAAGAGCTATTCGAGGTGTTGATGGCCAGGATACGGGCGATATTGGTGACCCGCAAGTCTAACTGGATCTCCACGTTCGCCTCCTTCGACAAGAAGGGCGACGGCATTTTCCAGACCCCGGAGTTCGTGCAGGCCCTGCAGGCGCTCAACTGCGCCCTCTCCAGCCCGGAGATCAACTTTCTGGTAGCCTGTTTCGCATCCGGGGCGGCCAGCACAATGGCCGACGCCAATGCACCCGGCGGGGCTGCAGGAAGTGGGTACGTGGATTGCTTTCGTTTCAGGAGTAGTACGAAGTGAGAGCTCGATAACAACCGAACTGAGATGTTAGACGTTTTTGCTGGATGTGAATGAATTTTGTGAACAGCCATTGATTGCCCCGAAAAAACTATACCCACAGGATTCCCCTGTTTCACTTCGCAGAGCAGCTAAACACCGCTCCGGGTCCCCTCGCGAAGCGGGTGGATGCTTCGGTCCGGGATCTGTTTGACCCAGAAAAATTGCAAATGCTGTTTGAGAGGTGCACGGCCGCAGACCCGGAGCGTCGCGGCGTAGTGACGGCCGACGCGTTCAAAATATCCATCGCGCACACCCTGCAAGATCAGAACAACGAGGTACGTACTTGTACAACAATCTGGGTGCCGTGCAAAGTGACGGTAGGGTTTACTGTAGTGAGGCTCACACTGTTTAAGCCACCAGTTTCCGCATCTGCAGGAGGTCGTGAGTTGCACAATGAATTAGTACCTTTTCCAAAAAATTACACGCAGCGGAATGTGATGCTGGCGTTGATGTCGAGCGAGAAAAACCTGGTGGGGGACGTGGACTACCGGGACTTCGTGCAGGTGTTCCAAACGAAGGTGGAGTGTTACCCCTTCACGTCCACCGCGCTGCAGGCACAGCAGAGCTTGAACTTCACGAATTCCACGCCCGGCGGAAGCCCGGGGACAAACGCCAACAACCACACGCAGTTTTTCACGTGCCGCGGCGCGCCGCCACTCGCCCCGCTCGGGATCCCCGTGCCGCCCGGGGGCGGGGGGCCGAGCAGCATAAATCCGCAGAGCACGGTGAACAGCCGCTCGGGCAGCATCTCGAAACTGGGGAAGCCCCCCGAAACGCCGTTTCGCGCGATGACAGCGGAGAACCTGCGGGTGATTTGGGCGCGGCTGAAAAAGAAGTTCGTGCACTGTACGCTGAAGGACGTGTGGCAGGTGTACTTCCAGCAGAACCAGAACGTAAACCCCTACGCCTTCATCGACTTGTGCAGCGACATTCCCTTTGGGGTGTCCCGGGCCGAGCTGCACCAGTGTTGCGCCATGCTGGTCAGCGAGGAGAGCGGGGGACAGGTGAACATCGACGAATTCGAAACGCACCTCTTGATGGCAGACGAAACCATACTCAACGCCGTGCCGAGCTGGGGCAAGGTATCTATAGAGAAGTCGTCTGTACTTGGTTGCTGCGTCAGTACTAGTTCTAGTTCACGACTCGAATGGAGACGCTGGCAGCATTACGGCACAAAAATGCTTCTCCAAGCGGTATAGCGAAAGCAAACGACGTACACTGTGTTTGAGTCGACTCTTCAGGTGATGCAAGATCTGCTGCAAGACCCGGAGCCACTGTTTCGAGACAAAAGCCCGACGACAAAAAACAAATCCACTGTGCCAGAGTCGGACTTTCGGGCCAAGCTTTGCCAGATCGATTATCCAAGTTTGAAATGCGCAGCAGCAACATCTGTCATCTGTTTGCGGAGGGACCTCTACATGAAGCAGAGCGCACTGTTCATGCAATCTGTGCGTCGAGCATTGTCGTGTGCCGGATGAATTACATTCTGCGCCGCGTGGTTGTAAATAATGCAGGTCGGAAATAAAATAGTCGTATACCAGTCAGCGATCTGCGAGAAGAGAACTGCTATGGCATTTCCGCTCCATATTCCCCAGGGACTGACAAGCCATCAGGTGGACTTTTTGATTTCGCTGGTCGACAAGACATCAGAAGGTGACATTCAGATTCACCCCAGGAGAGCGACGGACAAATTGCAGCAGCCGGTAGACCTGACGCCGGAGCACTACAACCTGGTGTGTCGGCGGCTGGTGGTGAAGTTGCGCAATTGCGCCCTGGACGTGCCGAAACTGACCAAGATCCTGCTGAACTTTTGGAGCATACCGGAGTGGAGCAAGTGTCTGTCCATGCTGCTACCGCTCTACCTCTCGGAGGCAGAGGCCACAGGGCTGATGGTTCGACTCCTAGAAGGACAGTACGAGGTCGACCAGTGGGCTGCAGAGGTACATAATGTGCAAGTCTATATTGTTGTTTCGATGATGCGCCGGTGTGTTAAATTCGACTGCTTCATCATTCCTGCATAATTTCTTCGTTGTGACCGCAAATTGTACAACATGCTGAAATACCAGGTTCAACAAGTCGGGGAAGCGGAGACGGTTGGATTGCAAGTGGACAAGAAAGTAGCGGAGCTGCTGCACAAACGGCTGACTGAGCCAATTTTTATCCAAAGCGGCCGCAAGGCAAATGTTTGCAATTCGTGAGCCGAATTATGTGATGATATGCACACAGCCGCTTTTACTCACTTACTTTTTTGGAACCGGGTCTGCGACGACGAAGGCATTTATGTCAACATGTACGATTCTGGCAGTGCAAACCCAGCGGTTCAGGGAAGCCCCAGAGCTTTTACGCTGGCTCCGAATCCGCGCGTCCCCTTCCAACGCGCTAGGTAAATCATAAAGTAAGTAACTCATGTGACGAGAGCGAACTGCAAATGTTATCAATTTTCTCGTCGACACCTTCTGGCGAGGAGTTTTTAGCGCTCCTTCAGCAGGAGTTCCCACTGGAATACGCACAGAAACTGTACTCCGCAGCGGACAAATCAGTCAATGGGTTCGTCCTCGCTTCGTCATGGTTGGCCGATGAGGGGCTATTCAATGGAAATTTGGATGCGCACTCGGCGTTACCGGAGATTTATTTTGTCGTTGTAAAAGGAAAAGCAAACATTCATGATCATGCCTGCTTAAAGTCCTTGCTATTACAGACAAACGCTGTGCACTATGAGGTCGGTCAGTTGCGCAGATGTTTTCTGGGCGGCACTAGGAAAAAAATACTACACGACTCGAGAAGATACGGGAGAGAGCAGGGCTGTTATCGAAGGAGCAAAAAAAGTTACACTAAGAGGGCGGGTTGAGTGCGCATCTATTTGCCCGGGATATCCTATCGTCAGCGTGAAGGAAGCAAAGGCGCTGAAGAAAAAACGCAGCTTCTTGAGCCGGATGTTCAAGTAATGCCGCTAGCAGCACACTAGACGCGGCCGCGGGCGCAAGAGGAAGGACAACCAGAAATGCAGACCACCGGGAGCGCCGGCCGCGATACCATTCGACAATTTTTTCAAAGGCAGACAGTGTTTTGGTTCTGCTCGAACCTCTTATATGAAACGAGAAGAAAAACGATGCGTATGCCAAAAAGGTTGAGTGAGCTGTATCTAAACCTTTAAATTTAAAAACCACTACCGGCGATTCTTAATGTCAATCACAAAATACCAAAACGAGTTCTGTACAAAGCGGCGTGTTACAATCCACGGATCTGCTACTTCGGAGTGTGAACATCAAATCAAAATTAGAATTAGTTTAATTTTCTGGCGTTCGAAGAGCGGAAGGAAATGAAAACGTGTAAAATTATGGAACCTATAATGTATGAACATCTCCGCGAGAACAACTTCTGTCAAGAAAACTACTATCATCGTAGTTAGACGTTAATGTACCGGTCAAATGCCGTAGAAATACTGGACTGTAAATGATGTCAAAAATTGGTGTTTACGTATGCTACTATTATGTATCAGCGCACCCACTCGAGCAAAGCGCCCCGAAAAGCCTGCGGTCTTGCTCGATGGCCGAAAAAGCACTGCAAGTGACGCTGGCCAACGTCGGTTCGAATTGTGCAGCACCTTGTCGCTGCTTGTGTTCACGTCTTTGGGAATTTATTTGGAACCTCGTTTTAAATTTAAAACAAGATGCGCTTCGTGTCGTGCCGATTTAGATTTCTTTTCCTGAAAAGCGAGCGACTCCGAGCGATTTGTACTATGGCACCCTCTATGTCTATCCCCTCACATGAGAGTAGCATAAAAAAATGTTATATAGCTCAGTAGCTCCACCCCGGTTTCACTTTCATCGTGAACGAACAGGAGGAGAAGACTGCTAGCTTTGTCCGACGACAGGAGCCACTGCTGCGAACGCGGGCACGGTCTCCAGGAAGTTTAGCGAGTTTTGAGGGACCTCAGAAACCGCAGGGTTTTAAGATTGCACGGAGAGACAGAAAAGATCCTGACTGCATCAGCCAGAAAGGAAACACAATTTGATTTGAAGATTGAATAGGATTGTGAGAAGCTTTTTTTGGTTTCAGTCCAAAAAAACAAGACAAGATGGCTGACCAGCTGACCGAGGAGCAGATCGCAGAGTTCAAGGAGGGTATTTTTTTGTTTCTGGGAAATCTTAATTTATGAGGTTGGACCGTGAAGAAAAGGTCAGAATTTCCCTGCATGGTTTCGAATAAGCATTGGAATCCATTGCAGAAAAAAAAAACACAATCAAACAGCCTTCTCCCTGTTCGATAAGGATGGCGATGGCACTATCACCACCAAGGAGCTGGGAACCGTCATGCGCTCTCTGGGTACTACGAATAGGCTGTTTTTTCGATACATACGCGTGTTTTTGTCATCGTGCCACATTTCTTTTTGAAAGAACCGTCGTGAATTCAAGTGACTTTGCAGGGATTAGTACACAAAAAATTAAAATATCTACTATAAACACAGGTCAAAACCCGACCGAAGCCGAGCTGCAGGACATGATCAACGAGGTCGATGCCGATGGTAACGGAACCATCGACTTTCCGGAGTTTTTGTCCCTGATGGCTCGTAAGATGAAGGACACTGACACCGAGGAGGAGCTGATCGAGGCGTTCAAGGTACTACATTTAGATCATTTCTTTCTCTTCCGTCAGAAAAATAAGTTGTCTGTCATACTAAATCTTGAAATTTTCTTGTGGATGTCAAAGAAACCTATGGCATCCCGAAAACAAATCTGATTCTCTTCCAAGACAGTCTTTAATTTGAATTTCAAAGGTGTTCGATCGCGATGGCAACGGTTTCATCTCCGCCGCGGAGTTGCGTCATGTGATGACGAACTTGGGCGAGAAGCTGACGGACGAGGAGGTCGACGAAATGATCCGTGAGGCCGATGTCGACGGTGATGGGCAGATCAACTACGAGGAGTTCGTCAAGATGATGATGGCGAAGTAAATGCTGCAGCATTTATTCGTGTTGTGGTTAGTTCAGTAGCTATAATCGTGCTTGATGTTGTAACAATTCCTATTTCGTCTAGCGCGAAGACGACGACTTTCGGGTACGAGTCAGTTGCTGCGCTTTAGTTCCATCAGAAATTTTATCCTCACTTTTTACAATCAAGACAGTCCGGTCAGGGCTCTTTTCGCTCAGATTTTTATATGTGGTTCAGTTTTAAAACTATTTGCTTTACTACACTTGTTTCTCCACTATTAACCAGCCTGCTTTATCAACATAAACTTTAATTCCTGATTGTGATTCTACGCTATTGGCTGAGAAACACAATACCGTGCGACTTGTATTCGATACAGCATCGGATCGTCGCACCACTGTCGTTTCTCTCGGACTTCCTCGCACGATCAGAAGTTTGTTTTAAACGCCCACACCAATGTAATACCGCCACGGCGAAAGACCTCTAGCGGCTTCTTATTTCCTAGGACAGGTGCTTCACTCTGTCGGGTTGTTTCTTCGACGGAATCTGAATCCAAAGGGAAAGAACACCGGTCCTCGACGGATCGCTATCTGTCGCGACAGGAAATTACCCCTCTGTCGTAGTTGGTCGGAGTTTTGATATTGATTCACACCCCCGGAAAGCCTGATTTATAACTTTGGCACTGTTTTTGGTGAGAGTCTGCGACTACTAGGCGCCTAGTCCAAGTGCATTGCCTCCGAGAAAGGACTAGACCGAGCGCTTCAGTACAAATGCCTTTCCTTTCTTGCAACCGTGGTGAAACCGCAGAGATGTGACTCCCAATGCTACGAATGGGCGGATCTCTACTTCGCACATGCGACAGAGTGAGGTTACACAGATGCTGCAGAGGTGCGCGTGTGCGCTGAAAACCAAATGGAACGGGCTGCTCTAGATATAGAAAATTGCTCAGGGCTGACTGTCGATCACGAAGGCTTGCTGTCTGGGTAAACCCAAGAACCGTGTTCCTCCAGTTTCGAAACCGTTACGTGAGGATGGTCGCTGTTGCGGAGCGAGCGAGTGTGTGAGCTGAGATGAAGGAACGCATGCACAGAGACGTTCCTCGAGGTACGTCTACCCCAGATTTGATGCCCGAACAGTCGGCGAGGCTACTTCGGAGGCTATTGGTCCGGTGAGGGTTTTTGAGTGCTGCGTGTGAAATGAAATGCAGATCGTAGCATTGTCGCTTGTTTGCACGTGATTTCGACCTGATGGGAGCAGCTTGCTGCACGACAATAAGGTCATCGCTGCTCAACGACATTGGTCACAGACTAGTATTGAATTCTGCGAACCGCGATCTCAACCAGGACTTTTTCGTGCGAATTTCGCTCGGATTTTTGGTTTCGGTCGGAAGTGATCGGGAACACAGGTAGCCAAAATGGCGGCCACGGATTTGGATATGGCGCTCCATCAGAGCGTGATGGAGCGCCGGCGGCCGATCGAGGAGAAGATGGCAGAAGACGACGCCAAACGGCGCGCAAAGTGGTACGCTGACCGAGATTATGGAAAACGCAACGGTGGAATAAAGTCACAAAGACTGTAGTTGATGGAACGGGAATCAAAAAAAACAAAGCAATGACACCTTATGTGCAATGTGACTGCCCGTCAGAAGGACATTCCAGGAGAACGAAAGCTCTCACGATCGGACTACTGCATGCTCTGACGAATAGCATGAATTTTTCACACAACGACTGGTTCTGCCTGCGTAGTCAAACGACAGCGCGTTTTGCTAGTCACATTCCGGAATAATTTTTCCCTGCTGTCGGTGACTTTCAAGCGTTGTTTTAATTTCATACGCCGACCCTGGGTGGTGCACAACTGACGAGAGACAAGATCAAGAAGATCTTGCGGAGCGATCGACGACTCTATTACTCGACGCCGGGGCTAAACGAAAAAATCTACCTTCATTTCGGCGGCTACACGAAAATCGAGAACTTGGAGGAATTCACGGAGATGCGGGCACTTTACCTGGAATCAAACGCGATCGAGAAAATCGAAAATCTGGAGTCCATGACCAAACTCCGGTCTCTGTTCATACACGAGAACTGTATAGCATTATACATTTTTTACCTGGTCTAGTTCGTTGCATTTTTCGCCATCGCGGCATGGACAAAAAACAAAACGGTTCGACGACGCTTCTTGCTTGATCATTTCATAGGCCGTGTGAAAGGCGTGTTTCTGCATAGGGCTATGTATAGACTTCGCATCGCTTGCAGCGTAGAGAAAGAGTCCAGCACCATGGGGGTATCTGCGGCGAAAAGAAAAAATAACCCATCTCAGGTCTTAAATCTATTGACGGGATCGCGCACATGCAGGACCTACAGACCCTGAACTGTTGCAACAACTTCATTTACAAAATCGAAAACCTGCCACCGAACCTGTCAACCCTGCAGATTGCCAACAACCAGCTTGGGCACAATGGTAAAATTTGCGTACTATCCAAGTCGTCGCTACAATAATATGCGCAGTGCCCCACGCAGGATAGATGATGATGATATGCAGATGTGAGTTAGTGGTTCTCAGGCTGAAACAAGATTTGGCCCGGCGGGCTAGCTGTTGAGAAAAAACGTAAATAACGCGCATCTTAGATCCGAACGCGTAGTGCATCCTAGCATTTCTTAGGTTTGTTGAAAAAATTACGTTGCAGGCCTGGACGACGTGCGAGACCTGGTGGGAAGCAAAATTGCAGTCCTGGACCTCCAAGGAAGTATCAATCGGATATTCGGTGCAGTAGTATCTATTCGCACGCGATTTTGTCCCCTTTGTTCTGCAGCCATGCATGCCGCTGCTGCGCCATTTGATGCATCATTGACCGCGCTAGAGCGAAGAGTCGTCGCTGCAAACAATCTGCTCTGTCCTGAATGGGACGGGATGGTAGACGGATTCTTCGACCACGACCCGTCATAGAATACAGAATTGCATTTTTTCGCGCATCTTCTCTGGTGGAATAAGGAGCCATTCAGGTCGAGGGGTCATCGGAGAGTTAAAGAGGACCGAGGACATGGTCTCTCCCCTCGCAATGAAAAGACGTGCAATGTACTGCTGGCACAACTGGTTTGCACGTGATAGCTTACAAGATCAAAGAGCCCGAACTGGTGCAGGAGGTCCTCGAAAAAATGCCGGAGTTGAAGGTGCTGTACTTGAAGGGAAATCCCGTCGTGTCCGCCATCAAATCCTACCGAAAGAGGGTAAGGTTTCTTCAGTCATGATTATCGATGTGGAAGAACCCGATTACGCAACCCAGCTTCAAACAAAAACAAAACATTTCTGATGATGGTGACGTCAAGAAAAACGGCTAACCACCAACTACTATTTCCGCGCGTGCGATTGTGTTACGGCAGATGCAGAAGTTGTCCACTCCGAATAGAACACTGACGGAAATTGCTCATGATTGCACTCACAACTCTGTCCTTTCCCAGGTGATTGCTGCGCTGCCGAACCTGTCGTACCTGGATGACCGACCTGTTTTCAAGGACGAGCGACGATTTTCGGAAGCTTTCGTGCAGGGCGGCTTAGAAGCAGAGCGGGCGGAGCGCAAGCTGCACAAGGAAGAGGAGCGAGACGCGCATCGCAAGCAGATGGAATCCTTTAAGCGCATGTGCGACGAGGCGAAGCGGCAGGGTCGGGAGCGCCGCGCAATGATGGCCATATGCAGTGCAAATCCAGTGATGTGGTCCTCGCGTGAAGACTAAAGTAGTCAGAAGTAAGCGTCGACATCGGCACGTGAAGTCGAAACCTGCAGCGGCACAGCGGTAGTAGTAAGTGAGTGTATGTGCAACATGCGCGCGTGATACGCACTGCGTATCGCGTAAGACTGGAGCTGAGTCAGTGTGCATCCGAACGATTGACAGTTTGTTCTTTTCCCGTCCGCGGATTATAACGTACGTAGAACCATCACGACAGTGATCATGACAGTTTTTCAATGCATAGGCCAATGACAAGTACGATGAAGACACAGATCCTGTGGACACGTGGGAGCGCCGGTGCCGGCGGAGCATCATGGGATGGGAAGAAGAGAACAAGGAGCTGCTGAAGGACGACTCAAAGGAGAAAGCGTATCACACAGGAGAAGGTTCCCACACCCGTCATGCAAATTTGAAACCGCGAAAAAGGCAGAAAATTTCTCGTTTATGTCTTCCGTAGGATGATCCTGTTCCTGGGGACGACGAGATCGCGCGGTGATTTGTAAATGAGCGCATGATTGCATCAAATAGAAGTGCTAGGGGAAATTTTGTGTGTGATAAGCAGCTGAAGGTGCTGAAGCTCGAGAAAGAGCAGGGCAAAGGGCTGTACGACCCAGAGCTGCAGAAAGCCTACGCCGACGCGGACAGTCGTGCCTCCACCAAGAGCAACGGATCGGGTGCGGGAACCTCTTCGTCCTCCTCGGAAAGCATTCCCTCAAGTACGCTCTATTGTAGAATAACAGTGTGTGTTTTGAAAAAGAATACGAATACCTGCAGTCAATCTTCTTCGCCATCGCCAGTGACCCCTCATCTTCGTATTGCAGCCCTTATCTATCCTGGTACGTAACTTGACAGGAGCGCAGAGTACTCATAGACCCATGTTGACGATTGCTTCTTTCGCATGTATTTTTCTTCTCCGAATAGTCTCTATGATACATCATTTGAAATCGCTTCGCGCACCAAAATGATTACCAGGGTGGCATTCCGATTACTCTAAGACCAAAGCGAGCAAAGTGGAGGAGAAGAAGAAGCAGAGCTATGGCGACGTGTGGGACGATGAAGCCATTGTTTTCGACAATCCCACCTCGCAGACGCAGTCAGGCACCGTGGCGGATCACACAAGTTCCGCGGGCGCGGCCAAGCAAAAGCTGCCCTCCATGCAGGACATCGAAACTATGATGTCGCGGCTGGGCTCGGAGGAACGGGCCGCTGTCCAGGAAATCCTGGAAGCAGCGGGCGGAGAGCCGGCGGCAGCTTCTTCGGCGAGTAGTAGCAGCTCTAGTACTACTAGCACGGGAAGTAGTAGCAAGAAAAGCCGCGGAACTTCCACAGGAGGCGCGAAGAGCGGGCAGAGCAGCACGCGCATGGAAATCGAGGAGGAAGAGCTGAGCACCACGGTGGAAAACGACGAGGACGGAAGAGCCGAGCAACCAAGCAAGCCGGGGTTCAGTTTCAACCCGCGGGGCCGGCAGCAGACCGGCCCGAAGGCCCGCGGCGCGGGCGGCGGCGGAGGAAAGAAAGTAACCACCGCAAACGAGCTCGACGAGCTCGATTGAGAATAAGAGGAGCTAGTCGCACTCCATTCTCGTTGACCTTTTCACATAGTACCTTTTAGTTGAACTGCAACTTTTTGAAGTCCAAATAGTCGAAATAGTCTCATAGAAACTGTTCTTATTGGGTGCTCTCTTGATGTTTCTCTCTGTTGCATGGCAGTGTAGATATAAACCCCGTTTGCGGAGATGAAGCTGTTTCTTAATCCATCCCGGAGACCTTTTATAGTCTCTGAAAAGGTTACATAATTGTAATTGTATAGCGCAACCGTTTAGAGAACACGCTTCTGGGTACCTAAGGGACTGTTTTTGTTGTTGAAATTGAAAGCATTTGCATGACTGCTTCGTCGCGCGGCATTATCTTCTCTTTAGGGGCGGGAGCTGCAGCATTCGCTGGCGCTGCTTCAGGCAGCCATGGCTTGCTTTGTACTTACAGGTAATGGTGGTACAGTGAACTTCTTTGCCAGGCAGTCAGGACTTGCTAGGCAGAAAATACCGCCTCATCAGGCGACTCTGGCGTCGATCGACAGCATGCAATTACCGCGTGAGATGTAACTTGAAAGGAAGTACTTTCAAGTTTTCAGCTTACCAAAAACCAACCTTATGACTCTCGTATAGATTTTTCGCTGGAAAGGTCTAAAAAGTAAAAATGATATACAGGGCTAGATTGTGTCTGAGGCTCCCTTCCAAACTGTGCTATATTCCGGGCGCAGCAGCACTGCCTCTCCTTTCGAGTTCTAATCATGTCTATCTTTTGCATGCATCGAGACAGGCACGCCGGCGATTTTCGAAGTTGGGGCACGGACAACGCGGTGCATTTGGGTCTCGCACGCAAGACCAGTTTTCTTGATTCGAGTATTCATAATGAGCCCAGTTCTACATGTTTTTCTTTTTCAAGAATCTTTGTCCGTGATCTTGAAGATCACGAATAAGTCGACACAGAACTACGATCATGACGCTGAGAGGACTACGGAATCGGGTGCTGTCATTTCTCTACTTCAGATTTTGCAATGCACTATCTACTTCAGATTTGGCACTATCTAAAATCTGAAGTTGAGAAATAACAGCCAGGAACAGCCAACGTGCATACGTGCATTGCATGCGGATATTCCACTTCATTTCCTCGGTCGTTTTCTAGAAATATTCCTTCTGATCGGTTATTTTTGTCGTGCGTTTGATTTCATATTTCGTGCACACTGAAATATATTTGAGTCGGTCGCATCGTTTCTCTTTCTGCGATTACGCCCCACCCCTGTTGTGGCAGCTGTGTCTGGCGAAAGGAGTACATACCGCTCTTCATTTCCTGTCGGTCATCGAAGAAAGGAAAGTATGTCCTGGTCCTCATCGGTTGTCGTGGCCGAAGTAGTTTACGTAGCTGTATTTTCGTCTGTCTTGGTGCTTGACTATTGCTGTCGGTTTCGTACTTTCGCTGCTATGGCGTTCGTAATCACGAGTGGCGCTCTCCCGTCCGGACGTTTTATTCTTTCGTTCTCAAAATGAAGTAGAAGTGCTAAAGCTGATGCAAAGGGTAACGGTTTTTTCATCGATTTTTCCGTGCTCGGTCATCGTGCGGCAGCTGCTGATTCGACATCTGCGATAAATATGGTACTGGTAGCTTTCTTCGCTGGGTTTTTCGTGAGTAGCCGTGTGTCTAGCACATTGGTTTGATCTGCAGAGTTTCAACTTGAACCCAACCTTTACGACCTACGCATTCCCATCAGCCAGTGATGCGATTTCTATGCAAGAACCCCTTTGCATACGAACCCGTTTTCACGTTCACAACTATCGACACAAGAACATCGTAATCTTTTGAGTAAACTAAATTCTTTTTTTTCACGACCGAACCTTGACAAAAGGAAGAAAAGTACAAAGTCACAGTCGAGATCGAAGATCAGTAGTGTGTCTGCGAACAGAAGGTAGATTCGAGCTTATCGGGCGATAAGGTTTTCATTGAAAACCCTGACGACTTCATCCGACGAATTTTGCGTCCTCGAGAAGACGCTCTGCGGGAGGTACTTTCTTACGAAAGAAGTATCGGGAAGAACTTGCCGAGTCGCTGAGGTCATGCGCATGATTACTTCAGGGCGGTGCGTCATTTTGTACGTAGGCGCTACGGCGAGCGGGCCGGTGCACGCCGAGCGGGCGGGGTTTCTGGCGCCGCGCCCGGGAAACGAGCGCAAATGGCTTTGGGCGGACCTTTTGCCCGACCCCAGTTCCTTGTGGTCCCGGGTGTCCGCCATCACGGGCGGTCAGTCGGAGGAACCCAGTTCCGTCGAGCCAGCGTCTCGGACCACGTTACCCGCGCCCTCGTTTCTGGAGGAAGCGGAGGTGCCGGCCGTGGCGGATCGCGGTTTCGGTCGCGTCGCGGACGAGGTGCCGGACATGAATGAGTCCCGTCCGGGTAGTACTGGCGCTCCCTCTCAACAAGACCGCCGGGACGAGGCTGTTGAAGCCGAAACATCCTCGCCGCACCCACAAGACCACGAGCAAGATGAAGCGCAGGGCTCGGTGCAGCCGCAAGAGCCCGAAGCGCCTTCGCTCCTGCAGCAGCTTCGGGCCGCTGATGCTCCGTTGCCGTGGCCGCGGGAACCTGAGCCGTCTTCGCAACTGGAGCATCGGCCTGTTGAAGGGCCGTTACCGCCGCCGGTGGAAGATGGGTCGTCTTCGCACCTCGGGCATCGATCTGCTGAAGCCCCGTTGCCCCTGCAAGCTGAGCCGGCTCCGCGTCTGCAGCATCAGGTTGCTGATGCCTCGTTGCAGCTCACGCTGGTAAGCAGCCCGTCTTCGCATCTGCAACAAGCTGGCGAATCCGCACCCCCGGCTCCAATGGAAGCCAAGCCGTCTTCGCATCTGCAACAAGCTGGCGAATCCGCACCCCCAGCCCCGCTGGGAGCCGAGCCGTATTCGCATCTGCAGAAAGCTGCTGAACACGCGCCCCCGGCCCCGCTGTATCTGCAAGGTGGGGAAGCCGCGCCCCCGCCGCCAGGGGCAGCCAAGCCGTCTTCGCATCTGCAGCAAGTTGGGGAAACCCTGCCTCCGCCGGCGCGGGATGCCGAGCCGTCTACGCACCCACCGCAATTTGCTGAAGCGGCGCCCCCGACGGTATTGGAAGCCGAATCGCCCTCGCGGGTTCAGCACGTTGCTGAGCCCGCGCCACTGACGGCGCTGGACGAACGTGAGCCTTCTTCGCACCTCCAGCAAGTTGCTGACCCCGCTCGCCCACAGCAGCGGAAAGCAGAGCTACCTTCGCGCCTGCAGCAAGCGAGAGAAGCCGCAACGCCGCTGCAGGAAGCAGGGCCGCCTTCGCACCTCCAGAATGTTGCTGCGGGTTCCGAAATCTTCACGGCCCCGCCACGACACCTGGATCAGGGAGCTGTGGGGGTTTCGCATCTACAGCGGGGCTCGTCAGAAAACTTGGAATTTGGTCCCCCCCTTTCGCACGCCTGGCCCGTTTCGCACCTGCAGCAGGTTGCGGGAGACTTCGAAATCAAGCACCCACCGCCGGACAGAAGCGCTCGTTCTTCTTCGTACTTGCGAGAAGACCGTGAGCGGAACCCCGCCGCGGCGCCGCCGCGGCAGGAAGCAGCGTCCGTCTCGACGTCGCAGCAGATCTCGGAGAACTCCGGCAGTGGTGCGCTAGCACTGCAAAAAACCGTACGCGTGTCGGAGCTGCAGTCGCAGAGCTCGGAAAACCACACCGCCGCTGCTCCCGCCCAAGAGAGGGAAGCTTTTTCGCATGAGGATGGAAGGTCAACAAAAGATCACGACGATGCCTCCTCAGTCACTGCGCTGCAGACGTACCTTCATTTGACTTCGTTGGCGCCAGAGCAGTGGGCATCGAGGACCGCAATCGCGGGCGGGATCCCATCTGACGGAAACCACTTTCCCCGTTGTATCAAGACGTACACGTGCATGAACTGATTTCCCACCTCGGCCAAGGAGAGCAAGCAGGAGGCACGATTTGTGATGTAATATTTCTACCAGCCTTGTATAAAATGTGAAAGTCGTGTGTGAGTGTAATTCTAATTACCACCGAGGTTCCATTTTTCCAGTTGCAAACGAACGAACGCAGAGCGAAATTCGATCGTTTCTTTCGTTTTTTGCGTGCAGGCGTTTCTTTTGTTTTTGCATATTGCAGCAATGGATCAGTGTTGAAATCGCATTCACACTGCAGAATTCTCTTTGAGAGGCAGCAAAACATGATAAAACGAGACAAGAAAGAAAGCGCAATCATAATTTGAAGATGGCTTAGGCGTGCTCCAAGGTCCTTAGCGCCGCTATCTAAGACGACATGAAGATGTTCATGTTCGTTTTTACTTTACATGCTTGGCGAGGCGGCGGCCCTAGTTGTGCTTGTATGGGGGCCAATGATGTGCACCAGTCAAGAACTTGTAGTCCTGTGATTTGCTCAAGGCCTACTTGAGTAGGGGAGTGGGACTCTTTTCAAACCCATAGTGCCTGAAGACGGATTCAGTTCTCTTCGCAGGGAAGTGGCGGTTGGACACGCCCGGGGACACCTGCCCGCAAATAAAACCCTCGAGACGGCGAATGCCACGAGCTTCATGGAGAATTCTGTGGTTGCGTATGACCAGCAAGAACAAACAATGCGCAGCTACTACGATGACGTCGTCTACCACATGAAAGTCAAAATTGCAATGTGGTGCAGAGCTGACCTGGATACATTCCTCAAATATTTCAACGACGCCGGCTATGGCGGTGATTGCAGGGGAATTGAACCCAAGGTGCAGGAGTGGATCGAACGATATTTCTTTTTTGGGAAAATAAGGCAACAAAACAGCCGCGTTCGTGAAATTGTTGCAGCAAATATGGAAGATGGCGGACTGTTGAAAAACACGCCTGTGTCATACGACGCGTCTAATCATGGCGGCCAAGGAAGCTTTGGGACGGTGCGCGAATTTTGGACTGGATCTATTTTCAACCGAAAACACTCGATTGGGGATGCTGGTATGTAAGGAAACGTGTCTACCTCGAGTCAAAATGAAAATATGACAAAAATGTGGTCTCGCAATTGCGTCGCATGCGCAGGTTTCTTTCGGCGCAGTGAGCAAAGCTGACTTTCGAACGACGTATTTCGCAATTTATTATGGCATGCTCTGCCGCGCTCGAGAGCGAGCAATATGGAGCTGACATCCACCATATCGACAGCACTTCCTGCGTCATACGTTTTTATGGTTTATTATTTAGCGGGCTGAGTTTTGTATAGTTTCTGGCTGTTGCTGTCGGGTCGGACTCTCGCATTGCCTGCGAGCCGAGCGGAGGTCTAAGTATGTGAATGTGCTGCCGAACATCGGCGTTGACATATTCGTCTGTCGTCGTCTAATTTGCTCTGTTTCATTTTTCTCTCGCAGTGACTGCGTTTGCTTTGGATACAAGGTCACGATCAGATTTTCAAAGAGGTGAGATGTAACAAGGAAGACAGGATGTTCGGCGGAAATCAGAAGGCGTGCCTCTATCACGTTTCAGACGAAGTCCTGATGAATCTGGTGCTTGCTCGCAGTAACAAGGTCGGCCAGGATCTGCGGGACTGCATTGCTCAGGGGACTTACTTCGTCATGTCTTACATCCCAGGCCGACACGAAGTTTTCTTCCAGTTTTTCCTTGAAAAGATCGCAGTAAATCCGTCCGGAGACGATAAGGTGGCAAAACGAACGACGCTGCCAGTAGCCCGAGAATACGTGAACAGTTTTCATACGTGCCTCCTGGTCCTGGACAGCTACAATTTTGTGCTGAATGACCTAAAGCCCGCCAATATGGGAGCAAGGATTGGTAGGAAACCGCAACTCCGCAGGGCGATCAAGTTTTTTGATTTCGGACTGTCTTCGATTGTCGCTGCAAACGGCTTGGTCGTTCTCGGCGAAAAAGTGACGGAATTGTACCCAACAAGGTTTTCGTTCCATAATAGCCAGGCCGTCGGCTTTTCGATCCGGAAACCGATCGGGACCGAAGCAACTTATAGCCCCACCATGGAACATGGAAAAATGTGGCTAAACGAGAAAAATCGCTACTCACCAAAGACGGACTGGTTTGCTGCCAGCGTAACGATGTTGCTGGACTTGGGAATGCCACGGCTGTATCTTGTCCTGAATGGCCAGCACAATCTTAGAACGTATTATGCAGCCGGGTATCTCCTGAGAGAAGCGCAGGATTTTTTGGACCAACTGGACAAGGACGTGCAAAAAACAATGTCTTCGGGGTCGAACTCGTGTGCAACAAAAGGTCCCTGTCTTACGACGTCGCAAAAGGATGATATCTTGCGACACATCGCTTTCCGAAACAAGCCTGCTCAGGATAGCATCACGAGCGTCGACCACGTCGCATATGCTGGCGTTTCGAGGTCGTCCCCCCAAGCCTTGCCAGTTGCGGCTTCTCAACACCAATCGACATGGTCGCCTGGTGCAACATGGAGGCTGTTTTCGCGCAAACAAGAAGCCAAGCCAGCCGAGCAATCGCAGCCGTTGCAGAACGCGGGTCGCCGGAGTCGGGACGACCAACTGTCCGCATCGCCAAACGCCGGTGAAGGAGTGAATCTATCATGGCTTCTTAATGGAGCCGGAAAGGCAGCACGAGCTGTTGCGCGTCGTGCAGACGGACTGGTAGAGCAGTTTCGAAATAGTCGTCGTCAGAAGTCCCCTATTTCGCCGAAGTCCGCTGTTTCCGAACCAACTAAAAAAGTTGCGTCGGTTCCATCGACCTCACCAGCTTCAGGCATGTTAGCACATTTGCAAGCATATCTGCGGTCGGACCCGTCAGGGTCGCGGGCCACTGCAAACGAGGACACTCCTTCACAACGGACTCCATCATGGCCTAGACTTGCAGGCACCGCACCAAACCGCGCCGATCCAGCCGCACCGAAAACAGTGCCAGGGACCCGACCGCAGGGAGCAGATCGACCTCCGTCGCCCCGCACCAGCGCTCCAGCAGGCAGTTCTAGTTGGTTACCTTGGTCATCATGGCCCCCTTCTGAGCAGCGACCAGTCCTCCCCCCCCCGCCACCGCAGCGGCCGCAATCACTACCCGCATCGCGGCCATCTCAGCAGCAGCTACCCGGCGCTTACAGCGCGCCAGCATCCGATTCCCGACTCTGGGCACTGGTTCCGCCGCCACCACAGTATTCGCGACAGCAGACGCCACCTCCCGCCGGACCGCCAGGACTGCCAGCACCGCCGCCGCCGCCGGTGCAGCGCGCGCACAGCTTTCCTTCCCGTTCCGTGGAAGCTCCGCCCCCACCTCCAAGCCGATACCCTTCGATGCCTCCAAGCCGATCCCCTTTCGATGCGCCCTCAGGGGACGGGCGGTACGCGCACGGTGGGTACCGCGGCGCGTGAGGCGAAAGGAGTGTGTGTATGTGTGTGTCTGTGTCTGTGTCTGTGTCTGTGTGCAGATCAAACTGGAAGCGGGTGGACGTAGATACATACCTGACGTGGCTGGCTATCAACACAGTGTAGCAGATAATTAGTGGAGACACGGCGCATGAATACTGGCTCATAGAACATCAGCGCTCCGCATTGACCGAGAGGCCCGTTCGGAATTATCTTCCTTTATTTTCTTCTTCTTTTCTGCCTCTCTCTACGGGCTTCAGGTGCGATTAGTTTTTGATTCAGACGAGATAATGTCGCACAGGAACGGCTTGCTTCGCTCGCACGAACTTTACTGATAATTATTGTGAGAAACCATTTGTACTATTTGTAGATGTAGGAGTATCTCTCTTCTTTCTGCTTTCGGGTTCAGCCGCTGTGTCATTTTGGACTTGGAATTACTCTTATGTCAAGCTACAACTTCAAGCCCTTGTTGTTATCTTATTTTTTTACAGCACGCACACATTTTCACTTAAATAATGAACAACAAAAGTAGAATGTTTTTCAAATCAATTTCGAAGTATACAAAAAGATTTTGATTTTCTGTGAGACAAACGCCAACATCGAAAAGTGACGACACGCTAGGCACGCACGCCCATCCGTTTGCGCGCGTCGCCTGCTGCTTGCGACTTACTTTTCGGGAAGGGCACGGGGCGAATGCGTAATCGTTTTTCATATTTATTATTACCGTACTTCAAAACAGGACTTCATTATGATACATTTTGAAACGCACAACAAGTAGCAATACTAGTAGGACAAGAAATCTTCGACGTTAAAAAATCATGGAAGACCCATTTCGCATTTTTTGTTACTATCGAGAAGAAGACTCAGGCATGTTGATTGTACATTTTTACTTATCGTGACCGTGTATAAAGACGCTTCAAACGAGATTCGACAAATATTTCAACAAGCGACCAAGATGCGACTTCAAGGAAACGTAAATTATCCGTGACGAATAACTTTGTATTTGAGTTCAGGATTTATTAGCTGCATATGTCAGACACTTACTTGCACGCCATAAGATGCGAGCAAAGGGCTGTATCTGAATTCAGTATAGAAGCAGTGCCCGCAACATGGTGTTCGTCTCATTTCGTTCCAATTTTTCATGCAGAAAGTTTTCTCGAAATCGACTTGGTGCTGCGTTTTCGTCTACAGCGTATTTTTTCTGTATGTCATGAATAAGTATAAGATATCACTCGTTGGAAGTGGAAAGAAATTCATCGTGGTCGTGTCTTCATCGTCGATACAAGCCAGCGTCTTAACCTTGAGATGAATTCGTATTTATATATAAAGGAAACCAGTCGTGGAAAAAATTCTGATCATCGTAACAGTAGTGCGAGGAGCCGCCGGCTTCAGCTATGACATCCAACCGGGTTTTTTAATTACATCTGCTCGCGATGGTTTACGTACCTATCTAGCCATATTTTCGTGGGGTCTCCCGTTGTGGGAACGGCAAAGCTTTGGCGAGTCAATTTTGGCCGTTACACCAAGAATGTAATGCACCAGTAGCGTGGATTTCGATTTGTAAAAAAAGGCGTTTTGCTGGGCTTTTTTTGAAGCATAAATATAAAATAAGCGATCAAGCATCTTGGTCTCGCATAGAAATTGCGGTTCATGTTGTAGAGAAAAATTGTCAACATCATGTCTGGAAGTGGAAGCGTGGCTGGGAGCCGGCAGAGGGGGACTCAGTGGCAACAAGAGCCCGCTGTGCAATCCACCTCCTGGTCGAGACGAAGGCCGTCCCGCTTCTCGGCCTTGGTCGCGTCCCGCCTGTTTTTCCCATCGCACCTCCATTCTTTTCACGGAATCTTGTTGTCCCGCGTGCTGCTTTCTGTGGCTTCGACGAGTCCCGTTGGTAATTTTGAGGACATCAAGACGAGCGCAGCTGACGGCGAAGAAGATCCACGAATTTCTCAAACCGCGCCCTTGCAGCTCCATGGTCATCTTACTGCAACCAAACAAGAAGAATGTTCATCTACTGCGCCGGAAAACGGAGGTGAAAATGAGTTTTTTTCGCCGGAACAGGAACAGCCAGGCCGAAACGAGAAGCATGCGGAAGATCGTCTAGAAGTGGAGCCAGTTGTTCTTCTGGAAGTGAATGAGGACTCCAAATCCGGTCGTAATGCAGTTGCTTCACCGTTGTCGTTTGTGCAAGAACGGAAGAACACGCATTCGACGTCGACGAAAAAGGAAAAGAAACTCGAAACGCGCGAAGCGGAGGCGCAGGTGCAGGCGGTGGATCAGGAACAGGGACAGCAAGTCCACCAGCAGTTCCGCGTCCAGCAGGAAATGCAGTCTAAACTGGGCAGCGCACGACGAGCGTCTGCTAAAAACCGTCAGTCGGCCGCGCGACCGCGGGGAAAGCGGAACACGCAAGGGACTTTTATTGAAAGGAAAAACTCCCTCTCCCCATATCAAAAAAGCACGCTTCCGAAAATTTGTGTTGCTGATTTGAGGTCACAAATGACATCTGTCTTGCAAGGAGACAAGGGCAGAAGCTTCGCGCCCATTATGGAAGCGATTTGCCATGCTGTTGGGCCTAAAGGTAAATGCGAGCCATTTGCCATGCTGAGCAACTAGACCGATACGCCCCAACCTAGCCTGGGGATCTGGTCGCAATGCCTTCTTGCAATACAAAGCTGATTTGTGTACGCAAATCCAGCAACACGCAAATCCAGCAACAGAAGTTTCCGCTTCGATATGGGGAGGGAGGATTTTTCCTTTCGATAGCGTTCTCCTCGCCGACGGAGAAGGCGGGCTACGACATGGATGCGTACCATGGCTTCCGGTTTTCCAACCCACTCTCGGGCGCGATGCAGGCGTCCGCCGTGGGCACCGGCGATCCTAACTGGATGTACGGAGCCGTGGGCATCGACGCACTGTGCGGGCTAGCCAACGCGGGCATCGCGGCTCTGGAACAGAGCCAATACATGCTGGAAGAGTACCGGCGGCGGAAGCTGACCCCGTGGTCATATCCTGAGTAAAAACGTACCCACACCATAGTCAAGATGGGGAATCGGCTAGACAAATCCACAAGTTTTGACTGTTTTGCATGACAAATTTGGATTCGTAGTGTAGTGCTGTTTGAGCAAGCTCAGCAGCATCACAGATCTAGCCTACCATGCTGATTGGAGCATGACAGATTGCAAAACACGACTAGAAAATGCTTCTCATGGGGCTCCGCATGAGAAACATTTCCAGCATGCAGATTTGCATTACAACTCTGGTGTGGGTACGTTTTTACTCAGGATAGGTCAGACGACGTGGTGAAGGTCCGAACCAAGGCGGAGGATCGGGCACTGCTGCGGGCCAAGACGGGTGGCTACGACATCGCGGGCGAATCCGCGTTCACCGAACAGATGCGGGAAACGCAGAAGTTGTGCGAAGAGGCATGGGGGGACGTGGTGCGCGAACGCAACGAGCCAAACTGGGATTGCCGTGGTGTTGAGAACGGGCCGCGGGGGACAACAGAACAAGAACGTGCGCACCCGCGACCGCGGCACGGCGCTTCGCCAAGTGAGTGTGCGAAGGAAGAGGCGCTGCTGCAAAAGGCGAAGCAGCGAACCAAGGAACTGACGGATCTCCTGGAAAAAGCGAAAGCCGGTATGGAAGAGAAAAAACCTTCTGCACACACTGTTGCGAGATTTCTATATGCGCATGAACTCGACTATATATAAGCATAGAGTTCATTTCAACTACATACGTCATGCAGTGAACGCACAGAAGTTCAAGTTTTACACTCACTTGCATGAGTGATCGAAATTCCATTTCTCTTTGGTCTCGGTGCGCATGATCTCAAGCTTTGCAAGAAAAATATATTGTGGGGGATCTTCTTGCACCATCTTCACCTGTGCGTGGTTTTTTCTCCCGGATAGCCCGCAAGCTGGACAAGCGGGTTTGGGAACAGGAGGTGAAGCCGCGTTGGGAGAAGGCGTGGAAGGGCGCGTGGAAGCAAAACTCCAAGCTGCAGGCGGCCTACAACGCGGGGAAGGCGGACTACGGCTGGAACTGGGCCACCGACTCTTTTTACAAGGACGCGGACGGATATGGATGTGTCAGGATTGAAATCGTCAAAGTTGAAAAGATTTGTAATGCAGAAAATGGAGGCCAGTTGCAGCCCAGTTTCCAAGTGGCGGATGACAAATTTGGGTAGAATCTAAATCCAGTTTGTCATGCTGTTTGAGTAAGGACGACGCCTTTTGTCATGCTACTTGAGCAGCTCTATCCCTACCCCTCAACAGGCTCACAATCTGCCTCACTTGCGTCCTCTGCCATAGAGACAATTTCTGCGTTGCATTTTATGCATGACCACAAACCATTTCAACTTTGACGATTTCAATCCTGACAGTCCCATCACGGAAAAACGAACGGCAGCGGGGGCTACAAATGGGACGGCTCTGCGTCGTCGTCGTCTGCCGCCGCAACCGGCGCGGGAGGTGATTGGAGCTGGAGTAACTGGTACTGGGACGAGAATCTGCAGCACTGGGCGTACTGGTACGACGAAAACAGCTGGTACAAATGGGACGACAACTTGCAGAAGTGGCTGTATTGGGATATGGCCTTCTCAGCTGTAAGTGTAACGTTCTCAGCTGTTATGTTGTGAGCCAACAACGACCCATACATGATTTGTCATGCAAAATCTCCAATGGCCTTGGGGTTGGTTCCAAGTCTGACAGCGCGACACATACACAAACTTGTTGGGATACCTCGATGAGCGGCGCCGAAATATATCGATGTCCCACATTGATTTGCCATGCAAGCTGCACTGTAGCTCTGATCTTTCTCTTGTGTGCAGTGTTTCTGTGTACGAAACACTATTTCTTGGTTTATGATGTAGATGTAACAGGTGAGGACTACGCAACAGTTGAGCTGGCCATATGGGACACGACGACCGGACAGTACGAAGTGTGGCAAGACCAGTGGGACTGGTCTGAGTGGGCCGGCGGACAAGGAACTACACTTGCGGCCAAGAAGAGCTCGTTTCTGCAGACCGAGACTTCTACACCGAGCAGGTCCGCTTACCCCCATGGTGAACAAATCCGTGTCCTAGTCTCCCATGGCGAACAAGAATCTACCGTGTGGTCAACATGGTTCCCGTTTGTTCATCTCACGGAAAGAACAAGTACCACCGCGGGGACTCTGAGCCGGTTGCTTTATCGAACCCCGACTGGCCTGGTGCTGACGATGTTGCTGCTGCTGGCCTTGTTCCTTTTCGCTGCTTCCGTTTTGCTCGCGTTTACAAGTAGCAGTTCTCCCGGCATCGGAAAAGGAAATGGCCACGCGAAAGAAAAGAACCGGGACACCACACAAGACGGAGGAACAAGAATGGAAGTAAGTGATACACCTGGCGTCGACGATGTAACAGCTGCGGGGAGGACCCTAAAAGGAGAGGCACAAAAGCAAGAGCAACAGCCGCAGGCGGTGGCGGAAGCCGAGTCCAGCCAAACCTTCAGCTTCTTTGCCTAACCTGTGTGCATCGGAGTTTTAGTTTAGTTACGCGAGCGGGGACAATTGAAACTACGTGGAGCAGGATGCTGGTTTCTTTGATTGAGCCAGCAAAGAAACCCCTTTTTGATCTTGAAGATATTTTTTTCAAACTTTTCTTTGAACAACATCACATGCCTATCGTGTATATTTGATTTTGTGCCTTCTAATATTCTATCGCGTTTACATTAATTGTCTTTGTCAATCTGTTTGGGTGTCGATTTGCATTGTTGTTTGTGTTTTTCAGCGAAAAATAACAATAAGTGTCGAATATGTTTGCAAGAAGCAGCTTCCTCTGTACTCATCAATCTGGAAGCACAGCCCGAGCAGCAGTACAGCAGTGTCCTCGTTGGTGGATCACTCAAGCGTTGACACAAACGGAGCCCAGTTGTTCGTCTTTTCGTACAGGCGCTGGTTTCCGAAACTATCAGGGAAGGCACCTCTACTTGCATAGAGATTTCCTCCAAAAGTAAGTTTTGGCTTTAACTTCACCCCCGAACGAGAGTGCGCGAAATATCACATTTGCGGGGAGTGCGAGAGTCAGGACAGACGTAGAGAGGGAGACAAAGGCCGCGTTTATGTTCCTCGCTTGTAGGAGCGAGAATGTGAATGTCACAGCGGTTAGCATTGGCGTTTGGTTTCGGAATCGCAGTTGGTTCTGCGTTCGATTTTCTCTATCGTCTTGGTTGCTACTTTCGTACTACCTTCAGTAGCTTCATAAAACAAGTAGCTAAATTTTACGGCGCTTAAGTATCCTCTTGCGCGTTGTTCACGGAAGAGCACTCTACTACATTATGGATCCGTCGCACAGCCTGCGCCGGCCGCTGTGTCCATCCGTACTCTTGCTGCTCGAAGAGCGCTCTCTGGCAAGTGTCTAGGCGGCCGATGTGCTGCGACAAGAATACATTCTGTCAAACAATAAATTGGTCTCGACTGTGCAGAACGGTTGAGAGACAACCCGACAGCAGCTCCGTCCGCCTGTCGTCGGCCGCTGCAGAAGTGGAACGGCACGGCTATCTCAGTATCACCGTCCTCAAGTAACCGAGAATACTCAAAGAAACATCTCTGAAAGACGCAAAGGCGCTGAACGCTCCAATCAGCGGCGGAACAGGGGTGGAGCTGCTGCGACCCCCCGAATTTTCTCGATAAAAGTTTCGAGTGTAAGTTGCAAAGCCGTGCACTCTGCGGAACGATTAGGGGAGAACGTATTGGCTGGCAAGTCCAGTCGTTTCGACGCCTGTACTGCAACAGGACCTACACCCGGTCAGCACTTTAGTGCCGTTCCGCGAACCGACAAAGGAGGACAACCGTTCTGAAGAAGTCAAGATAGCCGAGTCATAGAGCGGAACCCATTGTTTTCTAGTGCCGACGACTTCGTAATTCTGAGTACCTAAAAGTCGACAAGGAAGATTTACGTGAAAACAAAACACGCGTAACAAACGGTCTCGGGTGCCGGCCCATACCCTCGTATCACAGTCACGATTTTCAAAGTCGCGGTTTCTGCGTGTCCCGCTGTGACAAGATCAAACGTGGACTTCCAGACAAGATCGCAAGGCCACCGTGCACGGGACGTTTCGTCACCAGAAGTGCAGACCCTGCAGGAAGCGGCATCGGCTTGCACAGCTTACTTTACTTCTGCAAGAATTGGCTTTGGCGGCAAGAAAAAGCAACGGCGGACAAGTAGAGCTCTTCTGCAACGTCGGTACTACTTGTAACTCCGCAAGTTACCAGCGATGTCGGAAGAAGCTGCGGCAGCACCTGCTCCCGAGGAGGGAGCTCCGGCCGAGGGGGCCGATGCCGGGGCAGAGCAGCCCGGCGAGGAGGCAGCGCAATATCACACTGCAAATTCGGCCCTTTCGCTTTCGTCCTATGATTTGCATGCGCCTGAATTTCTTGTATTTTCAAACAGAAGATAAAAATCCGAGGTGGCAGGCTTGCGTAATGGATCGTATGTACTACTTGCAGATCTAGAAACAAATGTTGATGGTCAGCTCTACAGGACCGTTTCCATCGTTTTTGATCTGTGTCTATGCTCATGATTACAGATCACAGAGCCTCGAATTTTCAAGACACGACGTTCTTCAGGGGACGAACAAGATGGGCTGTATTGCAGGGTGATACGCGGGAGGTGGGCCTCACGGAGGTGGAGATAATGGAGAAGATGGGTCAGCTGCCGCTGGACGAGGACATGCCGGGCATGAAGGCGTTTTTCATGAATACGGAAAATTACATGAAATACAAAGTGGTGGTGCAGCAGGAAAAGAGTAAAGAAATCTTCTTCTCCGGAAAAAACGCCATGCCGTATGTAGGGAAAATCCACCTGCAATAAATCGCAATCATTCACCATCGAGAAAAAATATCACCAAGAAGAAGCAGCAAGGTCTCTCTGCGGACTATATGGCAGAACGCTATACTATTCATTGTTTGCATTCGTCCCGTCATTGGTGACACCAGCAGCAGTTACGAAAACCAACCTCTCCCCTTCACGAACTTTAAACTCATTCCGTTGGAAAGGCATTGATTTCTGTATGTGCAAAAATTGTGATCGCGCTTATTGCTGTGGAGTTTTTCCTTTCCATAAACTATACGTCTTCATCAACAAGCAGGAGCAGCTATCGACATGAAAAACTCTACACCGACTACTGTGCGAAGAAGGCGTCGGTCAAGCCGCAAAAATGTTGACCTCGCAGGATCGATATTGTCTGACGAAGAATTTGTTTGCATACGTTCATCGTGAAAGTTAAAATTGATATGATTTTGCAGATCCAGATGCAATCATGTCACCTCGCATGTGCCCGCGTAGTCGCGTTGGCAAGAATTTTCACTGCGATAGCGCCTCGACGATATTGCGAGGGTAGGATTCTACTCCGACTTCCACGCGCACGAGAAGGATCTGATGAAGTACTCACGCATAATTTCGTGCTGCTTTTTGATGATTAAGGCGTTTTTAATGAGGTTTTACGTTTCTTTACCCCCGTCCACAATCAGAAAATGTAAATGAGTCGATAGTTATTTGTGATTGACAGTGCAGTGCTTCTACATATGATTTTCGGGAAACACTACAGATATACGCTCGAGTTTATGCTGCTGGTCAGGGACAGCTATGACATTGAAAGCAATATTCCGAAAGGCAACGACCCTACTTGCGACCTGGCTGTTGTTTGGTTATAATCCGACAGTGCTTCTTCACTACTGTTTTGCTGACAGTGACATGAGCATCTGTGGAGGCAAAATAATCAATAGATCAAGCGTCTGCGTTTTTTGCAAATCTAGGGTCGTGCATTTTGAGGACGTGCTTTTTCAATTTCATACCAGCAAGCGGGTCTTCGGGGACAACTTCGTGTGGTGCCAGACCGTCCCAGCATATGAAGCCATGGTCGCTGTGATAGAGGTAAGGCTGACATACGGTTTTGTCACATCGATCATCTATGACCAGCTTTGATACGGGTTCACGTCTAAGTACTACGTGCTGGTTTCTCCAGCACAATACTGGAGCAACGAATTTTTTTGTCCACGAGAAGAGGAACGCGCGTATGTTTATTCGAAAATTTCTGTCAGGAAAAAAAAGAGGCTATCCAAGCGGAGTATCTGGCTTCCCTTAGCGGGGCTGGCGGTGCCGGCGACGCAGTGGAAGGGGGCGCAGGCGGCGACGGTGCTGCGAGTGGTCCAGCATATGTGTTACCCATTGCAGATGAGTCAGTGTCACGGTCACGGATGAAATAAGCGCAGAAAATTTTCCCAGTTTGTGTTGCTGTGTTGAATTATCGTCGAAAGTGAAGAGGTCTGCATCGCAACGCCAGCTGAGCAGTACAGGTGTCGTTGTACCCTGCTGTCGTGCAGCGCAAGCCTGTTTTTACCAGTAAGTACCACTATCCATCGCAGAAAAGCTCTGGCAAGTTTTGCAAGCTCACTGACACGGCTCTATTTGCAATTGATTTGTGTTTAAGGAAGACGAAACGGTTTTTGTCAAGGACGAGCCAATAACGGTATCCAAAGAAAAACCGTGCGAGTTCGCCGTCGCGCCTACCAGTGGCGGAGCCTGGGGAGAAAAAGAAACTCAAAATCGAAACGATACGCTTTTGTCATGGTAGTTGGAGTTGCATTTTTCACCAGTTGAGTAAGGAGGCTGAAGGTACAGCCATCCAGCACTCGGGTCAACGCTACTCTGTACTAAAAACCGACTGTAGACTACTAGCAGATCCGTCTTTCACCTGGCTGGTTCTTTCTCATCCCTCTCGGTAATTGCCGCCGGCAGGTGCCGCGTTTTTGCAATGCATACTCACCACGGAATTACGTTTCGGAGACGACGCAGACTACCGTAGAAGAGGTGGACGGGATGACGGTATTAAGTAGGGGAGAAACTCTGACTTCGATCGTTCGCATGACCACAGGGACATCACGTTCTGTGATGCAGGTACTTACGAGGCGAACTAACATTTTGCTCCTAAAATTGTCAGGTGAAGAACACGCGTCCGCTGCTAAAAGTGATGATTGCGCGACAGAGGAGTTTTTTCGGAGAGGCCAAAAAATACAACGACAACGCCGAGAGCTCGGTACAGCACAAGCCACAGAAGGATCCCAATTTCAACCTGCTACGGCGGGAGCTAGACAAGGGCGTGCAGGCAGTACCTGTGGTCTCGGAGGGCAACTGTCAGACGCACGCGGGGCGCCCAAAAAACGCCAACACGCAGTACGCAGCTGACGACTTTGGAGAGAAAGAAGATGTACGAGCAATTTTAAACCGTGTTGTTCACGATGGTTGATGAAATTTAGAATCTCGTACGTTGTAAGGCAGGTCTGTTCTTTTGATGCCCGGCAGACGCAGTATGATGTCACCCCTACAAGAAAAATTGGCAACAAGAAGTTGATCAACTGTTTTGGTGATGGTTCATGATGGACAGACGTGTTTATTTTGTCCGGCTTGTTCGTGCAAAAAAAAAAATTCAAGCTACTCCCTACCCTTTCGCAGGTAGCCGTAACGCAGGTGGAGTCTCTGACCGAGTTTTTGCGGCGCGTCTTCGAGCGCGTTGACATGGCGCTACAGCAAAACGAAACCGTCGACCTTTTCGCAGAAGAGTTTGCAGGCATGGGGGACGACGACGGTATGGGCCCTTTAGGCGGGATATCACAAAAAAGAAACTTCTCAGAAGGCTAGTCGAGATAGGAAATGCTTTGTGATTTCGCAGCGCAGTCGACGATAAAAGTATTACTCGATAGCAATTTTGTAGTGAAGGCTCCAGCAAGAGCAGGCGCACGCCTGAGGCAGAAAGAGATGACTTCACCGAGATTTGCATGAACAACTCGACACATTTTTGCGACCGTAGCGCAAGTATTTCGGGTCCTAAGTTATTGGGGCGAAAAAGATGAATAGAACACAGCAAGGAGAAAAAAAGGAAATCGCGTAAGAGAAGTGAAAAAGAAATAACTATTCAGAGCTGAGATTATTCTTCGATAGCGGTTTCTGTTGTGATACGGGAAGGCAAGTTCCAACATAAAAGAGCTCCGGAACTTCCACGACGTGGCGTTCACGAAGGACAAGCGCATCCAGGCAACGAAATGGGTCCCGGGCAGCTCGTATCAAATGTAAAAATGTCTGGGTCTGGAAGAATGCAACTTGTGATGCTGCATTTGGATTCCAAAAAAATTTGTATTGCATGCGTACCAAGGGAAAGGCAATTTTTGCTACGCTGAGAAGGCATTTGTCATGCGGAATACGCATCAAGAGGCCCTCAAAAAATCTGTATTGCTAGGGGATGCATCACAGACAACATGGCTCATGCAAAACGTGCATGACAAGTGTCAGAATCTTCCAGACCCAGACACTTTTGCATTTGATAGCTCGGAGCTGCTGGCGGTCTCCTGTGTGGACACGTCTTCCGACAAGACTTTGGCCGCCACAAAGGCCGCTACCAGCTACGTGCTTTTGTGGAGCTTTGCCGACGCGCTAGCACCGCACGCGAGTCTGCTCAGTCCCTACGACGTCAGCATATGCAGGAAAAACTAGCGCAGTATTTATGTCGTCACAGCCTACATCGCAGGCGAAATAAGTACTTTTAGTAACTTTGCAATAGCTCCTGTTGCGTTATTCGTATTCCCCTGTCTCGATGAACCACAAGTAGATCTTCACCACGACCTATCATCATAAATAAATAAAGTAAAAGTTTGCGATGAAGGCTTTCCTTTCGATGCAACTGCCTCCAGTTCTACCCTGGGGACCGACACTACCTGATCGGTGGTTTGGCGAATGGGCAACTCATCATGTGGAAGTTCTCACCCGCGGACTTGGGGTAAGTAATGACTCTTTAGTTGTGAGGGGAATGAAAATTGAGCTAGAGAAAATCAAAGAAATTTTCTCGTGCTGAAAACACAATGCTTTTTCTGTTTGATTGTCCGTGCCACGAGATAGAAAATAATTACAAGAAAACTACAAACAGAGCGACGAAAAATGTAAGCTCAAAAGTCGAGGACGATAGTGGGGGACAAAACTTGGTGCCACAGATAACACACAAAACGCTTTCAATAATAGACGACAGTCACAAGAAGCCAGTGTCCAGTATGTGCTGGCTGCCACCGAAGATAACAATAGAAGGAAAAAAAGGTATTGAGGGCGTTTTTTTGATAAACGGTCTGGTCTCAGTTCCAAGCATCATGCTACTCCTCGAAGTCTACTTTAGTATACTTGCTTCTTGCTTGTCCACCTGTCGTTTCTCGTATCAAAACAAAAACAAAAACACACACACGCACAGCCAAGACCGGCGACAAAGGTCCGGAGGACGGGCCTATAAGGTATTTGTGCACAATAGCGGGAGACGGCCAATTTCTCATTTGGGACTTTGCCGCAGCAAAGCAGGCGTTTGAAGAAAACGAAACAGATTTCCAGTGGAAGCCAGGTACGAGGTGAAGCATCGATTCCGTTTTTTTTGTAATCGGGCCTTTAATGTGATTTCGGCGATATAATTTGTGTTTCAGATCAATTGAATCAGAGCGAAGTATGCACTGCATCTCTTCTCAAGCTGCATTGGAACGAACTGAAAATGAAATTGATAATAGACTTGCTACACGTTGGCCCCTTATTGAAACCTCAGTTCATCGCGTGCAGCTTTCAAGGCAGGACTCAGGGACAGAAATGGGCTGCTGTGAGGTCATGTACTGCGACCAGCCTGTCGGAGACCCGTCCATCGGCAATTTCTACGCCTCGACCGAGGAGGGAGAACTCATCTACGCCGATATCCCGGGCAAAATAGGCAGCTCGCCTAACCCTTTATAAGCACAAGCATTCTTGATTATTATACTGGTCAGTATTGTTGCGCTTGCGACAGCGTGTGCAGTCGCCTGTCTTATGCACCTCTTCACGACAGGGACAGTCTACAGGTATTTCATGTGATACCGCCTGGTGAACATCTTCACTTGGTGAGTACATTTCGCGCCGTTCGGATGCACGTTTGTCGTGCACGAGCAAGCCCCAGCACTTATTTCGCAGTTGTATAGCATCCAAAGTTGCCACTTGTACTTGTAGAATTTCGTTAGTATTCGCAGGACCCTTTTTTGCACCGGATAGGTGACTGGACGGCACGAGGGGAGGAGGACCGTAAGCCCGAGTACGTAAAGAAACTCGTCAGTGTGTCCAAGACCTTCCGACCCATGCTAAGCTTGGAGAGGAGCCCCATATTTCCGAACATGCTGCTCGGTATCAGTATCTTGCGGACCACTTGCTGCTTCCTTGTGCTTCTCAGCTGCTTTCTCAGACAAACAAACAATTTTTTATCATTATGGGGTGCCGAGCGCTTTTTCATGTGCATTTCGTCTCATAACTTCGTAAAGCGGAGTCCTCTAAAATTACAGGTGTGTGCGACTGGAGCTTTTACATATGGAACGACACACTAACGGTCTTCGCATCACCATCAGTACGCACATGAGCTGCAACCGCGCACCATTTGAACGGAAGCGAAACTCCTTGCCATGAAGTAACCCGCGAGTCTCCTCGCACGATGAATTAGTGAATGACTTCATAGACTCGCACACGGTGACCAAGACAGCAGTACAACACTGTGTTTGTAATCTTTGGTAGCAAAGCTGCTGCGCAATCCCATTTCTAGTACAAGCGCCGGGACATGAGCCCACACCAGATATCTGTGCTGAAAGAATAGTATTGGCAGCCACCACTTCGCTTCCGTTTATGGATTGCAAAAATGTCTGGGTCTGGAAGGATGTAACTTGTCATGCTGGTCTTGCACTCCTGTGAAATCTGTATTGCGTAACCAACAAAAATGGTAGCCTCTCATGTCATACAAAAACGCAGTTTCTCATGCGGACTTCGGATGGGAAAGCGTTCTGCAAACTTGTCATGGTTTTCTGCATAAGGAAGTGTTTTCCTCTTGCACATTTTAGCATTACAAGTTTCCAGACCCAGACATTTTTGCAATCCATACCGTTTCAGTCGTGACGATTTTCTTCGCCACTCTCTCCGTCCGCGTATTTCACCTGCGGGTGCTGGTCCCCAACAAGGAGTTCTGTCGTATACCTCGGTAGAATGGACGGGTTCGTGGAGGTGTGGGACTTCAGCGACCAGAGTCACAAGGCCAGCCTCGCCTTCAGCGTCAGCTCCAGCGCGATATCGAGCATGTGCTTCCACCCCGAGGTACGGCTCTGGTTAGGATCTTTACATACAACTTGGCGAGTAGAAGTCCTACTTGAGATAGTGATGTATGTGCGTGTCGCTTCGCCAGTAGTACAAAATGGACTTCTATGAATTTGATGAGAAATGAGAAATAAAATTGCAAAAACGTTGAATCAGGCGGAGACGAAGGATATGCTAGCTGTGGGCGACGCTGATGGGCACCTGCACGTAATGCAGCTGCCAAAGAATCTCGTCCGCAGTAGCAGCAAGGAGGTTGTTATGCTCTGGGGGACTAGTGTCAAAAGCATCGTCATACGAGGCACAGAAGTACTCGTTGGATAATGCAAACTAGACTGTCTCGCTCAGTATCTTCGGTCTGCCTTTATTTCCTGCGCGGTACTGCAGTTGCGTGTCTGTTTCATTGCGCGAAACGAGCTGCCTGCTCATGAGCGAAATGCAGTCTCGCCCGGGTAAAAGATGTAAAGAATTTCTTGTACTAGCAAAAAGCTGTAATGCGAAGGTCAATCTGTTAGTGGAAGATGACGGCTGCAAGACCAGAAGTGAATATTTATAAGAAGCCCAAGACGTAGAGTAAAGTAAGTACTTAGCGCAGCATGCTCAATTTTCTACGCCAACTCGTGTGTACAACTACGATGCACAAATTTGTGATCCATAGCGCAGATGATGGAGCAGTTTTTGCAGCGGGAGGAGGCCGCGGTGGTCTACTTCGACAAGCGAAAACAGGTGCTCGGGGACCTGGCCGAAGAACTGCAGAAGCAGGAGGGGGTGGTGCAGGAAGAGGAGGCCGCAACGAAGTCGCACGAGGAGATTCTGGCGTTGAAAATCGAAGCCATGCAGGCCAAGTACAGGTCGTTCGAAACCGAGATGAAGATCCAGATCGCCGAAGAGGCCGAGGCGGCCGAAAAAGCAAAGAGCCCCAAGGGGAAGAAATAATTCGTTGTGCCTTCCTCGCGGACAACATACAAAAACCATTGGAATCCGAAAAGTTCAAATTCACCTGCTAAAGTTGCTTTCATGTAAAAACTCAACCATCTTGTTTTTCGTGTGCTTGGTGAGAGCCTGATCCGGTTGTACCAACACTGGATTTTTGGACATTTTTCACTCCACTTCACATACGCGCCCCCGTCATCCCCAATGTACTCCCGAACCTGATGTAAGAAGCAAGAAAGTATCGTCCCACCACCACCTCCCGTTGTATCGTCGACCCGGAGTTTCGCTTCTGCTCCCCTGCCTGTAGGTGCGATAAAACCCAACTTTTTTCGAAAAGTGTAAGAACACTCTGTAAGAACGAGCGCCGTTCAGAATTCATCATTCAGTGCACTTCGCATTTCGAAATCCAAATCTAGTATTCTGATAAGATACGCCAAACTTTTATTCATTCACTCACTCGCAAAGAAGAGAAGAAGAACAAAATTTATGTTACGGAAAGAAGAAGAACGCGATCTGGTAGCATTGGCCGGAACGTTTGGTATATCAACTGATGTGTGACCATTTTAATTGAGGCAATAACTCGCTGCCTTTTTCATCTTGGTTGTCTTGCTTCGCTCCTCGCGCCCGTGTTTCTTGGAAACTTCTCTCTAAGATTTTCCAATTTGGACCGGCGTGGTTTTATATTAATTTACATGGGCGTCGTCTTCTCCTCTTCACGTTCACGACCATTTTTTTTTTTGTCCGAATGAAATATAGAAAGATCGCACGTGATCGGTGCTCCGTCGTTTTTTCAGAGTCGTTCAAAAACACAAAGTGTCGTCATTGCCACGTCTGTGGTGTTTTCCGTGCAGCTTTCGTGAAGATTGTCCTTTTCTGCAATGAATTCCGAGCAAATGTTGAAATGGTTTTCTGCGTGAGCAATGTCGGTTTTTGGTTCGTGTTTTTGTTTCTTGTCGTTCTTGGTTCTAAGACTCAGCTCGTGCTTGCTGTGGTGAAGCATACAAAGTTTTTTATTTCGGCGCTCGGTGTCGTGTTTCTATTTTAATTTTCGAGCTATGGTCTATAGCTACTTCGGTTTTTCGTTCATCCTGTGCCTTTTTGTGTTTATACTGGAAAGAACCAAGGTTAGTTGCCATGCGCAGTTTATGACTATCTAGCAGTTCGTTGATTTCACACATCAACAGGATCAAGGTATTATGTATCTGCAGGCATCCCCTGTTTATTCTTTGCGCCCGTATGGTCAAGAAGTAAAAGATTCGAAGCCTGTTCCACTCAAAAGAAAAGAAGGATATCCTCCTTGCGCTTTCTTCCCCAAAAAAATTTTTTCCGGTTAAATCCTTCTCGTTCTCGTCACAGCAAAGTTATCCTTTGAAAAAGGATGGCGATCAGTGTGTGCGGTTTGTCGGGCGTGTCCGTGACGCGCGTGCAGGTGGAGGACGCCATGCGCAAGATGCCGAAGACGCCCTCCCTGCCCGCGAAGGAGTACTACCCGGACGTGGACAGCTCCGCGTACACGGGGGGCATGAGCCCGAACCGCGGCATCGACGCGCAGCGCCAGCCGCCGCTGCACTGGAGCGTGGACGAGTTGGTGCACCAGAAGCCCACCACCGTCGAGGTGCTGGACGACAACGACCCGAACCCGCCGCCGCCGCGGCTCCGGTCCTTCCCGTCCAGCAAGCGGAGCATCATGGCCACCCGGTTCTGCCTGGACGGGTCCGAGAACTTCGAGAACCCGCTGGCCCGCAACACGCTGGACTCCATGCGGGACCAGGAGCACCTGAAGCACCAGCTGCAGAAGATGTGCACGGAGAGCTCCAAGCTAGCGGAGGCGGAGCGGATCGGGCTGGGCCACGACATGTCGGGCCCCATGCCCCCGGTGCAGGTGGCGGCCGTGTGTCCGCTGCACCAGGTGGGCCGCGACCTGGCCAAGGACCCCCCGCAGACCCACGCGGTCTACCTCCCGCAGTTCGGCGTGGACTTCCCGAAAATGCGGTCGGTGCGCACCTCCCCGAAACTCTGCGTGACGTTCTACCACCAGCTGTCCACCGACGAGATCACGCAGCGGAAGTGGCACTTCCTGGACCACGGCATGTCGCAGCTGGCCTCCATGCGGAGCCAGCTGGAGGCCGTGGGCACCAACAACCCTTTGTCGATCGCGAACAACGCGTGGCGGGGCCCCCAGATCACCGACCTGGGAAGCGGCGGCGCGGGGGCGCACCAACGGGCGAACCGCCGTGACGCGGACGTCGGCCCGGCGCTGATGCGGGCCAAGGGCAAGAAGCTGCTGCCGACGCTGGCGACCGCGGCGCAGATGGTGGGAAAATTACAGAAGGGCAGCCCGACGGGGAAGCTGACGGAACGGAACGTGAAGCAGCTGAAGCAGGTGAAGCTGAACCCCACGCTCCTGCAGGCCACCGACGAGCAGAGCGCGAAGAAGGCCGCGGCGCAGGCACTGGGGCTGGGGCCGACACCAGGAGGAAGCACAACGACAACCAAAAAGCAGGGGTCGCAGCCGCGGAAGGAGGAGAAGCCCCTGCAGCCGGAGGACTTGATTTCCAACGTGGAGATTGCGAAGAAGTTTTTCGGCCTGGGCAGAGAGGAGGAGCTGGAGAACGTCAAGCAGAAGATGCGGGAGCAATTCACGGGGGCGTCGAAGATCGAGAACCAGGTGAAGCAGATGGAGCAGCTGCAGAACCAGAATTGGTGGGAGGAGGACGCCAATTTGGTGCGGAAGGACAAGGACATCTTTCCGCTTTTGAAAACCGTCGCGGAGTTCTTCCTCGGCCCCGGGCTCACGCTGCCGGGCATGACGAAGGAGCTGGAGCCCACGGTCGCGAAGCTGGCGGGCGCGCTCTGCAAGGACGCGCTGCAGCCCGAATTCGACGTGGGGATCACGCTGAAACAGGTGCAAAAGCTCCGACAGCTGGCGGACTCGATGCGGCTGCTGGCGAAGAAAAACAACAACCTGGACATGCTCATCGTGGCGCTCATTTGCAAGGTCTGCTGCACCCGCTTGCTCAAGAAGCGCACCGGGATTGTCTTCAGCAACGTGCTCAAGCTGATACAGCGAATCGCGATGGAGATCGGGGATCCGAGAAACCATAACCAAAACGGTATATATAAAAGCATGGTCCACGCTGTGCATATTGAGTATCTACTAACTTTCGACTACTCCGTGTCCTTTGTTTCGCTGCGTGCCCTTTTCTGTTTTCCACCGATGTTGGTTGCTTCGCTCTAGTTCTATCTTCGACTTTTTTGATTCTGATTACTTAGTAGAAAAGTGAAAAAATCGACGTCCGATGTCGCACTGCCCCACAATGACCATATTATTCACTGTCAAACGCACTGTGATTTTTATCTCCCAACAGGCAAGCCCGGCGTGGTAGTTAGCCCGCATTTGATTGGGCTTTTCTCGCAACTGGCGGCGGAGGTGCGGAAGCAAAATACGGGAGCCGTGATTCCCGCAGACCAGATCCTGGCCCCGGACAGCATGCAGAGTATCCAGGTTCTAGCTAAGGAGATCGCAAATAAGGTCGACGAAATCAACGGCCCAGAGATTTATCGAAAGGTACGCAATAAACAGATTTTTTTCTGTAAGAAATTAGCAGACAGAAAAAAGCTATAGATTCGCACCGCTTGTTGAAGTTCTGTGCATGGGGTGAGGAACGGCGAAAAAGTTCACTGTTTCTTTCCATCATCATGCCATCGTTACTCGTTACTACAACAGGCCTGGAAGGCGAAGATCGACAAAGTGTTCGACACGATGGACCGGGACGGCAGCGGGTTCGTAAACCGGCAGGAACTGGAGAAGATGTACAAGCTATCCTTTGTAAAAATCGACACCCATGTGGCCCCCCTAAAATCAAGACGTGATCTCATTTGAAGTGCGCAAATCAAGTAGCTGTGCGGGACTTTATTTCGCATGTTCACAAGATCAATAGGCGCGGACTAGCTTCGTGGTGATAGATTAGCGAAGCATGATTCAACATCCTCCATTAAAAGGCAGGACTCTGCATTGTCAGGATTTCAGAATTGCATGCAAATCTAGTTCAAAAGACCATATGCAATCAAAATGTTTCTTTTCACTGCGAAGCGCAACAATAGAGACACAACTAAGCTTTCTGCGAGTTGTGCGGCTGTGCAGGATGAATATGGGTACTAGGTCCCGGGTCGTACGTTTTTACACTGGATACAAGCCGCACGTAGCCAACCAAACAAAGAAATTTTTGATTGAAGAGCTGCTCGACCGGTTTGACGCAGACGGCGACAACAAGGTCAGTTACGCGGAGTGGGTTTGCTGCTTATCGGAAGCCGAGCGCTCGGGACGGTACTCCGTAGAAGAGCTGTCCATGGAGCTCTCTTTTTTTCTGAAGGGCGGAGGCGCCAGCAGGCTTGAAAGTCTGGAGTTTGAAAAGGCTTAAAAGAGTGGAGCAGATTCGTTTCTGTCCTCTTCCAGCAGGGGAGAGCAAGCGCCGCCCCACATCATTGATGAAGAAATTGTTTTTGTTTAAAACCTGTTTCTCTTCCTACCAAAGACAAAAAGCTATTCCCACTGCGTCCCTATGATCCACATGGAGCTGTCTTGCATAGCCTGCAAAAGTGACAAAGAGGGGAGGCGTCAGTTTTCTACTAACAGCTAAGATTTTGAGTAGCCCTCAACAGCCTCGGCCTATTTTTAGATAGAATTTGACTTCATGTTACATATCGTAAGCATACACGTCTTTCACGCGTATTTGTAGTTTTTCATTTCTGTTTTTACTTTTCGTACACTATAGCAGACTCACGTCATCATGTGCAATATCCTTGCACTGATGCATGTATGGTCTACGCTTTGTCGACGTTCTCCTGCGGAAATAGCCTTTCTAGCAGGAATGAGTCAACACACTCAGTCTTTACCAAGGACGTGTCATGTCACTGGCATGAAGCGGGGACAGCGACAACCTGCAGCAGACAGAACCCTCAGAAAGAACTAGACCTGGTCCGCCAGGCAAAGTCTTGTTGATATACAGCCTCGAAGTTCGCAGTTCCAAAACGAAAATTTTTTCTGATGACACACGCGTGACACAAGAAACCGCCAAAATACGGGTTCATTGCTCCGGATGAAATTGTTCGCTACATGTCGATAATTAAAAGAGGAACTCGAATTTTGAAATGCGATCCAACGAGCGTCCTCAAGTTCACCCGATTCTTGCCTTGTAGCGGTGTGAAAACCACGATCACATCAAAATGAGTTGCAGAACTACTGAAGCTAAATATTGGATCTACTCGATATTAGCGATAGTGTCAGTCATAGTGCCAAAGGAATATACGCGTGAAGATCCGCGGCGAGTCCGGAATACGTATACGAAGCAGTCATGCACGACGAAGACGTCGCAATGAAAATGTCGACAAAAGAGTCTGTTCTGCCTGACGCAATCAATCTGAATCGCGCATCCAACCAAACTAAAGAACCTTCTGCAACTTGACCCCAGGGAGAGCTAAGTACATAACAGTAGAAGCCTCAGGGTTTCTCGACGTAGCTCTAAAAGTTCGATTTAGTTTCACTCTCTTTATTCATACGGTTCTACTAGACAGCACTACAACAGCAATTTTAATACCTAGTTTCACACAGCAACAATACCAAAGCAGCGCTTTGGGGAAAGAATAATTGTTCTAAGTACTTTCAGCATCGCAATCCAAAAGCGGAGTTTATCACAGTAGTCAACATCGCGCGCGAACGTATACGTACAAGATGCAGGGCCACCAAGAAAACCTGGGTTTCCCCGGCTTTGTGCAGCAGCACGACATTCATCCGGGGAACTATCCACCGAAAAAAGATGGGTCGTACATCAATGACAAGAAAGACGAAGGTCCAGATTGGGCGAAGAAATTTGAGGACGACAAGAAGCTGAGCAAGGCGAGCGAGTGGAAGTTGAAAATGGGGGACAAAGCCGGCGATATGGTGGGGGAAAAGAAGAAAGCACAAAAGACAGCATGGGCGGGATACAAATTCGGCAGTACTTGTTTACCATTTACATTTTCGGTTTCTTGCTTCGATACATCAAATGCCTATTGTGCTGTGCATAATTATCTTCGTCATGTTGTTTTCCTTTATCTCACTTTTGTATGATGTAGTAGACGAAGGCTTCGGCAACAGCGCTCGGATTTTGCGTTTTTGTCGAAGCGGTTTCTTCTGTGTGAGGAAATGCCATTTTTTGCAAAAAAAAATCTGTACCAGATAATCAAAACAACCAATTTGCGGGCGGGTTCGTAATCGGAATCGAAGAAAAGAAGGGTGGTGACAAATATTCCGTGATGAACAAAGCGAAGAAATCCGGTGGTCATTTGCTGGAAAAGAAAAACATGGGTACTTGTCACAAACAGAGCCGAAAGAGGACTGCATTTTCAACATGAATTTGATTCGACTCGTTTCTTGGAATTTGACTATGCATGTCAAGATGAGAAGACTAAAAATACTTTAAGCATAGAATGAAAATTTGGATTGTTTTCTCTCCTGCTGTGCGGAAGCTGATCAGAAATCTATTCCCTGCATCAAAACAAAATCTTACCAGGCAAGAACCGTATCTCGCAGATTAAGGACAGCACGCTTTCGGGAATTACCAAGCCGGCCATCCGGCGGTTGGCGCGAAGAGGCGGCGTCAAGCGAATTTCAAAGCCGATTTACGACGAAATTCGTTCCGAGCTGCGAATCTTTCTGGAATCAACGCTGCGCGACGCCACCACGTACATATTTACAACGAACGATGAATTTTGATGTAGTTGTTTTTGGGAACTCGATGTGTCGCGGATGCATGTGAGCTCATGCGAGGAGTCCTTTATCAATGAATCTCCCGTGCTGCGCTCATAATTTAGACTTTCCTTGTGTCAGCGTTAGCAGACATGCAGAGGTAGGACAGCCAGTAATCGAGACAGCAAGAAAAAGAGCGAAAATAAAAATATAATTTTCACTTCTGAACGCAGGTATTGTGAGCACGCGAAGCGCAAGACGGTGAAGCCGCTGGATATTGTGTACGCACTAAAGCGAAAGGGCCGCGACCTCTACGGTTACGGTATGTAAAGGCACCGCGGTCATGGTCCTTGGACGGCGGGAGTCGTAGAGCGACGAGATACAGCAGCAGGCTGTACTGATTTCAGTATCTATTCACACTTCATCATCATCTGCCGGGACGAGCATTCTTTATTTGGAAGGCGAAGGGTCGGCGGAAGCGGAAGCGCAGGGGAATCGACGCAATTACAGAACAAAAAATACGACGAGCAAAATCATAAATAAGTTCGAACAAATGGCGCGTCCGAGGATGAAAAATTTCACTGCTTTCTCTTTCCGATTCCGGTCAAGGGCGTAAGCCTTTCGTAGCCGTGTCCCTGTGCAGTAGTGACGAATTATGCTGGAATTATGCAACAACTGTTACGTAACACTCGGAGCTCTTTGATCCTGTCCGCGCCAGCTCCGGACATGAGGGTGAGAGTGACCAGTGTGATGTTTGGCCAGACGCAGTGATTAGTTTTGATGATAGGCGATGAACATTGGAAAATCTTCTTCGAGAAGATTTGAAGAACAACCTGATTGTACAAATAAACACTGATCATTTTTTTCACCTCTCTTTCCGTCGAGCTTCTTCCGTTCTTGAGGTTTTACTGGGCTCAGCACTCTGTCTGACCGAGTGATCTATCATTGCTGGTCGGGCGGAGTGTTTTTGGCTAGTGCGACCATTCCAGGAACAGCCTATACCTAACTCTGCAGCCAGCTAGCAGCTGATATCTGTTAGCTGTAAAGGACGAAAGCACATAAAATATCATCAATTAAATTTACAAGAACCCACTTTCGTAGACCATACTTCGCACACGCTTTAGTTGGAATCATGGTTTCGTCGAACATCAACACATACGACATGTAGCACCACTTCTTTGCCTGCTGTATATGATATTTACACTGTGCTGTCGCCCGCTAGTACTACAACTTCTATCAGAAAAAGTACAGGATCTTCACATTGCAGGTGTATTTGGATGAAAGATAAAGATTACCATTTTCCAGTGGTCCTTGAGTGTACAAAACAACCTCCGTATCGTGCACAACGAGGCTATTTTTACGAGCGGACGGTTCTGCGCTGTCGTGTCGCGCAGCTTCTGGGAGGTGCAGTAGTACTTTACCAATACGCATTCTTCTACGTAAGAAAGCCAAGCTGCAGAGGTGCACGTGCAGAGCCATCCCGATATATAATATTGAAAACGTGCCACCTCTACTCATCTAATGACAGAATGTTTTGCATGTTGTGCTTTTTTTGAACGGACCTTCTACTTCTTGTCGACCAGCTTTGTCTTCTCGACAGCTCGGCGGCCTATCACCAGGTATTTGAAAATCCTAGGTGATAGCGTCGCGCGTATCTGCCTGACAAGGCGCGCCGTGTATCAGCAGATGCCCAAAGCTACGTACTTACACCTTTCTGAAGATTCCGCCGGTTGCGCCGCCGTGCTTATCTGAGGATGCCAGAGGGAGGCGTCGAGTTCAGCATAGAAAAATCAACGACTCCTACAAGGCACGATGCTGGACCAACATGCTCACGACCGATCCTATGATTAAGTGAGCATCCGATCAGATAATCAGGGCTGCCTGCCTCAAGCCTCTGCTACCTGCGAGCCCACTATATCTACATCAGGTGCAGGGACGGTGGTGCTCGAACTACATGTGGGTTACCGTGCAAGTGGACAGAAAAAACTCGACCGGTGTTCCTGACGTTTCGTCACAACACCTGACTTGCAACTACCAAAAATCCAAATTTCACTGTTATAATTTTCGCAGAAAATAACGGCGACCCGGCCGCAAAAGCGGAAAAAGACGCAGGAGAAACTGTGTTCGACATCGCGCGTTCGCGAAGCCTTCATGGCCACCTACTTATGTCGTGATGCCGCGGCACCAATAGCCTCAACATTACCGCAGAATGCGCGCCCGGCTCTTTTCTCACTGTGCTGCGGCATTTATGTTTCTTTCGCACGGAAGATCGATACCATGCCACCTCCTTCACGGGTGTCCTATATAGATTCAACAGGTGGAAGCAATTACAAGGTACTTCAATCGTTAATGCCGCGACTCCACCGGCACATATTAAAAAAGATCCCTCTGGAATTGAAAACCGCGTATAATCGGACGAATAATTACATTGTAATCAGGTGCCAGAGATGAAGTCGACACGGAACAAGCGAAGCTGATCCTTACTTAAGTACCTATAGTCTAACGACAGTTCTTTCATATCTAGATTTTGAAGATTCTCAACAGTTAGGTGCAGTGACTTTCATCGCTCGATAGTAGCTTTTCTTTGCCATCATCTGCACCTCCATCTTCCAGCGACCAAAGCAAGAGTAAGCAATTCTAAAGCTAGTCACACACTAGTGCCGATTTACATTACTTCTACGTTCCTCCTTGAGAAACGAAAACGAATACCCGCAAACGAAATCCTGAGGTGCTCAACTTTACTGTGGGCAGAAGACGTACACTCACACGGTTAATCCCTAGTATAGCGAACGAAGGAAGGTGGAATCTGTCTAGCGAACTTTGATGAATCAATAGTTTTATAGCGAGAATAAGCTCTCATATATTTGATTGTGGCTGCCGCCAAGGTGGAAACAAGTTTTTCTGAAACCAAAACCCGGATCGGCCATGCCCGAGGCGCAGAAGGCGGCGGCCTCCAACAAGACTGGGACGGGCCTATCCGACGTGGAGATGACGGACGCGACGAAAGATGACCAGGTTCCGGACGAAAACGTGGAAGTAATCAAGAAGATGGGAGCCACCATCCTTGCCATACAGCAGGCCGTCGCCAGTGTGGATCTCCGTGCGTTGTCGAAGCTCCAGCTCGCGGTGCTAAAGAGAACCCTGACCGTATGTCAATGAAATGCGACCCGCCGCGTGTCGAATGCACGAGACAGCTTTCTTGTTTTGTAAATAACTTGCTGAGCAGCAGAGGAAGCATTTCTTGTATGTGGCAGGAGCCTGCGAACCGCTTTTGCTCTTCTGGAGTAGAACGTCGACACGCAGAGCAACCTTTCCGTGGCAAGTGCCGCTTCCATGTCTACGATACTTACATCCAGCGTAATCGATAGACAACTTGCATTTGTATTTGTGCTGAAGTATGTACTTAACTTAAAAAACTCGGAAGGATCATGGAGAGGTTTCAAAAATCAAAAAAGCTTGCACCATCTTCTTCCCAAGCTGTACATATAGCTGTGTGTCACTCTCGCGGCGGGAGAACTGTTTTTCATTTTGACAGACCGGGCCCGTGTTGCGACGGTGTGTGGAAGTGCTTCTTTCCGACAAGGACGAGCGGAAGGAGATGCTGCTTACCCTGCTGGCCAAGGAAGGGGCGGCGAGTAAGCAACCGCTGGCCGAGGAGTATCCTGTGTAAAAACGTCCCCACCCCATAGTCAAGATGGGGATTTTGCAACACAAACCTATGAGTTTTGGGAGTCGCGCATGACAAGTTGCACTCCGTAGTGTAGTGCAGGTTAGCAAGTGCAGCCGCATCACAGATCCATCTGCTCATCCTGTTCTCAGCATCACAAATTGCAAAACACGATTGGAAATGTCTACCATGGGTATGCGCATCACAAATGTCTTTGTCATTGCAAATCTGCATGACAACTCTGGAGTTGGCAAGTTGGCACAAGTTGGCACAGTATGGTTGTTGGCGCAGTATGGTTGGTTGGCGAGATCAGAGTTGGGATATAGTGGCCGGGAGATGATGGTGATGGCACTTCGGTGTCCGCCTGACCCACCCGCCCTGCGTGCCAAGCCATCTGCGGCCATGGTACAATGGGGGGGCAAAGTGTGTCGCATTTTGTTTAGCATGACAACTCTGGAGTGGGGACGTTTTTCTTCAGGATAAGGAGCTGGAACAGGCCTTGAAAGAGGCTGCGGGGGTGAGCGGTAACAACTTCGACCCAGCAGCGGGGGAATCAGGACTACAGGTGTCGTATCAAAAGTAAAAATGTCTGGGTCTGGAAACTTGTGATGCTGGGTGGCGTCTCATGATGACGCTACAAATGCTGGCTCAGCATGACAAGTTTCTGAGCTCCTAGGTGTTGCCTATTCTGCATGACAAACTGCGCTTCTGCATTACAGAAAAACGGAGCTCTTGGGTAACATGCATGACAGATTTAAGAGTCATGCCAGACAAGCATGACAAACATGAATTCTTCCAGACCCAGACATTTTTACAGTTGATATGTCGAGCAATAAAACCGCCGCCAGCTCGAGCGCAACCAGCAGCGGAAGCAGCAGTAAGCCGCAGCCGATCGAGGTGGGATTCTTTTTTTCCATTCTGGTCGTGGACTTTTTGCTGAAAGGGTCTGACAAGCCCTCAGTGGAAACCTTTGTGGCGCAGCTAGTCGCGCAACTCTCGCGGCTCAACCGGCGGACGTTGGACTTTTTCGCGAGCAAGATCTACGGCTACTTCGCACGGGTGTACAACGACAGCGAAGTGATACGGAACGACCTGCTCGCGATATACCGAACTTCGGTGCTCAGGCGGGACGCTGGGACGCAGGTTCTTGCACGTTGGCTGACATGTTGATAGATGAATAGGGAGTTCCTTAGGCTGACATGTTGATACATCGACTTCCTGCAGCTGGCCGCCCGGAATGCGATTTACCACTCTGTACCTAAGCAAAATAGGCGTGGTGGTGCATAAAGAAATGCTCTTTCCGCGTCCGCATCGCTGTGCCTTCATCTGATTTACGTTGGGCCTTGGCAGAACAGCTGTTTTGCAATTTGGCATGATGAAAACGAATCGGAATGATTTATACGAAATTAACACACAGGCGACGACGTTGAATCTAGTGCTGAGGAACTACGTGAAGTACAATCTGTTCGACCAGGCAACACAGTTTGTGTCCAAGACAACCTTTCCAGAAAACAGGACCAACGCGGAGTTCGCGAGGTACAGGTTTTTTGCTGAAAAATAAAGACTAGTCTTCTGCTACAAGACGCAGCCGAGCTGCAGCGCACTGTCTCTAATATACGCTTGTGTAGTGGGAGGAGGTTTTTCTTCATTGGCATGACAGAACCAGGAGTGAGGATTTTGTATATGATTGTTCGGCATCAGGACGGTGCTTAGAATAAACGGCCAACTTTCGGGTGCGTCAAAATTCCAGGTATCTCTTCTACATCGGGCGGATGAAAAGTATCCAGTTGCAGTATTCTGATGCCCACAGCAAGCTTATGCAGGTACTTAATGCGGTTTTTCAGTACTGCGTTTTTCATTCTCCACGAAGGTGGAGATCCAGAGCGTCCTGTTCAATATGCAAACCTTACATACTGTGTCGCCGCAGAAGGAGCCCGAAAATTAATTGCGCGAGCGAGGGTAGATGAGCCACGACACCTTCGACTCTTCCTAACCCCGAGAAACAAACAAAACCAAACCCAAACTACTTGTACAGGCAATCCGCAAGGCTCCTCAGTCCTCGGAGAAAGCGGTGGCTTTCAAACTGCTCGCATGGAAGTTCGCGCTGGTCGTGGAGCTGCTGATGGGGGAGATCCCGGCGCGAAAACACTTCCTGCAGCCCGAATTCAAGGAGTTTTTGCTTCCCTACGAAGAGGTGACCAAGGCTGTGCGGCTATCCTAAATGAAAACATCCCCAACTACGACTCGAAGTTGTCATGCGAATTTGCGTCTACAGAAACATTTGTACTCCGCAGCTTCCCCAACATTGGAGGCTTAGTCCGGTTTCGGCATTCGTCACGTTGTAAGCAAGTTGTCATGCGTGTTGCAAACTCGCAAAGAAAACCTGGGCGGATATTTGTTCTTGCAGAGTTCCAGACTTGATGAGATCGTTGGTGGGGATCTTTTCCCTTGGGATAGTTGGGCGGGTCCGTACCGCAATTCGAATCCGTGGTGACGCGACACCAGGCGCTGTTTAAGGAAGACGGGACGCTGACGCTTGTGATGCGGCTACGCTACAACGTGATTAAGACGGGTTTAAGAAAGATCAATGTGTCGTACTCCAAAATATCACTGGCGGATGTGGCTGAAAAACTCGGGCTGGAAAGCGTCGAGGACGCAACAGGAATATGTGGGAAGGTATAGACGACTGGCATTTTATGGTTTGCAAAATACGAGCAGGAGTGGCACAGCGCTACTTGTTTCAGCTACATCGGCCGATCTTGTTTCTGGTGAATAAAAGTAATGACATGCTTGTCAGCATGAACAATTAGAATTATGATTATCGAGAAGTCTAAATCTGCTGAGTAGTTCCAGGGGTCTACTTTCGCTAGACAAAATAATAAATCCTTGCAGGCCATCGCGGACGGTGTGATAAATGCGACCATAGATTTTGAGAAAAACGCGCTGCTCTCGAAGAACCTGCACGATGTCTACGGGACGACGGAACCGCAGGCGCAGTTGCACAAGCGGATCGCGTTCTGCCTGCAGCTCTACAACGACTGCGTGCGGAGTATGGAGTACCCCTCGAAAAAGGACGCAACTAGCGCGGAGGATTCGGACCCGACCAGGGAATCCAGGGAACGGGAGGAAATCCTCGCCGAGTCAGATACCGACGACATCGACATGCTGTAATCTAGTTTTTACGGAAAGTTTTGTTCATCTCCGCAGGAGATCAGCAGGGCACCGGCGTGTGTCGACAGCATCGATTTGAAGATGCTACTTCTACACGCGGCGGCTTCTCTCAAGAACGACTTTTTCAAGAATGATGTTCTCTTGACGACAATAAACTACTCGAGCAGGTGGAATTTAGAAATCAGTATTTAGAGCTTCTTTGCTGGACGACAATCAAAAAGAAAAGTATGAAACCCGAACAGTGACGGACGTTTCATTCCCTAGTATCGCTGAAAGCGACGAAGAGGTAAGATATGCGCTAAATGTTCCAGTCTTCCGGCATAATTTGGTCTTTAAATGCCTTTTTCTCGGCGTTTTTCGAGGATCTGACGTCGTGATAATGCAAGGTCGTGGGTGAAGATCATCCCGTCAAAAAGCGGTTGCAGAAAAGCGTTCTTTTGGCAATGCATGGAATAATCACTCGTGTTGCGCGTCGTTCCCCTATGTGTAAAAGAAGTAGCCGGTCAAAAATTATTGAAGGGCCGCTTGCGGGCCGTGACAGCACGTTCATTGTGGTCTTCGTCTTTTCGTACCCCCGTACATTAATTTGAAAAAACTTGGGATCATAGAGTTATTGGAACTTTACAAGGGCCGCAGACAGAATGCGGAAAATAAACTCGCTGGTCGCGGTCAGCGGCCTTTATGTGCAGCAAGCTTCTTCAAGTAAATTGCGGTTCCGAGATGACCCGGTGGGAATACAAAAGGTGCGGGAGCTGCTGGAAAAATTTAAAGAAACAGCCGTCGAGGAGGGGAAGGAAGCGGCAAAGTTGCAGGAAGAGAGTATCGGAGGAAAGCCGGCGTTTTCTCCGATTTTGATGCCATCCGACACAAGGTCGGACGGGGGATTTTGAAATTTAGAAAGATTTCGGAACTTTCTTGCATGCACGCGACATGTTGATCAGCAGAAGCCAATCTTATTAGCACCGCGCGATCTTTTAGCTGCCCACTGCAATATACTTTTAGTTGCGATGTCTCTAAAACACGGGCTGGTACCTCGTGTAGACACGAGTCGGATAAAGCGCCGGTCTTTGTCGCTTCCATTTCAAAATCTTGCGCGTACAAGGAGCTATTCGACAAGACCACTGCCGCAATCACCACATCACAAGGCGAGTACGAGGCCAAAGAGGGCGTCAGGCAAAAAGACCAAAGCAGGTGGGAATTCTTAACCGCCGACGCAAAGTCAGAAGGTAGCATCAAGTTTACAAAAGCTGCGAAGGCAAGTAAGGAACAGGAGCTGAGTACGCGCGGGAAATAAACTTAGGGTACTTACTGCACCACGGCTCTCTTTTGACGAGGTGCAGAGCTGGTGCAGATTTTAAGGCACTTGGCATGAGTTCAAAAAGGAACCGAGAAAGTTTTACTTTTTGTCATCCGCACTCTGGCATCCAATTGCAATTTTGCAACTTTATATCGATGTACAGCAAATAAAGAAAGAATATATGTGCTCGCCATTGATGGCAGCGCACACGCCAGCGGGACTCCCATTTTCAGTGTTTCTCCCTTTGCAAAAAAGAGACTCACTTCTCAGTGGTGCAGTGTTTCTGTGTGATATTGTAAGACAAGCTGGAAGAGAAGAAGGTGAAGGAAGAGTTCGCCATGAAGACCATGGCTGAAGCGCAGGAAGGGGTACTTACTCTTACTTGTTTTTTGCGGTTGCATTGAAATTATATATAAGATGTACTACACGACAATTTACAAAGTTAAAGTTTTGGAATTTTGATTTAAAAAGCGGGTTTTTTTTTGAACCTTCGTATCTATTGCGTGTCGCACCAGGATGACTCTTAGGTCGTTGCTGGGGCAGTTTCTGGCTCTCCTTACGGCTGTGCTGTTGAACAAGAAGCTTGCCTTACACGGTACTAGGATCTATGTCGAATGCAGGTTATCCAATAAATCTTGCCCGCATGACCTTATGTCTTCTGTCTATTTCCAAAACTACAGATGGATCTGATCCAGCAAGCCAAGGACTCGCTGCAGGCCGCGACGGAGAGCGTGGACTCTCTGCAGGCGTTTTTGCAGGTGAAGCAGAAGCTGCGTGCGCTTTCCCTGCTGAAGGACGACGTGGAGCAGCCGGAGGTGCACAAGACCGGGCACGACGCGCTGATCGAGATGCTGAACGATCTGAAGGACGACATCTCCGACCACTTTGCGCAGACGAGGAAAGAGTGGACCGAAGAGGAAAGCGAACTGGTGAAAGCCATCCAGGCCCTGGAGAACAAGATCGCGGAGCTGAAGAAAAAGATCGAGGACGACACGGAGGAGATGGAGGCCTGCCGGTCCTCCGTGCTGAAGCTGGACCAGGAAATGCACGCGCTGAAGGTGCAGATCGAAACGGACACAAAGATGCTGAAGGAGGCCACGGAGCGGATGACCCAAGCGAAGAAAGAGTACGACGCGGACGAGAAAACCCGGCTGAAGGAGTTGCAGGTCGTGTCCACCACCACGGCGGCGTTCAACGAGAAGTTCGGCGCGGCCCCCACGCCCAAGCCCCCCGCCGTCACGGAAGAGGGCGAGCCGGAGGTCGTGAAGTGCACCTACGACCCGGAGGACCGCGTGGTTGACATCCCGCGGGTCGCGATGCCGAAGGGCAAGGCCAACGCCGCGGTCTTCCTGCAGCGGTCCACCAGGTTGTTGCAGCTGAAGAACGACGAGGACAGCACGAGTGACCGGTCGAACATCATGTCGCTCCTGTCCACCAAGGCAAAGGAACTGCACAGCACCGTGCTCATCTCCGTGATGAGCTCCGTGCGGAAGGACCCGCTCAAGAAAGTGCGCGTCATATCCTGAGGGAAAGCCGCTATACCCGCACCCTAGGTAGCATATAGTTGAGATGGAATCATCTCTGCGCAGCTTTTAGAAGATTTGATGTGCGTATGATAAGCTCCCTAAATTTCCACAATACAGCCGATGTTGGTTTGTGTGCTAGGCGCGTGATGAAAAATTCACTTTGTAAAAGTGCTGATCCACCGAGCACGACAGAATCAGAAAGAGATTGAGACTTCTGATACATACTAGCACCGCACATCACCAGAGTGCGCCTCATGATTGTGCCGCTCGCCTCGCCCGAGATGCGTCCGCAGCGCTGGCGATGATTTGCATAAAACACAAAAACTTCGGGGCGGATGTTGATCGTTTTTCCTCAGGATTTTTGATGATCGCGAACTTGATCGAGCGCCTGAAGACGGAAGCGGCCAACGAGTTGAAGCGCAACACCTACTGCACGACGGAGGAAACCAAGCTGCAGGACACGAGGACGAAGAACAAAAAAGACATTGTCAAGTACGAGACCGTATCAAATGTAAAAATGTCTGGGTCTGGAAGAATGCAACCTGTGATGCGCATTTCGGAACACACAAAAATCTCTCATGCATAGGTAGCAAAAGCTCAAGCTGCGCACTTTCTCTCACCAAAGTGGGGGATTTGGATTTGTCATGCGGGTTCGGCATTGTGGAAGCTTCTCGAGACCTGTGATGCTAGAGCTTCCATGCGAGACCTTCCTTTCATGCAGAAACAGCATGACTCTTCCAGACCCAGACACTTTTGCGTTTGATAGACCGGGTTGGAGGACGCGCAGGCCACGATGGCGGAGAGCTACGCAAAGATCGAGGAACTCGAGCAGAGCATCCGTGACGCAAAGTCCGCGTGCACGAAGGCAAACTCGCAGTTTATTCATGACATCCACCTGCACACCAACGCGAAGGACGTCGCCGAGCACGGGAAAGAGTCCCTGGCGGAGGTGATCGGCATGCTGAAGACCGATTTCTACGGTAAGATCGGCAAGCTACGCTGTTGTTTTGGATAAGCGCTGAGACCACATCGACAGAAGCGGCGAGACGCTGACAGCTTTTGCTCTCATTTGCATTTATTATTTTTCTGTTGCAGCCACACTAATGCTGATGAAGATGATATTACACTTTTTGTTCAGTAAAAGGAGAACAAACGATGCCATAGAGAATATACTCTCCTCCAGGCGACAGCGCACAGGCCGACGTGCAGTCGGGGTATACCGGAAACACCGGCGGCATGGCTGGTATTATCGGCATGATGGAGGGGTTGCAGCAGGACTACTTGACCACCTTCAACACCGCACACGAAGAAATTCTGCGGTTGGAAGCGGAGAAGGCCGACATGGTATCGGACTCCTCGCACACGATCGACGACAAAAGGACGGAAGAGGAAGGAGTTGTCAGGTATAGGTTATTCAAGAAGATAAAGTTCGTTGTAGTACTGATCTACGTACTAGTGCTGATCGCGACGATCCAGATGTGTTTATATGTCGGTGTAGAAGAGGACCCCCCTGTAATACCACTGTCAGCACGACCAGTTGGGAAAAATTAGTAGGATAAGTCACAAAGCAGGCTGCACACTGCGTTCCGCTTTATTCGTTTCGCAACGGAGGCGTTCCCTGCTTTCGATGGGTGCTACAAAATTAAAAAACGCACGAAAAATCAGCGAAACCTTGGAACCGGCCATCGCGAGTTTCCAGGCCAACGGGAAGGATTTGTACGAAACGATCCAAGATTACTCCGGGCAGACCGAGCAGTTGATCTTCTTGAAATACGAGTCGGAGGCATGTTATGCATTGCAACTACGTAGTCGGTGGGATCCACCTCTGGGAAGATGCAATGGTTGTGTGACTATAGCGCATACTGCAATTTTTTTCATCACAACAAAGCTCGACTAGAAATTTTGTCGTGCGGCTACTTTTGGCGGGCTCCGCGTGACAAAATTTCTCAATCTAAATAGAAGTGCGGCTGCAGGCAAAGTGCGGCGCTGCACTTCTGTCTATGGCTTGACAAATTTATTGAAGCACTCAGAATTCGCATGATTTAAAAATACGGAGCTGCTTTGAGGAACAAAACTTGAAACCCGTAATCATGGCATGAGAAATTGATAAACCACGGTTGTATGATGCTTCCCGAGACGTTCCAGACATATTTGCAATGTATACGTGTGCGGACAAGCAGCTTTCCAAGGAGGAAGAGATGGAAAACCTAGAGGCGGAGATCGACGCGCTGAAGGATGCGCTGTCCATCCTGGAAAACCACAGCGCGTAAGAATACTTCTTGGCGACGGTGGTACGAGGTTGCGTAGGGGCGTAAGAATTGCTCTTAGGCTGCGTAGGGGCGAGGTATCTCACATTTTGAATAAAATTCGCGAGGTTTCACGCAGGACAGATGCAAGGCTGATATCTTTTCAATCTACATGAAAATACTACGTGTGATGTAAAACTGTACTTGGGTATTTCAGCATTATTTCGAAAAACTAGTTTTACTCGATTGATATGTCGTCGCACGGCTGCAGCTAGATTTTTTTTAGTTTTTTCTTGGACAATAGCAAACTTTCTTGAACAATAATTACGCACAAAGATTTAGTTTTTTCTTGAACAATAGCATCACTTTTCTTGAACAAATAATTACGCAGAGACATTCCTCATTTTTCATTCAAGTCTTTCAATAGCAGCAGAGAAGCAGAGCTAGCATGCAGTCGTGCGCACCATTCATTATTGCGGACTAAAGTTGTGGATTGAAGGGATTGTGTCCTGCCAGCATGCACGAAAAGATGAACAAGATGAATTTTGTTTCAAAATGAACATCCATCCAGAAGGGGTTTAAAAACGCGAGTTTCGATCGGCAAAGAACAGCACTGCGCCGGGAAGGTGCAGTTGCGTGGATCGCATTGGTTCGCACATGAAGTGCTCGGCGATATCTTCTCCAGCGCATGTTTTCTCACAGTCAGTGCGTCGACCCATCAATGCCGTTCGTTACAGCGGGAGTACTTTTGCAAAGAGTGATGATACTAAAGACTTCATGGGTCTGCGTCACGACTTCCTTTGGCTTCGCGTATTTATTATTCCGCACACAGCTTGCGATGGAAGTAATTACTCGTATTCTACAAATTACTAGTGCAAGAAAAGGAGCGACGTCTATTTCGGCACTGAAAAGACGCAGAACGCTCCACCATGCCGCGGGGAACTCACAAAGGAGGATGGTACTCGGTCCGGACGGGCGCCGGTGGGAGCTGTCGCAAGTACAAGCAGTGGGACGATGTGTGGAGTACGGACTGGAAAATTTTCTTCAAGCGCAAGCTCCCAGATCACAATGAAAAGAAGTATCCGGTGGGGTCGCTTTGGTCGCTGCAAATGCAGAATTCTTTCCCGCACGCGAAGTTTTACTACAGGAACGCGGCGAGGTACTTGAAGGTGCTACAGCAGCACACTGTTGCAAATCCAACTGCAAAAAACGGCAGTCAATCGAGCCTGAGCACCGCGGGAGTGGGAGGTTCTAGTTCGCCTTCCACCCAGTTTTTGCAGCGAGAACGCTACATGCTAAAACACCTGGAGGGCACGGACCTGGAAAAGAAAGTGCAGCCACGGACCAACCTTTTCCACGCGGTGTCTGTGCAGGGGAGCACGGCGACGCACCCGATGCTCGGGCTGATGGCAGACGTGATGAGCAGCAGTGAGGGTGGTTCTTGTAGCAGCACGACTAATCTTGCTGGTTCGGGCTCTTCCTCCTCTTCCAGCAGTGCCGGAGGCGGCCGCCGACCAGTCGTGGCGGGTACTAGTGGGCCCTCTCTTCCGTCCTGTCCTCTGCTTTCTCAGGCCGAGGTGGACGCGGTTGCGGAGTTGGTCGGCGAATTGGAGTCCACCTACTCTTCTTCCAAGATACACACGGCGTTAGAGCGGAACCGGGATGCTGGTGGCATGAAACCAGCCCTCACGCCGTCGCAGAATGAAAAAATCCGCCGCCTTGCCGCGCTGGTTGAGCAATATGGCGTGGACGCGCAGACCACGGCCCTGACGACCGAGGGCACGAATTTTTTGCTGCACAAACTCCACAAAATATGTGCGCAGCACGAATTGTACTGGAACGACCCGAGGTTGGTAAAACACGCCCTGGAAATGAACACGAATACGGCACTATCCTGCGCGAAAACCTACCAGGAGCGCCCCATGGGTCACGCTAATCTGCATGTTGCTCAGAGCTACAGGTGTCAAGTGCGATTCATCATGAGGGCCGTTTGCTAGCTCTGTTTGGAAATATACTTTATGATCTTCCCACATGACGCAGGACATCTGGAGTGTCGACTTTTCTAATTTGGCCGCAGTTGCACTTGCAGCTAGGTACGACTCCTGCTGTGACACGTCAAAGAAATACGGGTAGTGTCAAAGACACGACACTCGCTCTTGTGACGCGTCAGTGTCAAAGAAATACGGGTAACAAGTAGGTTGTCAACATACGTCTGCGTGACTTAGCAAGCCTGTGTACTATTCCCATCTTGACTCTAGGGGTTCAACATGGGCGCTTCCAACCGGTTTTTGCTCAGGATAGGGAAATGCGAGCAACAGCAGCGTGATTCCCTACGTGGAAGAGTCGGCATCTACGATTGCTGAACTACACACCGGCGACGTTTTATATACGCGGTTCCGGACGAAACGGAGGCACCATCCTTACTGGATCGAAATCGAGCGGGTGCACAGATTATCAAACTGAAATATAATCATAAACCCATACCCCGCGATACGGAATGAATGCGCATAAAAGTTTTGTGACGCGGGAGATCACTTTGATGCTACCCTTTGTTCTCTTGAATGTAAAAAGAAAAACCAAAAATCCCGTGGTCTCGCAAGTTCATTCCGTAGAAGGCGGGGGCGGGGGAACTTTTCCTCACAACAGTGGAACTGGAAGAAGCACCACTTACACAACATCCGCATCGCGAAGGAAGAGCGCAAAGCAAGGATACGGGCGTGGAAAGCGGAAAATAACCCAGCGAGCGGGGTGGTCAGCCAGAGTAGCGCGGGATAGGGCGCTGACAAGGTCTTCAGAGAGAGAGAATTATAACGCAAAATCCAAGACGAAGACCGCAAGCTGCACTAAGCCATTTGACATACCGTGCTACTTTGTAGTCTTTCTGCGACTACCAATACCCTCAGGGAAGCAAGCACAGAACAGTTGAAGGAAGAGAGAACGGACGTCAATCACTGAAAAGCTCGGTAAAATAAAAAATTTTCCATCGCATAGGTGCACAGAACTCTACATATCTGTGTGTCAGTAAGGCTTGTGGCGAGGAAATAGTTTCTACTCGGTTTTGATAAAAGTGCCTGACGTCGTTCATCCTCCTCGCCGGACGTGCAGTGAGTATGGTCGGTCTGTTAGAGAAGAAGACAATCAACTGTCGGTTCGTACAAAGCTAGGACATAACTCGTTTGAAGTACTAGTATCAACTTCGACGTGCAAGAATTTAACATGGCACTACTCCTGGTCGGTCCATCGTCCGAAAATCACGTTCTGTCGTCGTACTACCAGTACGATCTTCGTGCACGACAAGACAAGCATGGTTCTCCTCTGGTCGCAATCTCTTCGTCCGTTTTCGTCGTAGAGTAGGAAGTTTCCTAATGTCGCTGTGACCGCAACGTCACTTCTTCACTTTATCATTCAACAGGACCCCAAACATTTCGAACATCTTTTCACTCTTTTAAGTACAATAATGTCTACTTCTTGTTTATCATTATCTCTACCTTGTGCTTCTAACATGTGAGCTAATTCTCCCTTTGGGCTTTGCAATCATGATAGTGCGCCCTGTTCGCTTGATTTTCGGTGCTCGGTCTTTCGCTGATAAGAAGGCAACTACCTTTTAACAACGGCCCTACGCGTACGCTACAGAAGTAATAAGTCCATTTGTCTCCTATCCAGGTTTGTTTTCACTCTGTCATGATTCAAACTCACTTCAGAAATTCAAAGTTTGCAGTCGCGGCGTCGCAACGCTTGTTCGTGACGCGGTCCGATAGCGGAGGAAAATAAGAACCAGTTACATCGCAAGACCGGTTGACAGCGAACAAGAAAAGGGCTCAGTCGACGTCGTAGCAGGTCGCGAGTACCTCCGACGTGGTAACACTCCTGATGAGTAACGGAAATATTTCGGAGATGCACCCCATGGTGCCCCAGCATAGCAACGACCCAGAGCGCACGATATTACCTAAAAAAGCGCCCCCGCCAAGGCTTGAGTCGCCTTTCACGAGCCCAGAAGAGATACCCGGGTCCGGGGGTTTATTTAGGAGCAGTGAGGACGGCGGTAATCCTTATGGCGGTGGAGGGAGCCAGCAGGACCAAGGGAATACGCTACAGAACTCCTCTCAGGTTTTATACGAATCCATCGTTTGAGTCATTTTTTTTTTTGCAGAGTGCTAGTATCTATCTTCGCATTGATTCTAGGGGTAGCAAAATGAAAACTTGAAAAAGAACCGGTGTGCAATTATCCATCATGTATTTCACCAAGTCGAGGCTTGGTAGTAGTTATCAGTTGTTTGGTGCACACCAATTTGTATCTACCAGTTTCTACCAGTTATCACGACCTGACGAAACCAAAACACAGGCACCTTCGACGGCACTCTCGAACGCCGCCACGATGCTGTTTTCGACCGCGGGCACGCCGGGCAAGGCCGGCGGCGCCCAGGTAATACCAGCGCCGGCGCGGAACATGGAATTTCCTGAGGACACCGAGTCCCCACTGTCCACCGGGGACGAGGAGGGGAGGCGGCACGGGCCGCCTGTAGGCAATAATAATAGCACAAACAATCATGGCGCATCAGGAGGTGGACCTTCTTCCACTACGCCTGCGCCATTTTCGACCGGAGGGCCACCGGCCGTGGCGAAAAATCCGCTTATGAACGCCGCGAACCTGCTGGGGGGCAAGAGACAGACTAGTCGCGAAGGAGGAGCCCAGTCTCTGGGCGTGAACGCCGAGAACGAGAATAACAATAAGAATAACGAGGGCGGCGCCGGCGGCGCGACGTCCTCCAGCAGCGCGGCCCGGCCGAGTCCGGGGAATCGAATATCGCTGCTAAAGTCGGGGAAGTCTGCCGTGTGGCAGAAGGCCCGGGCCAAGCTGGAGGAGAAGGGGACGCTGCGGAAGAAGCCGAACATGGAGAATTTGGTGAAGAACGTGGTCATGCAGAATAAGGTGGAGACCCGGGAGCAGACTTTGTGGCGCGAGAAGGTGATTGCGCAGCTGGAGGTGGAGAAGGAGTGGCGGCTCCGGCGCGACGGCGTGTGGCACCCGAGCAAGGCGGACGAGATTTACAGCCACCCCTACTTCGAGTCGACGATCATGTTCTGCGTGGTCGCGAACTTGATCATCTTTTCCGTGGAGTCGGACGTGCACGACCCGGAGGAGGCGGACCTGAGCCGGTTCGCCTACTTCTGGTGGTGGGCCGAGCTGTTCTTCTTCTTCGTCTACCTCTTTGACGTGGGCCTCCGCGTGGCCCGGTGCAAGGGCTACTTCTGGCGGTTCTACTTCCCACCACGCCACCTGTGGGACGAGTTGATTTTCAACTGGGTGGATTCCTTCTGCCTGCTCACGCAGCTCATCGAGCTGGGGGCGATCGGGGAGGAGTCCAGCGCGGGCGCCGCAGTTATGTTCAAGCTCTTACGGCTGCTGCGGATGAGCAGGTATAAGACTTCTATCAGATAAGTAAGATCATTATACTTGTACACACTTGATGTACAGCTAGTACAGCTACTTAGTGCCATTCTTTGTCTATCTACACAGGCGAAGAATTCGCTGTCGTTTCTTGTTTCTGCATGACCATGAGCAAAAAGGTGTAAAATTGGCAGGGCTTCCATAGTAGAAAATAGCTGAAGGGATGAAGTAAAGGAACGAAGAAGCAATAAGAATAAGCCTCATTTGCATAGGGCTATAAGTAACAGAACAGATGACGGGTAGTACTTTGGTTGTGCATCATGGTTAGAGAACGGAAAAAAAAATTCCTCCTATCTGACATCAATTCAGGTTGCGAAAGTACGAGGAAGTAGTAGTAGTTTTTCGGACGACGCAGCGGGTCTTGATTGAGATCGGCCCGGATCTTTTGATTGTCTCGATGGTGATGCTATCCCTTGCAAATATCGATCTTCTGGAAGGACGGAAAGAATACGTATTCATTGCGCGGTGTGTCGAGCGAAACAAAATCCTTTTAGACATGAAGCGGACGTTCTTGAGCGCCACACGGACTGTCATGCAAAAATGCGATAATGTTCCAATCCAGGGCAGTTTTTTTTTTTACAACGCATGGCTCTTCTCTACGACCTAGCCAATGATTTGTCATGCCTGGATGGATACATATAGTACCCACTGAGGTAGTATTTTTCATCATCAAGATTTCATCATGAAGAGAGTACAAAAATTGTCGATTGCAGCAATTTTTCGCAGACCTCCCAGATCGATCGAAAGATATTTGCGATGCATAGATGCTGGCGCTTTCTGTGACGCTGCGGCAGTACGTGAAGTATCGGGACCAGACGAGCGGCGATTATTCGGACTCGCAGAACCTGAACTTCGAGACCAGCATCATGCCTATTGCGAACACGTGGTTCCGAACCATCCTGCTCTGCCTCCGTTTGTGGCTCCAGGACAACAGTATGCCCTTTATTGACCTGCTGGCGGACCAAGACTGGTGGATCTCCGTCTGGTTTATCCTGGGGCTACTGCTCTCCGGCGTCGTGCTCATGAATATTGTGTCCGGGCGGGTCACCAAAATCATGTTTGAGGTCGTCACGGAGGAAAGGAGGCGACGAGCGACCGTAGGCATGGAAAAGTTCTTGAAAAACCTACTGATCACGAACGGCTTGCTCTGGTTCGACTCCTCGGCCCTCAGCGCTGACGACGAGGAGGGATTCAAAAAAAGCCAACTTACGCCCGCGGAACAAATCGTAATATTCAATTTTTTTACATGATTCATAGATTTTTCGTTGGCATCTATACAGGAAAAAGTTGGACGAATAGGACAAGTTGAATGAGGGTTTGCGATGCCGATTTTTAACGTAGACGATAATGCAAGATCTTTAGTATGAAAATGAAACGCTAGAAGTGCCTCCGATTATCAGTCCCTTTGATGTGCATGTGTGATTTTTTTATACCGTTTTCTTTGGTTTTCTTCGGTTGAGACAGACCTGCAATTTAGTATTTTGAATTTGTATTTTTGGCTTTAGTTACAACAGAGCATCAGGATGAGTTTTTTCTCTCCACACCTCAGGTGCAACATTTCGAGTCAATCCGCGAGAACCTGCAGATGGACACGACGGACATTCACAGCGAGGAGGACCTGAAGAAGATCACGGTGAAGCTGTACAATTTGCTGCTTCTCCCGATCGGGCTGCTCCGCGTGGAGTACGACGAGAAGGAGCGGCAGTACAAGCCGGGGTGGTTTTTGCGAAACAAGGTGCTGTCCATGCCGCGGCAGGCGTACCTGAACTACCTAAACCAGGTGGAGAAGCACATGATACGCAAGGCGTTCATAGCCCGGAAGACCAAGGAGCTCGAGCGCACGCAGAAAGCCGGGGGCGTGCTCAAGTCCACGGTGAACGCGAAATCGGAGCAGGAGCTGCACGCGGACGTGATTCGGGACATCGAGGGCATGGTGTCCGTGGCGGCGATGAACGACGTCTACCAAACGCTGTTCGACGAGGGACAGATGGAGTCCGTCGCGGTCTCACTGCTCCAGATCCAGGAGGAGGTAGCACACACGAAACGACTGCTCGACGCCTATGTCAGTCACCAACACAAAGACGAAAACGCACCCATGGAGATGACCTTTGCCAACATGGGGCTCAAGGCGTTTTCATAGCGCGGCAATGGGCGTAGCATTTTTTTTCCCGCCTGAATAGGCGCAGCTCTTTTTTTCTTTGTACTTTTTTTTACCCCCTTTTTTTCCAATTGCAGTGCTTTTTTCCACCTAACACCTTTAAGTATAGTATTTTGTTTGAAGATTTGTTTGTGCTTCCCTTTCCCACGACCCGGGTTTATCTTTATTGGCTTCCGAACAAGATCCATAGGCTTCTACTATGTGAGCATGAATGCGATGCTTGCACTATGTAAGAAAGTCAAAGTACAGCCAGCCGCGACAAATATCTGTGCACCGAAGTAAAAAACTTTACTGCGAAAAATCACCGTGCATGGCGTTGATGGTCATACACTTTTTTTACATACGAAAGTTTCCAAGAACACAACATCGCAAAAATGCCGCAGCTGGTACCGAAAAGCTAAAGGTCATAATTAGAGCTGCTTACTGAAAAGCGTTGCCATAGTTGCCCCCGTGATTTATGAGGAGTTATGTCCCGTGCTGAAATTGAGATTTACGCAGACAATTTTTTGCACAGGTTTCGAGTACTCACTTCCATCCATAGACTTTTGCGGCAGGTGGCTACCTGTGCCACCAAGGTGGGTTGTTTCCTCGCGACGGCTGCTCTTCCTTGGGGAAGAACGGATTGTTCGCCTGTCTTTTATGTTTCTTCTAATTCCTTTCTGGCCCGGGCACTGAACCTGCATCCAAGTTTTGTGCTCCCCGCGAAGCAGGGGGGCGAACGATGCCGCAAAACACATGGTTTCAAAAAAATGGGACAAGAAGCCAGGAAGTCGTACAGAGAGGGGTGATGTGGTAGCAAGAGCGAGAAAAGTACAGTACAGTAGTTTTTCGAGACGATGAGTGGTTCGCTGGGCTGGGAAAAGTGCGAAACGTCATTGAGGCGCGTGGACGTCACCTGCGTCGGAGTTACTTGCTCGTCCGTAAAAATATTAAAGATCTGATTGATGAAAGAAAAACATTTAAAATCATGTCCGCCGCATCTCTCTTATTGGAACTGAAGCAGCAGGCTGAGATTGCGCAAACGCCAGCAGATTGGGCACAGGTTCTCACTTCCCTCGACCGGGAGTCGGGCTACGATTTCTCTGACACTGGGAGACTTTTGCACACATCCAGCGGCGCCATTTCATCAACGGGGAACCACAAGCTTTTCATTCCGTTTCTGTACCTCCGCGCCCGTGCGTTACACAAACTGAACCGGGTGCGCGAGTGCACTGCGATGCTGGAAATCGGGTTCCGACACGACCCGGAAAACGCTTCGGGAGAGTTTTGGGATACAGAAAAGCTGTAATATCGGCAAGAGCTAGTAGCAGAAAGAAAGGTTGCAATGTTTATTTGCAGTGTGATGTTCCTGCTCAAGATTTGGATTTTGATTCTCCTCGTCCATGCCAACAGAAATGCATTCCTCGCTGCGTTCTTTTCCAGTTGTGTGCTTGCTCGCAGCTGCAAATATTGAATGACCAATTTAACAAGAACTGGCGTTCGTTCCGGTGTGAAACATTCATAAAAAAATAAGGTAATATTGAAGAGACTACCGATACCGAACAAGATTGACTAATATACAACTTTTTTTACCGAGGGCAGATACAAGAACCGCTTTCCACCTTTGCCAAGTGTACTACAGCTACTAGTCGGAGGTCCGATGGTTTCTAATTTTTGCCTGTTTCATACGCACCCGCTCGATCTGCAGTTAGTCTTTGGAGCGGAGAAGTTACGGAAAGAGGACTTTGTATGGGAGTGTCAGAACAATCGAAATTGACAAAATCGAAAAACTTGCGATGCACAAAATCGATGTCAGTTGGAGCCTCAGGTCTCAAGTGGCGCATGATAAATTTCGGGAGCGCCCAAATCCAGACTGTCATGCTGTTTGGGCACAGAAGACTGCTCCTGTCGTGCTACTCTGGCAGCGCATTGCATGCCCCTAAACAGGCTCACAATCGGTCTCATTTGCCTGCTCCCCAATACAGGGGTTCAGTGTCCTACATTTTATGCATCACAAATTTTTCGACTTTCTCGATTTCGATCCTGACGCTCCGATACTTTGTCGCGGCCGTGGACCTGGTGTCCCGGGTGGTGCGGCACCCGCACGGGCGCGCGGAAAAGAAGGCCTGGGTCGTGCTGTGCCGCGCGCTGTTCGCGCTGGAGCGGCAGCAGCAGACCATCGGGATTGCGTACGGGGGCTTCACGCTGGCGCAAGCGATTGTCGAGCTGCGGCGGCTGGACGCGGCTTTGGCACAGCAACTCGACGAGGAGTTTGTTGCACAGCCAGATGTTGAACGACAACCAGGTCGTCTCCCTGGTGCAGCAGCTGCCCAGCGTGAGACACCTCCTACGGGTGTAGTTCTGAAGACGTCCACCAGCGGCCATACTAGTGCAGCACCAGCAAGCCACCTCGCGGAGGCACCGCCGTCCCTCGTCCCTGCTTCCCAGCACGACTTGTGGCCGAAACCGTTCGCTGGGACGACGAGGGAAGAAGACTCCTTGGCCGGAGAAGTTGGAGCTACAACCGGGCCGCTGGCTGAAGCTGATAGTCGACGCACGGGGAATACGAGAGACTACAAGACCAGTCGGAAAGAAGACGAAAACATTTTCGTCCAGAATGCGACGAGTGGGCCGGGTGCAAGAAATATGATGAACTTTGAGCCATCGACTTCTTCGAGCAGCAAAGCGCAAGAGGTGGAGTCCGGACGGAAGAACTCCGAGAACGAGATGAGACCACAACTACAAGAGCCCAAGCATCAGCGCGCGGAGATGCAGAAAGCGCTGGAGCTTGAGGTGCAGAAAGTGACGAACGACGTCTCGCGGAAGCTTACCGAGATCCACGCAATTCAAATCACCACGCCGAACTCGACGCTGCAGAGTGCCAGCAAGCACCCGGATATCCTGCGTCTCTTCGAGCAGATCAACCTTTCTCTCATGGACACATATCAGACGCAAATACAATATATCGATGTGGTACGTTCTGCCAGAAAATGTCACTGGAAGTGTTTCTGGGGCTGAACCGAGACTGGCCAGACGAGAGAGCACACATATCAAGCGATTTCTGGTGCCATGAAATAACTCAATAGTGCGCATGTTGAGAGAAGCCTGATAGATTTTTTAAAGCTTTCGTGTAAAGGGTTTTTGTTTTTCGGAGACCTCGCTCCTGCGTGGCATGCGTTGCATAGATGCTTACGGGCGTCGGGGTCTTCGGGCTTTTGCCAGCGATACGTGGTAGATGTGGCAAGAAATGTGTAGACCCAGATCCATATCGGTATTAATTGGCCTTGTTGCATAGCACGCTGCGCACCGCGGAGGACGAGCAGCAACAGCAGCAGAAGAAAAACGATCAGGAAGCGATGCTGGCAAACCGGAAGCAGCAGGGGCGGCTCCACCGGTGGGTTTGCTTGACCAGGCTGCTCCAGAAGGACTCCAAACGCGCGGAGCGGCACCTTAAGAAGGCCCTGGAGCTGGACTCGTTCACGAAGAGGCTTTTGAAAGACAAGGAAGCTTTGCGGCAGTTTGTCGAGGAGGACAGTGACCTGCTGCCGATCCCGCAGTGGCGTAAGGATTTCGCACTGTATCTGACGATGAATGGGAGAGAAGTGGTGTCTGGTGGAGGATCATCGGGGTCAGCTACTTATGGCGCCGGGGCAAAAAGCCGCCACCTCAACACTAGCTTCTCTGCTGACGACCCCGAGGGGGACGGTGGTGGTCACTTGCTGCCTGTCGTTACCATCGATACGCACGCCAACCGGCGCGGTCGCAGTCGCACCGGGATGTTGAATAATGGTACTTCTAGCGGAGTTGATGTTGATGTTGTTCTCGCCAACGAAGGAGCTCCGGAAGTAGACACGGAAAATGCTGGAACAGAGAGGGACAATATAACTGGTCCAGGCCTCGTGGATTCCCGAGAAGATGATCCAGGAGCTGCTGGTCATGTATCCAGCGCAACGAGCTCTCTCGAATCGCTGGACAAGATCAAAACTACCACCTTGGTGCACCAGAGAGACCCGGAAATAAATCGCTTTCAAGCTGCGACGTCGTCGAGAGCACCTACGTCGACGAGCGCTGCATCGGGAGGGCTTGTGGGTACCAGCAGCGCTGGTGCCGCCTCCGGGTCTTTCTACCAGGAAACGAAGTTTACGACGATTCTGCTGGCGCCGGCGCAGTTGTCGTCTGTCGATAGGTCGGTTTCGGTGTACAGCAGCAACAAGCTTGGCGTTCCTGCTTCGGATGGTGCAATGGAAACGCTGGAAACGAAACTGCAGCAAGTGCGTTCCAAAACTACGGCAGGAGCGAGTGCAGGCGTCCATTCCGCGGCGAGAACAGAAAGGCAGAAGGAGGTCGCGACCAGTGAAGTAGACTCAACGCTTTATGATGCAACCTCATTGACGCCCACCGCCGCCCAGACAAGCGTGCAGCGAACTCGGCTTGTGAGTTTGGCAGCGGGGGAAGCGCAGTCGGAACCGCTACCTGCGGGGAAAATTGCCAGTCTCGGTCTGCAAGGGAACAAGAGTGCAGCTGCGGACAAGGAGCGAACGAGGTTCGACACGGGCGCGTATCTGAGACAGCAGAGGGAGAGCGCTAGTACTATCCGTAACACGACACCGGAGCAGGTGGAGCAGCTTTCCCCCACGAAACTACCAGCTGGCTTTGCTGCCGCAGGAGCTTCTGCCCGTGCTGGTTCGAGCGCTGAGAGTGCCGCTGACCTTGTCACTGCGACGACAAAGACCACGGAGAGAACCGTTTACCCCGACCGATACCTAGCCGGCTCGTTTGCCGGCGCACCGATCATGGGCCCTGCTTCGGAGGGGGCAGCAGCTCCGATGGTCGTTGTTCCAGAAGTCGCCGCGGAAACAGCGTCGCGCCCGCCGGACGAGCCCGCGCAGGACTCGGACCGACCGGGCGTGCGGACGACAAGCGTCTTGAGCACAGCTGCAGCGCCCGCAAGTGGAGCACGTGAAGGGAGGGGGTCTGCAGAGGACCACGGAAAAAGCTGGCGACAACTGCTACAGCCAGGCGACATCGTGGAGTGCTATTCGGTATGGAGTGTAAAGAAAATCGCGTCCTCTGGGCCACCAGGGAAAGTGCGAACCTCATTACATTGTCTTGGTCGGGCAATAAATACGGCCGGGCTTTTGAGGCCTTTGTTTAGTGTGTGGTCGTAGAGAAGCATAGAGACACCGCGGCTATTCTGGCCTGCCCTTGCGCACACGTTTTTATAAAAATTTTTGTATTTATTAATTTTCTACTTTGTCACCTTGGGCCGCTGCGTAGACCTTTTTATTTTCTTGGCTGCGTTTTCGTTTCGTAAGTAAAAATTCGTATCTTTGCAGTCCCTCTGTTTGTCTGTCGGTCGTGTTCCCTGCGCATGTAGCATGAGAAGCACACGACCTTTCCGGATGCAGATCGATGCGTTTCCGCTGCATACCCACGGAAAAATAACGAGTGGGTGCAGAGCGAGGTGGTGGAGCCGACGAACGGCATGCCCTTCGGCGAGGTGATCGGTGTGCGCTACTGCGACGGAACCGGTGATGGAAAGAACATTGCGCGCGGAAGCGAGGTGATACGGCAGTGTCATGTCGTGTCACATCCTCGCGGTTCGTCTAGTGTGGACGTCGATGGAGCACCTCCTCCTGCGCAAGTTGTTCCACAACATTTTGCGGAGAGGATCGAGGGAATGAACTCGTTCCCAAAAGTGGGACAAGCTGTGGCTTCGTCTTCGTCGTCTGCGCCGTCTGCTGTGCAGAACGACGACATGAACCAGGAAAAAAACAAAAACTCGGCATCGGGCCAGGCTGTTGATGGAGCTGCTACGAATCACGCTCCCACTAGCCAGCACAGCAGTGCTCAGCCGAAGCAAGGCGTGTACCGGCCGACGATTTCCCCGTCTAATGGGACCACGCCCGCGCCCTCGCTCCTAGGATTTCACGCGCCATTGAGTGGGCAAAATTTATTACCTCCGCAGCACCAGCTGCAAAGGCCGCCGGGTCTGGTTATGCCCAAGATGCTGAACGCGCCGAACAATTTTCTACCGCCCGAGCGCGTCGCTCCATCGGGTGGAGGTTCTGTCGTGGGGGGCGTTCTTCATCAAGTAGGGGGAGCAGTCGCTAGTAATTTTGCGCCACCACAACTTCCCGGAAGTTCGACCTCCACCGCTATGCAGAAGCCGAAACCGTCGCGCCGCGTCTGGACGGCCAACGCAGCGGTGGGTGCGCCTCCAGCGCCAAAACTTCCCGCGGTGAATGCGCAAGAACATCAGCGGCCGAAAATGCCGGCAGGTGAGAGTGGCCGAATGCAGTCCGACGAGAGGAGAAAGAACCTTCCGAACAAGTCCTCCTCTCCGACCACCACGCTGGCGACAGAGTACAATATCAACCAAGACATCATGATTGACGCGAAAGAACTGGAGTTTCGGGAGCTCCTCGGCTCCGGGGGCTTCGGTTCCGTGCACCGCGGGTACTATCGGTCGAAGCTGGTCGCGATCAAGAAATTGTACGTGGTGACGTCGTATGTTGGTTGTAAATAATTTGTTGCGGGTCTGGATCTGGAAATGGAAAAGTCCAAGAACTCGGCGTACTATAGCTATGTAACTGCTTGTCTTGCATGATCCATTTCATATGCAAATGAGTCTGTGTTCCATAGCCGACGAAAGCGCCACCCCTTTGTATTGTAAACGCGCAGCTCTTTCTCGTGAATACGCGTGCACGCCATGACTCAGCACCGTCAGTATTTCCAGACCCAGATCGCACGCTTACTTCCAGCTGCATACTTTGGACCAACAAGTAAATCGGGAGCTGATTGAGGAGTTTGCGAAGGAGGTGAAGATGTTGGCGAAGTTGCAGCACGAGCGGCTGGTCGGCATTCTGGGCGCCTGCGCGACGAAGCAGGAGCTGTGCATGGTACTGGAGTATATGCCCCGGGGCAACCTGCACAACCTGCTGCACGTGGAGAAGTTCACGCTAGCGAAAAAGACGAAAAGAAAGATTGTGCTGCACATTATCCAAGGCATCGCGTTTCTGCACGCGGGAGCCGGGGGCGTGGGCACGGAAGTTGGAGATGATCAACATCCTGCAAGCACAGCCACAACTTCTGGCGCAGGAACGTCTCCTCTGTCTCCGAAGCCGATCGTGCACCGTGATTTGAAGTCGATGAATGTCGTGCTCGATCATGATTTCAATGCGAAGCTGTGCGACTTCGGATTGACCCAGTCCATGGAGAAAACACATATCACGCGCAAGGAGCAGGAGGGCGGCTCACCGCGCTACATGGCACCGGAGCTGTTTGACGCAGCCATCAAGCTGACGGAAAAGGTGGATATCTGGGCGGTGGGCTGTCTCATCGCCGAGATTTTTCTGCAGCGCTCGCCGCATGAGGAGTGCACGAATTTGCAGCAGGTGATGGGGAAGTTGCTGGTGCAGAAGAAGAGCCCGTTCGCGACCCGGAGCGGGCTGAAGGAGCTCGGGAATCCCTTGCTCGAGGAGCTGGTAACTTCGTGCTTGCAATACGCAATACAAATTTCCCGTACATGTACAAGGTGCATCACAAATTTCACCAATTTGAAGCGTAAAGCTTGTCATGCTAGACAAGGATCGAATCCAATTTTTGTCATGCAGAGACCGCATGTGTACGTGTACGGAAAATTTACTGTGGATATGCAATTCGAGCCGCGGCTGCGCACCTCGGCGCAGGACCTGCTGGCGAAATTCGAAGATTTGGAGGTGACGTATTGAGCCTTACCTTACAAATTCGGGAAAAGCAGTTGCACGACTTGTACGTGTTGATGATTGATGTAGTTGCTCGCGAGAGCCCGGGACTGCCTCTACTTCCGCAGATGATTTTTTCCAAACGCACATGTAGACGAAGACGAAGTTAAGAGTTGTCTTTTGCTTGGAATCAATAGAACGAGAGAGAAATAAATAGTGGGGATACGACGACGTTAGGGTCTTTCGTGACACCGCGCAGGTGAACGAACAGGGCCGACATTGTACGTGTGGACAGTTCTTGCTAAATTAAAATCTGGCAGTTCACCATGATCGTTCATCGTTGCCTGACACTGACTTCAAGCACGTTGCCTTCCGAGCACAGTCCTTCGCACAGCACCTTTTCGCTCAAAGAAGGTCGTACTGTGCTAGAAGTTCATCTAATTGTGGATTTTCTGATCCTGAAGTGCGCATATAGTGCAATCCTTTAACCTTCTAGCTCTTTGTCACAAGAAAATATATTTGTATTAAGGTTGTGATCCCAAAAAGCAATACTGCTACGATTGTCGAAACGATCTCAGTCGCAGAAGAGATATGGGCAAGGTCCGGGGAGATCTTCGCGGTTGTTCTCCCCGGTTGCAGGACTTGGGCTATGGTGCGCCATGTCATGTGTTTCAACAGTTCAACTTGAAACGATTCAGCTGATAAAGTAAATCTTCTTGATGTTCAGCTAGGCTTTCTCTGACGTTTAAAAACTCTCCATCACGGTCGCAATCTGGGCGATGCGACCGGACTTGGAGAACTGCAACCGGGGAGATCTCCCCGGCTGCAGTTTGCGGGCTTTGGGAAAATGGTTGGCCGTGCCGGACGTTTTCGCTAGTAGAAGCGCAGCTTTTAGATTTTAATCTAGACATGCTGCGACTTGCAAAAAACTCTCTATCATGGGCGGACTCTCAACCATGCGACCGGACTTGGAGAACTGCAACCGGGGAGATCTCCCCGGTTGCAGTTTGCGGGCTTTGGGAAAATGGTTGGCCGTGCCGTGCGTTTTCGCTAGTAGAAGCGCAGCTTTTAGATTTTAATCTAAACTTGCTGCGACTTGCAAAAAACTCTCTATCACGGGCGGACTCTGAACCATGCGACCGGACTTGGAGAACTGCAACCGGGGAGATCTCCCCGGTTGCAGTTTGCGGGCTTTGGGAAAATGGTTGGCCGTGCCGTGCGTTTTCGCTAGTAGAAGCGCAGCTTTTAGATTTTAATCTAAACTTGCTGCGACTTGCAAAAAACTCTCTATCACGGGCGGACTCTGAACCATGCGACCGGACTTGGAGAACTGCAACCGGGGAGATCTCCCCGGTTGCAGTTTGCGGGCTTTGGGAAAATGGTTGGCCGTGCCGTGCGTTTTCGCTAGTAGAAGCGCAGCTTTTAGATTTTAATCTAAACTTGCTGCGACTTGCAAAAAACTCTCTATCACGGGCGGACTCTGAACCATGCGACCGGACTTGGAGAACTGCAACCGGGGAGATCTCCCCGGTTGCAGTTTGCGGGCTTTGGGAAAATGGTTGGCCGTGCCGTGCGTTTTCGCTAGTAGAAGCGCAGCTTTTAGATTTTAATCTAAACTTGCTGCGACTTGCAAAAAACTCTCTATCACGGGCGGACTCTGAACCATGCGACCGGACTTGGAGAACTGCAACCGGGGAGATCTCCCCGGTTGCAGTTTGCGGGCTTTGGGAAAATGGTTGGCCGTGCCGTGCGTTTTCGCTAGTAGAAGCGCAGCTTTTAGATTTTAATCTAAACTTGCTGCGACTTGCAAAAAACTCTCTATCACGGGCGGACTCTGAACCATGCGACCGGACTTGGAGAACTGCAACCGGGGAGATCTCCCCGGTTGCAGTTTGCGGGCTTTGGGAAAATGGTTGGCCGTGCCGTGCGTTTTCGCTAGTAGAAGCGCAGCTTTTAGATTTTAATCTAAACTTGCTGCGACTTGCAAAAAACTCTCTATCACGGGCGGACTCTGAACCATGCGACCGGACTTGGAGAACTGCAACCGGGGAGATCTCCCCGGTTGCAGTTTGCGGGCTTTGGGAAAATGGTTGGCCGTGCCGTGCGTTTTCGCTAGTAGAAGCGCAGCTTTTAGATTTTAATCTAAACTTGCTGCGACTTGCAAAAAACTCTCTATCACGGGCGGACTCTGAACCATGCGACCGGACTTGGAGAACTGCAACCGGGGAGATCTCCCCGGTTGCAGTTTGCGGGCTTTGGGAAAATGGTTGGCCGTGCCGTGCGTTTTCGCTTGTAGAAGCGCAGCTTTTAGATTTCCATCTAAACTTGCTGCGACTTGCAAAAAACCCTCTATCACGGGCGGACTCTGAACCATGCGACCGGACTTGGAGAACTGCAACCGGGGAGATCTCCCCGGTTGCAGTTTGCGGGCTTGGGAAAATGGTTGGCCGTGCCGTGCGTTTTCGCTTGTAGAAGCGCAGCTTTTAGATTTCCATCTAAACTTGCTGCGACTTGCAAAAAACCCTCTATCACGGGCGGACTCTGAACCATGCGACCGGACTTGGAGAACTGCAACCGGGGAGATCTCCCCGGTTGCAGTTTGCGGGCTTTGGGCAAATGGTTCGCCGTGCCGTGCGTTTTCGCTTGTAGAAGCGCAGCTTTTCGATTTCCATCTAAACTTGCTGCGACTTGCAAAAAACTATCTATCACGGGCGGACTCTGGGCCATGCGACCAGATTTGGAGAACCGCAACCGGGGAGATCTCCCCGGTTGCAGTTTGCGGGCTTTGGGAAAGTGGTGCTCTATGCTACTTCTAACAGGGGCGGGCCCTCTAGATTCCCAGATAAATTTTCTTCGACTTTCAAAAAGGTCTCTATCACGAGAAAAATCTGTGGTGCTGTGCGTCCGGATTGGGAGAACTGGAACCAAGCCCAAGGAGATCTTCCAAGCTACAGTCGCTTGCCTGCGGGGAAATCAATGCAGCTGCGAGACAGGCGATTCCTCTGCTCTGTCCGTGTTTTGTGCATCCAGGCACTGTTGCTCGCTGATTGTTTTTACGTAGAAAAAGAAGTTTTCTCCGCCTCTGCCTGTGGGTCGTGCCGGTTGAAAAATTTGAATTCTTCCTGATGTGTCTGAGGTCTTCGAGATCGTTTCGGGATCCGCGCCTTCGTTTTCTACTTGTGTCTCTTTCTTGATATGGGCTCGTCGGCTTTGGCACTTGACTTGGCATCTATTACGTGACGCCGTTTTCTTTAATTATGATATTGGCAACTACACTTGAAGGAAGTGAATGAGTCAGAATTTCGGGTCGTACTTATTGTGTTGGGTCGTCATTTAGTGTCATTGACATTGTCATCTCGTAGGTTGTCTCGGTCTTTGTATCAGTCTTTGATTTCGTTTTTCGGATGCGTATTGTGCATGGCGGGCAATTCGGTCTTGCTCCTCGTCCGCAATCAGGTCAAGTGCATATAAAAATTTCGGGGCAACAGTTCAGTGCCATGCGTGCGAGCATTTGGCACTTTTTTCAATAAAGAATAGGGAATAGAATGATAATATTGTGACCGCAGCAGCACTGCAATGTCGAAGGATGATTTTAATTTCCACTTCTTGTACAGTGAAAGCAAATAGAGTTTTTTGATGAAGAGCACTGAGTTACCGTTCGGGAAAAGGTATGATTTCAGTACAGAGCTTGAACGATGTTGTTGCTTAGGAATCGAACCAGTTGTTTTTCTTAGCACTTCAACTTTCGGTGAAGAAGAGTCTCGTGCGACCGTCTCTACCCACCTTTCGGCTTCCAGATACACCCTCTTGTAGAGCCGTCGTACGCGGAAGCGTGTCCATCGAAGTCAAGGAGCATCGAGTAGTAGTAGTAGTAGTACTGGCCGCTAGTTTGATCCCCGTGCGCACGAAATTTTCGTGGGTCAAGTAATCGGGGATGGGTGTAGACCCGGCAAAGACTGCGCGAGCGTCTCACATTGTGAATGTGATAGAGGACCTAAGCCAACACGGAGCGTCAGTGGAATCGATCTTGGAAGAGTACGAGCGCCGTACTGGGGATGATGGTGCAACGAAGCAGTCTGTCATTAACGCTGTGCGGAACAACCCAGCCATTATCGGGACAACGTCTGTTGGGCGATCAGTGACACAGTACCTACTTCTGATTTATTTATTCATATATTGATGTTCTTTATGATTGATTCTGTAGATCATGATGATTGGCGGGTCTTGGTTTTGAGAGGTGTTTCTTTTTGGTGGATGGTGTCAGTTTAGGCCGATCATTTGCTCACCTGATTGTGATCATTCATCGATCATGTTCGCTTAGTGCATGCCACCGACTCTGCCTCATCCGACTGGCTACACTTGATCCTTTTCTATTTGAATATCTGTTGACGAACTACAATTCAAAGCACCATCAAGAACTTGAGTGGAAAACTCCTCGAAATCACCACAGCTATCGTGTCCGAGATACGGTTCCGCTTGGTTTTACTATTGCAGGACAGGCCCAGATTCCAGTTGCGCACGGTCAGCAGACAGTCGCCGGGCCACCACTGCACTTCAGGTACTTTTGGTACCTGATTGGAGCCGTGTTTCTAATTGGGCTATCCCTTGGCGTCCCAATCGGGTTTCTCTACTGCAGCACTACTCAAGTTCCGCCCAAGACTCCGGAAGATGAGACGGACGGCCACTCTCCTGAGGCGAGAAAACTAATCAACGTCCTCCGCGAACGCGGACATCAAGCGAGAGGAAGAGATGTAGCTGAGGCGTAGATTGTATAAAGGTAAAGCTACCGATCGAAATCGACAACAGCCATACGCACTGGATGTGCTTGTTTTGTACATATACGACACCTAATATTCCAGCAAGTAATCTTAATCTTTGTTGTAGAACCTGCCTTGAAATCGATATTTCCGAAGAAACGAGTCGAAGTGGTCCTTCCCGATATTCTTGCGCTGCTCTCGTTTTGCAGAAGTGTTTTCAATATTTGGCTTCGCCTTCGCTTAAGAGATGTTGCGTGACCGAGATTGTCACTCATCGGTGTCTTCTTGAACAAATATACAAACTACCAGACAAAGACATCGATAAGCTGCAAGAAAGCAGAAACAACGAAGGGTGATAGGTCCGTCAAAAAAGGTCTGACGGTGCCGCTGCACTGCATTTTGCACACGTTCATGTTCCATCGTGTCGACCCATCGTTCGGCACCGATATAGAGGCAACGGACTTGATGTTTTTTGGACCACGAATCGTAAGTGATTACTTTAGATACAAATAGATTCTCTTCCCCCACCGCGTATGAGAGTCAAGAATTGAGGGTCCGAGACAGAGTCAGTAAATATGTCTCGTCTTCAACTCGTTCTCGTTTTTTCTTGGAGCTGCAATGAAACGGTATGTATGAGTGCATCGGCTAGAGAGAAACCGAGAACAGAGAACTAAGTCCAAAACAAAACTAGCGCTGGTTTTCGGGTAGCAAGGACAATTCCGAGGTCGTTTTTTGTCATTCGTCAGTCGATGTTTCTGTTGTCTTTTGTTTCTGACTTCGCCTTTGAGTCCCCGCTCTCGTTCCCCCGCGTTTCGGTTACAATTTATTACGCTCTTTGTATACTGAAACTGATTTCAGCACTTCATTTTTATGTATTTTTCTTTTTCTCCTGTGGCCCCTCACGAAGACGACTTACGATGGGTATTAGTTTGTGGGCGCTGCTTGGCCTTGGCCTGCGATTGCCCAAGCAAGGAGGAAGAGCAGTATTGAATCACATTCACAGGGTGTTGCAATAAAGATCGGATCGATAGAGAACTCCTCTGACCGAAAAATAACTTTACTTTTCCATTCCAGACGGCAATTATGAGTCAATTTTGTCGTGTCCTCAGCTTCTCCATTTCCAGGTCCATGTGTCGAGAATGATGGCGTGAAGAGTGAGATCCGACACACTGCCGTCGCTGTGTCCGCAAGAGAGCCTTCGCGACAATTGCGAGAAAAAAATGTGGCCGACCATACGTCAAGGACATCGCGAGGACTGCGTGGGAATGCGGAGTGTGATGCTGCAGTTGTGTAACGTAATTTTTCTCTTCGTGGCGATTACAGCCGGTGCGACAGGTGGTCCAGAAAACGATAAGGAAATTGCGGGCGTGCCACGGGCCACGTTGCTAATTTCCACGTCCGAGCCGAAGATTCCGGTGCCGTACTATGCGGTATCCGAAGAGCAGATCACAGGGGACCAGCAGTTTTCTGCTTTTTTTGCGATCGCTTACGATGACCGTTCAGTGCAACAATTTATGCAAGGCGAGACTGCGATCAATCGAGAGCTATTTGGGAACTGGCTGGATTCACACGGTTTCAACTACACGGACATTCTATTGGTGACGGCCATCAACGTGTCAGAGACGATCGGCACCGCTTTTGTTTTTGGCGCGAAGCCTTGGAGCAGCAGATTTGATCGACAAACAATGATTGCTTCTGAGGAAGGCTTCCGTGATTTCTGTGGGAGTACCACATCGAACGGGACGGGGACGGAACTTTTCGTTTCGACGATCAGGAACCAAGCTGGATTAAAGGTATGGGCTCACCCTGTTATTGTTATAGATGACTGTAATTATATTGAATAAGCTAGCACGTAGTTGACGTTGGTGTTTTATCTTTTTTAAATCAGTATTTGTATTTTACAAATTGAGTGCATGATGCATTTCCGCTCGACTCTTCCCAGAAGCATATGCGTTAGAGCAGACTCTTCCTCTGTCATGCTCATTTCGTATCGAAGTCATGAATTATCTATACTAAGATCATATTGTTTTGCGTACAGACCACTACTCAGTCGGGTACATGCAACAAGACAGTGTGTGACAGCGTCATGCGCCGCCACTTTTACTTCGTTGTACTTCTCTGCATATTCGCTGCTTCTACTTCTCTTTATACAGATCGACATCCGGTGCTCCACGTGGACTGACAGCTCTGCTCTAGGTGCGGCCTCGGAAAATTTAGGCTCGGAATCGGCAATAGTGCAGACCACGATCACACCATTGGCCACGACAACAAGCTTCGCGGCTGCGAGGACAACCATGGTGTCGACGCCAGCGAATGCCACCACGGCTAAGGACAGTGTAAATCAGCGCAAGGACGAAGCAGGAGCAGCCATACTAGCGGAGGAAGTAGGCCTTTCTGGTCGCATTGTTTCACCGCGCGTCGATGCCCGGCATCATCTCGAGAGTACTAGTTTGACCAGTTCCTGGCTCGACTTCTTCTTGTTCATTCTGGTTGTGCTGTTCGACAAGTACGTCATTCTGGTTGTGCTGCTCGCTGCTTGCACAAGTTGGTTTGCACCCCTCAGATTAATGATCCCGTCCAGATCAGAAATCTACAGCACCGGGCGGGAATTTTGGGCTTCCGGAGAACAGTTTTTATCGGAGATGTATCGTTGTTGGAAACCACAGCCAGTCGCTGCCGCCCTATCGGCATCACCTGTTTCTGTGAAAGCCGATTCCATCACAAACGAATTTCTCATGTCGCTGACGAGACGTGATCGCGAAGCACCCGCGAGCAGCTTGCTACCAAATGCTGTGCGGAAGAGTCAAGCTTCCTCGCTGTCGGGTAATAGTGACGCAGCAAAAGGCGATGGGGACAGCGTCAGTGGCGGTGGAAGTGGCGGCCCTCTCTCCACCGTGCTAAACACGCACCGCAGCGTGAACGACGACCAGATACGGGGAACCACACAGAAAAATTGTGTTGCTTCGGATGCCGATCCCGATGGTGCTGCGCACACCGACGCATCCGTGCCCGTTCTCGTCAATCCAGCAGTAGAACACGAGGAGTGTCCACACGTTGACCGGGGGGCTGAGATGCAGGATAAACGCGCGGCTGGCGCGGTGGATATCGTCGGTACAGGAATGGACTTGCAACAACTTGCTGCCATGACGAGTGACGGGGCTCCTGCCATTCCTTCTTCTGTTACCGAGAGCCACAGAAATGCGGGATAGTACCAGTGAAAGCATGACCACCATTGTGGACGATCCGAGACCACCTGGCATCATGGCATCGTCAACTACAAGATCTGAAAGCCCAGCGCGCATTTCCACGATCGTGCCGAGCGGGAGCGCAAACGTGCCTGACGAAGACAAGCTCGGCCCGGTAGGAAACGATGCAGGGGGAGCATTGACTCTAACCGATTTGTCGATCACAGCAAGTAGTCCAATCGGGTCTTCTACGGATTTCGGGCGGAGAAGTAGTGAACTTAATACTCCCGCCGGCACCGCTTCACTTGTGCAGGGTAGAAGCTTCTACGAAAAGTGGTTTTGGAAGCTGACGGACCTGCGATATCACGAACTGTATCACACCGTGAACTTCGACGAGCGATGCTCCCTCGGGAAGTTAACGACGCCCGTTCCAGAGTACTTCCGCAAACCCACGAAAGATGAAGAGCTGAGCATTCTTCGTGAGGCAACGAGGATCAACCGCGAACACTACAACTCTACCAGAGTGTCCCTCGAGTTGAGCTCGCCCGAGGAAAGACTCATCGTGATGGGCGACCTCCACGGCTCTGCAGAGGTGCTCGCGGATACCTTAAGCAGAAACAGGTTCCCGCTGCTTAGCAGGTTCCTCCTTCTGGGAGATATCGTGGACTCGAAAGAGCCTACCCAAGCAGCCAAGGAGCGGGATATGCTGTGTGGTGTCGCCGCTGGTATTGCAGCATATGGCGCGGAGCAGAGATTTGTAGTGTTACGCGGGAACCACGAGCACGGTCGGTGGACTTTGCGGCCCAACATCTGGGACACGGAGATTCGCGACGCGTACGAAGAGTTTTTGTTGTCACTCCCACTGTGGGTGACGATTCAAGGCGAGGTATTAGTTCGCATGATGTACCTGCTTGCTGTGCTTAGTGTTGTTGCCTCGCAGGTCCTCGGCTTTGCATGCTTTCTGTGTGTGCAATGAATGCGACCGTGGGCCGAGGATTGCGCGGCGTGTATAGTAGATACACCACAAAGACTTCCTCGCAAGATTTGTCGACAAGGAATGTTGTGAACGAAGCATTTACGGCACCTCCGGTTTGCTCAAAATCTATAAGATAAAGATTATCTGATTCTGAATCACGGGCAATCTGATCTCAATAAACAGGTTTTTGCAGTGCACGGGGGGTTCCCGCCACAGTCGTGCTTTGAAGATGGTTCTTCGCGGCTTAGAATCATTCCAAACACGTGGGAAGAGGTTTTGGAACACGATCCACATGCCGACACGTTATGGCGTCGGGATGTGCCGTTTCACAACGGACCCAACTTTGACGACGCTATGCTGCAAAAAGTTTCCGCGCCCTCTCGTTCCAGCTCTGATTTCATTGATAAGAAACGGGAGGCCAGAAATATATTTCAAGTACGAAGATTATTGATCTCCTGGATTTTTGTTTGGATGTGAAAATTAATAAAGATCAAAACAGAAGCGGAAGCCTCTCTTCAACCTTCCTTGTTGAAAGGAAGTTCTATTACCTGAGCACGGCTCATGAAGCATGCGAAAGCTTTCTAGAAAACAGAAGATGAGGTCTTTATGGAGCTCCGTCTTATTATGTGCAAAACTTACTCTGTCTTTCCGTGAGAATCTGCTGTTCACAAAAGCAGAGCAGGCATGAGAGCTTCAGGCTTTTCGATTGGTTTTGTGGACAGGTAGCACGACGAGGGGGTGCTTTTTTCGTTCATAAGGAACATTGCGCTGTCCAACGGGTTTAAAGCGACCGGAACGAAGGTTATGTTCCGAGGGCATGACATGCCGGATTGCGGCGAAGCGATGGAGCCAAGTCGCGACGGGAAAGTGCTCACATTGCACTGTCTGGCTAACCAGCACGGGCAGACTTATGCGAGAGTCCAGTACTGAAACGTTGCTTTGTTGATTTTGATGTAAGTATATGAAAATGTGACTATTGCAATATTAGAAAGATGTGATGAATAAAATAGGACGATTCCCATGTTTTCAGTTTTCTGCACATTCATCAAAATGTCTACGAAGGTATCTTTCTCGTCCTGAAGTGCGCGAAGCGATGCGAGAGCAATGGCACACCGACGCGTATTACAGCGGTGACCCGCCACGCATTTACGTCCACGACAACATGAACTCGCGCTTGGAGAAATTGCTCGTTCGCGTGGAACTCCTGCCCGGGTCGTTGCCCTTGGCGCACACGAGTTCGCAGGGAGAGACACAGCCGTCTTCAGAACAGCCTTCCGCCAATCATGCGTTTGAACACGAGGACCAACAGGAGCCTGCTGCGGCAGCGGCGGATCAGCCTCCGCACGGTGGAATTGTGAACCCAACTACGTTAGCACACGACGAGACAGCAGAGGACCCTGGTTGCGTTGCACCGCATGTCGTTGAACCCGAGGACTCCGAGCACGGAACGCAACAGGACGATGTAGGTCAGTTCCCGGACGAGCCAGCAAGCGCTACGTCGTCTTCTTCGGGAACCCCGGCTCGGCTGCGCCCGCAACTGCGAGATATACTGGAGCAGCACAGCAGCAAGAGAATTGCAAATATCGAGGCGAAACTCGACGCTAGCTCCCGCATTCAGCCGACTTCTCTATTTGGTTTGCCACAAGCAGAACGTGATTCCGGATCTGCCGCGGAAGCTGAGAATGAGCACAGCAATGTGAAAACCTCGGTGCGTTCGCAGGACGGTCTTTTTCTTGGCGACGAAGTTATCGACCCCCACGCGATCCTGGACTACAACAAGGGAACAGCGTCACTTGCCGGCGAGAACGGAGGCAGAGCCGGCCAGTACCACGGTGAAACATCACTGTCCCCCGAGGAACCGAGGCTGGACGACCACCACGAGGAGCTGGACGACCACAACGAGGACCGACATTCACAGCCAGAAACTGGTCGAGCCGTCGCACTACTCGAAGAACAAAGAATTCGTGAACCTGCTTCCCAGGGTGATGCGGATTTCCCCGTTTCCAAGGACGCAGACGGTGCTGCAAGCGGGGCGAGCATTCTAACGAACCCTGCAGAAAACCAAGACGCGGGAGGGTCGAGCTCTCTAACCAACGCCGCTGCAAAAGCGTTAGTCGGCGACCGAGATCCAGTTTCAGCCCAGAAGAACACGAAAAGGCGCTCCTCCTTCCTAGACTTTCAGAATGTGTCGGCCGTCGGGAAGACGAGCCAGTTGTTTTTTGGAGGAGACTGCAGGCTGAATTCAGGAGGCGGGCCGGCTTGGAACGGACGTGGAACCGCGTCTGTTCCGATGCCGTTGCCAACCGCGGCAACGCCGGATGTCCCGCTTTTTCACGTCAACAGTGGATCTGTACAAGACGATGAAACCAACGGTACATGTGAAGAACATGAAGGAGATGCTGATGCCACTGCTTTCCATGCGGCTGCTGGTGCGCCTTCGTCACGCACCCCTTCGACGACCACGGCCACTCGGAGTAAGGAAGCGGCCTCCTCGCGGGGGAGCAAAGAAATGGACAACATTGAGTTAGACGATGAAGCAATAGGGGTAGCGTCCGCCGGCTTGTTCGACTCCTCAACACGCTGGAACTGTGACAGCGCACCATCAGGAGACCAAGGCGCGGAAAGTGACGAGGAGAAGGAGCAACCAAGCCTCGGGCTTGCGCTCCTTCTCATGGCGCAGATCATGAGCAGGCCAAACTACCAGGAAGGCGGTGGCGAGGGCGTTCATCGCCAGCAGACAGCGCGGCCCGAAGAATGAAGCGCCCGGCTTGTTCTTACTCTCCTCCTCTTCTTCTGCTTATCGCCCGCCCGGTGATCCATTTTCCAGACTTAAAACATGCGCACAAATTGCACTCACGATCTGAAATTCCCCAACAGGAACGACTTAGCCTCAGCGCTCCCCTAGCTTTAAAATTAGGCGGTTTGCTTTCAAGTGCTTTTATTGTTGTAACTCTCTCATCAAAAACATCCCGAATTCTTCAACTCGCAAACTTTCAATCAGACCGAGGAAGAGAACAGCGCCCCTCTACAAACCAGGCGGAGTAGCCTCTGAATACGAAAAATTGGGAACCCTGAGAGAAAAGTCTCGTTGTGATGGAAAAGAGGAAACTCTTCGTTAATATTGTGAACTCGAACAGCAAGAAATTGTATGATTTGATGGTTGGCTCTATGAAAATGATTTTCAAGAACATAGAGACAAAAAGAAACGAACTGGTAATTTGTTGCGATTGCGTGAAATCCATACCTGGGTGCATAGGAGGTAGAACCACTTTTCTCGAACTATCGTTACAGGTGCCTTTATAGCGCCAGTCGTTATTGCTATGCATCACAACAGCCGTTCTTCTACTTCTTGTAAGACGAAGCGATTTAATTTTAAATTATCCCCGCCTCTTGCCTTCTTTCTTGAGCTCGTACATTATTTAAGATTATGTACTCGGCGAACTTTTTTTTTTGGAATTGGAACAGAAATGAAATTAATCTAGCTTTATGGCACATTACTTTTGAGCATCGTTAATTAGTCCTCGTCGATATAGACCTTTTCTACTCGTCTGACTCAGAGTCAACCTCAATAAAAGCGTAATCGCAGACCATCCACTTGCTAAAGGAAACAGGAGTGCAATGAAGCAGAAAAGATCCTAACGAGGGAAGACTTCATGACAATTTTGATATTCGGAACGCTTGCGAACTCGATTTTCTTTGTAGCCGCAGGCAATCGATTTTTTCTTATCCCTATTGCTTGCCGGCCAGTGAACTTGCTCTCCCTATCTTAGACAAAATTTTACTCGTTTCGTGCTGCCGAATTTGTCCGCTCTACTTGTGTTGCTTCGGAGCCTTCACACTTCATCTTCCATGCAGCTAGATTGATATTGAAATATAAAAGGAACTGCGTTTGGTTTTGGTATAATAATTTCAATGTCAAGCGGTATGGTTGTGATAGGATAGATTTGTGATATTATCGACGCCCGGAAATTTTGTGTTGAGCCAAGGCAGTCACCTGTTGAAAATAAAGATAAGGGGACTTCTTGACTTTGTAGGATAACTAACAGTTGTAGTCAATGAACAAAGATGAAGACGAACTCGATTGACCTCCTTTTGACGGAAATGCCGTTATAACTGGTTATCACCAGGTGTACATCATCAAGGCTGTCGACGTTGGAGTTCTGTTGATATTTTTTTTAAGAGCACTCCCGATACTGCACTCGCACTTCGTCTAATACCGTTCAGTGTTGTCTGACCGCAAGGAAGAACGTTGCTTCCCGAGCGCAGACCTGTGCACAGGGGCAGAGCCTTTCAATCGTCTGAAGAAGATCGTATATGTACTGTTTCGAATTCATCTTTTGCTTTTCGTTCACGCCCCAGTTCTGATCGTGATCGTTCTGAATCGTCCCGATGAATTTTGTATCTGTTTGTGTCCTCGTCGTGGCGGTGGTGGTCCTGTTCGTTCTCGTATTCTCTGTGGTCTGGTGAACTCTTAGCCCTCATCGTGTCCGTGGATGTCGTTCGTCTTCCGGCATGCACCTTTTTTTTTGTGCGTGGCTCAGTAAAAAATAAAGAATCTTTATCTTTTTAGCACTGCGATAAGATTGGTGTCATCGTAAAGCTTTGTGATTGTCTCCTTCTCCCTGCCTGTCACCACATAGTTGCATCAAGTGCAAAGAAATCGCAATCTACTTCCAGGCTGTAGTGCTGCTTTGTCCCGTCTTTTGTCATCTGCTTGACAAGTTGCTATATGTATATTTCAATTTTTCGGTAGAAGAATTAATTTATCTTTCCCGGTGGCTAACTTTTCGTTTTTCTGGTTCAGATCTATTTTTTACTAGCCCAATAAATAAATTATTCACCTCCACCGTAAAAACTAAGAGTACACTCGCGTTTTTTGTCATGAGCGCCTCACGTCTTTCTCAGCCCTTGCTACAGCGGGGCAGCGTCGCGCCGCAACAAGTCAAGCCAGAAAATAAAAAACCGGTGGCGGAAAAAGTCATCGCGGCAGATGACGAGGAAAGCGATAAGAAGATAGTAGGCTCGTCCTTCCGGGGCTCGTCCTTCCAGAAACACCAGCAGCAACGAGGATCGTGCAGCCGTAAAAACGCCCGTGTCTTACCTGAATTGGCAGAACCTGCTTCTGGTGATCTCCATGCTCTTGTCGGTCGTGTTTGATATCGGCCAGCAAATCGTGGTGCAGCAGTGGGTACGCATTGCAAAAAATATCGATCTGGGTATGGAAGATTGCGGCAGATGTTTGTCATGCTGTTTCAGTGCCCTTTAGGGTCCAGTGCCAGGAGCCGCTTTATTTGTTCTCCATGCAATATGACAGATTGAGATATCT